ATGCTTTAAACATACATTTTGTAATTTTCTTAGAAAAGTCCAATGGGAATTCGTCACATATTCTAAGAATATTTCTTTGTGTTCCAAAGAATATTCAAAATATTCCAGGAATATATATAGAATATTTAACTATAAGTCACCAGGACATTCCCTTAAACATATTCTTGGCATATTCGGGATATACCTTGATTATTCAAGCGATAATCAAATATCATATGCCTGGAACATTTTCTTAAGAATGGTCTCTTATGGTTGTGATAGATGTAGCATGAATTAGAAGTGGCATAAACTATAAAAAAATTATTATTAAAAACACCTAGTAGATACCGAAATGAACATGTTTTTTTTCTATATTCCTACAACATTCTAGTAATATTCAATTGGTCCATTTTTTTAAATTTTAATTGAATCGGTGAAAATAAAAACAGTACAAGTCACGGGCTCATACATCGTGGAACAAGTCCATCTTTTTATTTATCAATTTTTCGTTGTAAATTATCAATTTAAGAAAAATCATAAACAAATAAAAAAATGGACTTGGGCTGTTCTTATTATAATATCAACGATTTAGTGAGCCTAAATAAAAAATAAAACAATAGAATATTAGTAGAAAATACCAAACAAACATATACCAAAATTAATAAGACAAGCAGATACATTATTTATGTGCCTGGGATATAAGTACTGAAATAAATCATCCATGCATGTAACTTATAGACACGAATATTCTCTGAATATTATAAGAATATTAGGAATATTTTCAATCCCTTAAATAGATTGGGAGAATATTTCATGCTGTCTGGGACATACCGATCCATGCTCGACTTACGACACATTGGGACACGTTCAACCTTGTAGCGACTTCTTCTTGAGGTAAACCATCACCAATCCAACGTACTAACTGCTCAAGTTGAATTGCTTCTAACCCCGTAACGGCACAATTTTAATGCGAATGTACTGATTGATTGCTAATCCCTGATAGCAAAATTTGATTTTAAGAATCTTCTAAGAAGATATGACCCGGAATAATGCAATATTTTTAGAACCTTCCCTTATTGCTAAAAATGTTCTTAGGGACTTTTAAAACATTCAATAGATACCCTTTTAATGATGCAATTAGATTCTTAAAAGCTTCTTAAAACCTTCCTAAAAAGCATCCTAGGAACATTTTAAGAATACGTTTTTGGAATGTTCTTAGAAGGTTTCTTATGGAGCTTCTAGGAAGCTTTTGAGAATATTTCAAAATATGTCTGATACCCACGTTCTAATAATATTAGAACGTGGGTATTATGTTGTATTCTAGATTCGTAAAATTCTTCAGGAGACGACAAATACGCCTCACTGTCAATGTATTTGTCGTCCCCTTAAAAAATTTTGCGACATATTAATATATATTTATTTAAAAATATTAAATAAACAATTTGACCTCTAAACCATAAGTTGTATGACATTATTTCTTAAAAAGTAAAATTGGAGAATTTTGTAGGATAAGTCAGATTAGATTGAAGTTGAAGATAGTTAGGATTATTATATATAAAAATGTTAATTCAGAAAAAAAAAATCGGTATACAAATTAATAAATATTTATTTTTAACATAAAATAAAATACCCATGGTAAAAGTATTTTTGTTATCGAATATTGTTTTAATTTGTCAAATAACTATAAAAAAATATTTTGGATTGTGTTTTTTACTTAGTATTTAATACTAATTACTAATTAGGTACTTAAGTATAGGTATATACCTTTATACGTAGTTTATGGTATATTTTAATATTATATACTGAACTAAATATGCTTAACAGGAATATTCCTAAATGAACTTTCTATAGCAATTACTTTCTTAACATTCTAAGCATATGTTTAGAGTAGACTAATTTTTACCACTAAAACTTTGCACCTTCTAAGAACCTGCCTAAAGGCCAGTAAGAATATTCTTAGGATTATGCTATATGTCTTTTAAGCATGTCCTTTAGAAGAAATATAGCATAGAATATTCTCACTGGAAGGTTTAAAAAACATTCTTATAATAAAGTGTGCTATCAGGGATAACAAGTAATGAAGGCGGTATACAAGAACTTCTGCTTTACTAATTTAAAACCACACTTCCACATATTTGTGTTAAAGAAGTAACAATAACAAAATTAAACAGAGTATGAGAACTTAACAACATTGCTACAGTAAAAATTCGGGATAATTATAATTATCCAGTTTAATTGTCATGCCGTGTATTTAAAATTATAACTTAAAACCATATGCCCAAATAAATAAAAAAGTGTTTTTTCACCAAAGGCGCCATTTTGTTAAGCCCGGCACTGTATGTTACGAAATTATGATATTAGGGGACTACAGTAACTGTTAGGCTGTGCTAAAATTTTTAATGACCCATAACAGTTTTTTTGCAGAACCAACCTGTTTTTAAATCTAGTTTTTTTTATTATTGGAATAGATTACCTAATTAGATTTAATTTAATTAAAATCGTTCATGCGTGAATTTCGTATCCCATTAAGTTCCACCACGCACTACCCGTACGTCAGTGGCGACTCGTCAGGGTAGGCCTCTGATGCCGCGCCCCACCCTCAAAATGAAGGAACCAACGACCTTTTATATTTAGCTTTTTACCTATTACAAGTGTACCTTTACTACAGTTCTACACAATAAAAAGTATCTAAAACATCAATCAATCATACTAAGCATAATTAAATGGTAAATTAAAATCCACGCTGAAACAACAGATTAAATTATAATTAATTATTAAGTAGGTATTTATAAACAAAGCTTATTCTGTTGGCGTTCTATTTTATTAGACCGTGGAGTTCAGGGGGTGGGTATTCCGATTGCTCCGATGTTTTATTTGTTTAATAAATATATTTTTAAGTTCCAGATATATAATTTAGTCTTAAAAAACGAATGTTTGTTTTGAATGTTTGCAATTTGGGGTAAGATTGCTTTGATATTTTCTTTGTTTTGTTTTTTTTTTAGATAATTTTTTTTATTATAAATGTTTAATAGGGAATTTGGCCATTTTAAAAAAGATCAACGCGTCGCAGAATAATACCGTCCTGGTGAAGTGGAAATTTATTCGTATTTAGACAAAATGAACTTCATATAGCGTAGCTACCGCGGTATCAGCTGTATCAATGATACGGGGCCCCCAGCTAGGGGGGGCCCGATTGGCTTCGACATGCTTAAGCAAAGAACTTACTACCCACATGTAAAAAAAAATTGAGGCATGAAATTAAATAAATAAATAATATCATTATTTAATTATTTATACTTCGATTTATTAAATTAAAATTTTCCTGAATACCCTCCTGTTCCAACGAGGCCGTGAACTCATACGAATTGTTTCTGCCCGCACCTTTCCGCTATGCGTTGTCTGCGCATATTGTTCTGTGCTCTGCGCCGCATACTGAGTCTGCCTTGCGTGTTATTATCATAGGTTATATTAATAGCAAATTAGAAATAATTATTAGCGTTACAAATGACTTGCCTTTATTTTAAAATAGAAACCTTTTAAAAGACGTTGAAGAACTGTAAATGACTTAAACCAGACCAAATTTTGATATTTTCCAGTACATTAAAAGATATGTATACATATATTATTTATTAAATTATAAAATTGGTAAATGCAAAAAATTGATACCCTAAAAATTTTTTTTTTGCCCAACATAGACTTTGGTCGATACACCCAGAAATTTTTTTGGCAGCAGCTTTTCCCGTATAAGGGCCCCTACCAGATTTTTGATACGGGGCCCCCTCGAGGCTAGTTAAGCCACTGTATAGTATAGAGTAGTATAGTTATATACTATAGTATTATAGTATAGTAGTATATTGACTGCATTACCTACTTTATTTTCTTTTCTTCGTGCACTTAAATATTTAAGCCAAAAAAATCGTTAAAACGAATTGAAGACAATCAATTACAACTTCATAAATTATTTATACTTTTATATTTTTTAGATCAGTCTATACAAACTTACTAGATAGTTGGTCTTTAAAAGTCTTTGGTTCGAGTGAAAAGTTTTACATCGAAAATCAATTTTCGTAATTGAATTCTCCAAAGCAAAATCCGTTTTTTAATAAATTGTGAAATGATAATCATAAATACCATATTATTATTAATGGAATTTATAAATATTAAATTATGATTTAAAATCAATGGACAATTATTATTTATTAAGGACGAATGTTGCAAACTTTAGTTTTATATTTTATTCGGTCGAAGATACAGCACAAATTTTAGTATTATTATATATTTTTAATGGGTTAATACATATACGTATATTTAAAGAGGTAAGTAAATAAATATTATAAATATTTTTTACCTTGAATGTCTTATTACCAAAAAAATTAAATTATAGTCATTCGCTAAAAAACAATTTTATTTAAATGTGAAAAATACATTTTTTTTTATTGTAAAAACCCATATTTTAATTAAATTGATTTAATTCAAATAAAATCAGGATAATTAGGTATGTTAAAAGAGTGCCATTTTGTCAATTTGATTGCGTTAAAATTTTAACACAATAAAGCTGAAGGATTACAAAAATTGTTCATGTAGAGCACTTTACATTTAAAAAATCCAATTTTAGCTAAAAAATGATTTTATTTTGTTAAAACATAATTTTTAAGAGGAATAACATTATGAATGTGTATAATTAATTTTTTTTATTTTAATTAGGTACCATAGCTGCATTACCTTGGTTATATTACCTTGGTTACATTTTTTAAATGGAACACCCTGTATATTTTTACATATCTTAAAAGAAAATTTAATTTGGAACAAAAAATTAATATTGCATAACTACCCTAAACTTAAAAATAAACAATTAATATGCACTTCTAATTGAATGTAGTTAAAATAAAATACTTTAATATTTTATTTTACTAATTCTTATCATTTTTAAGTAAATTTACTTACCACAAACTTCCTCATTCTAAATTAATAATAAAAAAATAATGTTGATAATAAATGCATCATTTTGTAGTGATAAACCATAAGAGTATACTGTGATAAAATGATAAAATGGTGTGTTGTGTTAATTTGGATGTTGCAGCAAAGTTCTTCGTACAATTTAAACGTTAGAACCATTAATGGAACTTATGAAGACAATATCATATTGGAAGTTAATTCTACCACAGAATTTGTTGTTATTTTTCCATCTGTAGATGTAAGTGTTAGTTTAAGTTATGCTTATCCTTAAATACTTTGCTACTTAAAAATTTAAATAAAACCCAGCGCTGACTACACTCAGAAAAATGTACAAGCACTGATAATGAAACTAATTTTGTAAGCGATTAATAAAATAATATTATTTAACTTAAATTTAAAATTGTAATGGCTATAAAAAAATGTACCACCTAAGGTACCTTTTTTATTAAATTTTCAGTGTCTTATTGGGACAAAAACCTACCATTTGTCAAAGTAATGAGATTATTTTTATTTACAGAATAAACTTTTTTTACTGTTAATAAAATTGTCATTTACTATAATGAAGCAGCAATGTTGAGCTTTTATAAAAAAAATGTTCATCCAACAAAGTAATATTTGTTATCATATTGTCATGGCAATAAGAAATACTTTATGTTTATATTAAATCTTTGTCGAACTTAAAATGTTTTTTGTTAAATATATAGTTGTATGTGAATTGCGCTTACATAAAGTAATGTGCAGTTGTTATAGTAAAATTTGTTCATTTTACTATGGCATATTTGTCTTTTTTAAATTACTATCGTTGTCAAATTAATTTTATTTCAGTTAGAAAATCTTTGTTAATAGCTTAAGTTAAGAACAATAACAAAAATATTTTATTGCTATAAAAAGACTTTTTTAATATATACTATTGTTTTGCAATGGTAACAAAATTTTTGTTATTTCCCTTAAAAAGAGGGAGAAAGGGCCAGCGTTCTTCTTGGTGAAAATAACTTTATAATCCACAGTCTGTGTTATAATCTTATTGATTTCACTTGTGCGAGTAAAGTGTGGTAAAATCTAGCATGATAAAAATATCAAAAAGATCACTGAGAAAATTAAAATTTCGACGTTTTATAAAAGAAATGTTTAAGGTCTATTCTATAAACGAAGCAGACTTGTTGTTTAAAAAGTGAGTTCATATGTTTCTTTTTATTTTGTACATCATATAATGCCTTGCAGTTATTTAAAAAAAAACTACCCAACACCCAACAGTATAGGTTGAAAATGTGACCATTGTTACAATTAAAATAGTTTATTGAATTAACAATTAATTTCTTGTTAAATTTACATAAACTTTATCAATATTATAAAAAAAGTTTTATTTTAAACGAAAAGGGATTTGTAAAATTTACAAAATTTCTATGAATAATACCATTAGGGTTTCATTAATTTTTAATTTTTTTGGACAAATAATAATAAAACTATATTTATCAATGCGTTTCTGCATCTGGAACATAACGTAAATTTACTTTATAATTAATGCAAATGCTATGACTGAAAGCAGCGTTTGTAGATAAATAATTTTTATAAAAATGATCTTTTTGCCGTAACAAAAGCAATTGTTGGACGAAAACTACTTGTCTTGTTATATTTAATAAAAAAATTTCTGAGTGTAGATGAAACATCAATAATTTTTTCAGAACACGAACCCATTTCGTGTGATTACTCGAGCAGAAAATGCCAAAAAATTCTATCCGGTTCTGGTTATGGTTCGGCAAGCCACCCAGGTGACATCTTGGCAATTGCCCACCATTTTGGATACTACCCAAAAAGAAAAACATTTATTATTTTATAATGTGTCCAGAACAATGTGTCATGACGACATGGACTCCATCGCACAACATATAGGTATTAAGCAGTGGCGGCTGGTGGTTTTGGGTATACCGATATCTCAATTATTACATATGGGACCAACACCAAATTTATATGAGTTTATAATGACATTAAAATAAACAAGTTTTGCGCAAGCAGAATTTAAATTAGTGCAATTTATTATTTACCAAAAATCCAAATCATATCGATTTTATATTATTTTAAATTTTTATTATTTTTTTGAAAAGAAATATTATAAATTTAAAATGGTATAAAGTCTGTATAATTTGGATTTTTTAAATAAAATTTTAAATTTGTCGATAAACCATGGTAAATAATAAATTTCACAAATTAAATTTATATTATATTTATTGGAGGCGCCATGGGGCCAGTACGGCCAAGCAAAAAGTTATCTTTTTTTGCAAACTTCAATTTAAATTCTGCTTTCGCAGAACTTGTTTATTTAATGTCATAAACTCTATAAATTTGATGTGGGTCCCATATCTAATAATTGAGATATCGGTATACCCAAAATCCACCAGCCACCACTGGTATTAAGTACACTGAGAAAAAATGGGACAAATAAACTCTGTAGCTAATACTTTTTATTAATAGTGAATATATTGTTTATTACCTCTAAATAGTCGAAATAATAACGATAAATTTACTTTAGTAAAACTTTATGTGTCAGGAATAAAAATATATTTAGGATAAATAAACAATGCTTCTGTTCCATATTTAATTATTCTTTTTATTTGGGAACCATAAACTTTTTTCTAAGTGTACCATTATTTATTACTTTTAACAAAAAGTGTGTCATGTTATAAATAATGGTACTTCTTATAATGTATGTAGGTACATCTGAACTCAAATTTTTTAATTGGAAATTAATTTTCTTCACAAGCAGAAAAAATGAATAATACAGATTTTTTCCTATTGTGACTCCATCCGCGAACATACAGTAACATACAGTAACGGTTTTATTTTCTTAGAAAATGCATCTTCTGCTTTAAAAGTGTTACAAAGCTTCATAGTGGCGATATCAACGTCGGACACAAACGTTGTGGTGCATTTAAAAGTGGTGGAAGAGAAGGAATTCTACGTAAAACTAAACAAGGAATACTCGTTGATGATTTCGCCCAGCGAACCGAAATACGTTTATTTCAGCTATGCGAGGGATGTATCCGACACCGTAATAATCGAAGTGGATTCTGAGGATGACGTCTGTTTTACCGTTTCTGTACAGGACAGCGCTGTAAGTAGGCTGCTACTAAAAATAATATTTTACATCTCTCTATTATTTTTATTTATTATCAAGTAATAAAATCAAAAATAAAACTTTGTGGGAATTCCTTAATAGGCTTTGGCAGGCTTGCCTAAGCACAATTCCGCGCGCGCAAGTTTAAGCAAAATCTAACATCGGCTGGCTTTGCTGACACGATGATTTTACATGGAAGTTGCTTTAATTAAAAAAAAAAATATTAAGCAAATTGTTTGAGGGATTTTTCATGGAATGACCCATATACTATAGTATAACAATGCATAAATAATAAAAACATCCGTTGCACTTATATATTTTAATTACCCAATCGGTAAAGTTCATAGTCTGCACGTGTAGAAAATCAATTTTGTATACCTTAATCATATCTGACCCTACTTTCCTATTAAAATTATTATTATTATTATTTATTTGATATATGAATAAAAAGGTGAATTTCGCTTTAAAGTTAAAATTTAAAACTTTATTTCTTTAGAAAATGATCTCCATAGAATGAAATAAACCAATCAGATTACGGCATTCTGCATTTCACCAAGTGTGCTGTGGATAATGCCGTGCTCCAATTGGTTCATTGATTTCTAAAGAGATGATAATAGAAATTAAATAGAAATTTTAAGAAAAAAAATACAAAATACAAGGACAAAAAATACATCAATCCTGAGGTTTTATTTTATTTTTATTTAATTTAATTGAAAAAAAAAATACTATATGTGCAGTGACCTGAAAAAGTAATGGAACAAATTCATTAAAAAATTCTTAAACAGCTGTTTAAGGATATATTTTTTTTTTGAGTAAAAATGCCGACCTAGGTCGTTTTTGTTTTTCATTTACGCACATTTCGATGCACAATTTTTGTAGAATCTCTGATGTAATTGGCCATTTTTTTAAATTGGATTTAAAAAAAAGAGGGGGCTCTAGATTCGAATAGATTATAAAATTTTGATTATAGCAATATGCAAATTTATACCTTTTGGAATGATATATTAGTCCAACTATAGTTTCGGAGATATTAATTATTAAAAGTGAAAAATGTATAGTTTTTATTAATTCTTAATGGGGGTTTTGATAAAATTAAAAAGTTTTGATAAAATTAAGAAATGTACATAAGAATATTTAATTTTAAGGTCAAACTTTTTCAGTTTATTAATTTTTTATGTTATTCTACTAATAGCAAGTGTCGATATATGGAAGTTTTTTATTTTATATTTCTTTGTTAGCATATAATTTAAAACAAATATTCACTACTAGATATAAAAACTTTTAGTTGAGCGTTCAGTGAAGTATCTGTCTCTTATAAGCCTTCTGCAAATATTTCGAAGTATTTAAATATGGGCCCTTTAACGGAAACACAGCGAATTGCAGTTTTAATTCTCATAAGATGTGGCAATAAAACTAGAACACAACAAGAAGTTTGCAATTTATTTATGCAAAGTATCCAGCTCGACCTATTACCCCTGATAGCACACTGAATATTTTTTAAACTATCCAGTAAGAATATTCTTAGGATCATGCTATATTTCTTCTAAAGAACATGCCTAAAAGACATATAGCATGATCCTAAGAATATTCTTTCTGGCCTACCTATAGGCAGGTTCTTAGAAGGTGCAAAGTTTTAGTGGTAAAAATTATTCTACTCTAAACATATGCTTAAAATGTTAAAAAAAGTAATTGCCATAGAAAGTTCATTTAGGAATATTCCTGTTAAGCATATTTAGTTCAGTTACCTATATAATAGTAAAATATACCATAAACTACGTATAAAGGTATATACCCAGGGCCAGATTTAGCATAGGGCCAGCGGGGCCACGGCCCCAGGGCCCCCACCAATGCAATATGTCGCAAACAAATATGAAAAAAATTGACGAAAAAAACAAAAAATTGGGTCGGTTATACCGCGCGAATCCTGAAATTTTCAATTAATTTTTCGTAGATCTAACTCTAATTTTTCGCGGATTTTTTATCGCTTATCCGCTTGGAAATCAGAATGTAAATTATTACACTCAAAGTTTTGGCGCGCGAAGACGTTTTTATATAGTCTATAGTCGTAAGTTATGACTCATAACAATTTTAAGCAGTTGCTCCTTTAGTGCTTGTCGTAACGATTTTGTAAATACAGGCAAACAGTCAATTACTTATAATCTAATATTAAAGTTAGTTTTTGTCTCAGATTTTTATTGGTACATTGGAGTGTTGTGGAATATTTTCCGGTGTTTCCAAAATACTGTTTCGTGCTTTTCTTTGGACAAGGATTATTTTATTGTTTGATTTTGTATGAAAAACAGACAAATAATACGACTTTTGATGCACTTTTTTTCAGTTTGCGGTAATTACTTAAGTATTAAAAATACAAACAAAACATAGATCAATTTATATTTTACTTGAGTAAAATGTATATAAGGGTATGTTACATACGAATTCGTATTATTCAAAATATACAGGGTGATTCAGACTTGTGGTGACAAAAGCTCAGGGGAAATTCCTCTCATCAAAATATGAAAAAAAGTTCCTATAAACACGTGTCCGAAAATGCTTCATTATCGAGATACAGGGTGTTTCGTTTTTTATTTATAGCTTAAAAACGCTTTGGCCGATTTTATTAAAATTTATTAAATAATAAATGATTCAGATAATAAAAAATCACGTAAAGTTCCTCTAGCTTAAAAATTAACCATGAGTTGCAATGAGTGTCAACATTTTTAAAAATATTGAGGGCCCCCACCAAATGTCGGCCCCAGGGCCTCAAAACTCTTAATCCGGCCCTGTATATACCTATACTTAAGTACCTAATTAGTAATTAGTATTAAATACTAAGTAAAAAACACAATCCAAAATATTTTTTTATACTTATTTATCAAATTAAAACAATATTCCATAACAAAAATAGTTTTACTATAGGTATTTTACTTTATGTTAAAAATAAATATTTATTAATTTGTATACCGATTTTTTATTTCTGAATTAACATTTTTATGTATAATAATCCTAACTATCTTCAACTTCAATCTAATCTGACTTATTCCACAAAATTTTCCAATTTTACTTTTTATGAAATAATGTCATACAATGTATGGTTTAGAGGTCAAATTGTTTATTTAATATTTTTTAATAAATATATATTAATATGTCGCAAAATTTTTTAAGGGGGCGACAAATACATTTCACTGTCATATTATGACAGTTAGGCGTATTTGTCGTCTCCTGAAGAATTTTACGAATGTAGAATACATCATATTAGAACGCTTCCCAGAAGCTCCATAAGAAACCTTCTAAGAACATTCCAAAAACGTATTCTTAAAATGTTCTTAGGATGCTTTTTAGGAAAGTATTAAGAAGCTTTTAAGAATCATCATTAAATTTTGCTATCAGGGACTCCTGCTACCTTAAAGGCCGTATTACAGCCGGCAATTCTTTCGGCAATTGCAATGAAAATTGCCGTAGGCATGCGCGGTAGATACATTTCGACGAATCTCTTGCAATTGCCGAAAATCGGTCCGGATGGATTTTTATTGCCGTTTTACGGCAATTCTGGGGAGAAATCTGGTAACTTTTATGTTACCAACCCTACTACAAATTCCCTAGAGAGACGCTGTTTGTCTTAAACAGTTTAAGGTTATTTGTTTTATGATTGGCATTGTGTTCAAAGTTCTAGTATCCATTTCACTCATTAATTTTTAAATATCTCTACTAAATAACAAATAAACTTAGTGTTTACAAAATCGTATATTTTTCTTCGGTTGGTAGCACGGTAATAAACAGCAAGTTGTCTTGCCATTGCTGACTGTAAAACAACATGCAATACGGCCTTGAAAACTTGATGGCAAGAATAATTGCTGCAAGAAAAATTGCTGCAAGAAGAATTGCCGGCTGTAATACGGCCTTTAGTAAAATTGAACGGAAATTCAGACTGGACATGTCAAAGATAATCCAAAACCGAGTATTAGCCCGAGTCAAAATTTAGATCGTAATTTAAACCTAATTAAGCTTTATTCAGAACCTCGAAATTAGTGGAAAAAATTAGTGGTTTCAATTAAACTTATAATTAACACAAAACCATCATTCACAATGCGCAAAATTAATTAAGATCTAAAATTAAGGGAATTTGCTAAAAGATTGCCCATTCTTCTTAACCTGACATAAACAATATTAATTATATTAAAATAATATTTTTTATCTACGCCAGTGAGATAAGAACTTCTTATCCCACTCATTTTGAGTGAGATAAGAAGTTCATTAACGCACGCGTTTTTCTCTGTTTTTAACCAATCAAATAAAAAAGTCAAAATGTCAAAATAACCCTAAATTAACGTACTTTTGCGATTGCCCAACTCGTGCTACGCACTCGTTGGGCAAATTTCGCATGCGTACGTTAATAAAGCTCTTATCCCACTTATATCGTAAATAACTATTACAACCATTACAATAATATTTATATAACCTTTACTTCACTGGCAAATCTTCAAACTTTTTGCTTTTGACATGCGCAAAGCCGCTTTCCAATTATAATTAGTGGTAAAAGTTAGAAGTTTGCAAACTTTTTCCACTAATTGAAAAGTACTACCACCAGGGGCGTGCTGGGCCGCCGGGACACCGGGCGAATGCCCGGTCGCCTGCGCTACCATGGCGGTCTGCTTGTTATGGTATGCAAATAAAAAGAAGGTTTTTATACAAAACAAAAAGTTTTTTAAAGTTATATCACTAAACACTAAATATAAATTTAAAAAAAAGAAAGTTTTAATTGACTCCTGTAAAAAAATCTAAAACACTTATTTTTTATGCTAACCCTTAAAGATGCTTTCGTAAATATTTTTTCGTTTCTTTGGAAATCCAAACTGATCCCCACTTCCATAAAATGCAATTTTAGTTAATTTATAAATTATCGGAAAGAGGGAACAGCTCGGATTTATAGAGAAACAGAAACATAATTACTAAAGCATCCAAAAAAGCCCCCTGGCCCAGTTTTTGATTTATTTGTGATAATACTTTCCTTTAATATCAGTGTGAAGTGACGTAAATTTGGAAGCTTTTATGCTGATTACTGTGGAGAGAAAGGTGCAAAATGGTTTAGATAGTGACTTAATAATTGAACTAGCTGAAAACATTTCTTTGTTGCGAAGAGAGTTATCACGGAACGTTTTATCAGTCGAGGTATTTAATTACAATTACAATTTATATGAAATTGGCTTGGGCCTGGACTGCTCTACCATCTAGTCCAGGCCTGCATTGATTCTGCCAGCACGCCCCTGACTACCACTGTGTATATTTATATATAAGACAAACTTTTACGTTAATTGAAATCACTAATTTATTCCACTAATTACGAGGTTCTGAATGAGGCTGAAGTCTGAACAATTTACGTCTTGAAAGGTTTTATTTTCGCCTAAAGATAACCAACTTTTACCCTAAAACATGGCAGATAAGTCCATTTTCCCGATTTTTCGGTTCTAATAACGTTTAAATTTGAACCAAATTATGACCGTTTACAACCTACAGTCCAAAAAAGCCCAGGCCACTGCGCATGTCGATTAATAAAAGCGCGACAATATTTGAATTTATATCGTTGCTGCGCCTGAAAAAACATCTATGTGCATTTTAACAAATTTTACAGGAGAAGGAAAAGACATTTCACTACCAGATAAAACTTTGATGAAAGTATTTCCTAATATTTTTCAGTATAATTAAGTATTGAAATAATATTAAGGAATGCATACATACTTTTATAAAAGTTTTATCTGGTAGTAAAATGGTAGTAAAATATTTTTTCTTCTGTAAAATTTGTTAAAATGCGCATAGAGGTTCTTGCAGGCTTAGCGACAATATATAAATAATTTAATCATTTATACGTAGTTAAAAAAAAAACCGAAATGAGTAAAATTTACGATTTATTATGGACGAATTCTGTACATTCATTATTTACAGTAAAATTAAAAAATGGAATATATCAATGGTAAAATTTTATTTTTGAAATGAAATGATTTACTTGGTTTATAATCCGACCAAAAATTTTATTAGAGGTTTAAATCGGTTCAAATGAAGATTAATTCGGTTGTTCTAGTGCTAAATTGGAGTTAGCAGGCTGAACAATTTTTAAATCAGTTTTCGTAGGTCAAAGTAGGTTTAAATTACGATCTATATTTTTACTCGGGAGTAAAGACACTAAAATTGACATTTTGTTACGTTTAGAAGAAGATCCCCACACTGCTTCTACACGGAGAGAAAAATTTTGCTAAAACAACTATCCATTGTTAAATTGTTAAATTACGTATCGTGAATTTAGTCAACTGTTTTATTAAACTGAGGATTTGTATGGCTAAATCAGCTATACCGATCCTCAGTTTAATAAAACAGTTGACTAAATTCACGATACGTCATTTAACAATACTTTGGATAGTTATTTTGGCAAAATTTTTCTCTCCGTGTACACTCACGTGCAAAATAATCGATCCACACAAATTTTCGATGAATTTCAATCGCAAATAACTTTTTTATTTAATGTCGGATTTAAACGAATATTAAAGAATATTGTAGATAAATTAATGGACAATCGCTCACATTTTAAAAAAATACTAAAAAATAGACGTACGTTTATAATATACAGGTTTAAACAAAAAGATGTTTTTTACCATAAGTTTAAGACACTCTCACTCTGTAGAGTGGCAAAACCGTATATTGTTCTAAATTAAGTTATCTATTCTTAACAGTTTTGTTTTTGGTTCACCTCGATATATTTATTTTTGTGGAAAATATGGATTTTTTAAAAAAACATTGCAATTTCCAATATTTTTCTGTATGAAGAACTAAGGTTGCTATAGTCCATCCATAGGCTATGGAGAATGATAGGGACAGTTTTGTTGAATCATCCCATACTTGGACATGTCATACACACTGAAAAAAATAAGCTGTTGAAACAACAAAAAAAATATTAATTCAACTCTTTATGCACTTTAAATACAAGCAATAGTTTTTGCACGTTTACTTCACCATCTAAAAATGACAAATTGTATTGTTTAATTGAACAACAAATAACAGTCAAATGAACAAAATAAGAATATTTGTTAGAATCTGCTAATTTGGTTAATTTAACAATCTTACTAAGAATTTCTTAGGGTGTTAAGGTAAATTTCTTGAAATGTCCAGGTAACCTTTTTAGCATATTCACTTAACACCAATAAAATGTTAAATTAACATTCTGAAAATGTAAAATTCTTTAAAGGTTGGTATCCAAAACAAAATTATGGAAATAATATATTATTATATATAAATATAAAGAATTGAACCTTCACCTCGCCCAGAGTTTTTGTTTTGAGCGTGTTCCACCCATGATACATCTTTGTATCATGTATTCCACCTACTTCAAATACCGACAGACTGTTTCGCCCTGTATTGAGGGTCTTAACAGTGTCGGGCAATATGGTGTAGTGAAAGTTCTACTGTGGAACACACCTTAAAGAAACAGATATCTGATTTTATATACACCTAATCGTAAGCCAACTAAGGCGAGATGTAAGAAAACGTCATTGTCTAATGACGTGGCGTGAGTGTTCGAAGCGCCATTCTCGGCAATTTTATGAATGCAAATTTTACATTTTAAATTTTAAAGTAACATTTTAAATTTGTTAAATGAACAAATTTAAAGTTTTGGATTAAAGAGCAACTAAACGTTAATTTAATAGTTTTTTTAGGTAATCCTAAAAATTTCAGTAGTTGATTCAACAAATTCCAGCTATTAAATCAAAGTACGATAAACATTTTAATTCAAAATATTAGTTTACCTATGTTAAATTAATATTTAAACGGTCAAATGAACAAATAAACTTTGACAAACTCTGACTTTTGCTTTAACACCAAAATATAGATTAATCCAATAGGTTTTTTGTTGAAACAACAATTTTAAAAATGACATTTAGGCAAATGTTAACTCAACTACATTATTTTTTTCGGTGCACGGCTTTCAAAAGCTATCAAATTGGTTTTTGCAAATTAATGTTTAAATTTTGAGGTGTCTTCTTACTTTATAAAATGGATATGTCTCCGACTGATGTTGCTAGAGCTATTAATTTAATCCAGGGTGGACGGTCACAGTATTACGTGGCAAGTGATTTAAACGTCATAATAAGTAAAGTACAAAGGGCAACATCAGTCGTAGACATTTTTAAAAGTAAGAAGACACCTCAAAATTAACACATTAATTTACAAAAAACAATTGGATAGCTTTTGAAAGCTGTATATGACATATCCAAGTAGGGGATGATTCAACAAAACTGTCACTGTCATTCTCCATAGGCTATGGATGGACCATAGCAACCTTAGTTCTTCATACAGGAAAAATATTGGAAATTGCAATGTTTTTAAAAAAAATCCATCTTTTCCACAAAAATAAATATATCGAGGTAAACCAAAAACAAAAGAATAGATGTGATTTGATAAATAAAACTTAATTTAGAACAATATACGGTTTTGCCACTCTACAGAGTGTCTTAAACTTATGGTAAAAAACATCTTTTTGTTTAAACCTGTATATTATAAACGTACGTCTATTTTTTATTATTTTTTTAAAATGTGAGCGATTGTCCATTAATTTATCTACAATATTCTTTAATATTCGTTTAAATCCGACATCAAATAAAAAAGTTATTTGCGATTGAAATTCATCGAAAATTTGGGTGGATCGATTATTTTGCACGTGAGTGTATATATATATACTAATCTAATTTTGTATGGATAGTACTTTTCTTTCTTCATTGCGTTGGCTGACTTGACTTTCAGCTGCGACTAGGCTATAGCCTTATAAGGCTATAGCCTAGTCGCAGCTGAAAGTCAAGTCAGCCAACGCAATGAAGAAAGAAAAGTACCATCCATACAAAATTAGACTAATGCAGGGACTTAACGAAGATGATCCGGACCGTAGAATTATTCTACGGTCCGGATCATCTTCGTTAAGCTCCTGCACTATTCTAATTTTGTACTAGAATACAATTTTGTGAAGCTATTATAAATTTATGTAACAATATTACACACTTTCCTCGTAAAATACTTTTTTCAGACTAAGCTACCTTCTGTTTGAATTGTAGGTACTGAAGTAGAGAAAATCTTCATTGGTTATACTACAGTAGACCAAAAAATTTAGAAGAATTGAAAAATCAAATTCGTGAAAAATGTTGCTTTATTAGTGCGGAAGTCATCCAAAACGTTCTGGAGAATTTTCAGATTACTGATAATGGAACGCCCTATATATTTTTACATATTTAGAATCCTGAGAAAATTCTGAGTCGGACAGCATCCTTAAATTGACCTTTCGACGTTTCGTCATCAGAAAATGCATTATCATAAATATCAATCTAGAGTGCTTTGAACTATTTAAGAAAAACGAATTTTGACAAGTTTAGACTGCTGCGAATAACTAAATATCAACTTTCTAAGGCAAGTTCCATTTTTTAGGCATTGTGTGAATCCATTAGAAGAAAATAAGATAGTTCAAAGCACTCTAGATTGACCTTTATGATTGATACATTTTCTGATGACGAAAGGTCAATTTAATGATGCTGTCTGACTCAGAATTTCCTCAGGATTCCAAATATGTAAAAATGTATAGGTCATTCCATTTAAAAATCGAAAGTTGCTATTATTTCCGGCGAAACCGGAAAAGTTCAAAAAATTCATTTTGTACTCTTATAAGTGGCATTTTATATCCTAATTAACCATGCCAAATTTCATGTGTCTATCTTTATAAATAAAAAACTTACAGGGGTGTGCCTATTCTCAGATACACCCGGTATATAGCCTAATATGTTTTTCCTTCAAATATTTTTTTAAACTTTTTAGTGTCCAGTTCTTGTAACTAATAAGGATATAACATATGAAGGATATTACCAAACTGTTTCCACAAAAGGGGCATTGATTATCAAGGTAAAGGATTAGTAATAAAATAAATATCGGCGATGATTTTTTCGAAGAAATTATTAACATTAACATTATAGAAAACAAATTTTAAATATGGATTCTTCCTGGTTTTCGTTGCCAAACCGGACAACTATGACTGCGGCCAAGAAAAATCTATTCTTCCAATACCCAGAACATACAAAATGGCTTTAGGAAATCGTACTTCCAGTTTAACCTTTAACATCAAAAACAGTATCAACGATGGAGATTACACTCAAGCCTCCGTGATCACTGTGTTGTTTTTGGGGATCTTTGGATTCGCCATTTTTATGATGACTGTTGCCTTCTATAAGTGGGGAACGCTGTCGAAGATCCACCTGGAAAAAGTTGAAAAAAGTATGTCACATGTAAATTTAGTCATTTACCGTCATTTAAATATAAAAAATCACTTCTAAGGTATATAAACCTACTTGGTATAGTTAACATACATATTCTTTTTCAGTTGATAGTGCTAACGGAGATCTTTTGAAACCTCAATCAGCAAATCGGATAGATTATTTATTAAATTTAGACAACCTTAAGCTAAATGCTTTAGCTCAGCATCCCAAAATAGATAAAAGAAGGTCGTTTAACTATCTATGGCATATTTGTAGCATAGCCCTATTCTATAGCATACCAGTGGTGCAACTCGTTGTGACCTATCAAAGGGTAAATAAAGCTTAAACATACAGGGTGAGTCATTTAACTTGAAACTTTGAAATATCTCAGTTAGTATGCATTTTACGAAATCAATCAGTACTAAAATTGGTCCATATACTCTACTCTTTATAGGGGGCCCAAGCAGCATTTTTGGTTCCAAAAACTATTACCAAAGTGGTGATAACTTTAAGTTAGTTAAGTATACTAAACAGCTACTTTAATTTTTACTTAAAAGTAATTCTAACTTTTAAATTCTGCAACATAAACTTCATTCTTTCCTTAAATGGTTACTATAAAGTAATAAACATTTAAGTAAAACTTGGTTGCCCCCAAGAAGACTTTGCAACTTTAAAAGAAGGTGTTATAAGTAAAAAAAACTCTCAAGTAAATTTAATTTGTAGTAGTTACTTTCGGTTGCTACCTAAAGATTACATTATAATTATTTTTACTTTGTAGTCCCTTTGCAAGTTAAAATCTCGAAACTGGAACATGAGTTAAAAACTACAAAGTTAATAACTTAAAAGTTATTATTTTAGTATTTGGAACGTTTATGGTACTAACCAAAACTACCGTAAAGTAAATTAAGGTGGAAAAAAAAGTATCGAAAACTACTTCAAAGGAAAATGCTTCTTATCGGCCATTTTTTACTGTACAGTACCACTTGGTAATGTAAATAATAAATTATTTTAATTGTTTGTAAATGGTTGTTTACTTTTTAATAAATGGTAATTTTGTTGGTAATAGACGGTATAAATAATTAAATAAAAAATTAATAATAAATATTAAGATTTTTTTATTTATGAACATTTTTAAATAAATAATTTGTTTATACTTAAATATTGATAAAGCGCATTTATTTTACAAAAACTAAATTCATAAGTTCAACATTAAAATTTAAAGGGTTTATAAATTTAGCTGCCTAATTAAACATTATATTGTTATTTTGGAAGTTATAAACTACCAGTACATATTTAATAAACACAGGGCCATATTACCCATTAGGCAGGCAAGGCAATTGCCTTAGGCGCCACGTAGAAATAGGCGCCTTGTCCCCAAGCAACTTAAAAAAAAAATAAAAATTGTTACAAAAATGTTTTCCAAAAATAAAACAAATAAACAATTTACAATTGTAATAACAGAATATTATTTACTGTTTTTATATTTTATAAAAATTTAGCTTCCTTTGTAATAACGAGGTGTAAAGCCGACAAAAAAGCGTGCCGCAAATTCACTTCTGTTTTTATGACAAATACATAAATGTATTTCAGATAAAATTAATCAGGTGTTATATCACCATGCTTGATTACGAGGGCACTGCGTTTTGAAGTAGAATAAGATATTTTATTATTAACTGTATAATTAACAAATAATAATAAATCTCAACGTTAAACTGCAAACAAAAACTTAAAAGATAATTTAATTTGTAAACTTTACCCTGTATAAACATATCTTTAGCACTCTTTAAACTATTTCAAAACCCCCGTATGCTCCAAGCACACGAATTCCTCTTGCATCGGGTACCCGCTGTGATTTGCTGCTCACCCCAGCGGGTACGCGATACTAGAGGAAACTGCTGCCGGAAAGACTTGGGTGTTTTCGCGTTTATTCAAGAGTGGCACTTCTATGTGTTGTGTGTTTGGTGATAGCAGTCTGTGTTCGATAGTTAAGGTTGATTTAGCCTGGCTTTTAAATTAAATTACGTTACGTTAGATTACGTTACACAAAATGCTGGCTAAATCCACATTAAGATAGTGTTAATTTTTCTGTTTGTTTTAAGGTATTTCTGAAATTTTAATATTAAACTAATTACAATAAACCAGCAGTACATCTAACATACAAATACAGAAAATTAAAGTTGATATAATTTTTTTTAAATACTAACTAATGACATCTTGCAGAAAAACGCACTTATAAGTCCTAACACTTTTTATTTACATTATATTTGTTATGTTTGTATGTTATTTATGTTTTTTATGTATTTTTTTAATGATAAAAAGTATTCTAATTCATAGGGAATAATTAGGTTATAATGCTCGGGCGCCCTTAAGCTAACAGTTTGGGGTGGCTCTAATAAGCTTTTTTAAAATTTGCCCGTAAGTATAGTATCTAGTTAGAGGAGCCAAATTTTTAAGTGCCTAAGGCGCTCAATTGCCTTAAGCCGGCTCTGAATAAACAACGACATTAAAAAGTCCGTAGTGGTTCCATTTAAAAAAGGAAGGATAGTATAATCCAATATAAGTTTGACAAAGACAGTTAATATAGAAGTAAAAACAAATAAATAAAAGTAATTATAACGCTCTAGCAACGATATTGAAACGTTCTAGTAACGTAGCAGCTACGTTCCAAATAGTAGCAGGGTTTATAGCAAGTGACATATTTGCTACCTTTTTGGAACTCAATAACTGTTCCCCACTTTAGTCGTAACTTAGTAATGAAAGAGTAATATAAAGAGACCGGCGACTGTCGCAAAACACTTTAAAGTTTCTTCAATAGTCCCATATACGTAACAAATACTTAAATTGTTGCTTGGGGGAACAGGGGGTAACATTAAAAATTTCAATGGAACACCCTATTTTTTATTGCAGATTTGGATCATTCAACTAAAAATAGGTAGATTTTGTCTAAAACATTTTTTTATAGTTGTAATAAGATGGCGCTGTAATGGAAAAAAATCAATTTTGTTCGATTTTTCTGCTGTATACGATTCTCCAATAATTTTTGAATAAAATACTTGGTTTTATTTTTAAAATTTATTTATTATTTCGTTTTAATATTCTGCTAACACTGCTCTGGAATATTCCCACATCTCTAGATAATTCTCGTGTGCTTGCATGAGGATTAGCGGCCGTTGCTGCTAATACATTAATTTCATTATTTCCACCTGTGACTGTTGCTAGACGAACTCTTTTTTTCGGTTGAACACTCCCGTTTGCAGTAAACTGCTTGACTGTTCGGTGAAATGAAGTACGTGATCGAATTTTTTTCGGAAAACGCTGAGGGTAGATATTAACAGCATCATCAAGATTCCTGCCTGCTTCTTCATTAATCAAAATCATTTCTATTTTTTCTTCCACTGTTAAAAAATCCATTATGAATAAATGCTTATAAGCCCTATAGGGGACATCCATTAAATACGTGAGGCATTTTTCTTATAACTTGGACCCCTCCCTTCCCCTTGGTGAGATTTGGTGAGATGTGGTAGACCTCCCCTATCCCTCACGCGAGATTCTAGCCATTAAACTTTCTTTGCGGACAACATGATAAACCCAAAAAATAAAAATTGATCTTTTTTTTGACAAATTTGAATTATAATACATATTCTTTAAACCCAAAAGTTGACGTGAGATTTTTAATGACCCCCCTCCCTTAACATGAGATTTGGTGAGATTTTGCTAGACCCCTCCCCCCTATTTTTATCTCACGTAATTAATGGATGTCCCCTTAACGAAAGGAGGTCTTTTTGTTTGCAAATTAATCTTCGAACTAAATTGATTAAATAATGCTAAACTATGTATAAATAGTTTCTTTATACCTCAATAATAATTATTATTTATAACTAAATACCATTTTTTATACCTCAATTAGGATTAAATTAATTAATTGCCAAAATAATGTTTTTTTAACCTTAAATGAGGTATTTTTATTAAAAATTAATCCTTTAAATTAAAGGACAGGTAAAAAGTGACCATGGTGCGCATTTGATAATTATCACCGAATGAAATAATGTATAAAACTTAAGTTTTTGGTTTAAACCAAAGGAAACTTAACTATTAGTTAAAAAATCGTGGGTACTTAAAAAATCAGATTTAATTTAATAAGATAATTATTACCAAAAAAGTAATATTTTTATAGAAACATATGTTAATAATATTATTGCAGAATCGTATAAGAAAAATCGAACAAAATTGATTTTTTTTCATTACACCGCCATCTATTACAAATACGAAAAAATGTTTTAGACAAAATCTACCTATTTTTAGTCAAATGATCCGAATCTGCAATAAAAATTAGGGTGTTCCATTGGAAATTTTAAAGTTACCCCCTGTTCCCCCTATAAGGAGGAGAGTATGAGGACCAATTTCAGTACTGATTGATTTCCCCCCACGAATCATTTAATTTTTATTTTAAACATTTTTTCGTAAAATGCATGCATACTAACTGAGATATTTTAAAGTTTCAAGTTATATGACTCATCCTGTATAAAATATAAAACAATGGTTTGAGATATCCTTTCTTCTAGGTCGCAAATAAAACTGGAAATCAGGACATGTGCTATTACAATTTTATGTGTGCTCACCCAAAGTTTGGATTTAGCGATTTTAACCATATTTACTCGAATGTAGGATACGTGTTTATGGGAATTGTGTTTATTTTGTCCTCTATTCATAGGCAAATGAAAGTTCCCCTAAGATTGGTAAATTAAAGTGTTTTTTTTAACAATTTTTTAAATTTTAGATTTGAAAAATGCTTATTTTTACTTTTCTTTTAGCAAATAGGCATCCCAGTTCATTATGGTTTGTTTTATGCGATGGGAATGGCCCTTATAATCGAAGGATTGTTGTCAGCTTGTTACCATATTTGTCCCAGTCAATCAAACTACCAGTTTGGTAAGTGTCCAAAATCAACATAAATTATAAAAATATATTTTTTTATAATTTTAGATACGAGTTTCATGTATGTGATGTCTGTCCTTATTATGGTTAAGTTATATCAAAATAGACATCCAGATATAAATGCCTCTGCATATGCCACATTCACAATGCTAGGATTTACAGTGTTTCTGGGTTAATTTTTTTTTTAATTTTTATTATAACCAATTAATTTTATTATATTTTGTAGCCATGGTTGGCATATTAAACAGCAGTCTATTTGTTTGGATATTATTCGTACTAGTCTACTCGGTTCTATGCATTTATATTTCATTCAAAATATATTTTCTTAGCTTTATTTTAGAGGGTTTTAGAAAGTTTAAGAATGATATTGTGAAGCAAGGTTTTACTAAAAAGACGTTTGAACCTGTAAAAAAAGGTATATTCATTATAATAATTATGTATATCATAATAGAATAGATTATAATAATTATTATTATATATTATATTATTATATATTAGATTAATCTAAATATACAGGGTGAAACCTTGTTGTTTTTAAAATACAGAATTCAGTTAAGGTTGACCCTGTATATACATGGTTTTTAGTTAGATTTATTCTACTTTTGCTGGTAAATCTTCTTAACTATGTCATGTTGATATCAGGATTGTTAATGTACCACAGTGGTATAACTGATTTTGGAACATTTTTGCTAGGATTATTGATGGGAAATTCTATAATTCATGCCATGTTTTATACCTTTATGAAGGTAAATAAGTTTATTTTACATTACAGGGATTATACCGTTGTTTTTAGCTAATCCATAAGGAAAAACTATGTATAGAAGCTCTAATATATGGACTTTTAGGATGTGCTACCTGGGCTGCAGCCACTGTTTTTTTCCTGGATGCTGCCACACTTTGGACCGTAAGTGTTGAAACATTTATTTTATATTTTTAATATTTATGTAACTAAAGTCTATTCAAATCCAAGCTGGACTTAATGTAAACACAATCCTCCGAATCGACAAATAAGAGCTCACAATCCGAGTCACACCATCAGAATGGACCAATAGAAACGAGTTATCACGCGTCTGGGCGTTTTTGTTTAGTCCAGCTTGGATTTGAATAGACTTTATAGTAAAGATTTTAACAAGCTGTCATATCAATGGGGATGATAGCAGCGAGTTTACACTTGGAGGGTATAATCAGGGCAAAAATACCTTCAAAAAGAAGTATCACTCGACCCCCTTTTCCTATTCAAATTTTGGGGGTAACTTTCACCCACGCTCAGGGGTTGAAGTTAAGGGGTTGAAAATATAAAAACAAATTGTCCCCCTCAAATCAGAAATCGACGGGTGCGAGCGTTTTTTATTTTTTTTTTCGTAACACCTGAGAAAACCGGGTGGAAACTTTCCATTGGCCCACCCTGTATATATATACAAATTGTATATATATACAAATATGTAAATTAGGGTGGTTTTTATTTGACCGATGTCGAAATTTTAATCGTGCCGCCCCTCATTTGTTTTTAAAAAATATTTAAAAAATGTATGCCAAATTTGAATGTCCTAACTTATTTCCTTCTATTGCCTGTAACAACGAGAAGTTTTCCAGATAGAGGAGTTTCTAAAAGTATTTCCCGACGCAAAAAATACTGTTGTAAACAATTTTTAAAATACCAAAAACCTAATTATATGGGTTTAATTTTGTTTATTTTAATGCCATTTTAACTGTTACTTTCTTTAAAAATAAATTGTTCGAAAACAATCTAAAAATCAATTTCATTATTTAAATAATTGTAATTTTGTACTTTTCTAATGTTGGTGCTTCCTAAATATCTTTTAGTCAATCTTTATAGAACAAATATTTTAAGATTGCCTAAAAGATATTTAGGTAGCACCAACATTAGAAAAGTACAAAATTACGTTTCAAAACACACTAATTATGCATTAAATGCAAATTATCACTGATATTTTGCTTTTTATGCCATTTTCAATAAAATACCAATAATAGTAATAATTGAATGAAGCAAAAAAGACCTTACTATGGACATACATGAATTCTTTTTTTGTTTAAAAGTACCATATTTTCCCTTCATTGTGTCAAAAAATTAGAATTGTTCATTAATTATTAATGATTTTATAAAATTATTGCGTTTTAAAGCAAAAATCCCCTATATGAAAAACTGTAAGTAATAATCGAGCGAAGTAAAAAGACCTTAGGATAAAAATACATGATTTCTTTTTTTTGTTTTAAAGTAACTTATATCCTCTACATTTCAATAATATTAATTGTTTTAAAAGTGTATTTGTTTCTTTAGTTAGGTCAATTTTAGAGTACAATACTATTGTGTGTCTCCTTATTGTGATAGTCATATAAAGTCATACTATACTATATAATATATAGTATAGTATGACTTTATATGACTATCACAATAAGGAGACCACAAAAATGCAAGATTTTTTTCTGCACCCATTCTATATATAGTATATGTAGAACGGGTGCAGAAAAAATTCTTGCATTTTTGTGGTTTCAAATTAGGGTTAAATGTTGATGAATTGAATTATTGTGATATTAGGTCTAGGATGAATTTACAATCGTTACAATTAAGAAGAAATGAAATAGATTTATGTTATTTATTCAAAATTTTAAACAATCATATTAACTGTATTGATATTGTTAGCAGTATAAGTTTTAATATACCCCTAAGAATGAATAGGCATGTTCCGCTATTCCATATAAGGCAACATTCTACTAATTATGGCTATTTTTCCCCATTTGATAGAATGTGCAGAAGTATACCACTTAGGACTTTTAAAAGGGAATTGAGATTGATGCTTATCCACTAATATGTGATTTTTGTACCTATTGTTGTGATATTTGTTTTACCTTCTTGTTTTTTTATTAGTGTTTTTATGAATTTCTTAATATTGTATTGTATTGTATTTATATTGTTGCAATTTGCTGTTAATAAACATTATTATTATTATTATTATTTTCTCAATTAATTATACTTTTTCATAGATTAATAGTAATTTTAAAAAATTAATACATTAAAGGCAAAAATCCTCTATCTGGAAAACTTCTCGTTGTTACAGGCAATAGAAGGAAATAAGTTAGGATAGTAAATTTGGCATACATTTTTTTATATTAATTAAAAACAAATGAGGGGGCGGCACAATTAAAATTTCGACATCGGTCAAATAAGAACCACCCTAATGTAAATATGTAACTATAGTAATGATAATGCAATTTGGGCTAGATAAATGCGAATTATTTATTTTGCACTTAAAAAATTATCTAATTCATTCATTCTAATTCCTTAGGTTACTCCAGCCGAATCTCGGCAATGGAACCAAGGCTGTATTCTGATGAATTTCTACGATAAACACGATGTATGGCATTTACTCAGTGCCCCAGCAATGTTTTTCTCCTTCATGTTCCTTCTATGTTTGGACGATGACCTGGTGAATACCAAACAGAGCGATATCGAAGTGTTCTGAACGGATGTACTCATATCTTTTGTATTTACCTACTTTGTTAAATAAACTTTAGTTTTTTATGTTTTGCTTTTAATTAAATAATTCTTATCTAAAAATAGATAAGCTGTCGATACGTTTATCTATTAGTTGTAAAATCTACATCAAGGTGTTTGGCAAGTTAATCTATTTACATGTTAGTGAATTGCGAAAAATGATTTTTTATACGTTTTTATTATTTATTACTACATTAAACCTTTGCAAATGTGATCAATTTGATCTAAAAGTATTAACTGTAACTGGGAAGTATACTGATGAAACTGAGTATACTGTAAATGCTACATCAGAGTTAGTGATACTGTTTCCACCAGTTAGTGTAAGTATGTTTAAGTAATGAAAAACTACTAAAACAGTAAAATTTAGTTAAAGATTTTCAAAATGTACTTTATTTATCTTAAGTTTTAAGTATTTTATAAAGGTCAGAAAAAGACCACTGATCCAGTAGATAGTTTTTTGGAAGGTTTTGGAGGCCTGGACCATGGAATACTTCAGCCGAATAAATGCTCTAAACTTTTTTTTTCACTTTGTAGACAACAAATCCATTTAGAATAATAACGAGCTCCCTAGGAGCCAAAAAGGTGGCTCCGGTCTTGGTAGTCGTTAGACAAGCAAAACAAGTCTCGTCATGGCAACTTCCAACTTTAGTGCAAAGTACCATGAGGCATTCGGAACTTTCCTTCTACACCGCTTCGAAAATTATGTGCCATGACGATATGGCTTCTATAGTCAATCCATCAGGTAATGCCATTGTTATAGTATAACAGTGCACTAAAGTATAAAGTTTTGTAGATTTTAGACCAGGGCCTCTAAAAACCAGCCAGAGTTTCATAGTGGCGTTATCAACTTCATCAAGTAGAAACGTCGGGGTTGTTTTAAAGGTAGCAGAAGAAAAAAACTTCTATGTGGAACTCAACAAAACGTATTCATTGGATGTATCGCCCAGCGAACCAAAATACGTTTATTTCAGTTCGAAAAACAGTTCCACTGACACAGTGATCATTAAAATTGACTCTCCAGATAATATATGCCTGACTGTATCAGTACAAAATAGTACAGTAAGAAGTATAGCTGTTTTTGACTGTTTCAGTAATAAACGTTTTTATATTTTAGTGTCCAGTTTTGGATTCCAATAAGGATATAACGTATGAGGGTTTTTTTGAAACCGTTACCACTCAAGGAGCCATCACTATAAATGTAAAATGTTTTACAAATTACTGGAATGAGACTAAATTAATTTTTTTCAGAAAAAAGCCTTTAAATATGGATTCTTTTTGGTATTTGTGGCCAAACCAGACAACTATGACTGTGGACAAAAAAAATCGATAATTCCAGTTCCAGGAAAAACATTTAAAATCGCCTTTTCCAATAGAACGTCCGTCGTAACTTTCTCCATAAACGATAACATGAACTACAAGGATTATTTGATTGTTTCGAGCCTGACTTTGCTGATTTTTATTTTGATGGGCATCGTCCTGTTTATAATGACTGGTGTATTTTTCAAATGGGGCGCTTTGTCGAAAATCAATTTGAATACTAGTAAGTAGTTTTATTCAGTTTTACGAGGATGCATCTTTGAAACGATGCCATACCAAGATTCAGATTGATTCATGTCTTAGCCTTCTAAGGGCAGATTTGTTAGACAAAATCTGGGGTATGGTTATGGATCTAGGTTTTATCACCGATGAATGAATCTGAAATGGCGGATGGTGTTTGAAAGATGGTAATTTTTTTCAGCAACGCCATCTGTCTTCAACCTTTAGCTTGATTGTTTTGGTTTTAGTCGATGATCAACTAATGGATTCAAACCCTATGTCTATGGTTCAAGTTAATAAGTTATTAGGTGATAGAGATGTTAGACTTACGAACTTGGCAATGAATCCACTTAAGGATACGAAGAAATCCTTTAATTATCTATGGCATATTTGTAGCATAGCCTTATTCTATAGTATTCCAGTGGTACAACTTGTTGTAACCTATCAAAGGGTAAAGCATTTGGATATATTTACAATTCTGATATTCGTCGATGTCTCTCAAACTTTATTTTTTTCTTTTAGGTAGTAAATCAAACTGGAAACCAAGATTTATGTTACTATAATTTTATGTGTGCTCACCCACTTTCTGGAATAAGCGATTTGAACCACATTTTTTCAAACGTTGGATATGTACTAACGGGACTGATGTTTATTTTTATAACTCTCCATAGACAAGCCAGGGTACCTTTAAGATTTGTAAGCAGTCAAATGAAAGCCATACTATATTATTTATTTTAATGGGGTTTTTAGGAAATTGGAATACCTGTGCATTATGGACTATATTATGCCATGGGTGTAGCCTTAATTATAGAAGGTTTGCTTTCGGCGTCCTACCATGTTTGTCCGACACAATCAAACTATCAATTTGGTACTATTTTAATCACAATATTAAACAGTTTTTTAGTTGAATGAACACAATATTTCGGACTTTCAGTCCTCATCAGTACCGGATAGCCCTAGTAGTAGTACTTTTACTATTTTACGTTTATTTTTAGATACTAGTTTTATGTATGTTATGGCAGTTCTTTGTATGGTGAAATTATATCACAACCGCCATCCTGATATTAATGCCTCCGCCTATGCTACCTTTTCTTTGCTAGGCCTTGCCATATTCTTCGGTACAAATATTTGTTTTTATATAAAATTAAATACAAAATTCAACCTACTTTTTTAGCTATGGTTGGAATTTTAAATGGGACACTCACCATATGGATTATTTTCGTTATAACATATGGATGTATTTGTCTCTATCTATCATTCAAAGTTTACTTTTTCTCCTACATTTTGGAGGGTGTAAAAAAATTCAGAACTGATATTACCGAACTGGGTTATACAGTTGATACATTAATACCAATCAAAAGGGGTGAGTTTTCTCCCGTCCTTATTTATTAAGTGATTAATTAAAACTTATTTTAGGATTATTTATTTTGCTATTTATTGTCAACGTGGTAAACTTCGGGATGTTGATCAGTGGAATTTTGCTCTACAATTCGCCATCTTTGGATTTTGGAACTTTTCTGCTGGGCTTGTTGATGGCCAATTCTATTTTACACTGCTTCTTTTACACTGCCATGAAGGTACCTACCCTAAAAACACCATAAAATGTTCAATCCAGCACCATTAAATTTTTAGATAATTCACAAGGAACGTATTTGTCTTGAAGCAACAATCTACGGAGTACTAGCAATAGCGTTTTGGTGTAGTGCTTCGATATACTTCTTTGACGCTGCCACCTTGTGGACTGTAAGTGAAAATTATTAATTGTTTTATTTTCATAAAGATAATGTTCCTGAGCCATCATATTTTGGTAAAAGAAAACTAATGACAACTATTTTATTTTTAGGTCACTCCAGCAGAGTCTCGAGTCAAAAATCAGGAGTGCATAGTAGCAGATTTCTATGACAGGCATGATGTCTGGCATTTACTCAGCGCTCCAGCTCTATTTTTTACCTTCATGCTTTTGCAATGCCTTGATGACGATCTTATTAATGTCCATCATAGAGAAATTGAAGTTTTTTAAACTTTAAAAATATTAAACAAGTATTAGAAATATTTCCCAACACCAAAACAAATCACAAAGTGCTTAAAGTACTTTTCGTCAACGATGTTAGCCTCGTCAGAACCATATTTATACTAATTATAAGCTAAGGCAACACTCGATTTCTCTGTCCTACCAAATCTAGCATGGGCCAAGTGGCTTTAAATTCTTATTATTTATATATTATACTCTCTTAAAATGAATAAGTCAAAAATAACTAATAATTATTATAAGTCATATTTGACTAATTGTCATAGCGTAAAAGCAGTCACTAATAATTAGTCAAATTCTACTGAATGAAATAAACTGCTCGTCATAAAAATCGACGCACCTAGTTTTTTGGAAAATATTTGAAAGCTGGTTATTGAAAAATTACTAAATCGATTTTAAAAATCTTTGGAAATTCTGAATAGCTGAAGGGGTTAAACGAAGAGATGTATTTTTTCCGAAATTTCAAGTTATTCCCATTCATGAGGCAGTTGAGTTTGATAGTCGTAATACCCCTTCCTAATATAAGTAAGGTAATCCCTCGGAACGTTTTCGAAATTTTGTGAATATCGCGGCTTACTACGATTATATGTCAATTTATCGAAAATTGTCGTTATTTCCCAGTTTAGTCTAAAACATGAGCAATAGTGGATTCTTTGACTTACTTCTAATTTTGAAAATACGATATTGTGCACATAGCATTATACTACAGGGTGTTAAAAAAAGAGATGTTTTTTTCCAAAATTCCAAATCCCTATTCACAGGGCAGTTGAGCTTGATAGTCCTAATAACAGTTAGGTAATCCCTCGGGAGATTTTCGAGATTTTGTGGATATCTTGGCTAACTACGATTATATAGCAATTTTTCGAAAATTGTCGTTATTCTCCACTTAATTCCCAAAAATGAGCAAACTACGAAATGTATCGATTAGTTTCAATACATCGTTTCCCCAATTTGCATGTTCTTGTGCCCATCTCAAAAAGAGGGCAGGCAGCTCTTCGTCTTGCGTGGTATTCAATCATCATTTTATTTTTTTAAATGTGTTTTGCTGTTTGAAAAATGTTTTCATATTCGACGACAAAAATGACAAAAATAATTGAAGGAAGGAAACTCAAAACCAGATATGCGCCATATTTTTTAAACTTTCATATATGGCTATATTCATGCAATTTTCGGTTGACTATAGTCAACCGAAAATTGCATGAATATAGCCTGCATAAGTTTACGAGAATAATTTTGTTTGGTTTGCGTTTTTATTTTGAATTTAACCGAAAAAAATTGGTTTTGTGTGAAACATTTCACTTTTAATGAATCACGCAACGTACATAAACTGGAAGCACGTGACCTACCTTAAAACGCTGTGTTGATACCTTCCGTAGTTTGCTCATTGCTATGTGCAAAATATAGGATTCCCAAAATTAGACGTAAGTCAAAGAATCCACTATTGCTCATTTTTTGGACAACTGGGGAATAAAGACAATTTTCGAAAAATTGGTATATAATCGTAGTTAGCCAAGATATCCACAAAATCTCAAAAACGTCCCAAGGGATTACCTAACTGTTATTAGGAAGGGGTATTACGACTATCAAGCTCAATTGCCCTGTGAACGGGTATTTGGAATTTTGGAAAAAACATATTTTTTTTAACACCCTGTAGTATAATGCTATGTGCACAATATCGTATTCTCAAAATTAGACGTAAGTCAAAGAATCCACTATTGCTCATTTTTTTTACTAAACTGGGAAATAACGACAATTTTTGATAAATTGGCATATAATCGTAGTAAGCCGCGATATTCACAAAATCTCGAAAACGTTCCGAGGGATTACCTTACTTATATTAGGGAGGGGTATTACGACTATCAAACTCAACTGCCTCATGAATGGGAATAACTTGAAATTTCGGAAAAAATACATCTCTTCGTTTAACACCCTGTAGTATAATGCTATGTGCAAAATATAGTATTTCCAAAATTAGACATAAGAGTCAAAGAATCAGCTATTCAGAATTTACAAAGATTTTCAAAATCGTTTCAGTAATTTTCCAATAACGAGCTTTCAAATATTTTCCAAAAAACTAGGTGCGTCGATTTTTATGACGAGCAGTTTAGTCAAATTAGTAGATTTAAGTTTAAAAAAGTTTTGACCCAGCCGGGGATTGAACTCAGGTCTGTCAGTCATAACTAATGTGGCTATCAGTCGCTCTTATAAAAATCAATTTTATTTGTCAATAAATATTGTTCATAATATTTTAAAGTTGAATATATTATTTGTGTTGCTATTTTGAGCTAAACTTTTTGCATCTTTGTTTGTTTTTATGGGCCATTTAACCATGGAGCCTATATGCAATTAATTCATATAATACTTTGTTGTTGGCCGCAAACGATTAAAGAAATTGGTTACTTTTAACTCTCAGAAATAGTTAAAGATGGTGACTAATCTTAAATTAGTCAAACTTTAACTATTTACGTAGTAAAAAATAACTATTTACGTAGTAAAAAATAACTATTTAAAAGTGAAAACGACTATTTTATTAGTTAAAAATACTGGTACTAATTTAAATAGTAGAATTTTGACTATTTCATTTTAAGAAAGTATATATTTATTATTATTCTTATAGTATGCAACTCGTTTTAAAAATTTATCTAGACACTCGTTTTTATTAAACATTCGCTTGCAAGCTTCGCTCGTGCCTAATAAAACATAATATACTATTTAGCACTTTGTGTTTTGTTTTGATGTTGGGGAATATGTCTAATATTTGTTTAACATTTCACCAAAGCTGTCCTTATAAATTATTATTATTATAAATATTAATAATATTATTTATTGTGCTCTCTTAGGTTAAATATTTTTTGTATGTTTTTTAAAAATTTCATATAGGGATTGACTGTTAAATGTCCAGGATATCATTTTTTGTTGAACTCCTCTCTAAAAATGAATTAGTCAAAAATGACTAATTTAATAGTTATTAGTGGCTGCTTTTTCACGTGTACCATGGTTAACCATGGTATCCCAAAATTTAACAGCCAATTCTTATGTAAAATTGTCCCCTGAATACGAAAAATTATGAAAGTGGATCAGTTTTTGAGACATAGTCAATTCCATATTAAATGGAAAATTGACTACTTATATCTCAAAAACTGTTCTACTTTTTTAACTTTTGACGACATTTTCGTATTCATGGGATACCATGATATTCCATGGTTAACCATGGTACAAGTGAAAAAGCAGCCACTAATAAATTAGTAATTTTTGACTAATTAATTTTTACCTATAGGTATACGTATTACAAGGTTGCAGAATATTTTTACTAAAATACTTATACGACATTTGATTAGAATTTAATAAAATCAATTATAATATAGAATTAATATTTTCTTATTTCGTAACAATAGCCTAAATATCAGTTGCCAACGTCATTTTCCGTGTTATTTTATTATCATTGTGTAACTCCTTATAAGATTCTCTTGCATAAAATAATGTCACCCAAAAGAATATGGAAGGTATTGTGTCTGAAACAGTTGTTGTGGGCTGTCCCTAAAATAAGTATTTAAGACAATATTATTCCAACAGGATATCAGTTCATCCTGAAATCTCATACATATATATAAAATTCATAACATTTAATAATAATAATATAATTTCCTTATATATAAGGTGAGTAATTTAAAAAAAAAAACAAAATTAAATTTTCTAATAACAATACAGTTAAATAAAAATCCTATTGTTTTAGAGCCTAACTGTGTAAACTAAATATGTATAAAATGTTATGTATGTTACTTATAATTTATGGAGCAATTCCAAGTGATGTAGAAGCATATCCAACACAATTAGATGAAGGTAGATATGTCGAACGAGATGTAAGTATTATTTGTTATTTATGTAATTTGCTGATGAAATAAGCACACAGTAAAAAAAACATTTGTTAATTTTAACCAAATATTAACCAGATTTTATGTTAATTCAGGTCCACATAACTTTATGTTAAGTTTACAACCATCTGTTAACTAATTTAATAGGAAGTTTGTAATTATACTAAAATTTTGTAGATTTAATTTATTTTTACAAACCTTTTTGTAGACCCAGTAACTAAAGTAGGTGTTGAAAAGAATTTTGATAAAAAAAATGTTGCTTTTCCTAAACAACAGCAACAATTAACACATACCTACATAAATGAACACAAAAATAACATACAATTAAATAACACACCATTCTGAAATCATCAAATTATTTAAAAAAAAATTATCAGTACTATAGTATTACAACACTTACTGATGTATTTCGCAACTTTAACCCACTAATTTCAATTTGAAAACCAGTGATGGCATCTTTTTTCGGATACTTCGCACTTCGCACACTTGTTAAATAGGTATAAGGAATCCAAATAATAATAATAAACACTTATAAGACAATTGTTACGAACACGTTACGAATTAGAATAAAGTAAGCAGAAAAATAAGTTCCAGACGCTGCACAGTGGTCTGAGAAGCAAATTTACGCGACAAACAATTTTTAAAACACTTTAAAAACGCATTTTGATGCCTCTTTATTGTTCGTGACAGATTATTACCTAAGATTTTAAACTGCGAAGTAGAATTTACTGCGTATGCGTACATGAAAAGATTGTCAAAAATACTCTTACTTTCGGAATCTTGTCTTTTTCGTGTAAAAAAGGTGTTGCGTAAATATAATAGTGAAAATTAGTGTCAAAAATTTATAGTAGGGATAAAGTTGAGTACAAATGCAACTTTAAAATGTCTTCTTTGGATTTTTTGATAAAAATATAGCGTTTTTAACCTACAAATTCTCAAGTTTTGTAATTACAAATAATAAATGGAATATAAGTAAAAATTTATAAATACTTGCCCAAAACCACATAGTGCATTCGAAAATATAACAGCTCCGACTTTATAAAAATTCATCTGCATTTATGCGCCCATAAGAGAGTTATGCAAAAATGAAAAATAGCCGACAAATTACCGCTAACCTGGTCATAAAAGTAATACATTTTTTAAATTTGACAATAATTATTGCATTTAAGAATGGTAATACAATTTTCTTTACTCCTATTACATAATATAATTTTTTTAATATATTTTGTATATTATACAGTGTGCCCACGGATGGTAATGACAATAGAAAAAACTTTTTTTATTAGGTATGATACGAAAAAATATATATTTTTTAAAAACTCTTGCTTGTTTCAAAAATAGGATTCCTACACAAACATTTTGAATTAAATGTGCAGGGTGCTCAGAAACTAAAAAAACCCAAAAAACTAGAAGTGCGTTTTATGGAAAAATGAATTCTTTTTAAAAATATTTGGTTAAAAATTAAGACTTTCATAAAAAGATGAATTATATATAAAGGGTGCTCAGAAATTTAAAAAAAATTATATATCAAAATAAGAGAAAAAATCATTCTTCATAAAAACTTCTGCTTGTATTTAAAAATGAGATTCCTAACAAACATTTTTAATTAAATGTCCAGGGTGCTCAGAAAATAAAAAAACACACACAAGTGATTTAAGAGGGTAGTACAATAATTATTGTGTGTAAAATGTAAAATGTTGATATAATAATATATTTTTGATACTTTGAAGGTAATGGTTTTTAGGTTATTCATGATAAAAAATTATGCTTGCAATCGCCAACATTGGCGATCGCCCCCTGGTATTTATTTAATAAATAAATTAAATTTGTATATTTAATATTAAAAAAAATCATTTTATATCATTTGGCAATACCAAATATTTTAGAAAAAAATGTATATAAGAAGTAAATTTAGTACTATTAAAAACATAAAAAGCACACGTTTTGGGAAAAATATTTAAAGAATAATTTTTGCCGCGTAAATTTACCTCTCAGACCACTGTGCGCTGAAGTCAGTTGAACTTGTTGGTGCGTATTGTCAGTGGCAGGGCCGGATTTAGCATGGGGCCAGCGGGGCCACGGCCCCAGGGCCCCCACCATTTAGGGGCTCCCACCAATGCAATATATAGTAGCTTTTTAATGAAACGAATATGAAAAAAATTGGCGAGAAAACAAAAAATCGGGTCGGTTATACCGCGAATCCTGTAATTTTCAATTAATTTTTCGTAGATCTAACTTTATCGCTTATCCGCTTGCAAATCAGAATGTAAATTATCACACTCAAAATTTTGGCGCGCGAAGACGTTTTTATATAGTCTATAGTCATAAGTTATGACCCATTACAATTTTAATCAGTTGCTCCTTTAGTGCTTGTCGTAACGTTTTTGTAAATACAGGCAAACAGTCAATTACTTATAATCTAATATTAAAGTTAGTTTTTGTCCCAGATTTTTATTGGTACATTGGAGTGCTGTGGAATATTTTCCGGTGTTTTCGAAATACTGTTTCGTGCTTTTCTTTTGACAAAAGATTGTTTTATTGTTTGATTTTGTATGAAAAACAGACAAATAATACGACTTTTGATGCACTTTTTTTCAGTTTGCGGTAAGATTAAAAATACAAACAAAACATTGATCAATTTATATTTTACTTGAGTAAGTAGTTTGTATTATTCAAAATATATAAAATATAAAGTATATAAAAACACTTTCATTCACAATTCTATTTTTAGCTTAAAAACGCTTTGGCCGATTTTATTAAAATTTATATGGTTTATTAAATAATAAATGATTCAAGAATAATAAAAAATCACGTAAAGTGCTTAAAAATTTACGATGAGTTTTAATTTTCCAATGTCAACAATTTTAGAAATATTGAGGGCCCCCACCAAATGTCGGCCCCAGGGCCTCAAAACTCTTAATCCGGCCCTGGTCAGTGGGAAATGTATTGTCAGTGGGAAATGTTTTTTAACGAAATAATTTGTTTTACATTAACACAATAATCTGTTACCTTTAAAATTAACAAAATACTTACAAATTGCATATTATCTTTACAAAACTTTTGGTAAAATATTTTCCTTTGTTAAAATAAGTACACACCCTGGTTTTCTACAAAAAATTATGTTAAAATTAAAAAAATAAAATTAACAAACTAACAAAGTTTTTATAACAGTGCAGGTTTTATTTTTCAAATACAAATTGTTAGGTCTGAACTTCAGACGGCAGTACGATAAACATTTTTTTTAGTATGCAAGTCCAGGCGCGCATCAACTAGCAAGCTGGATAGCGTCCCAGATGCGTCCCAAGGAATTTATCCCGCCTCAAGATATCCCCATACTGCCCTACCGACTTCCGGCTCAAGGAAAACGTAACTCGGAAGTCTCCAATGCAATTATCGGCTCGGAGGAGACGCAGAAAATGTACCGGGATGGAAGAAAATAAATTCCACTAACTATTATCAATAGACGTGCGATTGTGATTTATATCTTATGTATTTAACTGATTATTTTATAATTATGAGCTTTTATTGTACACTTAACGGGGAAAAATAAACTATATTATCCAGTAAATATATGTTATTTTAATGTCTAAATTCAATAATAAATTGAAAAACTTATTTTTAGATTCAATTTTAGTATCTAATCCTAACCACGTAAATAAAAATCTTATGTGACAAATTATGTTTGTTACTGATATGCCTTTGTGTACAATATATTGGCAGTATTTAAGCAAACTAAATCAAAACACACAATTTGTGTGCTGAAGTTTAGGTACACATTGTTTGTGACCGTGTAAATATGACACAACCGTAGGTATATAAGAAAAACTCTTGATGGAGTTCTCAGTTGGAGTTTAGTTTTGTCAAGTCTAAGTTGTTTTTTTACAAAAAAAATGTCTTTATACTCGTTTATGGCTGTTTTTATACTATTAAATTATTCGTTCGCATATCCAACCTACACAGGCTGCCAGGATATTAATGTAAGTATTTATTTTTATACAAAATTCTTTTTGTTTCTAAAAAGAATTTTTTATTTAGCTTTTAGAAACCGAACGAAATGACATTTGCATTTTGGAGTATCTACTGAAATCCCAACAAAAAAGAAATCCTGAGCTTAGCTCGGCCCTCTACAGTTTCTATGGCAACTACCCTGGATATATGTCAAAAATTAGAAAAGTAAGAAAAGCAGAGCTAGTGAAGACATCATACCAAAATTAAGTTGTTTATATTTACGATGAGTAGTAACAATGTAGAAATATACATAAATAGTTTTTTAATATAAGGTTTGATTAATAATTTGAAATACCTACCTTCTCCTTTTATTTATTTATGCTTTAACAGAAGTAAGATATACAAGGTGTCCCTAAAATGCCTGTAAAAAATAATACCACATATATCCGAGATCAAAACAATGCGATATAACTAAAAAAATAAACTACAACATGTATTAAATTAAAACTTTTATTTTTCTTAAAGTCACATCACAATAGGACACTACTGTATTCTACCATATAAAACCTTAAAAAACAAAATATATAAAAAAATTATTTGCTTAGAATCAAAAGCGAATATTTTATAAAACAACAAGTATACACCGTATTTTCACGGTAACAGTATCCAAATGCTGTATACCCCAAAAATGAGAATACATATAAAAAAATAATAATTAGGTAAATAATAAAATAAGACTTTTGACTCTTACGATATACTTACCAATGTTAGCAATTAGGTCCGCACCCATCAGGAAAAACGTACGGCACAAATGTGCAGGGGAACGCGGCAGGTGGGCCGCAAGGTACACATGCAGGACAAGATGGTCCAAACACAGTAGGGCCAGGGGTCACGCAGCCCAGACAGGGCGTTAAGGCGGCACAGCTCCAAGGGCAAGACATTTCTACTTAAATTTTGAAAGAGCGATTCCAAAGAAGTTTACAAATAAGCGAAATTATTTATTTGAAATGTGTCATCATTGTTCCTATGGTAATGTAAAAAAATGAGACTATACAGTTCATTTTTTTATTATCTGGACTCGTGTTTTTTTGTTAGGTTGGTGGCTTATGCCAGTTTGACATAGTATTTTTAGTATTTAAAAATGGTAGGCAAAGATAATACATTATCTTTGCCATCAAAGGTACTTCTTCTAAAGAATTTAATTGAATGCTTTGACACTGCCAAATTGACAATAATATTTATTATTGATAATTTTCTTGTCAATTATAAATAAAAAGATAATTATGCCAAAAATAATAGCAACGAATTCGAATGTAAAAGCCCTTTTTATGGCAAAACTTCATTTTGATGAAATTATGCCAAATGCCACAATGGAAGAAAAAGTACAGAATCCTTATGGACAATTTTTGGAGTAAAAAAGTAACGAATTACATAACATTATTTTTACATTATTCACCATTGGACAACATTTACGTTCACAAAAAATTTTAATTTCTTTTATATAAATTCTTTTCAAAGAGAAGATTATTATCCGCTAGGAATACTTTCTCTTCTGGGCCGTAAAGCAACCTATATTTAACTACTTTTTTTATATGATTTTACTCATCCAAGCACCACCGAAGCCAAATTAATTGCATTTTTAACAACGAATTTCGACAACTCAATTTGACAACTGCACAATGTAACCTACAATAATTTATACATAACCACGATTAGATTTATAACTAGCTTAGTTTGTTTTAATTAATGCGACCCTGTATTTACCAACCAAAACCCTAAATTTGTAACGTTGCCGCAGTCCAGATAAAAAAAAAAGAACAGAAAATAAAACTCGACATTATTCAAGACTGCAAAGCTCTGTCCTGCGCAGATACGTTTTTAAACAGTTTTTATTCGTGAAATCTTAACATTTACTCCTGATAATGAAATTATTCCAAATACGCTAAAAAAGTATACACAAATTTTGTTTGGAAAGTTTTAATTGCAAAGCACGTTATTTGTGTTTCGCGTTGCAAGTAAAAACTGCAAAACTTTGGTTTTTTTGATTTATTATTCCTTTTATCAATGATTAAGAAACTCAACTCTTATATGCTTATACAGGGTGTCCTGAAATTAGTGCACCATACTTTAACAGCAGATTCTACGTGCAAAAATAAGAAAAAAGTCCCTATAAATATAGGTCGAGAAATGCCTCCTAAGGGAGCTACAGCCCCCAAAAAGGGAGCCCCTGAAGATGGTTTTTATCTAATATAAATAAAAAAGTAAAAACACCCTGTCACTTACTACATGAAACTGTCACCTGTCTTAAATTATTCTATTTTTTCCTAAACATGGCAGCCGTATTCCAAGGACCACGCGAGTCCATTTCTATGGTTGTGATTTAATTGTGAATTTTTATGCCATGTAAAATAATTTTCAAATCGATTTTATGCGAAAACGGTGTATGTTATCGAAGTTCAACAAGATGACCTTTTTTATGTGCAAAACTCTAAAATTTTATAATCTGACACCAAATTCTGGTACAAGATACGTACAAAAAAGTTAAGGTGGTTTTAACCCTACTTCCTATCAATCTGACCCAAACCACATAAAAAATTTTAAATTGTTATTGTTACGTCTTATTGGTCATTAAAAGTTTAATTAATTCCCCAAATTTCATTTTTATATTTTTAACGGTTTTGGAGATATTAAATAAAAACCATCTTCAGGGGCTTTCCTTTTGGGGGCTGTAGCTTCCTTAAGAGGCATTTCTTGACCTATGTTTATAGGGACTTTTTTTCGTATTTTTGCACGTACAATCTGCTGTTAAAGTATGGTGCATTAATTTCAGGACACCCTGTATAGTTACGGTAGTGTGTGTATTTTATCTAAGAGATCATTGGGAATTTTACTCTTTAATTGTAAATGTTATTCAAGGACTAAACCGTTGCATTTCATGTTTTGCCAAAGGATCCAATTCGGTACATATTTTTGATGGTGCAGAATTAAGTAATGGTAACTGTAGATACCCAATATATTTAAGTTTGGACATTTTTAAGAAATCTAACAAAAAATAATAGTTGTACAAACACAACCTTAAAATCAAATATTTTTATATTTGGGTTCTCTAAAAAAATGCCGAAAAATGTATTTTAAAATAATAAACGACAAAAAATATCTGCGAATTTATGGCAACATAATATTATATATATATGAGGACCCTAGAAATATTTTTATATTTGGGTCCTCTAAAAAAAACGCCGAAAAATGTATTTTAAAATAATAAACGACAAAAAATATCTGCGAATTTATGGCAACATAATATTATATATATATGAGGACCCTAGAAGCGCTGTTCGCCGTTTGAAAATGTAGCATGTTTTCAATAAAGACTATTATTAATTTTATACAGTGTGTCCGTAAAGTCCCGGAACATGAGATTATTTTAAAATCAGTAAATTTTTTTTAAAACGCTGAAACACGTCAACTTTGTTATTTTTCTAGCAATATTTTGGCATATGTAGTTGTTCCAAATTATGCCGCGTGGCGGCGCCACAATCAAAGTCAATTTTTTTTTAAATTGCAACCCTTTATTTTTGTTGCATTTTTGGATAGCTATAGCTATCGGTATACCATTGTCCTGATTACATTGATGTGCCACATCTGGAGGGTTACATAAAAAAATTTTTTGAGAAAAGCAGGTTTTTGCTGCAGAATGAGATTTTGGTATTTTGTCAAACTTAAACACAATCTATGCGTTGCTTAATGTTTTTTGGAAAGCCAATCAGAGCAGTTGCTCAAAGTGTCCACCGTAAACTATTTGGCAGTGGGCCAGCCTGTCTACAAACGAGTGTTCTACGTTTGCCAGAACCGCTGGAGTGATCATCTGGATCTCGGCTTGAATACGGTGTCTTAAGTCGTCCAAATTTTAAGGCCTGTTTACATACACAGCAAACGGAAAATTATAGAGGTGTATAGGATGACGCCACGTTTGAATATTGATTTCTAAATCTCCCTACGGTATAGAGTTGTATTCGTCAGTCGAGCGTTTCAATACTCTCCACAGTATAGAGGTCGTAATTTCACTTTTGAACTAGTATTAATATAAAAATTATTTTATGCTTAAAAAAACTATATACGACATGATTGTGATTTTTTTCATTTTATTAATTAATTAAGCTGTGTTGAATATTTTTCCTAAAGGAATAATTGCCAATGGGCCATTAATTCATTTGTTCGTAGATGCTACAATAACCTGCACTGGTGTGTACTTTTTCATCAACCAGATTTAAATATTACAAAATTAACATATACCAGTGGAGATAGTGCAGGGTCTACCAACAGACCTAATTACTAAATTATTAAAGTTTAATAGCATATCGATCATTTTTCAACATAACCTCTTAAATTTTTAATACAAATATAGGTACTTTATATAATACATAAATATACTTAACATCATATCCTCTGTGCTTTACATACCTGAGTTGTTACGGTAAATAAAAATCAGACAAAGGAACCAAAGAAAGGAACTATTTTCAACAAAATCATATGGAGAAATGAGAAAATTCATCCATCAAAAGATCAAAACTTCTTGCAATATTACACCCTCTTTTTATACTCTCAGAAATATTGACTAGAACAGTATTAGAGAGACTCCAGTTTCTATAACTTGGTAGAGTAAAGAGAAGTCGAAACCGTTGCGATATTGCATTGCGCTGTTTTTGTATAATTCTCGGGGACATTAACGAAAATCATTGCCAGTAAAATTCGAAAAGCTTGAGTTTCTATGTCTCTGAGGAGAATAGGAATCCGAAGTTGCTGCACCATTGGACTGAACCCTTTTTTAATAATTTCTAGAGACATATATGACTGCACCATTCGACAGGGTCGAGTTTCTACTCCTCTTTTGAATATAGAAAATCAAAATAATGTATCTTGTAAGACACCATTGAGTTTGACTTTAAATATAGTCGTGCATAGGTATAGAGCCGAAAAATATAAAAACAAAGCACGATTCAATACAGTTATGATAAAACTTTAAGATTTGATATTCAAACGCGGAGTCATCCTATACACTTCTATAATTTTTCGTTTGCTGTGTAGACGCGGTTTTTAAGATTTCCCCATAAAAATAAGGCTAAAGGGTTCAAATCGGGCGATCGCGCTGGCCACTCAATTTGACCCCTTCGACCTATCCAGCGATTGGAAAAGACCTGATTTAAATAATCCCTTACTAGCAATGCATAGTATGGTGGTCCTCCGTAACAGCGAATAAGTTCGTCAAAACCTACTTTTCTCAAAAATTTTCTTATGTAACCCTCCACATGTAGCCTATAAATATACTCAGGACAACGGTAGCTATCCAAAAATGCAACAAAAATAAAGGGTTTTGATTGGGGCGCCGCCACGCGGCAGATTTTGGAAGAACTACATAGGCTAAGATATTGCTAGAAAAATAAAAAAGTTGACGTGTTTCAGCGTTTTTTTTTTAAATTACCGTTTTCAAATTAATCACATGTTCCGGGACTTTACGGACACACTGTATAACGAACAAAGCATTTAAATATTAATGAATTACAACAACTGGAAACATTAAAAATAATACATAAGATCAAAAAAAAAGAAATTGTGGACAGTGACATAAAATTAACCAAACAAAAAGAAATACATAAATACAATACTAGAAGCAGGGATAAAATAAGAATAGATAGAGCCAAAACAAAAAGTAGTCAAAAGCAACTGATGAATGAGGGAATAAAAAAATACAATGAGCTGCCGGCGAAATTAAAGGAACAAAACACCAAAGATTTCAAAAAAGCGATTAAAGAATATATAATTAATTTAAGAGACTGAATAGGTTAAGTGTTATTTATTTATAGATTATTTATTTATATATATAATATATATATTATATATAAATAAATAATAAATAATATATATATACAAATACTTATATGTACATTTTTATATTTATTATCTGTTGTGGCCCATGAGGGCACATTGAGATGTATTTTTTCTAAATAAAAAAAAAAAAAAAACTGAATTCTAAGCTTGGACATCTTGAAAAACAAAGTCATAAAACAACAAGTGTTTTTTTTATTTTAAACATGATTATCTCAAAACTAAACAAAATGTACCTACTTTTACCCCTTGGCTTCTAGGGTCCTCATATAATACCCGTTTTTGTTTTTTTTCCGTTGAGTGGAGACTTTTTCAATCAACGCTTTTAATAATGCATAATGCTGTTTGAATTTAGACTACTTGTTTTATGATACTGAATTGAAATGTTTACAATTAACAATATCCGGCCTTTTTCTCAAAAATACTCGTTTGTAACATACGCGTTTTACAGCTGATTATTAAAAGTTGTAGTTTTGGTACGATAACGGTGGCGCTACTATAGCGATGCTTCTTTAACGTAAAAGTAAAAAAAAATACTTCAAAATTATTTTATTTATAAAATGTTTAAAGATTATGTCTGTTTTCTTCCGTGAATGCTTTAGTTCAGAAGTAGCTATACATCATCACTCCGTTTTTGATGGGGACATCTTGGATTCTACCCAAGAAATTTCTTTCATGTATTTAAATTGTAGTATTGTATTAATGATCAAGTCCGTCTCTTCTTTCGACTTTACATGGCGGTTTTCTCTGTACTGGCAACGGGCAGCAAGTATAATAACAACATACTGGAACCATCTTAACCACCACTGGAACATAAACTGGAACTGCAATTTTCGTACAACATGATGAACATGAGCGAGATCTTGACATGATTACTGTAAATTTAAACTGAAGTGACGGGATGTCACTTTTTACACCTATGAATCATAGGCTATGATACAAAAACGAATATTTTTCTTTGAAAAACGATTTATTACATATTATTAGTTACAATTACACCCCATACATTACATTACAATTATTAATTGGGACACCTTGGTGGACACGGTTTGGGAGGTTGCGGACACGGTTGGGAACTCATCGGGGGACACGGCGGGGGACAAGGGGACGGACAGTAGGAAACAATCGGGATATATTGGACCGTCGTGGGGTTGCAGGGTTGTACCAGGGGCGCGCAAGGCACCAATGGCGGCGGCCGGCATGCGCAAGCCATGCAACTGGGTATTGGGGGATAACAGTCTGCCATTTTGATTTATTTTCAAAGGGATTTTATTAACTTAAAATTTTGAACGATTTTATCGTGTTTATCTAATTGACAAGAGTTTATTTATAAGAGTATCTATGACAATGATTTTTTGACCGTGAAATAGCGCTCCATCTGCCTACTTGAGTTATCTAACTTTTAAAGCCTCCAATGAGAGCGCAGTGTTCGAACGTAGGTAGGCAACGCATATTACAAATTAATAATACCGCGCTCTCTTTGAAGACTTTAAAAGTTAAGTAACTTCTGCAATTTTGCGAATTCGAATAAATGTTAAGAATATTTTGGTACGCCCTGTATATTTTTATGCCATTTTATTCGTCTCACACCGGAAAACTAAATGCAATTATTACAAAATCGTTTTATTCCGTTCCTGTCTGGTCATAAAATGACATAAGTAGTTCGAATGCATCACAGTGACGTAACCTCACTTTATGCCGTCAAAGTTATGTTATTTGTCAATTTTAGGCGACGTTTGCTTTTTTACACACCAAAATTATTTTATGCCAACATGTCCAGTAAATGTGAGGTAGCCGTTTGCCAATTTACAGCAACCAACGATAAAGAACGAAATTTAAGTATTGTTAAAAAATTAGTTAATGAAGCAGTCGATAAAAACGCAAAAGTAAGTATTTATGTGTTAAAGCATAAAATACAAATAAGATAATTTATTTTTTATCAGGTTGTATTTTTACCCGAAGCTACTGACTACATAGGTACCAGCAAAGAAGAAACTAAACAACTATCGGAACCCTTAAATGGTAAACTAATGAGTGAATATAAAAATTTGGCCAAAAGTAATAATATTTGGTTATCAATTGGGGGTATTCATGAAAAAGTTTCTGAGGTAATATAATATATTTATAAATAATTTACAAACCAAATGTGTGGATTTTAGAATGAAACATTTAATTCCCACGTATTAATTGACAATAAAGGTGAAATTCAGTCATTATACCGAAAAATTCATTTATTTGACGTTTGCATACCAGAAAAAAACATAAATTTGAGAGAATCGGATTTTAATAAAGGTGGAAATCAAGTATTAGCCCCTGCATCAACACCTTGTGGAAAATTAGGTCTTGCTATTGTATCCTTTATCTTAACTATCTATATAAACAAAAACTAATCCGCAAAAACCTTGCTTAATTTATTTTCTTAACTGTTATCTAGTGCTATGATTTAAGATTTCCAGAGTTGGCTTTAATTCAAAGAAAATTTGGGGCCGAAATTCTTACATACCCTTCAGCATTCACCTCTAAAACTGGCCAGGCCCATTGGGAGATACTATTGAGAGCTAGGGCCATAGAAAATCAGTGCTATGTTATTGCTGCCGCTCAATATGGCAAACACAATGAAAAAAGGGTTTCCTATGGACAATCTATAGTAATAAAAGGTTTTTATCAAAGGGGTTTACGTTTTAAATTGCCCAGGTATAAGATAAAAAAAATTGGTTTACAAAACCTTTATGGATTTTAACTAATCAAAATCACCATTTTTGTCTAAAAACAATTTTATGATTTCTGAAAAATATGGATTTTGATCATATGCCCAAAATGCTTGTTTTTGATTTAAACAATAAGTAACAATTTAAAAAAAATTAGGGATTGTGATCAAAATGTATGGATTTTGATCACATGCTAGCTTGTTTTGTCTGAAACTGATGATTTTTGAAAAAATATGGATTTTTATCATATGCTCAAAATGCTTGTTTTTGTCTGTTTAATGAGGTTTTAAAAAATATGGATTTTAATCATAAAATAAAATTAAGAACATTTATAAATTTAAGTATTTTTTTATTTTTATATTAATTCTGGTTAATTAGAAATGTAATCCCCCAACATTAAACAAAGCTAACAGTATTTTTTAGATTATAGACCCATGGGGCAAAATATTGTCCCAATGTCCAGTCTACAAGGAAGGAACAGACACTAATGAAAGTGTGGCAGTTGCTACTATAGATTTGGAGCACTTAGCAAAAATGAGAAATGAAATGCCTGTAATGGATCATAAAAGAAATGATGTTTATTCAATGGAATTAAATGAAACGCCTGTGTATTTAATTAATGATGATGAAATATTTAGTTTTGCAGATAAGACAATTCCAGGATCTACGGTTTTTTACAAGACTCCTTATAGTTTTGCTTTTACCAATATAAGATGTGTGGTTCCTGGTCGTATCCTTTATTTTTAAATTTGAAATAAATTTTTGCCTAAAAAAAATGTTTGTTGATCATTTTTTATTGAAACCGCATTTTTCTGAACATAACAAGATGTTTTAATATCAAGTTTAAGGCCTGCAAAAAGGCTTCAAGATCTCACAGAGACAGAAATAGCAGACCTGTTCAATGCTGCTGTAAAAGTGGAAAAAGTTCTTGAAAAACACCATTCAACTTCCAGTACCACAGTATGTGTTCAAGATGGTAGATTAGCTGGCCAAACTGTACCTGTAAGATTTACACTTAAATTAAACTTTAAAAATCAACATTTTTTATTTTTCAGCATGTTCATGTTCATATTTTACCCAGACATGCAGGTGATTTTGAAAGAAATGATGATATATATGATTCATTAGCCAAACACGATCTAGAAGATAACCCTCAACCTTTAAGAACCCCACAAGAAATGTCTGAAGAAGCCAAAGTGTTAAGAACATACTTTTAATACACTGTGATAAATATAAAGTTAAATAATTGTACAAATTACTATAAACATTATAAAATATATGCATCTTGTATTATGTTTGCACATTTGTTTATTATGGTTTTAAAACAAATTTAAAACCATTTTAGTTTTGGTAATTAATTAGTTAATAGTGTTTAAAAAAATTACCAATGACACTCCAGAACAGCCGAATATGTTTGTGACTTCACACATGCACCACACCCTGACATTTAAATACAAATAATTGAGGTTATCAATCTGTCGGTTAGCGTTAGGCTAATTTCATATGATATCCTATTTTCTGAACATAATAGGTAGGTACAATATATAATATGTATGTTTTGTGTTTAAAATTAGGACCTTTATACACAAAAAATACATACAATTATATTTTATTATTTCTGAAAATACGAAGAAATTAGCGTAAGTATATTCATTTGGATCCATAGAAATCCCTGAAGGTAAGAGTAAAGGCTTATCTATGGGTAAGAGAAAAACTAAACTTTCAAAAACTGTCAACTTTCAAAACTGTCAAAACTGTTCATGTTCATGTTGTCAGATTTCTATCATAAATTAACTTTGAAATTACAAATTGTCACTAGTAATACCACTAGAGGTCAAATTATTTCCGGAAATTTTTTCGAGCTCATGAATACTTTGAAAATTATCCCGAGTCGAAGACGAGGGATAATTTTCTAAAAATATTCATGAGGGAGAAAAAATTTCCGGATTTAATTTGACCTCGTGTGGTATTCGGTAAGAAAATTCCACACCAAATTGTGTTGTGTAAATAATTAAAATTTATTTTTTGATTTAACTTGACCTCGACTTGATTATTTAGTTACCATGGCAACTAAGTCAATCCCAACCTAAAAGTTATTTCAATTTTAAAGCTGTCAAGCGGCAGGACGTAAAAAAATGTGAAATTGTCTGCTGTAATGATCAATCATCGTGCAATGACTTATTTACCCGCATTATTAGAGGATTGTGGCTCCTTCTTGAAGAAAGAAAATTTGTTTTGAATTGTTCACGAATATTTGCATCTTAACTATTCAAAACTCAAAGTGCTAAATGGAAAAAAAAGGTGAATAGAATAGTGTCTAAATATTATATATTTCATTTCATTAGACATAGACATTTAATTTATTTCAATTCCTGCATTTTCGCCATTAAGAAGAAAGGAGGTGTCCAACGAATATAGAAAACATCTAAACTTTGTAATGGAAATGTATCAAAATTATCATGTAAACAAATAAAAACCAGATTGTCAAAAAAATATTCTGTCATTATAAACGTCAAAAAATTTCCAGTATAATTCGCTGTTGGGTACCCACGAGGAAAAAATTTCCACTAAAATTCAACCGTTGCCATAGTGATCTATCAAAAATACACGTTTTGATTGGTTAAAAATTACAGGTGTGGAATTTTCGTTTAAAGTAAACTTAAATGTTCAAATTAAATTTCCAATAGGAAATAATAATACATACCTAGACTGTTATTTGATAATATGCCTTGCCTTGCAACATAAATTTACTTAAATTATGTTTATTATCGAGCAAATAAATAAAAAATTATATTTTGGCGGTTCCAGCTAACTTCACGGTAATTAAGTTACAGAAACGCGGGAAAGTGCAAAAAAATATTCGCACCTATGTTCACTTCGCAATGCCCGTTGTCAAAACTGTTTTGTGCTTTTATAATATTTTATTTTCATTTCTATAATTAATTAAGTTAATGCGATGCTCATAACGTTTTTAATTAGTTTTAAATTAGTTAAAGGCGAGTATTCTTTATAATTATTGCAGAATTGCCGTTATTGTTCTTAAATTATGGGTAATAAAATCAATTTTTATTAACGTTTATTTCGTTCATTGCACTGTGGATAATTATCAAACTCAATACTTGTCGATATTAATGAGATTATTGTGTAATGTTATTTGCCAATTAGATGTATTTCTGTAATTTAATAACTTTTCCCAGGTTATTATTCAAAACATAACCTCTAATTGTTTGGTTTTAGGAAACGCTGAAAATCTTGAATGAAAACAATATGGATACGGCTGACACCGAAGCGTCTCGCAAATCCAACGATCCAAATTTAGTTGAACCGAAAATATATGAGCAACTGATAGAAAGTATTGAAATTTCAAGCCACAGTGAAGCTGCAAACATTGCACAAGAACAAGTGGAGTGTATTAGTGAAATTGTGTGTTTGGAAGACACACCTGTGTACAAAAAAGATGATTCTTTGGCTAACAGGACTGCCAGAACCTATAAAGCAAAGAAATCACCAGAAAAAGACCTGCATGAAGTCGATATAAGTAATGGTTTTAAACCTGATGTACAAGTTAACCTAAAAACCTATAGCAAGAAGAAATCGCTGCCATTTGAAAGTTTTGGACTCCCTGATGATGATCCCATTGTTCCTAGTACTTCCAAAGTGATAAATAGTGATTATTGTGAGTTAAGCCTGAATCTTGACATTCTTGGAGAACCAGTGCTTGGAAAACCCTGGGATTTTAATAGTTTTAATATTGGTGACAGTTTCATATTTTACTCGGAAGACATCAGGTTCAAAGGTAATGTGGACAATATAACCAAAAAGATTAAAAGAGCCAAATCAGCCTTATCATTATTTAATGAAAGCAGCTTGTTAGACTTATCTGCACTTAGCCCTGAAAAAGAGCAGCTTAACAACGTTTTTATTTCCACACCTGACACCAGGAATATGAAGAGACCACTGAAAAATTTTAACGGGGTTAAACCTCTGGTGCCCAACGCTTTTAATAAAGTGGAACTAAAAAACAAAAATTCTAGTCCCAAGATTGATAACAATGTCATTGAAATCAGCTCGGATGAAAGCAATTTTCAAAGTTCAATGCAAGATTTGAAAAAGTTTCAGTTTAAAAAAGTGGAAGCTAGTGATAGAAAAGTTAAGAATAGGCAGAGAAAAACCAAAAGCATGGGTGATATATTCGATAATAGCCAATCCAACTGTGTTCAACCAAATAATAACTCTATTAGCACAATAAAGCTAAGGTCGAAAAGTAAAGATAAAGGTGATAAAAATGTAATTACCAAGAAAAACAATGGAAAAATCAACACTGCCAATGATAGTACAAAACAAATTGAAAAACCTGTTATCAGAACTAAAGGGAGGTCAAGATCCAAAAAAACAAGTATAGAAGATAAAACAAAAGACATAACCATAGGAGACTCTTCAAAAATTAACCCTAAGCCTCCTGAACTAACAACAGATATAAATGAAAAAACCAGAACTAAAACCATCCGAGAATTGAAAAAAAAGAATTATGTAGCTGACAACCTTATTCTAAATAGACGCGCGTTAAGATCAAGTGATTCCATTCCATTTGTAAATGAAATAGAATCGATTTCTCCAATTCCAAAAGCCAAAAATAAAAATATATCACTAAAAGACCAATCATATATTGAAGAAATAGCCAATGACTTATTGGAATCTACCAAAACCCTAGAGGCTCAGGAAAAAAGTGACATATTTTTTGTTGAGGATGAAGATGTAGTTTTTACCATTAGCAATTCTAAGAAATCTTCATTTTTAAGTAAATCCCAAGAATGTATAGCTAGCCTTACAATAAATGAAGACAAATCTTTATTATCTGAAACAAAACCAAGAATCAGAGGAAGACTTAAAAAGAAATCTTCATTTCTAAGTAAATCTCAAGAATGTATTGCTTACCTACCAAGAAATGAAGACAAAATTTCATTATCTGAAACAAAACCAAGAAAAAGGGGAAGACCAAGAAAAAAATCTTCATTTCTAAGTAAATCTCAAGAATGTATTGCTTCCCTACCAGGAAATGAAGACAAATCTTCATTATCTGAAACAAAACCAAGAAGCAGAGGGAGGCCAAGAAAGAAACGCAAAACCATAGAACCAATAAACATAGAACTATTTCCAACCCCAAGAAAGAACAGATCTCTTTCATTGGATTCTGAGGCACCTGCCAAAAATAGGAGCACTCCTCAGCAAATAAATCTCTTGGAAGACTTGAAATTAAAAGGTGGATCAAGTTTTGGGCAAGAAAACACATCCAATGAAATGCCCAGAAGAAGTCTGCGATCTTTCCATGTTCCAGAAAGTATAGAAAAAATGGAAATTGAGCCTAGTGAAGAAGCACCCTGTATAAAAACCAATAATGAAGAAATTCTGGATAAAAATGTGAAGAACATAAATGATTTGTTAAGTCAGAATGGTATTACTTCTGAAATAAGGATAATTTTAAAACAATTTGGGGATTTGGAAAAAACTGATACAGAAAATAATTCTGTAGATGAAGTTTTCAAATCTGCTGTTGCAAACTCTTGTATACCCACAGACAATGTTGATTTAAGTACCAAGAAATCCAAAAATATTGGTAAACATGTAAATAAGTCTGATACTCGCAAATCTTTAAGATCCTCCAAATCTTTTCTTTCTAGTAAAAGAAATACTTTGGAAGCAAAGGAAATTTCCTCGGAAATTTCAGTTAATGTGGAAGAAGCAATGTCTTCTAAATCTTCCCAACAGGTTTTAGAAATTAATAAAGAACCAATAATAACTAAAGAAGTTCAAGAACCAAAAACTATTAAAGGTGATCCTAAAAATCCTGTTTCCAATGAGACTCCATTAAAAACATTGGAAAAAAGGAAATCTAGATCAAAGTCAGTAAAAAGTCTTAAGGAAACATCAGTAAATGAATCATCAGAAGAAAAAAGTAGGAACACAAAAACCGTGAAATCAAGTGAAGATTCTGAATTGAAAAATAATGAAGAAACAATATTAACTGACAAAGTTCAGGAACCAAAGACTAATGGAGCTGATTCCAATGATACCTTATCAAAAACATTGGAAAAAAGAAACTCTAGATCAAAGTCAGTAAAAAGTCTCAAGAAAACATCAGTAAATGAATCATCAGATGAAAAAAGTAAGGACACAAAAACCGTGAAATCAAGTGAAGATTCTGAATTGAAAAATAATGAAGAAACAATATTAACTGACAAAGTTCAGGAACCACAAACTAATGGAGGTGATTCTAAAAATCGTGTTTCCAATGAGACTTCATCAAAAACATTGGAAAAAAGAAAATCTAGATCCAAGTCAGTCACAAAAACTGTGAAATCAAGTAAAAATTCTGAATTGAAAAATAATGAAGAACCAATATTAACTAAAGAAGTTCAGGAACCAAAAACTATTGAAGGTGATTCTAAAATTCGCATTTCCAATGAAACTCCATCAAAAACATTGGAAAAAAGAAAATCGAGATCAAAATCTAGAAAAAGTCTTAGTGAATCTTCAGTAAATGAATCATCAGAAGAAAAAAGTAAGGACACAGAAACTGTGAAATCAAGTGAAAATTCTGAATTGAAAAATAATGAACCAATGTTAACTAAAGAAATTCAGGAACCAAAAACTAGTATTTCCAATAAAACTCCAACAAAAACATCAGAAAAAAGAAAATCTAGATCAAAGTCAGTAAAAAGTCTCAAAGAAACATCAGCAAATGAATCATCAGAAGAAAAAAGTAAGAACACTAAAACCGTGAAATTGAGTGAAAATTCTGAATTGAAAAATAATGAAGAACCAATATTAACTAAAGAAGTTCAGGAACCGAAAACTATTGAATATCATTCGAAAACTCCTATTTCCAATGAAACTCCATCAAAAACACTCGAAAAAAGAAAGTCTACATCAAAGTCAGTAAAAAGTCTTAACGAAACATCAGTAAATGAATCATCAGAACAGAAAAGTGAGAAAACAAAAACCGTAAAATCAAGTGTAAATTCTGAATTAAAAAATAAAGAAGAACCAATTTCAACTGAAAAAGTTGATGAACCAAAAACTATTGGAGGTGATTCTAAAAACCGTGTTTCCAATGAGACTCCATCAAAATCATTGGAAAAAAGAAAATCTACATCAACGTCAGTAAAAAGTCTTGATGAAACAAAAGTAAATGAAACAGAACAAAAAAGTAAGGACTTAAAAACAGTGAAATCAAGTGCAAACTCTGAAATAACTGAAAGAAGACGTTCTTCAAGAATATCAAAAGGTTCCGAATCGGAAGTCAGTGAAAATGAGTCCATCACAGAGAAAATGCCACCACCATTGGAAAAAATTAAACCAAAAAAATCGAGAAAAAAACCCAAAATTGAAATTAATCAAGATTCTGATTCAGAGACGTTTGAAAATTTTACTTCAAAGAATGTTGTAACCCCGGATTTACAACATTCAAATTCTATAGAATCCCCCACCGAAGCCAGCACAGTTAAACAAATTAAAGACCAGCCTAAAACATCCGAGGATAAAGCAATAATAAAAGAATGCGAAATAAAAATAATTCAGTCGCCCTTGAAACAGTTGAAAGAATTCCATGATAAATGTGCTAATAATAAGGCAACTTTAAAGATATTTAGCGATTTGGAATGTAAAAAAAATATATTGGATTTCAAAGATGTTAAACGTGTTAACAAAGAAGAACAAACATTGGTAGCTGAAGCAAGTTGTTTAGATGATATAAGCACCAAACCAACCAAAGAATCGATAGGTTTAGAAAAAGCCATTGTAGAATCAGAAAAATTAGAAATTCCTGAAAACCTTGATATGGAAGTTAGTCAATCCTCAGAAAATCCCGAAATATCTGCAGGTGAAGAGGTAACACAAACAGAGATTTCCAATATTGTTGAAGTAAGCAAGTCCACCGAAATTATTAACAATGCGTCTCCAGAAACAATGGCTCAGGAAAATGAGGGACCAGAGTTAAAGAAAAGGAGGTCAACAAGAGTACTGAAAAATTTGGAGAATGAAGTAATAAACATCACAGAAAATGTGGAGAAAGATAATTTACCAAAAACTATAACTTCATCAGAAGCAGAAGTTCATAAATGCACACAAATCGAAACTCCAGAAAATCTTACAATTAATGATGATACAGACCATAGCAAACTTAAAACTTCAGAAGTAATCGAGTCCACTGAAATTATTAACAATGCGTCTTCAGAAAAAGTGTGTCAGGAAAATGAGGGACCAGAGTTGAAGAAAAGGAGGTCAACAAGAGTACTGAAAAATTTGGAGAATGAAGTAATAAATATCACAGAAAATGTGGAGAAAGATAAATTACCAAAAACTATAACTTCATCAGAAGCAGAACTTCATAAATGCACAGAAATCGAAACTCCAGAAAATCTTACAATTGATGATGATACAGGCCATAGTAAACTTAATGGCAAACTTGAAACTTCAGAAGATTCCTTGAAGGAGAATTGTGAAGAAAAACAGGATGAAATACAGAAAGACTTGGTTAAAAAGTCTCCAAGGAAAAATTGTTTATCTCCAAATAAAGTCGAAAATAGAAGATCACCAAGAGTAACCAGGAATCCGAAGGAAGATGTCGGCAACAAAATGGCGAAGCAGTTTTTGGATTTTGGCCGAGAGAATGAAACAATCAATGGTATTGTACCAAATAAAATTGATAGGTTGGACAAAACAACAGATTCAAAATTAGAAAGTGCTGAAAACATTCAAACAGGTCAAATTTCTTCTGAATCAGACGCATTCTCTAAAAACACGAACACGAAAGATTTAAATGCTGAAAATTGTTCAGTTACGAGTTCTTCTACCAATGGAAATACCCCCAAAAAGTTGGAAACAGAGGATTTAAATGTAGTTGACAAAAATTGCACCATAACAAGTTCTCCTAAACACTTGGAAAAAGGAGAATCAGCATGTGTTATAAAATCTCCTTGCAAGGGAAACTTCAAAGTTATTTATAATAAGACTCAAACTGTGCAGGTTTCTTTTGAATCAACTTCAACGTCCGAAACTGCAAATTTAAAATCACCAGAAAGTAAGAAACTTACACCCAAAAAGGCTAACACCGCTCAAGTTTCTTTGGATTCAGGTGCATCATATGAAAACGAAATTTCAAAATTAAAAAGAACATACAACGTTTTAATCACAAGATCTCCTGATAAGAGAAAAACATCGAAAAATTTGGAAGGCAAGGCTCAAATAGAGCAAGTTTCTTTAGAATCTACTGCATCATCTAAAACAGAAAATCTCTTAGAAAACGAGGCTGAAACCCAAATTTCTTTAAAGTCCACCAAAGATAAGAGAAAAACATCGAAAAATTTAGAAGAAAAGTCTCAAATAGAGCAAGTTTTCTCAGAATCTACTGCATCATCTAAAACATCAAATCTACAATCTCAGGAACAGATTCCTTTAGAAAACGAGGTTGAATCCCAAATTTCTTCAAAGTCCACCAAAGATAAAAACGAAATTGTTTCAGAAAGTTCACAAACAGAGGTTGAGGTCGACTCAGAAAACGCTTCATTGCCTGAGGTTGAGCCAGTTAAAATACCCGAAGTGGACTTTGAATTAGAAACCCCTGTAAATGTAGTTCATACAGACGATAATGCTGCCAAAAAGAACACAGTGGAAATGATAAGTAAAACATCATTAAAAGAGCAGAATACATCTGAAGAAGCAGTCATAGTTAATGGGGCTAAAACAATAAATACAACATTGGTAAAAAGTATTAATGAGAATAAAGTGTGCCAAACAATGGTGGTAAACATAGAACAGGCGGATTTATCACCAACTAAAAAATCACAAACTGATGAAACCATAAATACCGAAACAGTAGTGATTGAAGATGAAGAAACAGAGCCAACAAAGGAGAAACCCAATGAAATAGTAGAAATCAGAGAGGATCCTGTCATTGTTATTGAAGATACAGAACCCAGTGTTGCTAATGAATCCGAAGACGAAACGTTATTGGAAAACGAAACTATAGAGATAGATTCTGATGAAGAAAATGCTCCACTTTTAGATCGCCTAAAGCAAAGAAAATTGATTTCTTCGGGTTCTGAGACCGCGTCAAAAAGCCAGTTAAAAATACAAAAAATATTGCGACTGTCCATATCGACGGAATATGAAGTCATCAAAGATGGCGTAGCTGTTTCAGTAAAGGATTCCGACGACAAGTCAACTGTGGGAATTTCAGATGACGAATCAATTAAAGAAGAAATTTGTACTGACAGCGAAAGCGAAGAAAGTACCACGCATAGAAGAAAATCTTTAAGATCCAGGGCTTCCAATAGTATCAACTATGCTGAAAATCGAAGCAACAAGTCTTCTGCGGATTTAAGTAAAACGAAAACGTTTAAAAAACCTTTGAAACTAGATTTCACCACTGAACCAATTGCGGACAAAATGAAAACTAACATTGAAGAGGAGGTTAAGGAGGAAGAAATTCTGGAGTCACCGGATATTAATATAGGTTTGCCTATATCATGCAGCATATAAACGTAAAATAATATTATTTATGTTTTAGAAGACACCAATTTCGAATTAGGAGACATTGTTTGGAGCAGAATCGGCACGTGTCCGTTTTGGCCCAGTTTGGTTACAACAGAACCAGATTCGGGAGATTTTTATAGACCATGTAAGTTTTTTTTTAGAGATTTTGTTTTTTATATTTCCGTATATTGTTTTAGGTGTAACTGCCAAAAAAATTTCGCTTTATCACGTTAGATTTTTCGGCGACAAGGGGAGAAGGGCATGGATTAAAAACACGCACATGGTACATTTCTGCTCCAAGAACGATTTGAACTTTATTGCCAAGAAAATGAAAGAAAAGGGAAAACATAATGTCGAAATAAGCCAATCTTGCGTAGTGCGCAATTGTTGGAAGCAGAAATGGCAAACTGGGGTGGATGAAGCTAAGACGGTGAAATCAAAATCGTACCAGGAAAAAGTGGACTATTTCAAAAAGGTTGTGGCTTCAATGTCGGCTGCAAAGGAAAAGAAGGAAATCCAGCCGAACGACGATACCCTTAGCGTGAAAAGCGAGAGTTCCGACACGAAATCTTTGAAAAGAAAGTACGAGAAAATCAAAAGAGATTCCGGTGCAGGCAAGAAAGAGTCCGAGTCGCCACCGAGGAAAAAAACGAAGGAAGATCCGGACGATGAAGTTTTCCTTCCGAGACTCAGGCACCGCCGCAAAGCGTCCGAAGACGAGAGCTCGGATACGGAGTCGAAAGTGAGCGAGGTTAGCGTAAACGTGTCGGCCATGTCGCAGCAGCGGGCCCTCTTCAACAGAAACAAACTCTTCAAGGGCGTCGCCAGGGACAAAGTGTGCCAGCTTTGCTTGAAACCCGACCAAGTGTACAGGTGCAAGGGTAAGTGCTATGGAAGTTTCCATTATCAGTGCGCCATGGATATCGCGGAGGGAAAAGTCGACGTTAAAAAGAAAGCTGCTAGGAGGAGCAACGAGGAAAAGAAGCAAGTGGACAGCAGGAAGACCAATGAGGAAGTTATAAATGTTGAAGAACCATCTACTACCCCAAGCGATAATCCCAGTACAACGGGAAACGATTCAACCAAGACGACAGATGGAGGTACGAAGTCGCCATCAGGCAACGTCCAGATTGTAACGGTACGGTCTCACATCAACAACACGCCGCCGAAAAAAAATTTCCCCGATAATTTCAAGACGATGTCGCTCGCCGAACAAATCGACTTCAAAATGAAGGAGATCATGCGCAAGTTCGAGGCCAAAACGGTCTACAAAGAGTCCTCCACCGATTCGAGTTGCGATGAGCGCGAGAAAGCGACGTCGTTGTTGAATAAATCTGCGGCAACGTTGCCGAACAAATCCGCTGATGTTGTCGGTGTCGAGAAAAATGGCGGTGCGGTGGAAAAGGAGGCTTCAAAAGAAGCGTTGGAGTCGGAAGCAGCCAAAGCACCCGAAACTGTTGAAGAGAATAAGAAGGTTGATGAGGCTGCAAATGAAACCAGTCAAAAGGCGGAATCGCCAAGTTTCATTATACAAAACGCTTTGAGCAAACGCGAGAAGTTGCGCCTGGCGCGTCAACGCAAGAACGAGAAGCGTCGCTGTAAACGCAGAGCGGAAAGTGACTTTCGTAAAGGTAAAAAACAATTTTTTTGTTATTTAAATTAAAAATATAAAAAAATCTTTATTGAAAGGGAGTTTTACATTATTAATAATAGTGTGAAACCCCCTTTTCAATAAAGCCTCATTCAGAACCTTGTGATTAGTATAATAAATTAGTGGTTTCAATTATACTTATAATTAACACAAAACGATCATTCACAATCAGCAAAATTAACATCTAAAATTAAGGGAATTTGCTAAAAGATCGCCCATTCTTCTTAACCTGACATATACAATATTAATTACACTGGTCTGCAAAATAATATTTTTTTCTCCTCATTGTTTTCATACATGATAACATTATATTTGGTGCTCTAAACACAGAATTTAACATGCAAATGAATACAGCACATAGATTTTAAATATTATGTTTAATTACAAAAAAGTGACAAATACTATGACTTAAGTTTTACATAAACTACACATAAAATACTTAACAAAAATATATAAAATGTGATCTTTGTACAAAACTTACCAAAATATTTGATATAGAACGTTAAATTAAGTTTTCAAGTGCTGTAAAGTCACAGCGAATACTGCGCAAGCGCATATGTACTACCATAAAAATCACTTTCGGTACTTTTCTTCTTTCTCTTACAACTCGTTAAAACCTATTTTGTATGTATATGCACTGGTTGTAATTACACATACAACAATTTAAAAAAAAACAAAATTTATGTATATTGTGTATACAATTTATGAAAATTATTGTACACAATAAACATATATTATATTATATTATTATATACAGTGTGTCCACAGATGGACTTAACTATACTTGTAAAAATATTTATTTTCAATATATTAAAGAAGTCACTCCTCATAATTTCTTCTGCTTGTTATATAAATACCATTCACGACAAAAAAACTTCTATTTTTCTATGCAGGGTGCGCAAAAAATACTATTGTAGATTTTGCAAAATTAAAAATTGTTAAATATTTTTTTTGAAGGTCTAATTTAAAGAGCTTGTAGGAGAAACAAAACAGCCAAATAAAGTTTTTTCATGTGAGTTGTTACTAAGATATTTTTTACCAAAAATAAAATCAATTCAGTTCCTAACTTAAGTGCTATTATTTTGTAGAAATTGACTGCTATCTAATTTTGTGTTTATGAATCAAGGTTGTTGCTTTTAACTGACTTTGAAACATAGATGAAACTAATGTCCTAAATTTCCAATATCAAATATCTTAATATAAAAAACTGATAAAAAAAACTTTATTTGACTTTTTCATTTCTTCTTATCAGCTCTTGAAAAAAACATTTAAAATTTTTTATTTTGAAAATCTGTCCAATCATAATTGGCAAAGGTTTTGTTTTTGAAATATTTTTCCACTAATTAAAAAGTACTACCACTAATTATTTGGTTCTAAACAACACTGTGTATTAGACTGGACCAAATTTTCCGTCAATTGAGCCGTTTCCTTAAATTCATGCCTTAAAAATTGGTATAGTTTTACAATTTAATCTTTTAACTTTGGAATTTTGTAAAATCAGTACCCGGAAAAAAACCGTTAGATATTCTTATGGAAAATCAAATGATATAAAAAAAGTCTCTTAACATTTTTGGCTAAATCACTCAATCAAAAGTTATTCAAGGTTAAAGTTGAAGTCAAAACGAAATTCTCGTTTTTTCCTCTGTAGATTTTTTTATGGATGATAATTTGATTTTTTTCTTTATAAACAATTTACAATAAACCTTGAATAACTTTTGATGGAGTGAATTTCGCCAAAAATGTTAAGAGACTTTTTTTGTATAGCATTTCATTTCCCATAAGAATATCTATCGGTTTTTTTTTCGGGTACTGATTTTTACATAAATTACAAATTTCCAAAGTTAAAAGATCAAATTGTAAAACTACCCATTTTTAAGGCATGATTGTAAGGAAACGGTTCATCTGACGGGAAATTTTAATTAAACCTTTTTTATAGAGCATTCAATTTTTTTCAAAAAATATTCTTAAGTCAATTTTGTTAAACTCAATGGTTTGGGAGTTCTAAAACAAAAACTCGCTCAGGAAAAAAAAATCTAAAATTGCGATGATAGACCTCTTAATATTAATGTTATGGACTCAAACTTTCACATTAATTTTTTTTTTCACCCCAAACAATATTTTCGATATACTTTACAAAAGAAAAATTGTCGACAGACAAACTTTTACGTTAATTGAAACCTCCGAATAAGGCTTAACGATTTTTTTGTTTTTTTAAATTTGAATCCATATTCAGGTATCGTGCGCCACGTCACCGCCGACGCCGACTTGGTTTCGGAGGAGCCCGAGTCGATGGACGCGAAAAACTTCAAGTGCGGCTTCTGCGCCGCCAACCTCGACCCGCTGTGCGCCATATGCATGAAGTACGCGAGCCCTGGCGGGTCCTCGGTGAGGCAGAAGTGCTCGCTGGGCTACTGCGGGAAGTACTACCATCAAGAGTGCCTGAAGCCGTGGCCGCAGACGCAGTGGACGCTCACGCAGACCGTGCTCAACAACAGCGTGGTGGACACGTTCGTGTGCCCCATCCACGCGTGCCACACGTGCGTGTCGGACGACCCGCGCATGGCGCACGTGCACCGGTGCTCGTCGGACAAGCTCGTCCGGTGCCTCAGCTGTCCGGCGGCCTACCACCAGTCGAGCATGTGCCTGCCGGCCGGCACGGAGATCCTCACCGGCTCGCAGATCGTGTGCCCGCGGCACAGCAAGTACAACCGCAAGCAGCAGATCTGCAACGCGAACTGGTGCTTCCTGTGCTCGCGCGGCGGCAACCTGATCTGCTGCGAGACCTGCCCGATGAGCATCCACCCGGAGTGCATCACGAAAAAAATCAACCCCGACGAGGCGTTTATTTGCGAGGACTGCGAGTCCGGACGTTATCCCCTCTACGACGAGATCGTCTGGTGCAAGCTCGGCCACTACAGGTAAAAATAATAATAATTTATATTTCACCTTAGGGTGATTCATTTCCGCAAAGTTTTTGTTTTTTTCGGTGCTCAAGCAAAATATTAATCTGCATATAGAAAAAAAAATCTCACCAAGTTTCAGCTCTTAATTTTAAGTACTTACTATTTAAATTTAAAGTTTTACCGTTTAAAATGCATGTAAAAAATATTTTTTTTCTTCAAATTTTCACCTTTGACAATATTGCAAATCGGTTTGATGGACCTTGTGGGGAATTTCACGCTCTTCAAAATTGCTTTTGAGTTTTTTTGTAACTCGCATTGGTTCACCAGTAGGAGTTGTCAAAGGACAGTTTTTGAAAAAAATCGTTTTTTTATTTTTTTTCGAGCAAATCGCCAAAAGTAGGGAGAAAAAAGTACTGACTCATAAAAAAAAGTTATCCAACCAATATTTAATGAATTTACAGCCATTTTTATAATGAAAACGTAAGAAATTAATAACTGGGTCATTTTCAAGAAACACCCGCTTTCAGGAAAATTAAGATCAAAATATTTGTTTGCTTAAATTGACTTTTGGTTGGATTTTTATAAATGTTTAGAGTTTTGTTTTCTTACATTTAAGACAGGCAGTGCACTTTTTAATTTTTTGTGTGTTTTTTGCAGAAAAATGTGTTTAGCTAGCTTTATATATCTCCACTGTGTTACCAATTTGAAATCCAAAATTTAATTCAATAAAAAAAGTTGTTATAAAAATAATTTGAAATAAAATGTAGGTACTTAGTTCACAAACTTTTGACTCCAATTTTTTATTTTATTTTTTATTAAAAATTGTATGCTTTTTTTTAAAATATGTATGTTCGTTAAGAAACCATTCCGATTCTTTGTTAAAAAACAATACCATTAATATTTTCTTTTAGTCACTGTATTAGTGAATTAAACTCTAATTTATAAACACGTATTACCAAGTGATAGTGTAACTTAGATTTCTAAATTGTAGATATCCTTTTTTTTACTATAAGCTGGTAATGGTCCCTTTTAGTACTTTTATATTGCGTGGAATTTTTCCTTGGATGTAATCTAGGTATATCATGAGTTGTAATTACAAAAAATTTTAAATTGGTTAATCATAAACTACTTTTAATAAAAGCTACGGTAAATATCCTTTGTTGTCGAAAAATTATATTGCGTTACCCTAAATTCCATTGCGTTACCATAAGGTAACATAGTGGACTCGGTAACGCAGTGGATAAAGTTTTGTAAAACCATATTTAAAAAATAATAATAAGACATTATAGTCATTAATTACTCTCAATGAGCTAAAGCCCTAAAATAAACATGAAAAATAGTATTTTTTTCTTACCTTATTCTTATTATTTTTTTGAGTAACTTAGCGGACAAACAATTATTACATTCGCGTTACTCGCACCTGTTTCAACCGATATCTTCTTCCTGATTGAATAAATAAATTCAGCTAGGTAATGTGTACGTCCGAACATCATTTGTTGATCACGTGAGTACCAAAAAAGTTGCCATATATATGTTTTTTTTAGAGATGGAAAAATTCCCATTTGACGAAAATTCCCGGAAACTTTCCATCGAAAATTCCCGAAATTTTCAGTTTAAGTTTCAAACATTTTTTTTGCGAAAATATTTTTTTTATGCCAGGGATTTGCAAAAATATATAACACATTAACTTTTTGTCAAATTTTATTAAAAAAAAAAATTAAAAAAATGTTTATAAGAATGTACCTAACTGCAATACTATTTTTAGTATCTTTTACTTTGGAATATTCCTATTGTATACTGAAACCTACAAAATAAAAATAAAATGTTTACTATTAGAAATTCACTGCTAGTAAATCCTAGATATTACGTAAAAAAAATTAAAAGGGACAAAGTAACTTATAAATAGGAATATTGAAAAGTAAAAAGTAAAGTAAAAAATAATTCCAAACACTAGATTTTTCTCTTGGCATTGTGCTATGCCTATAAATAAACAACAAAAATTTAAGAATGATTTTAACTTTGTTTATTGTTTTTATTTTGTTTACCTTTTTTTTTAAGTTTTTTGTGATGATGCTGAATAATCCGGCTTCATTGAGGTTATGTAACATAACTTACACACAAAACTAGTTTTGTGAACTTACATTATTTATACTTCTTCTGCTTTACACACATTAAATTCTTATTCAAAGTTTCTTGGCCTTGTATCATGGCCTTAACGAAAATCAGCGGTTAAACAATTGACATTTAAATGAAAAAAACAAGGAAAGTTTCCAAGGAATGTTTCCGGTAGCTTAAAAGAAACTTTGAAAATGAAAATAAATTCCCAACTGGAAACTTTCCAAAACGGAAAGTTTCCTTAAAATGGAAACTTTCCGATTCCCATCTCTAGTTTTTTTTAATATTCTATCTGTAACGCGACGGACGTAACGCAACGGAAAAAATGTCTGGGACATGAGTCAAATTTAAAAAAAAGTGGATTAAAATTAATTATTTTATATATAAATTGTTTGCTGTATTAACTAAGGATGTTAAGGATTGCTATAAAGCAACACAAAGTTCTGGTTATTCAATATTAAAAAAAAAACATGTATGTAAGTTTTATAAAACGCTAATGGGACATGCGAAAATGTGTGTTTCACAAGTTTCAAAATTAAAAAAAAATTATTCTGAAATAACTAAACAAAACTTTTCTGAAAGAGTTTACTAAGGGCTTGTTAGGCTTTCACTTGGTTTTTAAATTAATAAGATCCGATCATTTTTAACAAAGTTATTGGAATTCAAACTTACGGACAGCGGAAGGCGGGTGTTTTTTGAAAACGACCCAAATACCAACACATAATGTTATTTAGATTGATTTTTTCTATTTATAATCTTTATATTTCCCTACACTAAGAACTTTTTTTAAATTATTATGATTTCTCACTCATAATGAATATGAAAACAACACATAAATTCATAAAAAAACAACAAAACTTTAATCGGAATATACAGAAGGTTACGTTATTATGTAACATATTTCAAATTTCGCTTCAAAAAATTAAATAATCTTAATTTATATATTTTTTGCTATATGACAGAAATGTTGAAAAATTGCAAAATCCACGTTACAATTTTATTCTTGTTTTTTATGAATTTATGTGTTGTTTTCATATTCATTATGACTGTACTTTGACTACTCCTACGAATGAACCAATGCGAGTTACACAAAAAAACTTCAAAGCAATTTTGAAGAGCATGAAATTCCCCACAAGGTCCATCAAACCGATTTGCAATATTGTAAAAGGTGGGTAAGCATTAGAAATTTGAAAAAATATATATTTTTTACATGCATTTTACGGTAAAACTCTAAATTTAAATAGTAAGTACTTAAAATTGATATAAGAGCTCAAACTTGGTGAGAATTTTTTTTTCTATATGCAGATTAATATTTTGCTTGAGCACCGAAAAAAAAAACTGCGGAAATGAATCACCCTAATATACATGTGTAGTCAATAATTTTAGCATTAAAACTATAAAAACAATTGGACAAAAACTATGATTTTAAAAGCGTTTTAAAAATGTATCAGTTTTATCAAATTTGGAAGAAAGTAAATGTGTTTTTAGTATTTAGTTTTATATTGATGGTTACTTCTTATAGCTCTATGGGTGCTAAATTTATTATTCTTACCACTAAGCTATCTAAATTTTCATAAAAAACATCAATTTAAAAAATAAAACCGTTAGTTTTAAGGTAAAACGTCTTTTTAGTATCTTTTATATTGATGGTAACTTCTTATAGCTCTATAGGTGCTAAATTCTTCCTACTAACCTATCTAAAATGTACCAGTTTTATTAATTATGGAAAAATGTAGTCCTAAAATTAAAACTTGAGATTTCAGGGTCTATAATTATATTTAATATCTTAAGTATGTATAAGCTACCCTAAGATTATAATCTTAGGGTAGCTTATACATACTTAAGATATTAAATATTACACTCCTCTCATTGAACAATCTAAATGTTAATAAAAAACATCAATTTAAAAAATAAAAGAATTAGTTTTAAGGTAAAATGTGTTTTTGGTATCTTTTATATTAAAGATAACTTCTTATAGCTCCATGGGTGCTAAATGTTCTATTCTTCCTACTAAACTATTCCAAAATGTATCAATTTTATCCAATTTGGAAAAAGGTAATCCTGAAATTAAACCTTTTGAGATTTCAGGGTCTATAATCTTAGGGTACCTTGTAAGCATACTTAAGATATTAAATATTATACTTCTCTCACCAAACTATCTAAATTTTCATAAAAAACATCAATATGAAAAATAAAACAATTATAATTTTATAGTTTTAAGGTAAAATATGTTTTTAGTATACTTTATACAATGTGGCTCCCGTCCCGAGGCGGGACTTAAGTTCAGTCCCGATTGACGTCACACACTGTAAATCCGTTTTTATTCCCCGAGATTTTATAATTTGTGTCAAGCTCGATGGCTTAGATGGTAGGGCGGTCGCTTGGCATGCGAGAGGTACCTGGTTCGATTCTACTAGAAGTTGTCAAACTTTTTTTATTTTTTTTATTTTATAAATTTGTTGTTTCTTTGTTAAAAAGTGTTTTATTTTTATCGTAACATAAATTTGCCCATTTTAGTTGGGTTTTTTGCTCAATGGGGCGGGGGGGGGCCCCAATGGGGCGGGGTCGGTTGGGTTTTGTTGTTGAGTTTGGGTTGGTTTGGTTTTATGACGTAACTAAAGTGCCCTTAACATGTATACAGGTACAATTTATTATTATTATTATTTTATTATAACATAACAAATCTTAAAATTATGACGTCAATCGGGACTGAACTTAAGTCCCGCCTCGGGACGGGAGCCACAGCGTACTTTATATCGAGGATAACTTCTTATAGCTCTATAAGTGCTAAATTTTCTATTCTATACTAAAGTATCTAAAAATGTATCAGTTTTATTAAATTTGGAAAAAGGTAGTCATAAAATTAAAAGTTTTGACATTAAGGGTCTATAATCTTAGGGTAGAACGTAATAGTTATTTATGTATTAAGGGCATAATAAGGTTTTTATGGTCCGAGGCGCTATTTCGAAAGAAGAAAAGCGTCGTAGGACCATAAAAACCAGTTATGCCAGCAATGCATACAAAACTTTATGCACGATTAATATATTATTATTTTTAATATATTATTGTTTTTAAAGACGTTTACGTCAAAGAATTTTTGTTATAATTGTCATATTATAATGTCAACTGACTGATCAGTCAGTTTTAAAGTTTAAAGATGAATGAAATTGAGGAAGCAGCTGAAAAGGCGAAAAATTGCGGCCTGCTCTCGGAAAAATCAAAATCTTTATACGAAAAAACTTACTTCGAATATATCAAATGGTGTAACATTGTTGTTTTTAATTTTTGACGTTTCATTATAGCCCGCTGGGTCATAATAACGCCCGCGGGCTATAAAAAGACGTTTACGTCAAAGAAATTTTGTTATAATTGTCATATTATAATGTCATCGTGCATAAAAATACTTAACATATTAAATATTATACTTCTCTCACTAAACTATCTAAATGTTCATAAAAAAATATAGTTTTATACTATCTAGAAATGCATCAGTTTTATCAAATTTATAAAAGGTATTTCTGAAATGATGAGTTTTAAAAAGGGTGTTCTTGATTCAATTTTATTTTATGCATCAAAATTATAAAAGTCGCAGTTCGTTGAAAATCGACTTTACTTAGGTGGTGGCCAGGCGTCGTGCTCTATCCCAACGAGATACCGGACAACGTTCTCAAGATTAACCACGACCGCGGCGAGTTCGTCGTGAAATTTTACGGCACCTACGATCACCATTGGTTCAACAAGGGCAGAGTATTCCTGTTCCACGAGGGCGACAAAGGCCAAAACAGCGCCAACAAGCAAGGCATCGATCTGCGATTCCAAACGGCCATCGAGGAGGCCACGATAGCGCACAGAATCAAGAAAGGTAAGCACTTTTTTGTGTACGCCGTTTTATTCAAACGGTTATCGAACCTTTTCGTTATCGCAGAGTTCAAAAACAGCAAGGATATCAAACGGCAGAACCTGAGCAAAATACCGCCCTACATCAAAATTAAAGTCAACAAACCTGTGGGCAACGTCAGGCAGTTCGATCCCAATTTAAGCAACACGACACCTTGCGAGTGCGATCCGAAGGCAGCGCAACCTTGCGGACCTGACAGCGACTGTCTCAACAGGTATTTCGTTTGGCGATTTTAACATTTATTAAATCATTTTTTGATTTAAAATTTTAGGTTTACATTTATAAATTTAAAATATTTTCATCCATTGTGTATTGAAAGACAAAATTAATGCAAACATTTCTAACTATCATAATAAAAATAATTTCTTAAATATAATTTATTTGGGCAGAATTTTGTAAATCCTAAATAATTTTGTTATAAAATTATTTAACATAAATTGGTAAAGTTAAATTTTTTAGTATTTAAAAATAGCGTTGAGACATTTAAAATAAAAACACATATAAAACTTTTTCTACCAAAATAGTTTAAACAGTTAAATTTTTTAATCTCAAAACCATTATAATTATTTTTATATTAAAATATTTTTTAATTATTATTAAAAAAAAATTTAATATAAAAATGCAAATGTAAAAGTTTAAGTTTAAAATATTGGTTTTTAAAAATTGTACTTTAAATATTTTATTCACAAAATTATTGGTTTAAATTTGTAAAGAGTCATTTAAATGATAGTCGATAAATTTTTAATTTTTGTATTAAAAATTTATAGACTATCATTTAGAAAGAATTGGGCTAGGGATATAAAATTTACCGTAATTAAAATGGTTACAACTTCCATTATGTTTGATATATAATGGATTATTTAAAATTTAGTTTTACACAAATTTAATTTAAAATAGGGCTTGCCAACTTTGTGATATTAATTTTAATTTATTTTTAATTAGTCTGAATTTTTTATCTTTAAATAATTAGGTTCAATTTTTATGATACCTTATTACAATTAGATCAATTTTTCTGCACATGTTGAATTCATCATCAAAAATTATTAAAAATGTTTGCAATAAAATGTTAGAAATAACTCCATATTAATGTTGAATTTTAATTCATTGAATTATTTTTAATATATGCACAAATATTTTAATTTTTATTTGAAACTTATTTTAAGTTGCAATGTTTTTCATATAATTAAACTATTATTCAACTATTTAAAACGATGTAGAATATAATTTTTATTGCTTGAACTAAAATGGTGTATAACATCATTTTAATTTCTGGAATTAAAATTCTGTTGAGTATAAAATACTTTTTTTCTACGTATAAAAAAATGGAAAATTGATCAATATACAGGGAAAAAGTTTATTTTTTGTAATGGATCACCCTATTTATGAATTTATTTTTCGATTCCTTGTAAAATTATGAGCATAATTCATATAACAATCCATATACCTAAATTCAACAGTTTCTGAAATATTCACATTCGAAATGTTATCATTAAATGTTTATTTAAACTGTTAGAAATCAAGAAGCCTCAGTATACCAACATTTTTATTGAAAATAAATTACTATAGTGACATTATGTCAAAATGTCTCGTTAAATAAGTAAAAATGGCGTACACTGAAAAAAAAAATCATGTAAATTTCCGGTAATGGAGATTGGTTATTTTGATGCCTTGTTGATAACTGAAATACTCCATTTCATTATTATTTTACATGTAAAATGTAATAGCATAATTGACGTGTAACTCATTTATATTTTTTATGTAAAATAACATTTTTAATGTAATATGTTTTTTATTTACATGATAACATTAATATGCCGATGCGTGGGCAGGCAAGCGCGAATTCCCAGCCAATAGGCTTCTTCTCCGGTTACATATGAAATGTAATTTTGCGATTTTTACTACACTCCGAATGTAAAAAAACATTTAAACCTGTAATATTAAGACTAATAAAGTATATTTACATTTGAAATAATGCAGTAAGACGTTATAATTGTATTTTTTACATTTAGTTCGTTAAATTTACTTGTTGTATCAATAATTAATACATAACATTAGTAATTTTACAAACAAAAATGTTTATTTACTTGAAATATATAAAAATTAGACGAAAATAAAGGTAATTTTACAATTTGTCGTAAAAATTAGGAATTTATATGGTAATAATCCTGTAACTTTACATTTAAATGTAATAATTTTTTTCAGTGTACTTAGACAGAGAAAGACAAACTATTTCAACTTATTATCTTAAAAATAATTTAAATATTTCTGAAACGGTTGAATTTAGGTATATGGTATGTTATATGAAATATGCTTAGAATTTTACAAGGAATCGAAAAATAAATTCATATATAGGGTGATCCATTAAAAAAAAATAAACTTTTTGTTTTTCCCTGTATACTGATCAATTTTCCAATTTTCTTTATACGTAGAAAAAAAGTATTTTTTAGTACCTACATAACCACACTTTTAAATTTTTTGGGACACTTAAAAAAATAAAAAAGTTTAAGGGGGGCTACATTATAGGGGATCACCCCGTACAGTATAATTTTAATTCAATTAAAATGATGTATAGTATAATTTTAATTATGCGTGCATAATTTTAATTGAATTAAAATTATACTACAATATAATTTTAATTCTAAAAATTAAAATTATATTAAACATAATTTTAATTCCAGCAATAAAGTTATATTCTACATTCTACAATTATATATCATTTGAAATACTTGAATTAATATTACCATATGGAAAACATTGCAAGTTAACATAAGATTAAAATTCATCATCAACACCTTTCCAATATGTAGTTATTTTTTGTAACAATTTTTATTATATTATTCTCCATGATGTTGAATAAAAATTTTGTTGTTAAATGATAAAACGGCTTGCCATAGTCTGCTAAAGCCGACTTACATTTAAATGTTATGTGAATATGTTTGTGTTGAAAATGTATCAATTTAAAATTGTTAAAAATAAAAAGTTTTGGTTTAAATTCGTAAAGAGTCGTTTAAATGATAGTGGATAAATTTTATAATCAAAAAATTGCCACTTTTTTATTAATAATTTATCGAGTATCATTTAAATGACTCTTTACAAATTTAAACCGAAAATATTTAAACTAAATTTTTTTAAAATGTTGACCATCAATTGTTTTGAGTTTAAAAAAATTTAACCTTGTAAATTTCTGTTAAAACAACTTTAATCTTCAAACTCTAATAAATGCTAAAACGGCGTGCCATACGCAGGCCCGTTCCTGGCGAGCGTGCAGTGCGTGCACGCACGCAGGCGCAACATTTCGGGGACGCAAAATCAAAGTCAATCAGTACTTTGTAACAATAAACTTTCTTGCATATGATACTTAAACATACATTGGATAAACGTTTCTGCCTTTTTTGCGTCGGCCGCTCTTTTTTTCGGTCGCTATAAAGCGCCTTTTGCCGCTTGATATTGGCTGCTTATTTTGTTTTGATATGATCAAAATAAAAGGAGAGAAATGGTCATATTATCTATTTGTTTCATAGTTGCAGTTGACGGTAGCAAAGTTTAATAGTAGTAACTCTCTAAAATAGAATTAGTCAAAAATGACTAATTCAATTAGTCTAATTGCAATAGCAAAAAAGCAGCGACTAATAATTATTGTCAATAGTAATTTGTATCCCGTATATTTAGCAGTCAACTCCTATGTAAAATTGTCCGCAGAATCCGAAAATGTCGTCAAAAGTTATAAAAGTAGAACGTTTTTGAGATTTAGTAAATTTTACATATAATATGGTATTGACTATATTTTAAAAACTGCTTTACTTTTATAATTTTTGACGGTATTTTCGGATTCAGGGGACAATTTTACATAATAATAAGCTGTTAAATGTCCGGGATACAAATAGCTGTGTACTAAAGTTATTAGTGACTGCTTTTTTACTTTGAAAACTAGTCATTTTTAGAGAGTACGTCACTAAAAACCAGTTGTAAGTAGTTATTATATTATTTGGATTGTTTTTTTTCTTTAGAGTATTTTTATCACTGACTATTTCCCTCGTCTTAATTTCCACCAATCACAAACGCGCAATTTTGAACTACAAATGGTTTCTAGGTAAAAAAACTGTATGACAGCTGTTGTCACCAAAAATTGCAATTTATATTTTAATTGTTAACTGTTACTCATGAAATAGTCTTGTTAAATACCATTCGGGCATCTAACTTTTCCTATGAAAAAAATCGTTAAAACACAATGCTAAGTAATATTTTTTAACAAAATGCATTCGTGCAGGTGCAAAAATCCTCGTCTTCGACTCGGATTTTTGTTGCCACCAGCACTCATGCTTCTTGTTAAAATATTACTTAGCAACGTGTTTTTTCGGAAAAATAGATGCCATTATGATATTACTTGTTTGTTTGGTAATTTAATAAATATTTTTTATACTTAATTTAAGCGGTTTTTTTACATTTTCAATTACATATTTATATATATTTTTTTAAATTTTACGACTTAAAATTCAAATATTTAATGTATTATATTTAAATATAAAAGGGGCGCACCAACGAATGCTGCACGCAGGCGCCAGACACCCCAGAAACGGGCCTGGCCATACGAATCTAAGTGGGGCGATAAATAATAAACAATTTTAGGCTTCTGCTGACGGAATGCGATGCTGACGTGTGCCCGGCAGGCACGCGCTGCTGCAACCAGTGCTTCGAAAAGAAGGAATACCCGCCTCTGACGCCGGCGAGAACTTCGGAGCGCGGCTGGGGCCTGAAAACGCTGGCGCCCGTCAAAAAGGGCCAGTTTGTGATCGAGTACGTGGGCGAGATGATAGACGAAACCGAGTATCAACGAAGGATCAAGAAGATGCACGAGTGTCGCGAAGAGAACTACTATTTTCTCACCATCGATAAGGATAGGATGCTCGATGCCGGTCCGAAAGGTAAGTTTGTGTTTTGAATATTTATCTCTCTTTAATTTTTAAATTTTAAAAAATTATAATTTTATATTATATCTTAGGGTAGCATGAAAACATACTTAAGATATTAAATATTATACCTACTTCTCTTAATAAACTATCTAAATGTTCATAAAAAAACGATGTGGCTCCCGTCCCGAGGCGGGACTTAACTTCGATCCCGACAGACGTCACACACTGTAAATCCGTTTTTATTCCCCGAGCTTTTATAATTGGTGTCAAGCTGGATGGCTTAGATGGTAGGGCGGTCGCTTGGCATGCGAGAGGTACCGGGTTCGATTCTACTAGAAGTTGTCAAACTTTTTTTATTATTTTTATTTTATAAATTTGTTGTTTCTTTGTTAAAAAGTGTTTTATTTTTATCGTAACATAAATTTGCCCATTTTAGTTGGGTTTTTTGCTCGGTTGGGTTGTGTTGTTGAGTTTGGGTTGGTTTGGTTTTATGACGTAACTAACGTGCCCTTACATGTATACAGGTACAATTTATTATTATTTTATTATAACATAACAAATCTTAAAATTATGACGTCAATGAACTGAACTTAAGTCCCGCCTCGGGACGGGAGCCACAGCGAAAAAAAAAAATTTTTTTTTATATCTTATATTTACGGTAACTTCTTACCAACTACCATAAGATTCATGTGGAACGTTTTTACATTCCATTAATAACATTTAAAATGAAATGTTTAAGTGTTTAAACACAATTATAATTCAATAATAATACAACAATTTTTAAATGAAAAGGGATCTCTCAGCTAGTTTCCAAATAAAATGTTTTATTTGCTACTTACATTAACATAAATATATTATAATATACAGACTGTATAGAATCAAGTAAGTAAGGCTGGAGACAAGGATGACAAATTATATTCTGATCAGAGGAAAAGAAACAAACTTTAATTGGGCGTGGTTTAAACCAAGCCATTCGTAATTACGAACCATAGTTGCCAGGTTGTTTTAAATCAGAAGAGTACGATTATAATTATTTAATAAATAGTTCAATTTTATTTGTTTGAAACTTTAAAAATAACAAAAAAATTAATATTATGTCAAAAATAATTTGATTTAGTTAATTTTCTTACTTTTAATATTAAAAAATAAGAAAAACAACCCTTTTAGGAAACAATAATAGCATATGCCAACAGCGCGGCATGCCGCGTATTGTAGCTACACTGGGTAAAGGCCTATTTTGAAACATATTTTGAAATAAAGTTTGTATTTGGCGATACGGCGATACCATAATTTGGTATTTTTCCTCACGGGTAAAAACCATTTTATTTGAGAAAATACTTTTTTATTCTTACAAAGACGTACGCAAAGTCTCAGTGCATTTCTTAAACTGACGCACAGACAGTGTTGCCAGTAGTAGAAAAATTAAAGTACTGAAATGGCAATAAAAACTTATTGAATTTGAAAGATAACGTACTGACTTTGAGAAATAAATATTAAACTTATATGAACGTAATTTTATTTTGTAATTTATCAATAAACACATGCACATAAATAAACTATAAACATCAAAAGAACAAAATAGATAATTATTATTATACCTATACAAAAAAACAATATTGTTGGTAAAATTAAAAAATAGTCTACCTATCGATAATTAATTTTCTTTTTTAACAAAGATTGAGGTATTTGGCTTCAATAATTCCTATTATTCCTATGAGCGGTTCTTGGCGAACTTGGAACAAACCTTATGTCAACACTAAGTAGACAACGCGCGCTACCAACAGTTTAAAACTTAAAATACCAGGATACTAAAATAACTCAGTATCACCAACCTAAACTTTCAATTTTTTCTTTAATTTTTATTTAAATAAAGGGAAAAAAATCTAAAACTGGAAAACGTACTTTTTTTAAGTACTGAATTCGGTACAAACGTACTGACGCTGGCAACACTGCGCACAGATCATACGACATACAAATTCAATCCCTACCACAGTGGGCGTGGTTTGGCACTTGTTTTATTTAAGTGTATCTATTCGTTTTAATACACACTGTATATTTTATAACATGGTACATTTAAAATGTTACACATATTTTTCATCAACCTTAATTTTTAAACTTTAGATTTATATGGAAAGTATTTAAATATTACATTAGTAACATTTAAAATGAAATGTTGTATAAAAGTATGTAAACATTACAACTATAATATTACAAACATAAGTTTCTTCTAATGTTTCATTTAAAATATTAAAACAACTTTTAAATGAAAAAAAATCTTTTAGCTAGTTTACAAATAAAATTTTTTATTTGCTACTTACACTAACATAAATGAAATGTTACATTTAAAATATTACACATGATAATTTCCATCAACCTTAATTTTGAAACTTTACCTTAAGATTTATATGGAAAGTTTTTAAATTTAACATTAGTAACATGTAAAATGAAATGTTGTATAAAAGCATGTAAACATTTCAATTAAAATATTACAAACATGAGCTTCTCTTAATGTTTCATTTAAAATATTCAAACAACTTTTAAACAAAAATAAGATTCTCTGAATGTTTCATTTCAAATATTAAAACAACTTTTAATGAAAAGAGATCTTTACAGTTTACAAATAAAATGTTTTATTTGCCACCTGCATTAACATAAATGAAATTTTACATTTAAAATGTTACACATGATTATTTCCATCAACCTTAATTTTGAAACTTTACCATAAGATTTATGTTAAAAGTTTTTATATTACATTAGTAACATTTAAAATGGACTGTTTTATAAAAGTATTTAAATATTACAATAATTGTTATAATTATTATAATATTACAAAAATTGGTTTCTCTTAATGTTTTAATTAAAAAATTATAATTTTATATTATATCTTAGGGTAGCATGTAAACATACTTAAGATAATAAATATTATGCTCCTCCAACTAAGCTATCTATATTTTCATAAAAAAATAAATTTAAAAAATAAAACAAAAAGTTTTAAGGTAAAATGTCTTTTTAGTATATTTTATATTGACGGTAACTTCTTGTAGGTCTATAGGTGCTAAATTATCTATTCCTCCCTCTAAACTTCCTAAAAATGTAGCAGTTCTATCAAATTTGGAAAAAGGTAGTCTTAAAATTAAAACTTTTGAGATTTCAAGGTCTATACTATTAGGATAGCTTGTAAGCATACTTAAGATATTAAATATTATGCTCCTCTCACTAAATAATCTAAATTTTCATAAAAAAACATCAATTTAAAAATAAAATAGTTAGTTTTAAGGTCAATATATTTTTGGTATATTTTATATTAAGGGTAAATTCTTAAGAAGCTATAATTATAGCTCCATAGGTGCTAAATTTTCTATTCTTCCCACTAAACTATCTAAAAATGTATCAGTTTGATCAAATTTGGAAAAAGGTAGTCTTAAAATTAAAACTTTTGATATTTCAAGGATAGCTTGTAAGCATACTTAAGATATTAAATATTATGCTCCTCCCACTAAACTATATAAATTTTCATAAAATAACATCAATTTAAAAATAAAATAGTTAGTTTTAAGGTCAATATATTTCTGGTATATTTTATATTAAGGTGCTAAATTTTCTATTCTTCCCACTAAACTATTTAAAAATTTATCAGTTTGATCAAATTTGGAAAAAAGTAGTCTCTATGGGAGCTAAATTTTCTATTCTTTCCACTAAACTATCTAAAAATGTTCTATCATTAAGATTTCAGGGTCTAAAATCTTAGGGTAGCTTGTAAGCATACTTAAAATACTAAATGAGGAGTGATTTTTCAAAAGGCCTTATTTGCATTTTTACTTGAATGTAATTTTTTGACAAAATTAACGGCGAAATATGACAGCAGGTCTGAAGTATTATTAAATATTCATCAGAATTTTTTTTAAATAATCTATATTGCCCTAACCTATACAGGTTATTGTCATTTTTTTGTAAAATTGTTGCAAATGGAAATACGACCTTTTGAAAAATCACTCCTCAAATATTACACTCCTTCCACTGAACTATCTAAATTTTCATAAAAAAAACAGGTAATGTGGCGAGGTTCATGAACCACTCGTGTCAGCCGAACTGCGAGACGCAAAAGTGGACGGTGAACGGCGACACCAGGGTGGGCTTGTTCGCCACCGAAGACATCCCCGCCAACACCGAGCTGACCTTCAACTACAATCTGGAGTGCGTGGGCAAGGAGAAGAAGGTGTGCATGTGCGGCGCCCCCAACTGCAGCGGCTTCATCGGGGTCAAAGCGAAGGTAAGAATCCACCGAAACGCTTTCGCATCCTTTCTGGAGGTGTCGTGTTTTTCTCGTTTCAGTCCGACATCCCGTCGAAGAAGGTGAAAAAGTACAAGCTGAAGAAGCACCTGAAAGCGACGAAACCCGTCAACGTCGTCAACAAGAATCCCTGCTTCATTTGCGGCAAAAAGGGTTTAGTTGAGGCGTGCAACAATAAAATTTGCACCAAGAGTTACCATCTCAAGTGCGTTAAACTCGACGCGTGGCCTGATGGTGAGGAATATTATTTTGGAATAAAAAATAATATTAATGTTTTGTTCCTTTTTTCAGGAAATAAATTCATTTGCCCCTGGCATAATTGCAAAGTTTGCACTAAAAGAACTATTAGGTGTTGTGTTCAATGCATTAATTCGTATTGTCCTCAACATTCTGAGGGAAATATCAGGCATGATAACCTTCTAGGATTTATCTGCTCAGATCATGATCCAGTAAGTATTTAACCACTTTTTTAAGCTTAAACGCTGAACTCGAAAATTTCTCTAAAATATTATTTTTTTTTACTTTTTATTTCTGTGTTTATTTTTATTTCTTAAGCCCGCTGCACAACAGTCCAGAAACAAGAACGCGAAAAACGGTGGTTTTTTAGTCTTTCCCGCCTTTTCTGTTCAGATTCCCGTTCCCGTTACCAGGCTATTGTGCAGCAGGCTTTGGACGTACATACGTTTTAATGAAATTTTATATAAAAGTATTTAAACATTACAATTGGATAGCGCTTAACAAAAAGAAACCAAGCGCCAAAAACTTTTTCTGGGGTAAACAAAATTATTTGCAAAATAACTCATTTTTTAATGCTGCTTAAAAAATTAACAATGATTTGGGAACCCTCTCAATCGTTTTGAGAAAAGTTCCAAATGATGATCAACCTTTTGAGCATTAATAAAAATGTGTTATTTTACAAATAATTTTACCAAGCTTGGTTCCTTTTCGTTAAACACTATCCAATTATAATATTTAAAAAATAGTTTCTCCTAATGATTTATTTAAAATATTACAACAACTTTTGAAAAGATCTTTTAGCTAGTTTACAAATAAAATGTTTTATTTGGCCTTTGCGTTAACATAAATGAAATGTTACATTTAAAATTTTACACATGATAATTTTCATCAACCTTATTTTTGAAACTGTACCTTAAGATTCATATGGAAAGTTTTTAAATGTTACATTAGTAACATTTAAAATGAAATATATAAAATAATTTAAACATTACAATTATAATGTTACAAACATAAGTTTCTCTTTTAATGTATCATTTAAAATATTATAACAAATTTTAAATGAAAAGAGATCTTTTAGCTGGCTTTTAAATGTTTTATTTGCCAATGCACCAACATAAATGAAATGTTACATTTAAAATGTTACACATGATAATTTCCATTAAACTTTACCTTAAGATTAATATGGAAAGTTGCATACAAGTATTTAAACATTACAATTATAAATAAGTTTTTTATTATGTTTTATTTAAAATATTAATACAACTTTCAAATGAAAAATTCAATTTTATTTTAAATACGATTTTTGTGGGCCTTACGACGTGGGGTATTATTACTAGGGAATGCAATCTTGCAGGAAAATGTACAATCTTGGTAAAGCAAGATTTAAGAGGTGTAATCTCGCAAGATCTCGGTATTTTGCGAGATCTCGCAGATTTAAGATTAATAAAACTTTGTTAGGTTATATCGTAAAGGCAAAATAATTAAATAAAATATAAATTAATTAATTTATTTAAGACTATTCCCCTCATTACTAATCAGATTTCAGAAAACGAGTATTGTTTTCAGTGTTACCTATTTAGGTAAACAAAAACACTCGTTTATACGACCAACCAATTGGTTGCTATAGCATATATGCGAAAAATAATTATCAATATTGACGTTTCTAATTTTAAAATAAAAATGTCAAAAAATAGAAAGAAATTGAATCGGCAGTTAATTCTAATTTTAAAAAAAATATTCGTGAAATAGTCTTTTGCCGAATACCACTCGTAATAAAATTTTCCCTGAAAAATTTTTTGATTTTTATTCATATAAAAATCAAAAATTTTATCAGGGAAAATATTATTACGAGTGGTATATAATATTATATACGAATAATCATCAAGCTATTGAAGCAAAAAACATAAACAAACTAAAATTATTTATTGAAAAAACTATACATTATTTTGAAAATGACTTCTCAAAAAACACAAAACACACATGGAATGCAGTGTGTCCTAATCTCGTAAATCTAGCTAGATCGCGCATGATTTTCGTGCAATACTAATCTTGCAGAATTAGTGCGAGATCTTGGTATACCAAGATTGCATTCCCTAATTATTACTCTACTAGAATATGTTTCTTGTTTATCTTTAATTTGTATGCAACTTTAAAATAACATTTAATTTGTAACATAGTATATGGAATGTTTCTGAAATATTTTTTTAAGACTTCTGGTTTGGGCCCAATATTGCAAAAAAACTTTACTCCCCGGGGACATTATACTAACAAATGTAACGTTCAGTAACATTGTAAAATAGTACATTCTGTAACAAGTTTGGAAAATTTGACACACGAGCCGAAGGCGAGTGTGACGGTTTTACGAGAGTGGAATATGCTATTCCAAACGTGTTTCAGACATTATTTTCTCTACGACTACGTAAGAATAGTAACGCTTATATAATTTTAAACAGAGAAACGAAACCAAGCAGTTTTTGACATTTAAGTTTTTTGTATTGTCAAACCATTTTGTGCCGTCACAATTTTATAATGTAAATTATAATAAATTGTAACAAATGGTATGCCTAAATCTTTATTATAATTAAAAATAGTTATTTACACAAACTAATAAAAAAAAATAACATTGTAACAAATACAAAACTAATTTTACAAGTAATCTATGTCAACATCTATTCTTTTTCTACATTTTAAAGGTCTTTTTTTAAACTTTTTGAATCTATTAAAACTTCAAAGCCGGTATAGTAGGTAACTGGTTTATCATTTTAATATCAAATTTATTAATTTTGATTTGTATATTTGAAAAACAATAAATATAACAAATTTTTTGTGCCTAAACCTTAACTATACAACTGCTATTATTTTTTAATTAATAAATAATACAGTAATATTTAAATATTTTTAAATTTTTTACGTTTAGTAAACAGCCAGGAGATGTCGTTACTTGTGACCATTCTTAAACAAGAGTAGGAATATTCTCGCACAGTATTGCAGAAAAACATCCTTTCTATGATCAAAAATTACACTAGAATGTTACTATTCTTAAGTAGTCGTAGAGAAATATTTTTTTCCAGTGAGATGACTATGGTCAATTTTTTTTTAACACTGTACTATTGCTATTTCACATATATTTTTTCGATTAAGCACAATTACGCGGGATTTTTGAATAACTTGCAAGATTTTGAAAGCAAATAACTCTCCTTCAGACAAAATGCCCGCAGACGTTTTTGCCGCCGCCGAAGGTGTCGAAGAACCCGAAAATCCTCGAGCTGACCGACGAATCGACGGTGACGTCGACGACGTCGGAGGACGAGTGGCAGCCGACGACGAAGCGCCGCTCGAAGACGAAAAAGGCGCAAAAGCAGCGGCGCGAGAGCGACGAGGAGCCGCTGGCGAACCTGATCAGGGCGGCCGCGCGCACCAACGACGAGAACGCCGTCTCCAGCGCGTCGCCCTCGGAGCGGCCCAGCAAGCGGGGCCGCCGCCTGAGCAGCAACGAGAGCGACCGCGCGCCCAAGAAGTCCAGGAGTCGACGCTCCCTCGCCGAAGCCGACTCGGATCCCAACAGTAAGTACCTTTAAGGTTCGTTTTCACCGACTTTCCAGCTCCACGTCGATCGATATATTTGTATGTCATTTTTGTACTTGTAGCGTAATTGTGGTCTTCTAGAGTACTTTTGAATTTTTTTAACCGTTGGCCAATGTATTTAAGACTGAAACATTTTAAGTCATGGTCATACTTTTTTTAATTACAACCTCTTTTATCAAAAACTCATTTTTTATTATCACCTTGAACGCGTCTTCGTTATGTTATCCATTATACTGTACACTGTATCTATAATTTGTATAAAAGTAAGTTTTTTGTCTATAAAATCGTTTTATATATTACTTGAATATTTGGTTTCTTGTATAGTTTGCATTTTTAGACTTATATAGCTTCACATAATAAATACCAATTTTATTTATTAATAATTATAATTGTAGACCTACTTGAAAACATAAATTTTATTTACTAAAACACCTGTTTTATTTTTTACCTTTACCTTTAAAAAATATATGCTTGCGAGAATAAACTAACATGAACATTAAAAACACCTTGTACCTTGACCATACATGGTCATTAAATGGAACCCTCAGGAATACATTAAAAATTGGCATCGATTTGTTGTCAAGTTGTAAAAATATTAATTTTAATACTTTATTTTAATTTTATAGTTTTTCACAGCAAACGGAAAAATATAGAAGTACCCGGACAACAATCGGGATTTCCTGGTAAAGTCATGATAATATCACAACGTGATTTTTTTTATCACGCTGTGATATCCTGAGTGCATACACATGCTTCATCACAGTGATATCATGTAGAACTCACGGTGTGATATTTGCAAAATTTGCGCATGCGTATGAGCCCTGCGAATTTAAAACCTAGTTTGTTATTCACATTACACCGTTATAATTTATAAAACGTTGTTTGAATATCACGAATGTTGTTCGGGTTCAATTAAAAAAGATATTCCAATGTTTAACAAAACATTGGAATATCTTTTTTAATTGAATTCAATTAAAAAAGATATTCCAATGTTTTGTTAAACATTGGAATATCTTTTTTAATTGAACAACATTCTTGATATTCATACGAACATCACGTCGTGATTTTCACAAATTTTATTCATACGGACACCATCCGGATGTCACTGGGTGAGAAATGAAAATCATGTCGTGATTTTTTATGCCATCACTGTTTTTATGCTATCGGTGTTTGGGCATAAAAAATCACGACATGATTGTTTATGCCATCGGTGCACCGATGTTGTTTGGATATTTATTTTTGCGCCACATTTGTACATTGAAAGAAAAAGTATGTTAACAATTGAATTACCAGTTTTTGCGGTCAAATACATTTGCAAGAATTTTGAATATTCTCATTTCTGCGTATGATTTTGTTAAGAACAGTTCCTTTCTCTGATTTTTGCTTTCAGTAACTATAGTTATACTATAGTTATATATACTATAGTTATAGTATACTCAGGTATGTACAGCACAGGATATGTTGTAAAGTATATTTATGTATTATATAAAGTACCTATATTTGTATTAAAACTTTTAATTTTATGCTTAAAAAAAATTATACATGATTGTGATTTTTTTTATTTTATTAATTAAGCTGTGTTAAATATTTTTCCTATAGGAATATTATTCCTGGAATAATTGCCAATGGTCCAGTCACCCTGGTCCAGAGGTAAAGAAGGCAATGGGCCATTAATTCATTTGTTTGAAGATGCTACAATAATTTAAAAGTTTCAGAGGTTATGTGGAAAAAACGATATGCTATTAAACTTTAATAATTAAAGTTTAATTCTAGTAATGAGGTCTGTTGGTAGACCCTGAACTATCTCCACTGGTATATTTTAGTACAGCAATATTTAAATCTGAAGAATTCAAAATTTAAAAAATAAAAATTCCCGTGTTATTGAAATGGAAAAACAACAAATGAATTGAGGCAAACCTTTATATTAATATTAAGAGCTCAAATATGCGCCAATTTTTTTGTTTTTTAATTTACTATTAATTTTTCAACACCATTAGAAAAAATTTTTTTAGTTTTTTTGAAACACCCTAATATATACATATACAGTGTGTCCGTAAAGTCCCGGAACATGTGATTATTTTGAAAACGGTAATTTTTAAAAAAACAAACGCTGAAACACGTCAACTTTGTTATTTTTCTAGCAATATTTTAGCATATGTAGTTGTTCCAAATTCTGCCGCGTGGCGGCGCCACAATCAAAGTCAGTTTTTTTTTTAAATTGCAACCCTTTATTTTTGTTGCATTTTTGGATAGCTACCGTTGTCCTGATTACATTGATGTGCCACATCTGGGGGGTTACATAAGAAAATTTTTGAGAAAATCAGGTTTTTGCCGCCGAATGAGATTTTGGTATTTTGTCAAACTTACACAACCTATGCGTTGCTTAATGTTTTTTGGAAAGCCAATCAGAGCAGTTGCTCAAAGTGTACACCGTAAACTATTTGGCAATGGAACAGCCTGTCTACAAACGAGCGTTGTACGTACGTACGTACGCCAGTACCGCTGAAGTAATCATCTGGATCTCGGCTTGAATGCGGTGTCTTAGGTCGTCCAAATTTTAAGGCCTGTTTACATAGACGCGGTTTTTAAGACGGCCCCATAAAAAGAAGTCTAAAGGGTTCAAATCGGGCGATCGCGCTGGCCACTCAATTTGACCCCTTCGACCCATCCAGCGATTGGGAAAGACCTGATTTAAATAATCCCTTACTAGCAATGCATAGTGCCCCGTAACAGCCAATAAGTTCGTCAAAACCAAAATCTCAATCAGCGGCAAAAACCTACTTTTCTCAAAAATTGTCTTATGTAACCCACCACATGTAGCATATCAATGTACTCAGGACAACGGTAGGTATCCAAAAATGCAAAAAAAATTAAGGGTTGTAATTAAAAAAAAAACTGACTTTGATTCTGGCGCCGCCACGCGGCAGAATTTGGAACAACTACATATGCTAAAATATTGCTAGAAAAATAACAAAGTTGACGTGTTTCAGCGTTTTTTTTTTTAAATACCGTTTTCAAAATAATCACATGTTCCGGGACTTTACGGACACACTGTATATATATGTATACTAGGGTGTTTCATTTAAAACGAAAAATTCTTTTTTCTTGCTGACACATGAAAATTTTGTTTTTTAGGTCCCTTGCGGCCTTGAGTTTACGGTGAACTCACCGTGAATTCACCGTATGCGTGAATTCACCGTGAATACACCGTTTATGTGCAGTGAATATACCGTCCATTTGTGACATTTGTAGACGGTAATTAAACGGTGAACTCACGCTGTTTTTGCGATAAATTCACGGTGATTTCACGGTAAATTCACAGTGAACTCAAGTTTGCAAAATCACCGCAAATTCACTGTGAAAGTACCGTAAATTTATCGTGAAATCACCGTGAATTCACCGTAAAAGCGCTGTGAGTTTACTGTGAAAACACCGTACCTAAATTGACTGTGAATTAAAACACCGCAAATTGTAAGTGTTATAAGATTCGAACCATCTGCTAATACAAATATCACAAGAGAGCTCTCGTGTAGCTGCGCAAAATTAACAAGGTTGAGACGCCATCATAAAGAAAAAAACAACAAGTTGGACGCCATTTATTAGCGGTTTTTTTATTAGTCGATTTCTGTGTTAAGCAATACATCTCACGGCTGCTTACGCAAGCGAGCTAACTATAAATAGCGTTGGGTTGCAATATTTAGTTGGAAGTGTGCGTCTGTAATGGCATAGTCCCCATCTCCATCCTCATCTGCTCAGTAACGAATAATGGCTAGCTATAGTCGATTGTGTTATTATTATTGGTTTATTTACCGTGAATTCACCGTGAATATACCGCTAAAATACGGTGGATTCACAATTAAAATACTGTGAAAAGTGCGTGAATTCACCGTCTAACTACCGTTTACAAATGTCACAAACAGACGGTTTATTCACGGTGAATAAACCGTAAACTCAAGGCCGCAAGGGGTTGAAAAAAAAATTCCCTGAAAATTTTAGCCCTTAAATTTGATTTTAAGTACTTCCTTTTTAATTTTGTAGTTTTTCCTTATAAAAAGCATGTATTTATAATCATTTTTACTTTAAATTTCTATATTTTGGCCGGGTTTTGAATTATAATTTTTATCACCATAATTTCCTGCTTAGTATTCACGGTTTTTGAAAGGCCCTGCATCAATTTTGTTTTTGATTTATTAACGTTGATTGTAGTAGCTCCAAAAGTCGTTTTTTCACTTTTTCTCACATATTTTTGAGAAAATCAAGCGAATGACTGGTTTTACCGAAAAAGTTCAAATGAAAAAGTTGTGGGAAATTTAATTTTTGACAAAAAAGTTCTTACGTTCATATCACTAAAGTGCTTTGTTTAAGAGATATAAGGTATAAATGTATGTATATTATATTATACATAAATTTCAATTTTTTCTTTGTTTTTGGTTATTGAATTGCTTATATATCTTAAACAAAGCACTTAAGTGATATGAACGTAGGAACCTTTTTTGTCAAAAATTAAATTTCCTACAAATTTTTCATTTGAACTTTTTCGGTAAAACCAGTCATTCGCTCGATTTTCTCAAAAATATGTGAGAAAAAGTGAAAAAAACGACTTTTGGAGCTACTACAATCAACGTAAATAAATCAAAAACCGCGAATACTATGCAGAAAATTATGGTGATAAAAATTTTAATTCAAAACCCGGCCAAAATATAGAAATTTAAAGTAAAAATGATTAAAAATACGTGCTTTTTATATGGAAAAACTACAAAATTAAAAAGGAAGTACTTAGAATCCAAATTAAGGGCTCATATTTTCAGGGAATTTTTTTTTCAACCTAAAAAACAAAATTTTTATGTGTCAGCAAGAAAAAAAAATTGTTTGTTTTAAATGAAACCCTAATGTATACACTTCTATAATTTTCTGGTTGCTGTGTTATTATAATATTTAGTTAATTATTATTATTATTAAGGAAAACAACAAGGAATGCAAAGAACCATTTACACTACTTTTACCCAAATAATTATTTTATCCTTAAGGATAAACATTTTTTAGAAAAATAACTTTTTCTGATTTAGAATTATGTGGGGTAAAGGTTAATAAAAATATATATAAATATTTTAAAGATTTATTAACTAATATATTATTATAATTAAAGAGATTTTTATTTAAAGTTAAATATACAGGTATGTACAGTGAAACTTAAAAACAAAATAAAACATATACGTTATAATAACTAAAACTACTTTTTTGAGCGTTTTAATTTGCGAGATGTTTTTTTCATTTTAATTTTAGTTTTTTTTTGTCCGAACCTGGCTTATTCCTTATATTGAACCGTTTTTAATGGCCTTTTATTCCGTTTGGTAGTGGGAGCATGTTCTTCAACAATCTTCTTGGAAGGTTCAAGTTCTTGGAGTGCATCTTTTTCTTTCTCAGCAGCAGCAACAGCCTTCTTGCCTTTTGTGGGCTTATTGGCAGTATGTTTGGTATCTTCAGACTCCTTATCCTTTTTTTCCCTGCTGGTTTTCTTCAAACTAGGTTCAGGTTGTTCTTCAACAAATTCAGATTTTTCGGACTTAATAGCCTTCTTTCCTCTTGTTGTTTTTTTTCGAATGGGTTCAGATTGCTCCTTATCAGTTTCTTCAAAGACTTTAGCATTCTCACCTTTGGTGGTGTTCTTTGTGACTTCAGGTTGTTCTTCAACCATTTCAGTTTTTTCGGACTCTTTGGACTTCTTTCCTCTGATTGTCTTCTTTGGACGGGTTTCGGATTGCTCCGTTTCAGTTTCTTCAGAGTCTTTGGCCTTCCCTCTGTTGCTTTTCTTTGGATTGTATTCAGGTTGTTTTTCAACCATTTCAAGTTTTTCGGATTGCTCCTTTTCAGTTTCTTCAAAGTCTTTAGCCTTCTTACCTTTGGTGGTTTTCTTTGGACTGGCATTAGGTTGTTCTTCAACCATTTCAGTTTTTACGGACTCTTTGGCCTTCTTTCCTCTGGATGGCTTCTTTGGACGGGTTTCGGACTGCTCCTTTTCAGTTTCTTCAAAGACTTCTGCATTCTCACCTTTGGTGGTGTTCTTTGTGACTTCAGGTTGTTCTTCAACCATTTCAGTTTTTTCGGACTCTTTGGACTTCTTTCCTCTGATTGTCTTCTTTGGACGGGTTTCGGATTGCTCCGTTTCAGTTTCTTTAGAGTCTTTGGCCTTACCTCTGTTGCTTTTCTTTGGACTGTATTCAGGTTGTTTTTCAACCATTTCAAACTTTTCGGATTGCTCCTTTTCAGTTTCTTCAGAGTCTTTAGCCTTCTTACCTCTGGCAGTTTTCTTTTGAATTGGTTTGACTATTTCTTCAACCGTATCGGCTTCCTGTGATTTTGCGTTTTTTGCCACCCTTGTAGGCTTTTTTGGTTCTTGAGCTTTTTTGGCTCTGGTGACTTTTTTGGGACTGGGTTTGACTTCCTCGTCATCGTTTGGTTCTTCCGTAGGTTGGTTTTCTTGGACTTCGTTTAACTTCATCATTCACAATATTTGCGACACTTAAAATATTACCTCTTCTTTCTTTCTTCTTCTACTTTCGACGACTTGTCTTGAGAATCTTTGACTGTTTCAAGTTCTGCTTTAGCGTTTTTTGTTTGTCACAATCATAAGTTAATTTTAAATGTAACCGATTTTAAATAACGAGGGAATATGGCTTGAATTCTAACCTCAAAAACAGACCGTCTCATAAAAACATAAATAGGAAATTATATTATACAGGTTGTACCCTGGTCACCTTTAACATTTTTAGCATAGTCAGAATATGACCTTGGATATAATATATTTTTTAATATTATATTTGTTATTCATTTTTAAAGCAATGAAAAATTCTTAATTTGTCAGAAGCCTTACCAGGGAAGCAATTATTATATTTATCTTTAAAATCCTTGTGAAAAACTTCTCAAGACCAAAAAAAATGATAATTTTTTCAACTTTAAACATCATTTCATTGACCTGTGGGTTAAAAAGCAATGTAAATAAATTAAATTCAATAATTATATTTAAAAGGTTTATTAAAATTGTTTCAACTAATATATTATTAATAAAATTATACACATTTTATAAAAACTAAATGTTAAACATATTTATATATAGGTAGGTACAGTAAAACTTAACTCGTGTAGACACGCGTTTAAATAATAAAATAGAACATATATACAACTTATTTTTAAAAGTATTATAATAAACTGACTAAAATTACTTTTTTGTACGTTTTGACTTCCTAACTGGTTCGACCGGCAAATCACTGGACTTCCTTTTGTTTGACACTAAACTTGCTTCTTCCTCAAAATGAACTGTTTTCACTCCTCTTCTATTTCTTTTGGGAGTGGGCGCATCTTCTTCAACAATCTTCTTACCTCTTTTAGAAGTTTCAAGTTCTTGGCATTCATCTTTTTCTTCTTTCTCAACCGCAGCAGCTGTTTTACCTCTTGTCTTCCTGGCAGTATGTTTGATTTCTTCAGACTCCTTAGCCTTCCTTCCCCTAGTGGTTTTCTTCGGACTGGATTCAGGTTGTTCTTCAATCACTTCAGATTTTTCCGTACCTTTAGCCTTCTTTCCTCTGGTTGTTTTTTTTGGACTGGGTTCTAAATGCTCCTTTTCAGTTTCTTCAGACTCCTTAGCCTTCTTACCTCTAGTCGTTCTCTTGGTTTGTTCTTCAACCGTTTCCTGGGATTTTGCCGTCCTTGTCCCCCTTGTAGACTTTATGGGTTCTACAACGTTATTATCAGTTTCTTCTTTTTGAACCTTTTTGCCTCTGGTGACTTTTTTGGGACTGGGTTTGTCTTCTTCAGGATTTTCTGCAACTTTTGTCCTTCCCCTAGCGGTTTTCTTTGGTGCCTCTTCCTCTTTATCATTTGATTCTTCTGTAGGTTGAGGGGATTTTTTTGCATTTCTCGTCGTTTTTCTTGGACTTGGTTTGAATTCCTCGTCCACAATATTTGCGATCTTTTTACCTCTTGTAGATCGAATGGAAGTTTCTTGTTCTTCAGAAGGTTGGGGGGATTTCTTGGCATTTCTTGCCATTTTTCTTGGACTTGGTTTGACTTCTTCATCCACAATATTTGCAACCCTTTTACCTCTTTTAGTTTTAATGGGAGTTTCTTGTTCTTCAGATTCTTCTGTAGGTTGTGGAGTTTTTTTTGCATTTCTCGTCGTTTTTCTTGGACTTGGTTTGACTTCCTCATCCACAATATTTGCGATCTTTTTACCTCTTGTAGATCGAATGGGAGTTTCTTCTTCTTCAGAAGGTTGAGGGGATTTCTTGTCATTTCTTGTCGTTTTTCTTGGACCTGGTTTGACTACTTCATCCACAATATTTGCGACCCTTTTACCCTTATTAGTTTCAATGGGAGTTTCTTGTTCTTCAGATTCTTCTGTAGGTTGAGGAGTTTTCTTCGCATTTCTTGTTGTTTTTCTTGGACTTGGTTTGACTTCCTCATCCACAATATTTGCGATCTTTCTACCTCTTGTAGATCGAATGGGAGTTTCTTCTTCTTCAGAAAGTTGGGGGATTTTCTTGTCATTTCTTGTCGTTTTTCTTGAACTTGGTTTAACTTCTTCATCTACAATATTTGCGACCCTTTTACCTCTTTTAGTTTCAATGGGAGTTTCTTGTTCTTCAGATTCTTCTGTAGGTTGTGGAGTTTTCTTCGCATTTCTTATTGTTTTTCTTGGACTTGGTTTCTCTTCCTCATCCCCAATATTTGCGATTTTCCTACCTCTTTTTGTTTTAACGGGAGTTTCTTCTAAAGGCTGTTCAATATAATTATCAGTTTCTTTTGTTTGCACCTTTTTTCCTCTGGTGACTTTGGGGCTGGGTTTATCTTCTTCGGGTTTTTCTGCAACTTTTCTCTTTCCCCTAGTTGTTTTCTTTAGTGCCTCTTCTTGATTTGATTCTTCTGAAGGTGTTGCTTTAGCGTTCCTAGTTGTTTTTCTTGGACAGGGTTTGGCTTTTTCATCCACAATATTTGCGACCATTTTGCCTCTTCCGGATTTAATAGGAGTTTCTTCTTCTTCAGACGGATTTTCTTCTGAAAATTTGACTGGTGCTGCTTCAGCGTTTCTTGTTTTACTCAGACTCCGTTTGTCTTTTTCTGGCGCTTTAGTTTCCACAGGTTCCAAACCAGCTTCTCCAATTTTTCTTCTTGCATTTTTGGCAGGTTTTTTTGTTTGTACTTGTTTTTGTTCCGAATCGCCCTGCTTTGTTTTGACCGGAGATTGTTCAGCTTTTTTAGGCTTTTGAACTTGATTATCTATTTTATCTAGTATGTCTTCCAACCTAGTTCTTGACAACCTATTGGGTTTTTCTAGTGCGCTAGCAATGATCGAATCCAAAGGCTCTTGCTTACTTTTTCGGGTTTTTAATGGGACGACGGGTTTTTCCGATTTGTGTTCGCTATAAATTATATCGTTTTGTGGTTCTTTAATATCTTCGTCGGACATCAGCTTTCTACCACGCGGTTTCTTTTTTGGTGGAGATTTAACAAACTTACTGATGGTGTCGTTGTTCAATTGAATAAGAGGGACCACAATATTAGCTTTGACTGTTTTGTTCTTAGATGCTACGGCTACGGTAGTCTTTTGCTGGTCTGTGATCCAATTTTCAACCTTGGGGTCAACCGGAGGGATTGTTTCTTCAAAAACACTATCATCTTGGGATTTTTTGGGAGAAAGGCTTCTGGAGTAAGTCTTTCTTTTCTTTTTCTCCGACAATTTATCAAAAGCTTCATCATTAGTTTCGCAATCGCTTAAAACTTGTACCCCAGAGATATCAAAAAGTTGTTCAACTCCCTCAACATCGCTGAGATCATTTTTGGGATCTTTAGTGACACGTGGAGTTTTCATTAATATTTTCACTCCCTCAACATCGCTGAGATCATTTTTGGGATCTTTAGTGACACGTGGAGTTTTCATTAATATTTTCACTCCCTCAACATCGCTGAGATCATTTTTGGGATCTTTAGTGACACGTGGAGTTTTCATTAATATTTTCACGCCTTTTACGTCCGACAAATCGTTTTTAGGCGAGTTTTGCACTTTTGGAGTATGTAGCAACGTCTTAACGCCTTGTACGTCACTTAGGTCATTCTTGGGAGACCTTATTACTCTTGGGGTTCTTAGCAACGACTTGACCCCAGCAACATTCGACAAATCATTTTTAGGAGAATTTACGGCCTTAGGGGTCTGCATCAACTTTTTGACCCCGATAACATTCGACAAATCGTTTTTGGGAGGATTTACGGTCTTTGGGGTCTGCATCAACTTTTTGACCCCAGTAACATTCGACAAATCGTTTTTAGGGGGATTTAAAGCCTTAGGGGTCTGCATCAACTTTTTGACCCCGATAACGTTCGACAAATCGTTTTTAGGAGGATTTACGGCTTTAGGGGTCTGCATCAACTTTTTGACCCCGTATATCTCGGTCAAATCGTTTTTAGGCGATTTCGATCCTTTAATCGACACGGGTGATATTACGTTTTCATTTTCTAATGATAGTTGCGCTATTTCATTATCATCCATCGTATTATTGAAGGTATTGTCCGCTGATGCGGTTGCAGTTGTTTTGGATTTAGTAGATCTTGTGGAAACATTGCCAAAATCAGAACTGGAAAGATGCAAAGTGAAACTGGGTGAAATTTCTTGTTCATTTTCTACGGAACCGTTTGACTTAGATAGCCTTGTGCTCTTTCTTGGGCTCTTGGATAAACTTTCTGGTAAGGCATCTTCATTAACAAAAGGTGAGGATTCTTGAACAACAATTTCTGCTTCGTTAATAGATGATTTTCTTAAGCTCTTCCTTGCACTAGTATTAAACGAATTTGATGCGTTAAGAACCGTTTCTTTATTTTGTTCGTTGGCTAAAGACCTATTTGCAAATGAAGATCGGATGCTTTTTCTCGAAGAAACATTGTGTGATTTGTCTGTTTCTTTCTCAAGTAAGGCAGATATGTTTTGAAGTTCAGATTGAGATAGCTCCAATACGATCGAGATTTGACTTTCTGAATTCCTGGTTGAAGAATTTGGTTCCAAATCTACAAACGATGCTGACTTTGCTCTAGACTGTTCCTTTGAATCATCAATCTCTGCTGACGCAATTGATTTTCTCGGACTTTTTCTTGTGATTTGATCGGTTGAATTGGAGATGTCGGCGAGAACTGAATAGTTGTGTTCCACTTGAACTTCGGATAGAGTTGATATTTGGACTGAATTATTAGGAGTGGCAGCACTGTAAACTTCTAAATCGCTGGACTCGTCAATATCCTTATTAAAGTTTGATGACATATTTTGAATTAATTCTTCAGCTAATGAGTCCTTAATTTCAGATTTACTTTTTCTTGATGGCACTATAACATTTTCTTCTTTAATATCAGATTTTCTAGTACTTCTTCTTGTTGAAGATAAGTTGATGGTGGAGTTGGTAATAGAATCATTATTGGCAATATTTTCTTCATTTGATGTATCTTTAATTTTAGATTGTCTGGTGCTTCTTCTTGCTGACAAGAGGTTAATAGTAGAATCGTTTAAAACAGCAGAAATATTTGTGCTTTTTAAAGAAGTATTTAATTCAACATTTTCTTCATTCAGCGCATCTTTAATTTCAGACTTTCTGGCGCTTCTCCTTGATAATGATGGTTTAGCAGTAACATCACCTAATAGAATAGGGTCGTTGGTTTTAGAGATGTTGGTGCCCCTTGCAGAAGTATTCGATTCAGTATATTCAATCTCAGAATTGTGATTTTGTTCAGAAACAGATTGTTCTTGGACTGTGTTTCCAAAACTTTTTTTGTATTTGTTACTTCTTCTAGTAGATTTGTTTACTTCGTTGTCAGAAAATGCCAAAATATTACCGACTTGTGATGATTCCAAAACACTGATGCTATTTTTGGGAGAATCAGATTCTTCCAATTCTCCAGTCATATCGTCTTTGATTTGAGATTTTCTAGCACTTCTTCTAGTTGTTATAGATAAGTTAGAAGTGGAATCATTTAAAAGAGCTTCAATATTTTCTTCATTCAGTGTATCTTTAATTTCAGAATTTCTGACGCTTCTTGATAATGATGGTTTAGCAATGGAGTCATCTAATAGAATAGAGTCATTGGTGCTCTTTGTAGAAGTATTTGCTTCAGCATTTTCCATCTTTGATTTGTTGTTTTTTTCAGAAATAGACTGGTCTTGTTCTGTGTTTCCAAAACTGTTTCTGTATCTGTTACTTCTTCTAGTTGATTTGTTTTCTTCTTGGTCAGAAAATGCCGAAATATTACCGACTTGTTGTGATGATTCCAAAACACTGATTCTCTTTCTGGGAGATAATTTTTCAAAATAAGATTCTTCTAAACCTCCAGTTATATTGTGGTCTTTTATTTCCGATTTTCTAGCACTTCTTCTTGTTGTTAAAGATAGGTTAGAAGTGGAATCATTTGAAAGAGCAGAGTTATTAATTTTTGATTGGCTTGTGCTCTTCAAAGAAGTATTAACTTCAATGTTTTCTTCATTAAGTGTATCTTTAGTTTCAGACTTTCTGACGCTTCTTCTTGATAATAATGGCTTAGCAATAGAGTCATCTAATGAAATAGATTCATTGGTGCTCTTTGTAGAAGTATTTGCTTCAGTATTTTCTATATTGTCGTCTTTCATTTCAGATTTTCTAGCACTTCTTCTAGTTGTTATAGATAGGTTAAAAATGGAATCATTTGAAAGAGCAGAGTTACTTATTTTTGAATGGCTTGTGCTCTTTAAAGAAGTATTGACTTCAATGTTTTCTTCATTCAGTGTATCTTTAATTTCAGAATTTCTGACGCTTCTTCTTGATAATGAAGGTTTAGCAATAGAGTCATCCAATGAAATAGAGTCATTGGTGCTGTTTGTAGAAGTATTTGCTTCAGTATTTTCCATCTTAGATTTGTTGTTTTCTTCAGAAATGGAGTGGTCTTGTTCTGTGTTTCCAAAACTTTTTCTGTATCTGTTACTTTTTCTAGTTGATTTATTTTCTTCGTTGTCAGAAATATTACCGACTTGTTGTGATGATTCCAAAATACTGATGCTCTTTCTGGGAGATAATTTTTTAGAATCAGATTCTTCCAAACCTCCAGTCATATTGTCGTCTTTCATTTCAGATTTTCTAGCACTTCTTCTAGTTGTTATAGATATGTTATAAGTGGAATGATTTGAAAGAGCAGAGTTATTAAATTTTGATCGGCTTGGGCTCTTTAAAGAAGTATTAACTTCAATGTTTTCTTCATTTAGTGTATCTTTAGTTTCAGACTTTCTAACGCTTCTTCTTGATAATGATGGTTTAGCAAGAGATTCATCTAATGAAATAGTGTTATTTGTAGAAGTATTTGCTTCGGTATTTTGCATCTTAGATTTGTTGTTTTCTTCTGAAATAGACTGGTCCTGTTGTGTGTTTTCAAAACTTTTTCTGTATCTGTTACTTCTTCTAGTTGATTTGTTTTCTTCATTATCAGAATCAGATTCTTCTAAATCTCCAGTTATATTGTCGTCTTTTATTTCAGATTTTCTAGCACTTCTTGTTGTTGTTATAGATAGGTTAGAAGTGGAATCATTTGAAAGAGCAGAGTTATTAATTTTTGATCGGCTTGTGCTCTTCAAAGAAGTATTAACTTCAATGTTCTCTTCATTAAGTGTATCTTTAGTTTCAGACTTTCTGACGCTTCTTCTTGATAATAATGGTTTAGCAATAGAGTCATCTAATGAAATAGATTCATTGGTGCTCTTTGTAGAAGTATTTGCTTCAGTATTTTCTATCTTAGATTTGTTGTTTTCTTCATAAATGGACTGGTCTTGTTTTGTGTTTCCAAAACTTTTTCTGTATTTGTTACTTCTTCTAGTCGATTTGTTTTCTTCGTTGTCAGAAAATGCCGAAATATTATCGGCTTCGTGTTGTGATGATTCCAAAACATTGATGCTCTTTCTGGGAGATATTTTTTCAAAATAAGATTCTTCTAAACCTCCAGTTATATTGTCGTCTTTTATTTCCGATTTTCTAGCACTTCTTCTTGTTGTTATAGATAGGTTAGAAGTGGAATCATTTGAAAGAGCAGAGTTATTAAATTTTGATCGGCTTGTGCTCTTCAAAGAAGTATTAACTTCAATGTTTTCTTCATTTAGTGTATCTTTAGTTTCAGACTTTCTAACGCTTCTTCTTGATAATAATGGTTTAGCAATAGAGTCATCTAATGAAATAGATTCATTGGTGCTCTTTGTAGAAGTATTTGCTTCAGTATTTTCTATATTAGATTTGTTGTTTTCTTCAGAAATAGACTGGTCTTGTTCTGTGTTTCCAAAACTTTTTCTGTATCTGTTACTTCTTCTGGCTGATTTATTTTCTTCTTTGTCAGAAAATGCCGAAATATTACCGACTTGTTGTGATGTTTCCAAAACACTGATTCTCTTTCTGGGAGATATTTTTTCAAAATAAGATTCTTCTAAACCTCCAGTTATATTGTCGTCTTTTATTTCCGATTTTCTAGCACTTCTTCTTGTTGTTATAGATAGATTAGAAGTGGAATCATTTGAAAGAGCAGAGTTATTAATTTTTGATCGGCTTGTGCTCTTCAAAGAAGTATTAACTTCAATGTTTTCTTCATTAAGTGTATCTTTAGTTTCAGACTTTCTGACGCTTCTTCTTGATAATAATGGTTTAGCAATAGAGTCATCTAATGAAATAGATTCATTGGTGCTCTTTGTAGAAGTATTTGCTTCAGTATTTTCTATATTAGTTTTGTTGTTTTCTTCAGAAATAGACTGGTCTTGTTCTGTGTTTCCAAAACTTTTTCTGTATCTGTTACTTCTTCTGGCTGATTTATTTTCTTCGTTGTCGGAAACTGCCGAAATATTATCCTGTTGTGAGGATTCCATGCTCTTTCTTGGGGATAACTTTTCGGAATCCGATTCTTCCAAATCGTCAACTTTGGAATGTATTTTGGACGTATTTGAGGACGTATCGGAGAAATCATCTTCGCTTAAAACCAAAGATTGTTTCCCGCTTCTTCTCGATGCCGACAGATTCGATATGGTTAATTGGTCAGCGTTCAGCAGCATATCAAGCTCCGATCTTCTGCAGCTCTTTCTTGTGTCGGCATCTCGAGCCGAATCTTCAGCATCGATATTGTATGTATTTCTTCTTGATAACGATAACGTAATATCGGTGTTGTTATCAGGTGTAACTGGTTCTTCTCCTTGTTCTTTGAAAGACATCATGGAAACATTTCTGTCTGTAACAACAAATGAGTCCTCAGAAGTTACTCTGCTTCTTCTGCTGGATTTTCTGCTTGAAGTATTGGTAATTTCCTTTACCGGAGAATCGTTAACAAATGAGAATCTAACGCTTCTGCGCGATGTGGAATATTCGTCCGGATTATTTTTGGGCGTTTCCGCCGGAAGTTCCGACTGTCTTCTGCTTTTCCTGTTTGCTTCTTCGCCGATGATACTTGAAAGTTCGAGAGATATCATAGCCAGGGAGTTTCCTGAGGGCGTACTTTGTTCTGTCAGATTTAAATCCGCAAGATCTTCCGATGTAACCGAGGAATCCAAGGTGTTGAAGTCGGAGAAAGAATCTTCATCGGAAAACGATTTAAACTGCAATTTTAACTTCTTAGTGGACCGACTCATGCTTCCGGTCGACTCTCTATTCCTCTTTAGGCCGTGATGTGCCGATGTGGATGTTTCAGCGTATTCCTCGGCATTACTCTTCAATCGGGACTTAATGGCGGACTTCCGTATTTTCTCGAAGACGTGAGGAGTCGTGAGCGGCGTTTTGAAGCCCTTGTCGCCGGCAGGCTTCTGCTCCGGCGTCCTGGGACCCTCCTCGGTAATTTTTAACGATTTTATGGCGGATTTCGGCGTGCCAGTATCGTCGAGTTCGATGATGCTGCTGGCGAGAAGTTTCTTGGACCTTCTCGTCATGGGACTGCTAGCTTCGGAAGGGCTGACGAAAACGACCGACATGTTGTTTTCCGGGGTCGAGATCGCGCTACTCACCGAGAAAACCGAATCGGGGGTCTCAGACATCATATCCTCCTCGTTTTCCAGCTTCTTCTGGATCATGTTCAACTCTCTGTCGGTGTAGAGCTCCATATCAGCGTTGGCTAAGTTTTGCAGGGCCTTCTTTCTCAACGAACTACCCTTGGGCGTCCTCAAAGGCGTTTTGGATTTTGTTGTGGACAAAACATCCACTTTGCTCATGTTAGGAATGGCGTCCAAGTCCAGTCCCAAGCTATCATTGCTATCCTGTAAATTATCGCTTTCGGGTGCTTTTAAGCTGGCGATAATCGACTCATCTTCGTCGTTCTTTACGATTTCGTTCCTCAGAGACGCACTTCGTCTCGTTAGAAACTTGGAAGATGAATAATCCAACTTCTTGGCACTTTCGTTTTTAACAGAATCAAACAAACTTCCCAGCTGTATTGGACTGTATGTTCTGCTGTTTGGTGTGCAATAAGTGCTATTTGTGTTGCAAGAAGTGCTTGCTATCGGAGAAAACTTCAAATTAGGAGTTTTCTTCGTTTCCGGCGTCGCAATTTTGGGCGTGCTCGAGTATCTTTTCAGCAAACTCCTTTTAATTGAAGATCTATCGTTTTTAAGGCTCGCTCTGGTTTTAAGGGGGGTTTTCACGTCCGAATTTAAAAGGACATTTCGAGAAGATATTTTGGGAGTTGTACCTGATCTTTTTATCGAGTGTCCCAGGGATAAACGCCTTTGTGTTTTATCCGGTGAGGCATGAAGAGCTTTGGAAACCACCACTTTAGATCTGTAAATATATTGGTTGGAATTTTTTTACATTAAAAGTTAAAAATAACTTACGTTGTTTTTGCTTTAGTTGATGATACATTTTTGGTATCTGGTTTTCTTTCTGGTGTAAAAGTTACAGTAAACTCATTTTCAGGTGCTTTTTCAAAATCCATAGTATGTATTCTAAAATATATAAATTTAAATGACAATAAAAACATTAAATTGTATTTAAATTACGGTTCACTTTCTGCTGTGGAAATTGAAAACATTGACTGATTTGTTTTAGATGGAGATATGGCCTTGGTCAAGGTTTTTTCCAGTTTAGCAACGTTCTTAAAAAAATATTAAAAATAAAATAAACAATTGAAACTATTAAGATGAGTTTTACCTTTTTATTTACATGTTCATTGAAATATTGAAAATATTTGCCAACTATTTCAAACTTATCCTTATGATTCAGAACTTTAAACTGAGTTACAATCTCATCATTAACTTTTGTAGGATTATTTTGTGATTTATTCACCAATGTAGCCTAAAAATTTGAAACCTTATTAGAGAAATAAAAGTAACCAGGGTTCGAAAAAAAAATCTAAGAGATTTTTTTTTAAATTATAAGCTTTTTTAATAAAGTGTACTGTAAAATTTTTTTAAAAATAACTTGACTATAATAATTCATATATTTTTTTGAATATTCCTATATTATTTTATTTAACAAAATAAGCATTTAAGTATATGCAATGCATAATATGCATTGCATATGAATTTATTTAAATAGTGTCAAAATACAAGATACATACACCTTAAAAATAATAAAAATAATAAATAAAATAAAAAAATATTATTGTGCTTTAGTTTTAGATCTTTTAAGTGTTTTTTAAGATTTAAGGAACTTTTTTAAAATTGATTTAAATCGTTGATTAAAATAAAAAAATCACTTGATATAAATCGTTGATTTAAATCGTGATTTAAATCAGGCGAACCCTGAAAGTAACATATAACTTTAAAATAAGGAATACCATATCCAAAATTTAAGGTTACCTGTTTTTTATTTAGTTCTTACAAAATCAAGATTTAAATAATCCCTCTACAACCCTAATTAATTTTGTTTTAAGAAATTTAATTTTCCTGCCCTGAAAAACTTTCAAAAATCAAATTTTGTTGAAAAACGTTTTTTTATTAGTTATTTAATAAAATTGAAAAGAACTTTCAACTTTGACACCCACCCTGTGTCTTGGTAATTATCAACTTTTGTATAAAACGGCCATTTCAAGCGCGCGAAACGCACGAATTACAAAACTGTTTTTATAAAAAAAAATTGTAGATTATTTATTATATAATATTTTGGCATCAAAATTGTCAAAAATATTCTTTTTTTATTAGGTTATACATTAAATAAAAAAAAACTCAAGAAATATTTTATGAAAGTAGATATAATTTTAATAATTGAAAGGTGTGGACGGGACAAAAAAAAGATTTATCTTGTCCCATCCATCCCTGTCAATTATTGAAATTATCTCTACTTTTATAAAATATTTCTTGCGATTTTTTTATTTAATGTATACCCTAATAATAGAAGAATATATTGGACAATTTAAAATAATGTATAATAAATTAGCTACATTTTTTTTTTTTTAAAACAGTTTTGTGATTTGTCCCGTCCATCCGCTTGAAATGGCCGAAAAGTAAATTTAGTTATATTGCATTATTTCTTCGTGAAATATTATCGATAATAATTAACTTCACTTTATGGAACTTTGTGTGGATAATTTTATGCTATTTAAGGGTTATATCATTTATACGAAAAAAATTGCCTACATACATAGGTAGGAACTAATAAGAAAAAATCCTGTTAATCCTATGGGAAATATTAAAACCCGATGAGGAACATCTTAAAATTTAAATTAAAAGTATGAATTTTTCCTGAACATTTATTTCTGCATAATCTAAGGAATTTGTATGTTACGTCAAAACAAAACAACAACATTGCTTTTGTTTAAAACTCTAATAAGTATGTTAATTTTACTGTAAAATTTTTACATAAAGTGATTTTTGTTTACTAAGTGAATAAAAATCGTTTTGGAGAAATACGTAAAATTGGAATATACCTAATTATATAAATTTTATATCCACCTTCTTACATTTTATAGGTTAATTTTGTTGTTTTTGTATCCAAGTAAACAATAGATTTCATAATAATATGGGAACAGACCTGTAATATTTTATGGGCTTGTATAAAAGACCTGTAAAGTTTTACAGGCTTGTAGAAAAGCAATTTATAAACTGATATGTCAATTTGCAATTAATCTTTACTAGGCTCACTGGATTATGGAGTTCGCTCCTGCATAGCTCACCCCACAAACTTCCAGCTGGCCCGTAATAGTTGTTTACATGTCAAGCCTTGTAAAGATTAATTGCAAAGGGTGACACATACAAATTTTTATTTTTACCTTTAGATAACAATATTCAAATTTAAAATTTTAATTAATATGACAAATGTGACATTTCATTTCATAAATTGCTTTTATACAAGCCTATAAAACTTTACAGGTTTTTTATACAAGCCTGTAAAATATTACAGGTCTGTTCCCTTAATGTATTGTTTACTTGGATACAAAAACAACAAAATTATAACATAACATAAAATGTCATTTACTAAGAAGGTGGAAATAAAGATTCATTTATAAAGCTTGACAACTAAATAACTATTATGAGTAACATATATTTTAAAAGAGAATTGATTTTTTTAAATAATAAGCCACTTACTCCTTTGTGTTTGATTAGTAGTTAATAAATTTTCCAAAATAAAATGTATAACCTGATATCGTCGGTAAATGTAAAAAACTTAACCTATAAATTTAACAATACCCGCTAAAAACAAATGAAAAACACTACTTACCAAACCCTCACTGTATACATTTATTACGCAATGTATTTGTTCTAGGCGGCTATCGTTGATTTTTAAACGAATATCGGCGTCCTTGAAGGAGCCAATCGTTGTTTTTCCATAACTCAAAGGATAAGGACTTCCTAATTCTCCGTTCTTACGAAAAAACTGTAAGAAACCGCACTCTTCGTCCCCTTCCATTGTCTTTATTCTTGTTATACGCTTCTAATAAAAATAAACCGTACTTTTATTGCGGCATTTCCTAAAAAATCACAAGACGTTTGAATTTCGATCTAGTGACGCTACTGCTATTGCCAACTTAAAAACCAGTGTTATGAAATGTCGCCCAACAGAACACGCAAAAAATGAGCTTAAAATGTATTAAATAAAGTTAATTCGAAGTGAAAACAGTTGTTTATAATAAGAAAAGTCTTAAGAAGGTGAGTTTTTTTAGATATAAATCCCTAAAATTATATTTAAATAATAACCGAAACGCTTTGTTTTGTGTGGAACATTTTTATGAATCGACTGTACTTCTGTTTTAACCGCCAAATTCTCTCATCAAATATTTAACGCCTATTTTATGAATAACGGAGAAAGTTCAAACATACAAATTACTTCAATAGGTAAAAAATGCATTACCTCGTGTTTCCGTGCAAAATTTATTTGTTATTAACAAAAAAATACTAGAAAAAACACGCAAAATCACAACACACAACTTACCGCACTTTCGATTGTTTTTCACTACAGCGCCACCTATACAAAGCATAAAACCGTTAACATGGTAGTCAAATTAGCAACTATATTTAAATTTAGTTTATCTAATTATTACAATACATTTATTTATTTCAGGAAAATAAAGAAAATTCCATGGAATAATAATATATTATTCATCATTGGATTTTTGAGTACAGAAACAACCAAAAATAAAGTGGATTATGAATACAGTTTGACTTTTGACTAATGAACAGATGTTTATTTGAAATTTTAAATTTAAATTTATAATTATAACGATGCATAACTTTTTGAACCCCAAACTTTTTCCAAAAGCCGTATGCAAATCGCCTTGTTTGGACAATTACGAAATAGAAAACATCATCAGCGAGGATTACACAAAAAAATGCAGAGGGTTTCTAGCCTATTCATCAATAAAACCACCTGTAGATGTGGATTTTGAATTTATATGTTCTGTTAACATATATTACATAAAAATCAATAGTTCTGTTGGCTCTCAAAAATGCACTGGAATTGAATTGTTAATAAAATCCTCTGATACCTACACAACTGTGGCTAAAGCGTTGTTTGAAAAAGCTGGTGTTGTATTTTGCAATAGCAGATTTTACTCTAAAGAAAAACCTCCTTGTGACTTGCAAGATTATCACTTGGCGTTTTTTAGCAGTAATTTATTTAGGTTGTTTTTGAATGCTAAAGGGGTGAGATTGAGAATATTTAGAACTTACAAGTCTGTTCCTTGCCTTTCATCTGTAGAAGTTTGGGGTAAAGTTTCAAAGCTCTGTTCTGCTACCACCAAAGAAACTGTTGAGAAATTGGTGAATAAAATCAATGTAAAACCCGGTTCTAACACTGTCAAAGACAAAGATGAAATTCCTGAAGACTTCAGAGATGATTTGACAAACGAAATAATGACAATTCCAATGACACTGCCTAGTGGCAAGACAGTAGACCAAACTACATTGGAAAAATATAATTTAAACGAAAAAGAGTTTGGACGAAAACCTGGGGATCCATTTACAGGTCTTAAATTTAGTGATAAATTAAAACCAATTTTAAATGTAGCCCTTAAAAGCCGAATTGATATGTATTTACTGCAGAATAGTGATAAACCTGAGTTTTTTAACTTGAAGAGAACGTTGGGAAGAAGTTCTGTATCAGTTAATCCCAGCACTTCGATATCCTACAAGAAAATCAAACTGGATAAAAGTGATGATGGCTTAGAAAGAGCCATTAATTTGGTAAAAACTAATACTAATTTTGTTTCGTTTACAAGTGAGGAAGAGAAAAGTATAAAATGTGTTAAGTGTGGTAAAGTTGGGGAATATTTTTACAAGGCCCCATGTCAGCATTTATTTTGTAGAAATTGCTTATTGTTGATATGTAAAAAAATGGAGTGTGGTGAGTGCAGGACAGAATTTAATAAAAGTCATATAACAAAAGTTAATTTATAATTTGTGTTCATAGGTACCTAGGTACTTAAATAAATTAATTATTTTTTTATTTTGGTTTTGCTTATTTTAAGATTGTTCCTACAAGAGTTCCAAACCACAGAAGTAATCTTTTTGGTGGTTTACTAGAGACCAGATTATAGGTATGCAACATAAAAATAGTATTTTCAGAAAAATATGATAATATCCGTTGAGTGAAACATATTAGTCAATGATATCAGTAAAAATAGCCAAAATAGCCATATAATATGAGGACCCTAGAAGCCAAGGGATATAAGTGACAATTTTGTAAAATTGGAGTGAAGTGCATAGGTGGTTTCTATATATATCCATTTATTTGTTGGCAAAGGGATAAAACTGAATTTGTAACCTGTGCTGGCCTCTTTTACCAAATCACTTAACTACTTTCCGATATTCTCCTTATGTTTGGCGCACAAGGGATATAAGTGGGCTTAGGCGCACTTATATCCCTTCAAGGGATTCCCTTGTGCGCCAAACAACTGTGATATTTCAGTTTCGTTTTGAAATCAAGCTGATAAAAGGTGCCGGCAGTAGCTGTAACTGTTTTATGTTAGCAACCTTTAAGTAGGTAGTTGTTATAATTATAAAACACTGTTTTAAAAAAAAATATATTTATGTATGATGGCAAACGAGAATGAAAATGAATTCTTAACCTCAACAACAAACACTAATGGTAAGTTAGGTTTTACAGTTTGCAATTTTATGATGCAATTTAAAATTATATGAAAGCATGTAATAGTTTTTTATTATATAATAGTAATCTAATAGTTTTCTATTATATAATATTATTAAATGTTGTTTAATTCACAAAAGTTTAAACTTTGACACCTATTAAATGGAGCATGTAATATAAAAATTTGGACTAGTGTATACACTAGTCCAAATTTTTATATGTAGGTACGCGTGATTTTTTAAGCATGTAACGAAAATTGCGAAGTGTTGAACTAGGTTAGAATTATTTTCATTTTACATTACAGATGAAGAAGGTACAATATTTAGTGATGGAGACTATTCAGATGTAGACATTGATTATAACCCGGAAAACGAAAATAGTTCCTCTGACGACTCATCTGAAAATAATGAAAACCATCCTGAAAACGCCAATCAAATTGAACGTCAGACCGGAAAAAAAAAAGTTCGCCGAACTTCAATGTGGAAAAGAGAAAGAGCAAAAAAATTAAGGAACGAGGGAAAGATGTACGTAGATCGCAAACAAAAGGTACATGGACCAAAGATGCTTCGAGAGTACAACCATCGATGCAGGTACAACTGTAATAATAATATTTCTGAACAAAATCGTCAAGCTCTATTTGACGACTTCTGGAAACTTGGATCTTGGGAGTTGCAAACTTCCTTTCTAAACGGAGCTATTGCGTTAGAGCCTCTAAAGAGGAAAAATCAAGCCGCAATTACCAACAAAAATATTTCTTGTCTGTACAAACTTAGAGAGTTTAGAGTGTGCAAAGAATTTTTTATGAAAACTCTTGATGTTTCCAATAAACGGATACAGAACTTGGTCAACAAAAAAAAGATCTTATATCTGGTGTAAGCCCTCGTGATAAAAGAGGGAAAAAGGAGCCCAGCAATAAAATTTCTAAAGAACGTGTTGATATCATTAAGGAGCATATAAATTCATTTCCACGTTATTCAAGTCATTATTCAAGATCAAAACACGTTACAAAAAAATACTTGAACCCAAGACTCGATTTGAAGACAATGTACAAACTGTATGTCAGTTTTTGTCAGGATGTAAAGTATACAGAGCCAGTTAAAGAAAGTTTTTATAGACATATATTTAACACTCAATTTAACTTGAGTTTTCATCGACCAAACACAGATACTTGTATAACGTGTGACAAATTTCAAGTTATTATCGATCATGAAAATGATTTGGAAGTAAAACGACAGGCAGAAATTCAAAAAGAGTTGCATCTACGCAAAGCAGCTGCAGCCAGACAAGCTAAAGATGAATGGCATCATAATGATGACGAAACTAAAGTGGCTATATGTTTTGATTTACAAAAGACTATGCCAACACCTAACCTGTCAAATTCTAAAGCATATTATTACAGACAGCTTTGGACACTTGCGTCTAAATCCCAAACCTATTCCCTGTCAAATGCGTTCCGTAGTTTGTCACTGTCAAGTGTTTCTTTAACAAATTTCAAAGTAAAAAGTTATGCAGGTACACTGCATTGTGCCATACAAAACTAACCCAAACTTAACAACCCAACCCAACCGACCCCGCCCCATTGGGCCCCTCCCGCCCCATTGAGCAATAGAGGTATTATATATCTAAGGGCAGGCTGGATTGTGACAATGGGGCGGGAGGGGCCCAATGGGGCGGGGTCGGTTGGGTTGGGTTGTTAAGTTTGGGTTAGTTTGGTATGGCACAATGCAGTGTACCTGCATAACCAAAATGACAGGGAATAGGTTTGGGATATAGACGCAAGTGCTTTGGACATACAACCTAAATATACACAATCTCACAACGGGAAATGCACAGATGTTTGTCTGGTATGAAGGACAAGCTTCGCGAGGATGTCAGGAAATTGCATCCTGCTTGCTAAAATTTATTAAAACCCTTCCTCATCATGTGAATTCACACATAACTGCTTTTAGCGATAATTGTGGTGGGCAGAATAAGAGCCATATTATTGTTAAATTTTGGCTCTATATTATAAAAAATACACACATTGAAAGTGTTGATCACAGATTTTTAATTTCGGGACACTCTTATAATGAATGCGACCAGGATTTTGGCCTGGTAGAGCTTAGAAAGAAAAAAGTTCTGACAGATCTGTATGTTCCCGAACATTGGGCAAATCTAATTGCATCTTCTTGCCGCAAGTTTATGGTAGTAACGATGCAAGATGAAGATTTTGTTAATGTATGTACCCTTTTTCCATATTTTAAGAAAGCGGTTCAAGGAATAAGAGATATGCAATGGTTTCATTTTGAAAAGAAACATCCCTACACTTTGTTTTATAAAAATAATGCAGCTAGTGATATAGGTTCATTTTCAACTATACAGATGAAGTCCACAAGGGCCGGTCGAAACTTGGCAACATATCGAGAACTTTGTGGTGGCCGAAAAACCCAAAATAAAAGCCTTAAAGTATGCGAATCTAATGGAACTTTTAATGTTTGTACCACCAATTTACCATGATTTCTTTAAAAATATACCTTACGAAAATGAACCAAAACGTAACGAAGTCCAAAGTAATGAAGACGTCGATGTAAATGATGATAATGTGTATTCTACAGACGAAGATTAATTATTTTCTATTTAGTTAAGCGTTTAAAACATTATTATAACATTATTAAAATTTTCAAAAAAGTTAAGTTGTATAAAACTTGGTATTTACCTTACTTGTATCCCTCCGCCAAGGGGTATAAGTGCGAATTATGTCTAAATATTTGTTTATTGTGGGCATATCAATTTTCCAAATCAATTTTTTTCATCTAAAAGAGTTCAAGTAAGCACTAGGTAATAAAATTTTAATATTGAACATCTATTAGAAAGTGTTATTTAATTACAATATATATTCAACTTTGAACTTAATTTTCTCAAAATAAAGTATTCTTCACTTGTATCCCTTGGCTTCTAGGGTCCTCATATGGTCTCTACATAGTATGTAGAGAAGAAGGTTTAAATATGGAATACTATTTTGTTTTTAGACTGCAATTGCTTTTAAAACTGAGAAATCAAACTCAAAATTTGATTATAAATGAACTTAACCAATTAAGAATAATAATCTTTAGCTAAATTAATTAAAAGTCTGTCGCATTTAAAAAAATTTAATTTGGCAAAAAAATAGGGGAGAAATATAGGTATTCCATATTGCAAGCATTGTTATTTGCAAAGTTAAAAAAAAATTTAATTTAAAAGTTATTTGGTTCATTACCAAGCATGTTTTGAGTTTAGGTACCTTCCTATAGGCTAATATATATATTAGCCGTTTGAACTTGTCTGAAAGCGTTGGCGCATGAGTGTGATTTAGCGTCTTCCATAATTTATTTCGGTGCGAGAGACCGATGCGAGTATTAAGGTTTTAAAAATTTAACTAAGTATATTCTTACATAGCCGACCAACAATCACTTTAAAAACTAATGTAAGAGAAAGATTCTGAAAATGAAAGTATAATTATAATTTTAATGGCGATGAAGACAACGACGAAGAAAATTTCGTAAAGGAAAGGCAAGAAAATAGCGAATCAGAACAAAATATTTCTTTTGATGAATTATACTAATTTTTTGTTCTTATATTGATAGTTTAAACTATCAATTGTTCTGTTTGTTTATTAAAAACATTACTTTTAAAAATATTGAAATAGTGTTTTTCTTAAAAATTTAAATACACACACAAGATATTTAATAAACGCAATTTTTAACTTTCGGTCTCATAGGTACACCGAAGCGACTAATGGCGTTTCAGAAAACATTGCGACTAATGAAGGGTTAAAATATATGTTATAATCCCTATAGGGATTTTTTGTTACCTGTTTTTTTATATTTATTAGGTACTTGAAGAAAGTATTTTGCTTAACATTTCTTGTCTTTATTTGCATTAAAAAAAATTGTATCCAAAGTTTGGATTCCAAACTTTAAGCCAAAATAGAGCGAGTATAGCGGAATTAGGATCCTAATTCCGCTACACCCGCTCTATTTCGGCTGTAGCGGAGCGTAGCGGAATTTTGATATTGTTGTAGCGTTATTTGTTATTTTCGAGTTGGCAACACTGATGGGAAGTGATATCCACATACTTCCTGTATGTGGTGATATCATATCAAATATCGTTATTCGCTAAATCATTCTAAATGATTTACGCCCATTATATTTATCAAGTTACCAGTGTTTTTTAAAGACAACGATTTTTACCAGTAAGTTTTTTTTATTAAAAATACTTGTACACTCAAGTAAGCTAAATTATTTTTAAGAGATATGGAAAACGAAGCGATGATCCAGTTTTCTGACGATCTTTTAAAAAATAAAATATTGGATTGTAAATTATGCAGCAATCTTTGCATGCCTGTTATTATTATGGTGGTGGGAAAAGGAAATGTATGTGGAAACTGTTTCCTTCAATGTGAAAAGGAAATGAAATTGAAGGCAATGAGAAACGATTCGCTTCAGTATATTTTAACCAAATTATTTTTGCCATGCAAATTCCAATCAAAAGGCTGCAATAAAAGGGTACCCTATACAAGTTATTCCCAGCACATTCTTAACTGCGAATTTAAAATAAAATCATGTCCGATGATAAATTATAAGGGTTGTAAATGGAACGGAACCATTCATGAAGTAAGCGATCATATTTTGAGGGACCATGTAGAACACGTCATTAAAAGTGAAAATAATATTTTTAAAGTCGAGAATTCCCTTTCTGAACCGTTTAACGTCAAGTTATTTTCGAATGGCTACAACAGTTATCTTTTGAAGACTTTGGTGGTCGAAAATAATTTTATTTACGCTCTTGATCCACTAAGACAATCCGAAGAAAATATTCAATATAACGTAAAACACAAGAGCATTAAAACACCAAACCTTGCTATGATAAATACCATAGGGACCCTAACCCAATTTAATGAAAATTATAACGAAATAAACCTAAATAAGAACCCCAAAGCAACGTCGGTGGATATGGACTTTTTAAAACATTTGGCAGACGAACAAAATATGATAACCAGCGAATTTAATTTAAATCCAGATGGGTTGGATGAACATTTGTTAAAACAATTGGAATGTCCTGTTTGTTTCCTCACAATGAGACCACCAATTACTCTGTGCACTAATGGGCATAGTATTTGCGCTTTGTGTCGTCCAAATGTAAATGAATGTCCAACTTGTAGAAAGGAATGGACTAATGCTAGGAATTTTTCTATAGAAAGTCTTGTTTCTAAGGTACAGTTTCCCTGCAAGTACAATACATCTGGATGCAAGGAAATCGCGATAGATGATCACGAAGATTTGTGTCAGTTAAAAATCTATGAATGTCCAATGGATTGTCTTGAACGTGGGCCCTTTCAGTTTATATTGAATCATTTAAATACCAACCATAAAGATATGGAATGGAAGAACGAATCGGAACAAAAAATAGAACAAACAGAAACAGATACACAATTGTATTGGATGGAGTTGGATTCGAAGTTATTTAAAATATCACTATATAAAAAAATTAAATTAATCATCAGAATAGTTGGCTCTGAGAATATTTACCCAATGTATAAGTGTGCTGTATCAGTAAAAGGGTTGTTTAATATTGGAGATTATATTAACCTATCTAAAATACATTCACGTAGATTTGATATGTTTACTATTTATATTAAAAAATGCGAATAGTTACATATTCCAAGACAATAGCTGGAGGTGAAGATTTTAAATTAATATACTTAACCCATTATTATTAATATATTATATATAATTTAGTACTTATAACTCATTTGTGGCCTCTGCGTATACGCATAAGTGTACAGCCCGGACAACATTCGTGATATTTATGTCGTGATTTTCACAAATTTACTCATACTGATATCATACGGAAGTCACCGCGTGATAAATGAAAATCATAAGAACGCCACGTCGTGATTTTCACAAATTTTATTCATACGGACATCATCCGGATGTCACTGCGTGAGAAATGAAAGTCATGTCGTGTTTTTTTATGACATCGCTGTTTGCGATTGACCGATGGCCTAAAAAATCATGTCGTGATTTTGTATGCCAACGGTGTTTGGATAATAATTTTTGCGCCACGTTCGTACACTAAGAGAAAAATTATTTTGAATCAACAGTTTTTTGCGGTTAAATACATTTAATATTTTCTTGGATTTAAATTAATAGTTAATTTAAATCCAAGAAAATATTGAATGTTAAACTGTTGATTCAATTGTTAACATACTTTTTCTTTCAATGTACAAATGTGTCGCAAAAATGAATATCCAAACACCGATGGCATAAAAAATCATTTCGTGATTTTTTATGCCATCGGTGTTTGGATATTTATTTTTGTGTCACATTCGTACATTGAGAGAAAAAGTATACCTACATATATATTGAATTAACAGTTTTTGTGGTTAAATACATTCAATACTTTTTTTGGATTTAAATTAATAGTTAATTTACATCCAAGAAAATATTAAATGTATTTAACCGCAAAAACTGTTAATTCAATTGTTAACATACTTTTTCTTTCAATGTCCGAATGTGGCGCAAAAATAAATATTCAAACTTGTCGGTGCACCGATGGCATAAAAAATCATGTCTTGATTTTTTATGCCCAAACTCCGATAGCATAAAAAATCATCCATCGGTGTTTGGATATTTATTTTTGCGCCACATTCGTACATTGAGAGAAAAAGTATACTTACATATATATTGAATCAACAGTTTTTGTGGTTAAATACATTTAATATTTTTTTGGATTTAAAGTAATAGTTAATTTACATCCAAGAAAATATTAAATGTATGTAAGAAGGAGACAAAGAGGCATAACACAAAGAATGGAGCAAATGGGATGGCTACAAATGAGCCAACGACGTGCGCTTCATTGCTTTGTGATGTATCACAAAATTATAAATATAAAATGTCCTTCTTATCTGTTTGAAAAAATATTATATAGATATGATGTTCACAATATAAATACAAGGCACAAACAACGCATATCTCCACCAAAATACAAATCTGTTATGTATCAGAGATCATTTTCTTATGCAATTTACAAGTTTTTAAATCTCTTACCATTAAATTTTATGGCACTTTCTAAGACAAAATTTAAAAAACATATACTACCATTTGTTACTTTGAATTTTTAATTATTAAAAAATTAAGAATTAAGCATTAAATATAGATTTATATAATGTTATAGCATTTTTTTTTTTTTTTTTTAATTAATTTTGATGTTTTAGGGTTATTTGCTTAATATTATCTTATTTTGTATTGAATTTTAAACATTTTTGTTATATAAAATTACCTATATATAATTTAGGATCACATGGTTGTATTAATGAAAGACTCTACATACACACATATGTATATAAATTAAGCATGTTGTTTAGATTTCATTTTTTTTTTAGTTATATGTTAGTATAGAGCTATACTAGCTCTAGTAGTTCTTAATTATTATGATTAGGTTAAAAGCTTTTAACCTAATCATAATAATTAACCTAGGTTAAGTGGAAGAACGGGAGCTCACATTATTTGTGTTCAACCGAACTTCGCCTTTTGTAACGAATTATTTGTATTTTTTTACATATTTTGTTGCAATAAAGACATTATTATTATTATTATTATTATTATTATTTAACCGCATAAACTGTTAATTCAATTGTTAACATACATTTTCTCACAATGTAAGAACGTGGCGCGAAAATGATTATCCAAACACCGTTGGACATGATTTTTTAGGCCATCGGTCAATCGCAAACAGCGATGGCATAAAATTCACGACATGGTTTTCATTTCTCAGGCAGTGACAATCGGATGATGTCCGTATGAATAAAATTTGTGAAAATCACGACGTGACGTTCGTATGATTTTCATTTATCACGCAGTTACTTCCGTGTGATATCAGTATGAATAAAATTTGTGAAAATCAAGACATGGTGTTCGTATGAATGTCACGAATGTTGTCATTCAATTAAAAAAGATATATATCTTTTTTGAAATATTTCAATGTTTAACAAAACGTTCACGTTTGTTAAACATTGAAATATCTTTTTTAATTGAACCCGGACAACATTCGTGATATTCAAAGAACGCGTTTTATAAATTATAACGGTGTAATGTGAATAACAAACTAGGTTTTAAATTCGCAGTTCGCAGGGCTCATACGCATGCGCAAATTTTGCAAATATCACACCGTGAGTTCTACATGATATCACTGTGATGAAGCATGTGTACGCACTCAGGATATCACAGCGTGATAAAAAAAATCACGTTGTGATATCATCATGATCATGACTTCACCAGGAAATCCCGATTGTTGTCCGGGAGTGTAAAAAAGAGCAGTGCAGACAGTACAGCAATATTGCTAAGATATCTTAGTAGCTCGACTCTACGCGGTTGTAAAACTTGAGCGGGGAAAGGGGAATGCGTCTCAAACTTTGAATAAAGGTTTTTTATTCAAAGGTCACAAAGCATTCTAACCTAACCTTATAATCTGTGAACCTAATCTAAGATAAATAGCGCGAGTGTGCTTACTGTTCTTTCTATATTGTGGCTCAAGTTATGTAATAGTATATTGTGCGTTTTCTTGGGAAGAGGAGATTTCTTAAGCGCGTGAAATTTCCTCTTTTGACCAATAGTCGCACACAATATTATATTGAACTACCGCAAGGAATTTAATTGATATATACTCTGACAACTGTTTAAATAGTAGTTAAAGTTAACAGGTAATTCATTATTTCCCTGCGGGTGTTAAATAAATTTATCATTTAAATGACCATATGTTTGGGATACAAAATAATTTTATGTCAATAAATTTTTAATTATAATTAAATGATAACGAACTATTATTTATTTTGTGCTAACCCTTTATATTATTGTGTGGGATATTTTGATGAAAAGGTGATTTTCCGGGATCTGCTCCGTGTTTTCGGTTTTTGGTTCTTAAAAAAACCGTATCTGACGACGTTTCGGTACAATCTCATGTACCATCTTCAGGTCTTATCTGCTGCTGCTCCACGTTTAACTCGCAGATGAGTCGAAACGTCCTCAGACATACGCTTCTTTTAAAACCCGACAACACGGAGCAGATCCCAGAAAACCACCAATACATATATATTATATATACAGGGTTTTCATTTTAAAACGAACCACCTTAAATATCTATTAAATTAAAAGAATTTTAAAAAATCCAAAAAATACGTCGAGTTATATAAGAAGGGGGAATTCATTTTAGCGATTTTTTTAAACAAAATCTAAACACAGCACTGGATTCACCACCACTCAAAACGACCTTATGCTAAATTTTATTGAAAAATTTTAAGAAAAAAAATGCACAATATTAACCACAAAAATTTATTTTGTCAAGTTATCCATGAAAAAACATTGAAATAAAATTAAACTAATAGTAAGATGGTACTATATAGTAATATTACTTTAAGTTCAATTTTATTTCAATGTTTTTTTCTTGGATAACTTGACAAATTTTTGTAGTTATTATTGTGCATTTTTTTCCTAAAATTTTTCAATAAAATTTAGTATAGGTCGTTTTGAGGGGTGGTGAATCCAGTGCCGTGCTTAGATTTTGTTTAAAAATATCGCTAATATGAATTCTTAAAAATTTACTCTTAAAAACTGACATAGTAGGCATTGTATTTTGTAATAATATGGCGTCTTTTGCTTTAAAATACAGTTTATCAAGATACACAATAAATAAAGATTTTACAGGGGTGAGTCGCAAACAAATGGGTCACACTGTATATATATATACTATTGGGCAAAAGTAAAGCAACAAATTAAAATAATTTTTTTATTGTAAGTATTGCTTTTAAATATGTACCATAACTACGATTTTTTCAAATTGTTTTGTTTATTTAACTGTTAGAGACTTGCTGAAAGTAGTAATATAAATTTACATCTTTAAAATAATTATTACCATACTAAAAAAATAAACTGTTTTTCGTGACCTTTGACCTTCGATATTTGGCAAGGCGCGATTTCGCTTGGGGCTTTTAAGACAATATTACTCTTACCTGGAATTTTTTTAGAAGTTGACTGGGCCGTTTTTCCCTTTAGGACCCCTCTACCCCGTGTAAAATTTAGCTGAAAAATTCATAAAAAATAAAACACCTTTTCCAAACAATTCAATATAATAAAAAGACATTACCTAATAAAAATAAATTTACAAATCTTAAAAAGTAGGTAATAAAATAATGTTGGATCACAGTTTACAATACTGGAAAGTGATAGTTGGGTTGTCGTTGTTGCGTCAGCGACAACAAGCAGAGGAAATAGTTTCTGTTTTGGGGATTCACATAGAACGAGTAAATCGTTGAAACGTCCGCCATCGATGTAGTCGACATGGCTCTTGGCGACGAAAGGGGCGATATGCTGATATCGGACCTATCTTGACTGATTCCGTCGGGCATGTTGAGGATGCCCACGGTGTTTTTGACGTAATCCGCCACTCTTGCCCGGCTCACCGGGTCCATTTCCACGACGTTTTCGTCTTCCTGCTTGACAACGACCGGCGGAGGTGTCAACTTCAAAACCAACAAAGTTGGGTCGTTGCTCTGAACGATGCTTAACTCCGCAAGGCTTAAAACTTTATCGGTTCTATCTTCGTCCGTGTTGATGATCATTAAGGCCTCAGTCGTCAAAATTAAGGCTATAGCTTCGTATTGAGTGTTGTTGATAGACGTCGCCTCAGTGACGTAGATAATGTTTCGGTTCGATAAAGAATTTGTCAGCTTCCAGCTGTATTTCACTATGGAATTTGGACTGGTGTATATTTGAAACAACACCGGTTGATTTCTTGCCTCTGGCAGTGATGTCCAGCCCGCACCTTGTAGCAAACCTAACAAATAATTTATTCATAAACGATGACAGTTTATTAATAATTTTCGATCGTAAAATCAGTTTTGGGCCTTTCCATCTCAAATCGACCAGGCAAAAAGGGGTAGGTTGTTATTTTTTAACAATTTTTTTTTGGTTTCTCTACCTGTATTTTTTCTTTTTGCTTAAATTTCTTTTGTTCACCTGTAGGAAATTTTTGAAAAATGGACAGAATCATCGTTAATTCTCTTTTAATGAGTGACTTTTTTCTTGAAAAATGTTTCAAACGTTACAATTTTTTTTTAAACTTTAGGTAAATTTGTACTACATACAAAAAATTTATAAAAAATTAAGTGAATTTACTCAATTTTTTTTAATGTTTTTTTTTTATAAAAAAGGCAAAAAAATTGAGGTCAAAATTTTGACATTGCCAAATTTTTTTCTTGCTTCATATTTTTTTGTTTGAAGTTGAAAACATGAACAACTTTTACCCAAGTCCCGAGTTGGCTAAATTCGTCGTTTCGGAATTATTATTTTTTTAATGAAAATGCCATTTTCTAGTAAATTTGTGGTTCATCGCAAAAATTTGGTATTTTATCTAGGGTCATGAAACTAAGGTGACCTTTATAAAGTGTAATTTAGAACTTTTTGACATATTTAACATATTTTTGCCACTTCCGGTTTCACCGGAAATGGTCTTAACTTTTTATTTTTTAATGAAACACCCTATGCATTTTTACATATTTTGATTCAAAATAAAATTCTAAACACATACATATGTCATTTGACAGGTCAAAATATTTTTTAATTAAATATTATTTCTATATCTAGAGTGCCTTGAATTGCAATGGCTTTTCTGCTTTTTGTTGGGCCAAGTAGACTTGTAAAAATACAATTTTATTCTTTTTTTGCAATGCTGTTTTTAGGGGCTTTCAAAAATTGAAAAACCATACTTTATGCCAAAACTATTTTTTTTTAAATAAAAAAACTACATCTTTTTTAATTTTGATTCAAAATATTAGTGCATTTTTTTAATAATATCGCTTTCAAACTCAATTAAATTTCAATGTTTATTAGGTTTTAAAGTGTGTACAGAAGTAAATAAATTAAGAAGGCTTTGAAACCTTTGAGTTTAAAAGAAGTACCAGATTTGACATTTCGTTAGTTTATTTTGCTGGTAAGTGAATATTAACATTTTATTTTACTATAAAAATATACGCTAAAAATTGAATTGAATTACCAACGGATCCTCGATAGAAGACTCATATAACCTGTTTGTTTCAGCATCCCATTTTTTCGAGATCAAACAGCTTATTCCCATCAGCTTAATTGCAGCCATGCATTCACTTATGGTGTCGTGGAGTTCTTGTAGTTTTCTAGCTGATTCATGGTGAATTGGCGGGAACTCCATCATTTTATTAAGTAACTTTGTTAATATTAACCTCTTGTTATTGTACCTTTTTTTAAGCTGCTCCCATGCTGCTCCGTAATTAGCATTTGTTATGGGAAAATGTTGAATGGCACGCGCTGCTTCGCCTTTAAGGTGAGTTTTTAGATGCTGCATTTTTTCTACGTCGGACAAGCGTCGGTTGTTGTGAATTATTTGCGTAAATATGTCTTCGAAATTGGCCCATTCCTCGTAATTACCTCCGAAAACTGGAATCTGGACCTGTGGTAGTTTGATTGATGTGCTTCTATCATTGTCGCTTTCTGTTTGTTTTAACCTACGTATTTTTTGTCGTAGGTCACAAATGCGGTCTTCGCATTCCATTTCGATTAGTGTATACGTGTTGTTCGTGAAATACGATGCCTGACGTAGTGTGTCGTCGGCTCGGATTTCAAAATGTGCTGATACTATTACTTGCCATTGATTAATTAATTTTTCAGACAGAATTTCGTACCTATCTATAGTCTGGTCATGGGCTAATGCGTCGTCAATTCTGTTCATTATTTGCTGAAGATCCTGTATGCGTTGCATCTGGTATTTTACTCGTGTATCTTCGTCTTCGCTGGATTCGTTAATACATGTTGTTGAGTCCTGAATGTACTTATAACAGTCCTGATACGATTTTTCGATTTGTTTATAATATTCTGTTGTCCAATATTCATGAGATAATTCTTTGATTTTAATTATCTCGGCATGAGTTTGTTCCGCATTGGCCCAATGTTCGTTCAACGCCTCAGTGCGGCGTTTGAAGTATTCAGTTGACTTTCTTGAGGTTGAATCTTTCTTCATGTTGGTGTATAGTTGAAGGATGGCCTTCCCAGTGACCTGTTGTTTGGCCACCAGCTCGTTCATTTTTGGGTTTGTGTTCGTCATCTTAAGTTGTGTCGATTTGATTGTTTTCTAGATATGAAACTGCACCACTTCTGGATTGGACTGGTACAATTTTAGGTTCGAAGGACCATGAAAAGAATCGGATCTTAATTAGGATCCCGAATCTTTGTAATAATGTCCCACTAGCGGAGCGCAGCCTCACGCTCCAGTTAAGGCTTGGAAACTAGTGGGTAGTTGAGTAAAACACAATAGTCTTGTTAATACTGACTTTAATTATAAAATTGTTTCCTTATATACAAATGGGATATTTTATTTTACATACTTATTTTACAAGGTTGTATTTTGTTATGTTATTGCTGACGCGGTTTGTTCGCTTAGATGACCGAAGTAGGTCAACTAAATAATAAATGTTTAATTTTAAGATTAAACAGGTGGTTAGAATCAAAGGGGTGTAAGTAATAGCTTAAGATTTGTTGGTTTTAAAACTACTAAATAAAAGCATTTAAATATTTTAAAACGATTATAAAAAGTTATATCGAACCGCCCCATAGTGTGGCCATTGTAGGGAATCTCTGGCAATAAATAAAAAAACGAAATATGAAATCAAATGAAAATTTGTTATTTTTAGACATAATAATTATTAATAATTAATTATTAACCTGCGCATTAGTTTCTGGACCTCTTAGGCTTAACACTTATTTCCCTTCCTGATAGAGCCTCAGTCAAAAAGAGTTTCGTGACTGCCTCACTCATAAAATTTGTTTGTTATATATTTCTTCGAAATCGCGTTTTTATAAGTTTCTTGTGCATTCGATTCATTACTTTAACTATGGTTTCGCGTAAAAATCGAACAAATTTTGGACATTTGTTTGCAAGTGATGCCAGAATTGAATATATTTTTGTTAACTTGTTTGTACATCTAAATAGTACTTTTTTTTTTCAAAAAAAAAATTTCATCCATTGACCCCTGTGGTTTTCATGCCTTAGGTCACTCTACTGTGTTAAAAATAGATAAATTTCGTTATTTTGTAATAACATTTTTATTTAAAAACGTATCGATTTGAAATTAAGATAAAATGTAGACCTTATTAGTGGCAATAAATCCACGTATTATTTTTTTTAGATTTTAATATACAGGGGGCACGGTGGACAATTTAATTTAAAATTTTACCATTTTTAAGGGTTAAAAAGTCGAAGAAGCAACGTTGTTTTATAATTTTGAGTATATCACGTTAAAGTACTGATAATTAACTATTATTTGATATATAAACTTCTAAATGCAAATTATGTTTCTACGAGAGACACCATTTTTAAGTTAAGCCTTCAAAGAGCGTAATACTAACGTTTTTACAAATTATAAATTGTTTTAACTAGTTTTATAAGATAATGTATTATATATTACATACAATATTTTATATATAACATACAATTCTTACATATTTATTTAAAAAAATCGCCATAGATGGAGCTAAAATTAGTTTTATTTATAAATTTTAAATTTTTTTAAGTTTACTAATTTTGATCATAGTAGGCATCACAGACTTATCTCTATGGTAACCTACCATTGGAAGCATGAAAAATGATTTAACAGTTCAGTTTATAAGTTGCAAATGACTGATTGCGTTTCAATTTATAAGTGTACTATAAACTTAAAATATTAATTTATTAAAATGAATACACTAAATAATAATTATAGACAGTATCAGCAAGTTAGAAATTATAACCTACTTTAATTTTATTTTTTGCTCCACAACCAAGCTTCAATTTATGTTTTACTCGATAAACAAGCTTCAATTTTAATTCCTAACTAAGGAAAGTAATATTTACCCAATAAATAAATTAGAATAAAGACTTTTTATGTTGCAATCGGCTATTTAGATATAACTATATTTTTATTCATTTGTTTTTCGATTTTTTGTAATTAGTTATTTTGCATTTTTTTATATTTAATATAATGCTATACAGGGTGTTTCTGGAGAAACGCAAACGGTATGGATTTGAAATTTTAATAGAATATACAATTTGATTTAGACTATACATAAAGTCAATAGTTTTCAAGATATTAATTTTTTTCGTTAAAATGCACGTTAATCAAAATAGCCTCTAATTTGTTTGTTATTATGTTTGTTGACATGGGGTTGGAATTTTTGGAATATTAAAACATTGTTTAGTTTTTTAAAGGTTTTTCAACAAATACCTTGAGAAAAACCACTTGAAATTAGGCAAACTTCAAACAATAACAACGTTTTTATTATAAATGTAAAACCCTGTATGTTTTAACATAATCAAATAAAACATTAAAGAATCTTTCGATTGGTATTATAGTAACTCTTTCCTAAAGTTAAAATTTCAGAGACATTTAACAATTTCTAATATTCAATACTATTTTGTATCAACAAACCTCTGTCATTGTTTAAAATTAATTAAAATATTTGATTGAAAAAATAATAACTCAAAAAATATTGACTTTAGGTATAGGATATGGTATAGCCATTTTACTCAGAATTTTATGTAGAATTAAATAATGTAAAAATATATGAGGTATTCCGGTAAAACAGGAAGTATTATTTTGTTTAAAATAATTTAGGAAAGCGAATACTTTACGTAGAATTAAATAATGTAAAAATATATGAGGTATTCCGGTAAAACAGGAAGTATTATTTTGTTTAAAATAATTTAGGAAAGCGAATACTTTACGCTATTAAAATTTTAAATCGATGTCTCGCGATTCCCTAGAAACTTCCAACGGACTAAGTACGTGAAACACCCTGTATATTAAACGTCATTTATGTGTTATGCTTTACTTAATTATTAATAAAAGACATACAATATTTGTATAAAAATGACAAAATGTACTAAACTAAGCATTTATGAATACTGCTACTGCTAATTCAAAACTGATCCTGGCCACAGAAACATCATTTGCATAAAAAAGTTAATATATCAAATAATAGTCAAATATCAATACTTTCACGTGCTATACTCAAATTTATAAAACAAAGTTGCTTCTTCGATTATTTACCTTTTAAAAATTGTTAAATTTTAAACTAAATTATTACCAGCGCCCCCTGTACGTTATAATCTAAACAAAATTTTTTCATGGATTAATTGTCATTAGTAAGATCTACATTTTGTCCAAATTTCAAATCGATACGTTTTGAAATAAAAAAGTTATTTAAAAAAAAATGAAATTTCTTCATTTTTAACACAGCAAAGAAAAAAATTAAAATAAAAACAAAGTTGTCAATGGACGAGATTTTTTTTTTGAAAAAAGTACTGCATTAAGATGTAGAAATAAGGTAAAAAAGTTTCAATCGATTTCTTGAACCCTTGCAAATCGACCGTTCGATCCTTTCGCGAAACCGTAGTTAAGGTATTTAATACTGGCCTTTTATTATTTTAACCAAACTAATTTACGTATACTTTTTACATCTTTTAAAAGTAAAAGTATTTACATTATATTCTAAAATCTTTCATAATTTAATTTACTTACTTAAGAGCATTTCCGGTGAAACCAGAAGTGACAAAAATGTTAAATAAGTCAAAAAGTTCTAAATTACACTCCAGTTTTATGACCCTAGAAAATACCTACCCGTTTTTGCATGGTCGAATTGAGATGGAAAAAAACCTTTTATATTTTAAAATGTTTTTACCTTGTCCGGTAAGCGCTAACAATTCAGCTGCGCCACTCAAGGGTTTCGTAATTACACCAACCAATCCCAAGCCCACACCCGCCGCCAATGACCTTGGAGAAGCGCCATCTGACATCACGGATTGTAATGGGTGGTGAGCAATGCCACCTACAGCCCCTAGCAGACTGATACCCAATCCAGTCATACCCTTGAAATACAAAACAACGCCTGTATTAAGTTACATATTACTTGCCCAGGCACAATCTAAGCGCTCGCGTATTGTTGACTGTTTATAGCGATGGGGGCTGTTTATTAAGATGGAATTATAACATCATGAAGCTTAAGCTTTGATACTCGCGACGAAATAATTATACGTGAAAATAAATATGCTTAAATAAGTAGTTAAGTGATTAGTTAGCAGAGCTACTACAAATGTAGTTAACTACTTTTTTTGTAAAAATATTCTACTACTTTTGAGAGATATAACTACTTTTGAGGGATTTAACTATAGGTACTTGATAAAATATTCTTAAAAAGTAGTCAACTACATGCTACACTACATGCTCTTTTGTATTCTATTTTTGAGCGATTGGTTTTTTTAAAGGCAAATAAAAATATTTAATATATTATGATGTTACCTATTTATAATTCTGATTCTATTATTAATCTTTAGTTTGTGTTTTATTTTTTTATGTTTTCCACAAAGGAACTATAAAAAATTCTGTTTTTATTTTTTAATTAAATACTTAAATCCCAAGCATACATATTTATTACTAAAATAAAATTAAAATAATAATAATAAGGCGTCTTTCATGTGTTTTATTAAATTTTATAGCTTTGAGTCAGAGAGAGCAGTTAAAAAAGTAGTTAAATTTTTAACTACTAAATACTTGTAGTTGGTAATCTAACTACTTTTTTGACTAAGTAGTTAAACTACTAGGTAGTTAATACTACTTTAATAATTAAGTAGTTAGTAGTTATACTCCACTACTTTTTTCAATTAGTTTGCCCATCTCTGTTAGTAAGTTTGAAAGTGTTTTCATTGTTAATAAGTTAAAAAAATAAATCGTTTAGGGGCAAATTTTTGTTAAATGTACATTTGCTATCCCCAGCTAATTTTATTTTTATTTTTGACCTTTGTTGATAAGTTTTGTATTTATTATATTTAAATACCCCCTTCCTGTTATGACCCATCGTATTTTGTTTTTTAATTACTTTGTGTTTCTATATATGGCAGAAAAACTAGGTGAAATGTCCTGTAACCTAACTGTCCCCAGAGGCGATTTTGTAATTTAAATTATTATATTCTTCTTCTTTGCAGCTTTCTTCTGAAAAAATAAACTATTTTTGAACAATGGAAAGTTCTTTTATTCGCATATAAAACTTAAAAAATTTTCTACAAAGTAGTTTAAACAGAAAAATATTAAAGTTGACATTCAAAAATCTTGTCTTTTTCCTAACGTCGTCTTCTATGCCGACTGCTTCGAAATAGAGATACTAGCGTTTTATTTCTAGAGGGCATCCAGTTTGATACTTCGGCAACAACAAGTGAGCACGTGCAAATTGTATGAATTTTTTTATTAATATTTTAAAGGTAAGATTTTTTTGCGTACACTTTTTGGTGTCTTTTACAAAACGCTACATACAACTCTTGTTTTAGAAGTTAACTTTTTTATTTTAATTTTGTATTATAGCATAGTAGAAATGCCAAACAAATGCCGAAAGATATTTACATTTAACACTATTTCTGAAAAATAACTTTTGAAAAAGTCAAAAGCAATGTGTCATAAAACGTTCAGGAAGATGCGTTAGGAGGAGGACAATATTTAATTTCTTCCTTATGTTCCTTCCCTATTTCAGATTAACCCTATATGTTTTATTTCTTTAAAGTTTATTTTTGTTATTTATAACTTATAGAATTCTTTTGGTGTCTATTACACTGTTCTATCATAAAGGAAAACAAAACGATCAAATTGACCTGCCTGGACAAAATATATATACAAAATGAATATTTAACGAAAATTCGCCCTTAGTTCATTAATAAATTGCGTATATTATTCACACTTTTGAAGCAACAAAAACGGTTTATTTATGATTATCATAGTTTTACCTGCATAAAACCTTGCGCGAGTCCCTGCGGCCTCTGCCTGCGCTGCTCTTCCGTCCTCCTGAGGTGCTCCTCGTCCAAAGTCAATCTGTCCAAATTCCTGGCAACACTGGACGCCAACTTGGTGACGGACTGCAGCGTGCCGGACGTGACGTGCCACATGAGGGACGCGGACCCCTGCGTCACGCCCCTCAGGAAGGCCATCGGCCCCTGCACGAGCCCTCTGTAGGGCAGACTCACGAAATCCCTGAGGCCCGAGCCCATGGCGCGCGCGAGGCCGCCCGGGCTGCCCAGGAGCTCCAGCGAGCTCACCACCCAGCCGGCGCGGAAGATGGCGCCCGACAGGTAGTGCATGGTGAGCGTGTGGCCCAGCTTGTAGGGCGTGGTCGCCAACCGCTTGCGTTCGAACTTCCCGAACTGCAGCGGCGACTGGTCCAACGCGATGTAGATCTTCACGGAGCAATGCACCGAGAGCAGAATCGAGACGGGCGCTATGGTTATGGTTTTGACCGTCAGAGGGACCGAGGCCAGGACGCATTGCCACGCTATCAGGTCGGATATGATCACCACGCCTGGGGTGCGGTTCTCAACCAGCTGTCTTTCCGGCGCAGGCCACAGAACCAATTTGTTGGGGGAGAATATTTTCAGGCAATCTGCGAGTCGCGATAAGTACACGTCTTCTATGTAACACGATACTGGTTGGAAGGAAATGCTCACCGTTTTCGCACCTAAATAAATTAAATAATATAAAATAAAACAAACCCTTGTGGATTTTTTTTAAACAGAACAATTTAAAATACGAGTTTTAAAAGTCTTTCTTATAAAAACTGATTACGTCGGAAAAACTCAGAATAAGACTTCTGGAAGAGTTATTCTGACAACAAGTGATTGTGATGAATTGAAATAAACTTGGCTTATTATGTAAACATTTCTTCTGTGTTGTTATAAGAAACAATGTTTATAAATATTTTTTTCTACTCCCACCTTTGAAACGCCCATTATCGTACATGTTTCCATAACACTAAGTGACCTTTTAAATACACATTGACAAGTTGTGGCTTAATGGCGCTTTAGTCACGGTCTGAAGTTAGTTTTAAGTTAGTTGACAGTTGTCAAATGTCATACAATCGTTAAAATAAAATGCCTTTTTTGTCAAATAAAACTAAATATGAAAATTATTTTATTATCTCAATACAAAAATACAAAGGTATTAAATAGTTTCTTGACGCCAATATTTAAAAAGATTATATGAACGTTTGTAGCGCGCTAGCGACCTTTTGATTTCGCAGTTAACTAGATAAAGCGTTAAAAAATTTGCGTACAGTGCCCATAAAACATTATCTTCTCTTTTACTCTAAAAAACTGCTTCTATATCGATTGTTAGTCTATTTTTAAGGGATACATTTTGATTAACAAAGAAAAATTTGAGATTTTAAAGCAGGTAGATTTCCAAGTTAGAAATTTAAAAGTAAATTCCAATAAATACAACTGTCACTTTTTGTACCTTTAACATTTCCCATGTAAGAATTTTTAATACTTGGTGATAATATTTTGCAATTATAGTAATAAAAAAATCAATAATCATATTTTGAAGTTATTCTAATATTTTAAAGTATCAATAATTTAAGTTTAATTAAAATAATAACGGGCAATGTTAATGGTAAAAATGACGTCAAAAATGTTTATTGGGATGGTTACTTTATTTTCGTATAGATATCGCTTTATACAAATATTTAATTTAAATATGTTTCAAGATTATATTAAGTATTTGTCGTCAAAAAAGTATAGTATGCAACTCGTTCATAAACTTTTCTAGGCACTCATTTAATTAGGCACTCGCTCGTCCGAAATTAAATTCGTCTCTAAAATGGCGTTTATCAAACTTGATACATAATATACTATAATAATTGTCTGACTCTTCCAATAATAATCTGACTTAATAAGTCTTATTACAACTTTTTTTAAGAGAAAGTAAGACTGTCAAAACTCTTAGTTTTTCAGAGACAAATTTCCACAAGGGTTTAATTAAGATTAATGTATTTATTAAACCCTAAAGTTGATTCAACTCATCTATGAGATGTATTTTTTAGAATATTATTTGCCAGTTTTAGTTGGTAGTTTTTTTCCTTTCAAAATTTGATCAAAAAGATCATATCTCAATTGACATTTTTTGTTTATATGTATATTGCATAAATAAGTTATGAAAAAATATAATTTTTAAATATAAAAAATTCAACTGAAAAAAAATTGACCTAAATATTTTTATTCAAAGGCGTATTCATGCTCACTTAAAAAAAGGAATAAAAAATAAGGAATAAGAAATAAAATATATTGCCACCATTTAGTTGCGGGAGGTGTAATCAAAGTGTTCTTTGTATTTCAGTTGTTATTGATAAATAACATAAATTAGAATGTCGATATGTCACGTTACGTCAATTTGTCAGTAACACAAAACACAATTATATTTTATTATAGTGGGTTATGTATTGGCTATAAACGTAAACAATCGACAGCGACACTCAACGCGATCGCCAACACCATTGCTCCATGGCCAAAACATAAAACCCATAAAACCAATTCACAGACATATTTTGTCCTTCTGCGCAGTTTTATACGAAAAAATAAGAATCAAAATTAAGAGTTATTTATCTTTAGTCTTATTTTCATGAACATGAACGCAACCTACTTTACACAGTTTTAACTTTTTATCTTATTTCTTATTTTAAGTGAGAATAAACACGCCTTAAATTTGAGTTAACTGGGAAGCCACTGATTTTTAAGTAAACATTTTTCCAAGTCCAAAAATAGTTGAAATCAATTAATACAATTATAATGTTTTTTTCTAAAACGCCCTGTATATTAATTAAAATACTCACCTGTTATGTTGGTATTTCTTGCGTGATCAAAGCAAGATTCCAAATTTACTTCCAGCACCAGAACAGCATTATCCTGGGAGTCTAATAGTTTGTCCATTGGTATGTTCAAGGAACTCATCCTTCTTTCGGGGTTTTTATTTTGGCCGATGAATACGACGGGAAAGTCGTAGGATTCCCGGGAGTACAATTGATTGTCGAACTGCATATCGGATATGATCAAATTAAGATTCAAGACCTAAAAAATAACAACACTGCAACAGTTCCTGTGATATATAGGTGTGCTTACTTCAGTTTGAGTAACACTTAGAGCTATATTATCACAGGTAAGGCTGGCCAATTCGCATCTCTCCCTAGGAGTGTTGAGCTCAGTGGATAATATGAAGGAAAAACTTTTCAGGAACACTTTCACTTTTAAGGAATTCCATCTACCCTTGGTTGGTATCGTTTGAACCAAAATTGATTTCTTTGATGAAACGTCAGTTAACTTTTCCCTAGCGACATTTGGCACCGCTGTCTTGTGGTGCTCCCCAAGAGTGGGTAGTTTTGAAGATGTCGATTGGAACTCCTCTATATTGCTTGCAAAAGATGAGGTCGAACTCGGTATTTGCTAAAACAAATTTTCCAAATAAATAATGTCTGTAAACGGTGTTAATCGCACCTTTTCTTTTGCTTCTTCATTTGGACTTCCGTTAGTTGTGTTCATAGATAATCTAACTCTTATATCCCTAGCACTTATTTCAACTTGACTGACTGATTCAACCGTGATGTGCGTAAAAACGGCTGTATTGATAATGGTCATTTTAACGTCTCCAAAATACGGTATTCTCACGAATTTTTCATTGTCCAAGGTTATGTTTATATCTTCAGACCATTTAAGTTTACTATCATCTAAAAAGCACATCCTAAATAATATATAAATGCAACAGTGTTTGTGGGGTTTCCTTTCACGCAGCAAGGGAGCAATGGATCGACGTGATTTTTTGCTTAGAGATAGTTTATGGGTCAGAGAGTAACATAATGTTTGCTAGTTCAACTTACCAGAATCAGTACTGGTCCCAAAAACAATACTTTCAAGATAACTGTTTTGCGGTATTTCTGGAAACTTTTCCCCTATTAAAGGCATGCTGTAGAACATGCTGCCAAGTCGTTTGATTTCGCAGTTCCACTTGAAATGTTGACTTTCGTTGGCTGTACTGTTATCCGTGAGGAATTGAGCGCATATTAACGGAATGTTACTCTTATTCTCAATAAAGATCTGAGGTCGTAAGTCGTGACTGACAGCCAAATAGGTTTGACCTTTGTATTCTTGAAATGTGATACAAAGTGGTATCTGAAAGTAATTTTTATATACTTTTTGTATTACAATTACACAAATGATTTACTGGGTAGTTTTCTCCTAATATGCAAAAACTTTTGCGTATAAATGTTTTGTCAACTCTTATTGGACAACTCCATCCCAATTCCGGTTTGGCAGAAAACGTCACATAAAATGCAAAGTTTGTGTTTTCAAAGTCGCCTGTTAAATTGTACCATTGCATTATGGACATACCGGCATTTCTAAAATAAAATGCAAGAATTCACAAAATGTCTTTGTAAGTTTGAGGGTCTGTATTTTTTTATTTTTCACCCAATTTAAAAATAATTTTAACGAATTTTAACCACTAAATATCCTAAAAAAATCACAAAAAAGTGGTGTCAATTTTAGTTCTCTTAAAGTTAAGACCAACTTTGATAGTTTGTAGTTTGGTTATTTTTTACCCAATTTAAAAAATATTTACATCAAATGTAAAATAATTTCATACACTTTGAAAATATGTGGACATCTTACTATGCCACAATACAAATTTTTCGAGATTAATCTCAAAATATAAAGTTGTATTAATTTTAGGTCTCTTAAAACTAGACCAACTTTGACAGTCTGTAGTTTTGTTATATTTTACCCAATTTAAAAAATATTCACATCAAATTTAAGATAATTTCATCCACTTTGGATGTTCCAATACTGTTTTCGAGATTATCCAGAAAATACACTCACAGGCAAAATAATCGATCCACACAAATTTTCGATGAATTTCAATCGCAAATAACTTTTTTATTTGTTGTCGGATTAAAACGAAAATTAAAGAATATTGTAGATAAATTAATGGACAATCGCTCACATTTTTAAAAATTACTAAAAAATAGACGTACGTTTATAATATACAGGTTTAAACAAAAAGATGTTTTTTACCATAAATTTAAGACACTCTGGAGAGTGGCAAAACCGTATATTGTTCTTAATTAAGTTTTATTTATCAAATCACATCTATTCTTAACAGTTTTGTTTTTGGTTCACCTCGATATATTATTTTTTTTTGGAAAATATGTATTTTTTTAAAAATCATTGCAATATTTTTCTGTATGAAGAACTAAGGTTGCCCATCCATAGGCTTTCAAAAGCTATCAAATTGTTTTTTGCAAATTAATGTTTAAATTTTGAAGTCTCTTCTTATTTTAAAAAATGGATATGTCTCCGACTGATGTTGCCAGAGCCATTAATTTAATCTAGGATGGACGGTCACAGTATTACGTAGCAAGTGTTTTAAACGTCACAAGAAGTAAAGTACAAAGGGCAACAGTCGGAGACATTTTTAAAAGTAAGAAGACACCTCAAAATTAACACATTAATTTACAAAAAAACAATTTGATAGCTTTTGAAAGCTGTATATGACATGTCCAAGTATGGGATGATTCAACAAAACTGTCACTGTCATCCTCCCTAGGTAACCTTAGTTCTTCATACAGGAAAACTATTGGAAATTGCAATGTTTTTTTTTAAATCCATATTTTCCACAAAAATAAATATATCAAGGTAAACCAAAAACAAAACTGCTAAAAATAGATGTGACTTGATAATTAAAACCTAATTTAGAACAATATACGGTTTTGCCACTCTACAGTGTCTTAAACTTATGGTAAAAAACATCTTTTTGTTTAAACCTGTATATTATAAACGTACGTCTATTTTTTAGTAATTTTTAAAATGAGAGCTATTCTCCATTAATGTATCTACAATATTCTTTAATATTAGTTTAAATCCGAAATCAAATAAAAAAAGCTATTTGCAATTGAAAATTTGTGTGGATCGATTATTTTGATTGTAAAATTAAGACCAAATTCGACCGTCTGCAATTTTGTTCATTTTTACCCAATTTTAAAAATGATTATATCAAATTTTGGGAAGTTTCATCTACTTTAGGAATATGTAAATATCTTTATATGTCCTAGTACTAATCTTTTAAGATAATCCAGAAAATATAAAGTCCTGTAAAATTTAGTCTATAGCTTTGTTATTTTTTACACAATTATAAAAATAATAACTGAAAACGTAGGACAATGTTATAATCTATAAAAATAAAGAGTCCTGTCAATTACAGTAAAATTAAAATAAAATTATACATATTTATAACGTTAGAAATGCGTCATACTAACGTTATTTCCTATAGTACTTACTCTTGATTTGGCGGTAAAATTAATGCATTAATTTGTCTGTACTTGGGTAAATCGTAATCGATTTCTACATCTGGGACAGCAAAACAATACGCTTCCAAACTAACGTTGGTTAAATTCGATATAAGATGAGTGGATGATACTTTTAAAAGTCTTATCTCGTTTGCTATAGCGCTACAGATCGATAAAACGGCAATCTAAAAAATACATTGAAAAAAATATTTTTGTTTGAAAAATGTACTTACATATTTATGACAGTCGACTGGCACAGTGATATTCCCTTCCATGGGAATTGTCCCGGTAATCTTTGGCATGTAAAAAGTTTGACCCCAATCTGATTTTGCTAGTTGAAGCGGTACCGAACTGTAATAATCGCCATTTAAAAATATACCAATATTGAAGTTTTCCTATAAGACAACCTAAGTTATTGATTTCAAAAAACTGTCCTCAATACTACCTCCAATTTCGGCGGGGCCACTATACCGTTATGTTTGATTTGGCAAAGCAACAGCTGAGTCCCACTTAACATGAGGCTTATGGGCACTCCAAAGGTATTCACAACCATGCACCACGGCAAAAGTTCCACCATCAAAGAGCTGGAGTAAGTGCAAGCGTTCAAGTAGCGCACCTGAAAATGGTCGAACTAAATTGTCATTTACAAAGTGCAAATGCGGCTTAATAGACTTTTGGCGTACCTGAACGTGGGTTAAGGGTTGCTCGTCCACGTCCCAATTTATATTTTCCACGTCATCGCCGAAATACGGCCATTTAGTTTCGCTGAAAGCGTCGAGAACTTTCAGTATATCATCGATATCTTCCTTGTCCATCTTCTTGAAGAAGTTTTGCTGATCTACCAGACTGTAGTTCAAGGGGACGTAGGGATTCGTCGTGGTTATGCCATTGCTGAAAATATTAAAACTCACTTGGAATCGAAAAAAAAACAACTAAAACATACTCGAGTTGGAAAGACAGTTGGTGCGAATGATCTATAGTTCCGGGGCAATAAAGCTGCTGCAACTCTCCTTTCCCATTAACGCTTGAATCGATTTTAACGTTCAACAACGGTGTTTCTATGTGGACGCTTGCCGGCAAAGGCAAATTGGATTTAATGGTGAACAAAGGCCAAAGCATGGCCATTATGCGATTGGTATTGTCGATTTCCTGAGTCACTATTCTACACCAGATACTCAAGAACTGACCCCTTTCCTGAAGTGGAACTAAAAAGGAGGTACATTGAACTATTCAGAAAGAAAAGTTGAGTACACATAAAATATTTTATTTGTTAAAAATATACTCACGGGCAAAATAATCGATCCACACAAATTTTCGATGAATTTCAATAGCAAATAATTTTTTTATTTGATGTCGGATTTAAACGAATATTAAAGAATATTGTAGATAAATTAATGGACAATCGCTCACATTTTAAAAAATTACTAAAAAATAGACGTACGTTTATAATATACAGGTTTAAACACAAAGATGTTTTTTACCATAAGTTTAAGACACTCTGTAGAGTGGCAAAACTGTATACTGGCATATGAAGAACTAAGGTTGCTATGGCCCATCCATAGGCTATGGAGAATGACAGTGACAGTTTTGTTGAATCATACTTGGACATGTCATACACGGCTTTCAAAAGCTATAAAATTGTTTTTTGCAAATTAATGTTTAAATTTTGAGGTGTCTTCTTACTTTAAAAAATGGATATGTCTCCGACTGATGTTGCCAGAGCCATTAATTTAATCCAGGATGGACGGTCACAGTATAACGTGGCAAGGGTTTTAAACGTCACAAGAAGTAAAGTACAAAGGGCAACATCAGTCGGAGACATTTTTAAAAGTAAGAAGACACCTCAAAATTAACACATTAATTTACAAAAAACAATTTGATAGCTTTTGAAAGTTGTATATGACATGTCCAAGTATGGGATGATTCAACAAAACTGTCACTGTCATCCTCCATAGGCTATGGATGGACCACCCTATTAAAAATGCCATATAGAAACACAAAATAAAAATCTATATGGTTCTATCTGGTTCAATATAGGAATTTGAAACAGGCATTGCACTATTGAACCAGATAGAATTCCATACCTGGAAAACCATATAGAAAAGTGATTTCTATATGGATTGCCATATAAGTTCATATTGCTCTATCTGGCCCAATATGGTTTGGGTGTGAAAAAAATTATTACCATTTAGATCCATATTTAACCATATAGGGGAATCTATATGGTTTAATATGCAATTTTCGTTTAAATATATATACATTTTAAAATGGAATTCCATATTCAACCATATAGGGAAACCTATATGGAAAGACACATAAAACAGAAACCAGATAAATCCATATAAAAATCCCTAAGTTGTACATTTTAAAATGAAATTCCATATTAAACCATATAGATTCCAAAGTGTAAACCAGGTCGTTCCATATAGGACATATAGAACCATATAAATCCATATTAGTTTCCTTATCTGGATCAATATGGGTTCTATAGGGCATTTTTAATAGGGCATAGCAACCTTAGTTCTTCATACAGGAAAAATATTGGAAATTGCAATGTTTTTTTAAAAAATCCATATTTTCCACAAAAATAAATATATCAAGGTGAACCAAAAACAAAACTGTTAAAAATAGATGTGACTTGATAATTAAAACTTAATTTAGAACAATATACGGTTTAGCCACTCTACAGAGTGTCTTAAACTTATGGTAAAAAACATCTTTTTGTTTAAACCTGTATATTACAAACGTGTATTTTTTAATAATTTTTAAAATTTGAGCGATTCTCCATTAATGTATCTACAATATTCTTTAATATTAGTTTAAATCCGAAAGCAAATAAAAAAGTTATTTGCGATTGAAACTCATCGAAAATTTGTGTGGATCGATTATTTTGCCTGTGAGTATTTAAAAAAAATTAAAGGTCAATATGCACATTTGTTTAATTATTCAATAATATACGGAATAATAATTTATCTTGATTTATATTAATATAAATAATAATAGGTACAGAGCCTTTAGACCATGGAGCCTACACAAAATAAAGGAACGAACGGTTTTTACCCATTACGAGTGTACTTTTACTACAGTTTTACACAACAAAAAGTAAAAAATCAATCAGTCATACTAAACATAAATGGTAAATTAAAACCGCGTCAACCCACTACAGCGTTGAGAGTAGACAGAAATATTTATAGCCTGTGAAGATCGTACTTACCAGGAAAGAGCGTAAACTATAGTTATTTACCTAATAATTAATCAGCGTCTATTTGTTGCTGCTTGAGACGAGAGAATTGGAGCTTGGGCTTGCTCTAATTGGTGGTTTTATATCACATGACTGAAGATGTGGTGGATGGCAGTTTGTTTTGCAGTGTGTGTAGAGCGGGTGTTTTTGTTTTGATTCAGATTAAATCAATTAAAACTGTTGTCTTATATTTTATAGTTTTTTTGTCGATTAGTAAAATTTATTATTTTATTATTGTGGTGCACGGGGGCATAATTAACAGGTTTTATTAAGCAACCAGTCGTATTGAGTTTAAATTAACGGTAGTTTTTTAAAATACCGGTAAGTTTTCTTAAGTTAAATATTTCTGTTCTTTTAAATGAATCCTATTTATGAAATTATTCTCTCAATAATTGAAACGCTTTTTTTAAAAAGAAACGTGTGCGTTTATAATATTGTGTTACTACGAGGTGTGTTCAGAAAATATCGGGAATTTTCGTTTTTTGAAACAAATATTTATTTATTCGTCTACATTAATGTTCCCATTGGATATTATGCACATGTGCCAGCTCTTCTTCCAATACTCGAAACACTTCTAAAACTCGATCTTTGGGATCGCCTTTAGTTCTTTCAGCGATGCGCTTTTAATGTCATCTATGCTTGCAAAAGGACGGCCCTTTAAGGTTCTCTTTATTTTTGGGAATTGGAAAAAGTCAGACAGAGGCATGTCTGGCGAATATGGAGGATGGGGCATCATTACAGTATTGTTTTTGGCCAAAAATGTTGTTAAAAATTTAACAATTTTAGAACAAATTTAAACATTCGAAAAAATTTCATGGGATGAGCCAATCGATATACCAACATCATCAGCGACTTCTCTGATGGTTTATAACCATTTCTTCCACTTTTTCCATGATTTTATCGGTTGTTAATGTGCTTGTGCGTTCGGGGCGTTCGTCATCTTCAACGTCTTCACGGCCATCTTGGAAACTCTTATACCACTTGTAAACTTTTGTTTTACTTATAGCAGACTCACTATAGGCCCTTGTTAACATTTCACAGAATTTATTTAATTTTTTAAGCAAAATTGGATACAAATTCTTTGATCCATTTATTTTAACGAACGAAAAATCGCCGAGCTCATAAAACACGTCTAACCTTAGCGGCTGCCACAGTCAAAGTAAACAATGAAAACAGCTAAAGTTTTTATCATACTTCGGGGGCATGTATACCAACAATAAAGAAAATTTTATGACAACCGGATCCGGACCCTCCGAACCCGCGAAATTTAACAATTCAAGTTATTTTCTGAACACACCTCGTATGTACATTTTTGTAATAATATTTGTATATTGTAATTTTATAGCTGTTGCTAAATAAAGATTATTAAAAATCAAAATTGCAAATTAACCGTATACTAAGGCAATAATTATTCTGTGTCGAAAATCAAGCAAAAATTTTTATCTTTTTTTATTTAAGAATGAAATTTTCTGAGAAATGACAAATGAAGAAAAACTGACCAAAAATTATTTTTATTAAAAAATTTGCGGTCCGAAAAATTCAGAAAAATCAATATTGCAAATTAACCATAGACAAAAAAAAAGATGTGTCTCATATTCTGGGGGTTTGCAATCAAGCAAAAACTTTTATCAGGAATGAAATTTTATGAGAAATGACAAATGAACGAAAACTGACGAAAAATTATTTTTATAAAAAAATTTGCAGTCCAAAATTTTCAGAAAAATCAAAATTGCAAATTAACCATAAACAATAAAAATGATGTGTCTCATTTTCCAGAGGGTTTAAAATCAAGGAAAAATTGTTATCAACAGTGAAATATTAACCCGTTGTAACCCCATCCATGAACATACTGTATATTTTAACCAAATAATTATAAATAATCTTAAAAAATTTACAAATTTCGTAGCTTAATTTAATCTGAATTAAATCTGAAACGGAAATAAAAAACAAAACCCAATTTTGCACTTACCTTTAACTAACCACGGTTGCGATCCGGTGCTGTGTTCCCTCAACGGTATATCCCCAGTCCAGGTGGACTCCAACCCGAGAAACCTCAACCTCAAGAAGTACTCCTTGTGCGAGTTCAACAGAATAGATGGCGTCGGTTCTCTCCCATTGGCTATATGAATCGTGGCCGCCTTGAACTCCGCGTCCTTGTTTTCCTTCGGCACCGACTTGACGACCTTCAGCTCGAAGTGCTCCAGCAGCATGTTGGTGACGATGAGCTGCCCGGCGATCGTGATCTGCTTCTGCGTCGAGGACAGCGATTTTATCGACACCAAGATCTTCAGGTTCTTGTCGGAGTTCAGCTTCACCATCTGCATGCCGTCCTCCTGGATCCTGATCGAGCGACTCCAGATCCACTCGCTCTCCTCCAAGGCCACCTTGAACTCCTGCTTCCTCTTCTGCGTTCGCCAGCAGTAGAGGTGGAAGTGCCTCGGAGGCAGCAGGATGTCCTCCTCGGTGCCGGTCTGCCCGAATCGGACGTTCACGTTCGTGTCGTTGCACACTACGTAACGAGTGACGATCACGAAGTCCGTTTCGTTGGTTTTGCGGCATTGCGACCACAGTTGGCCGCTGACGGCCAAAGTGTGCGCGATGTTCGGGCAAAATCGTATCTGAATCGGTCTCGACACGAAATTGCAACGCAACGCGTCGGAAACGTTCATTTCGAGCTTGTAGGTGAACGGTTCCAAGACAGGTTGTTCCGTCAGGTAAGTGTAGTCCAGGACGCTGCACTTCGTGGACGAGCTCAGCTCCAAGGAGAGCATGTCCAAGTTCCAACTGGTGAAGTACGAGGTCAGGTTGTCCCACGTGAGAATCAAGAACTTCTGGTTCTCAGGCACTGTGTAATCCGATTTGAAGTTCTTCAGGCAATTAGGCAGTTTCCCCTCGGTTCTCCTGCATACGTAGCTGTACAAATTAACGTCGATTTTCGTTATGTACAACGCAGCCGCAAAGTTCGGTATCAAAGTTTTGTTGAAGTACGAGTCTATGCGCATGCACGCGGCCAAAGCCCGCGGGGAAACGTACATGTTGTGCAGGTTGCTATCGGTTTCCGTGTGGTTAATAGTGTTGATAACCACTCTCCAAGTGCACGCCACTACGGTCTGCGGGTGCGTCTTCGGCAGAGCCAAATGGCACACCTCACTCTCGGACAGGTAAAACTCCGTGTAAGGCAGATAGCAGTTCCTGCAGTCCGACCAGTACTCCAGCTTGCACAGCACCTGCAGATCGTCTTCGACGTCCAACGTGATCTTGTAGGGGACGGGGAACACGCGCACCTTCGTCAAGGCTCTCGGTTGCGGGTACCGCCACGCCATGGCGGAGACGTTCTTCGTCCAAAACATGACCTGATACGGCAACGGAAGCTCGTCCGCGTTGTTCATGTTGGCGTCGACGAACTGAAAAGCCCCCGCCCGCAAGTCGTCCTTGTAGTACTGATCTTTTTCGGCCGTTTCAATTCCTCCGATTCGATCGTGGCTTTTCTTTTTGGCGGGCAGCGCTTTCAAGAACCCTTGGAGGTCCTTCAGGACCATCTCCACGCATTCCACGTGATCGGGACTCACGTCGAAAACGATGCAATCGCTTTCGGCCGACACCTGCACTTGAGGCTCGCTGTCCGCCGTCTGCCACGACTCCCAGAACAAGCAGACCTCAAACGACAGAGTCCAAGGATTCAACAGAATCTTTTTGAAGTTTTCGCGCACCACGACCAACGTAATGCAACTCAGAGTGCAGGAGTTCGTGATCTTCTCCGGTCTTGAGAAGAGTTGCAGTTCGTTCTTTAAATTGTTGAAGCTCAATAAAACCTCGTGACCGGTGGGTGATTTTGCAGCAAACAGCAACTGATCAAACGTGATATTTACGCAGTGAATACCGTTGAGCATGTTCTTGATTTCCTGAAACTTAGAGTAAGTCTCCCCGTACTTTATACTCCTTTGACCGGAATTTAAACCACCGGGCTCTTTGAAACAAGCGCTGCCAGCTGAAGCTTCTCCTTTTTCGCACACAAAGGCCTCCAAAACGCTTCTATAAATCAACAATAAATGCGTCCATCTGGCCGAAGAGCAAAGCAACTTAATCGGTCGGGAAACGTCGACGTCCAGCGTCGCGTTTTTCGACAAACCTCGGGACAATCGAACAGTTATAAAAGCCGGCAGAATACCTGTGCTTGCATGCGGATTTCCGCTTTTGGTCTCCAAAAGGTTAATAGGAAAATCCGGCTCGGTGGGAACGTGACCTACGGGAAGATATTCCGGACTGCTGAACTTTACGTTCAAATCGAAGCAGGAAACTTGAAACTTTCTGGCCAGTTGCTGCTTCGACACGAAACAATTCGGCTGGTTTAACGCCAGATATATCAGCGGAGTGTAGGTTTTGTGGTTTTCCGGGGCCTCTTCCACGCTTTCTTCGGACGCCTCGTAACCAAGATCTTCATCAAACTAAAAAAAAAATTCAGCCACTTATCAATGGGGTAGTTAAATTTTTTCTGACCTATACTTTTTATGGTTTTAATCAAGGCGTTTTGTAATTTTAAACATTTCTGTGAAATCGGAATTTCAATTGAGTTTACCGTTTTCGAGATATTTACAAAAAAAAATCTCCTAATTACGTCACTAGGCTATTGACAACGTTGCCAGCTTTTTCTATGGTTGCCAGTGTGTTTAGTTTAAGATTCTTACGATAGATGGCGCCACGTTATAATATTTTAGTTTTAAAACCACTTGATCTATAATTTTAGTTGAGAAGAAGAAGAAGAATTGATTTTTTGACGTTTTTTTTTTAATTTAGATTATTGAAAATCAATGTTATTGTTATGTTATTTGTAATTGATATTAGATAAGTGATTTATTAATAACGGACTCCAAAGCAGAGGAATCTTGTGGAATGGTTGGTTACATTGAACATTGGAGCTTTTAAACAAATAAAAGTACCTATAATTATAATCATATTTTGTCGTAAATGCATTTTATTAGTATAGTATAGTATAGTAGTTCTTTATATTCTTTTAGATATATCTTGGACTCTAAAATATTAAACAGTAATATGATACCTCGTAATAAGGAAGATAGGTACTTAATGAATTTGGTGACCATCTTTCACTCAACTGACAGTATTTGTACATAACCTCTTCGGGTATTTTCTGACATAACCGAATGAAATCATTAACAAGACAACTTGACAACAGGGTAATTTTCAACCAATAGAAATCTTAGAATGTTGGTCACATGGCGAGGTTTGTGACGTCATAAAAATTTATATTTTTTGTAAATATCTCGAAAACGGTAAACTCAATTGAAATTCTGATTTCACAGAAATGTTAAATATTACAAAACGCCTTGAATAAAACCATAAAAAGTATAGATCAGAAAAAATTTAACTACCCCATTACACTATGATAGTTCAAATTACTAACATTGAGTACGCCCACCTATATTACCTAATTTTGGGCTGCTGATTTCAATGCCACTCGTTTTGCTCCAGGACGTCTAGGATTCGAAATAATTGCGTAATAAAATGCTCTGCCCAATTATCTCAAAATGTAAGTTTTTCGTTAATATTTTGATTATATATTAAATTATTTTGCCTTAAATCTATTTTGGATGTTCAGTATATTTTTGACGATTTTGCCAAAAATATACAGGGACTCCATACAAAGTCATTGGTAGATAAATATCAAATAGAATTTTTTTGTTCCATTGTAGCCATATAATAATAGTACTATTATATAAGTATTATATAGTATAAGGGATATTTAATAAAGCACTTTTCTGCAGAGAAGTGCTTTATTAAATACCAAAACTAAAATTATAATGGTAATTTTTGTGTAAATGGGTTTCGGTATAAACATTACTCTCCGACTAATATTTGATATTTTTTTATTTTTTTATTCACATCATGCCTAAAGTACCCAAAAATTCAATCTCCAATCTTATTTATTAAGTCTTATCAAAATTTAGTATCGAATTAAAGTACAAAGGCGCCTTTATCAACTTTATTGTTCAAGCACATTAAAGTGCATCTAAATCTTATTTATTAAGTCTTATCAAAATTTAGTATCGAATTAAAGTACAAAGGCGCCTTTATCAACTTTATTGTTCAAGCACATTAAGACTTAATAAATAAGATTTAGGTTATTAATTTTTGACATCGTATTTAATTTAAAGTGATTTTAAGAACCAAAAATGAAAAAAGAGCAGGAAATGGAAGTGGTAATGGAAGTGGCAGAGAAAGAGAAAGGAGACGAAGCTTTATGTCGTCGTTGTAAATTTGTTTTATTTTTGTTGCGGTACCTTTACGCCCAAGAAAAACCAACGCAATATTTCATTATACATTTTTATGAGATATACCTACTACTTTAATTTTGCAGGAATATTAAAGTAGTAGGTATATCGCATAATGAGAACGATTTCACCAAGTAACTGCAAATCTAAAGCATTCGTTTATATCTATTGGTATAGCGGAAATAAGTTGGATTCATTGCTAGGAGACATTTGCTGGAATTTGCAGCAAAAGATGTACGACGATGATGAGGATTAAGCACAATAATAGTATAATTCAATTCGATATTTGATACGATTTAATAAATTTAAGGTAGAAAAAAGCAAAATTATGCAATGCATTAAATTTTGTGGGCTTAATTTGGATAAAAAATACCGAAACTTGTTTACTTTGTTGCCCTTTCAATTCAATAATTAAAATAAACGACAAAAAATGTCAAATAATGTTTTTTTACAAAAAATACATTAAAATTCTATGTTAAAATTTTAGTTTTAGTATTTAAAATGTCATATTGTTAAGTTAAATATGATCTATTTGCCGTATACCAATTACTTCAGTACATTCAAGATAAATTTAATCCAAAATATTTTAATAAATAATTAAAATAGTAACAAAAAACTTACATTTTGAGGTGATTGAGCAGAGCATTTTATTAAAAAATTATTTTAAATCCTAGATGTCCTAGAGAAAAACGAATTTTATTTTTGAAATCAGCGGCCCAAAATTAGTTAAACTAAGCTCAATGTTAGGAAAAAAAAGTTTCTAAAACTATCATAGTGTTATATTCACCTCTTTAATTTTTTTCTTCTTTCCACTCAGCTTACTGCCACTTTGCTCAATAATTTCCACTTTATACAAGGAGAAAATAATTTTTCCTGCAGTAAAAAGTATATCTATAGGCACGCAGTTATAAGCGTGCGGAATGGGATTCGGGGGTCTAGGAAACACATATTGTTTTTCGCTTTCAGTATTTGGTTGTGTGGAATATTCTAGACCCTAAAATAACAAAAAAAATAAGTCGAAAAAACAAGGTGTCTCTAAAATGCCTGTACAAAATGATACCACGTAATATTATTCCTGCAAGTTCGTTTTCGATTTTATTAAATACCTTTGAAAAAAACAAATTTTTTAATCTGTTTATTATGGGGCTGAGTTTTATTCAATAAAAAAAAGGAAAAAATTTACAAGATTTTGCTAAACATTTTTTTGGATTACCTACTTCTGTTTTAATTTTGTAACCCCTTAAAGTAGACTGTTTTTAAACAGTAAATTTGGATAAAAATTACGCGTCTATTTTATACCCCATATTTTTTTACGTTTAAAGTTACTTTTTATTCAATAAGGAAAGGCCATTTTAATGGTAAATTAAATTTAAACTGATTGCTATCACAGATTTAAAGCGAAAAAAATCCGTTTTTTTGTTTCAAATGTTTTTTAACATGTTATGTTTTGTTTTCAAACTCTTTTATATTAATACAATCAAGCATAGTTTTAATCTGTTTAATATGGGGCTGAGTTTTATAAAAAAAAACATGTGACGTAAATACATTATATGTAGGAAATGAAGTTTTTCACAAAAACGGTCATGAAAGTCGAATCTCTAAAATTAATATTTCCACTGATTATTTGCTAGCTACCAGAAACAATTAAAATCAAAATAACTTTTGCTAAAGGGCCATTCCACGCGTAACGGATAGGACAGTTGCCGTGTTTTTATTTACAAAATAATATTGTTCTATTATATTACCAATGTCAAATTTTTATAAATAGTTCTAAACTAAAGCTGTTTAACAAGGTTTTTATTTGGCAAAATTAGGTATCGTGGTTGACTGTTTAATTCCTTAAAAACTAATAATTTAAAGCGCAACGGACGGGACTTTGTAATAGTCCCACCCGTTACGCTTTAAATTATTAATTTTTAAGGAATTAAACAGTCAATCACGATACCTAATTTTGCCAAATAAAAACCTTGTTAAACAGCTTTTGTTTAGAACTATTTATAAAAATTTGACATTGGTAATATAATAGAACAATATTATTTTGTAAATAAAAACACGGCAACTGTCCTATCCGTTAAGCGTGGAATGGCCCTAAAATTTTAAATTATAATGACTTCAAATACATATCGCTTAAAATATCGATTTTAGATTTTTTTGCAGAAGTATTTCCTATAAACAATATTTACTTTTTTCTTTAAAGTCAACTGTTTACAAGGTAAAACAAAAAAAAACATATATTTCATAAGAAACCAACTTTATTGTGAGCCTCAAATAAAAAAAGATTTACCTACATGCTTTTTCAATAGAATCAATTAAAGCGTTTTTGAATATTTAAAATTATAATGACTTCAAATACATATCTCTTAAAATATTGATTTTAGACTTTTTTGCAGAAGAATATCCTACAAAAATGTATTTACTTTTTCTTTAAAGTTGACTGTTTTCAAGGTAGCAGCAAAAAAAACAAATTTCGTAAAAAACTTTATTGTGATCCTCAAAGGAAAAAAGCAAGATTTACCTACATGCTTTTTACAACAAAAATAAGTTCTTTTTCAAGTTTTTTTTCTATAATTAATATTTCCACTCATTAATTTTAAGTTATAATTACTTCAAATACATATCTCTTAAAATATTGATTTTAGATTTTATTGCAGAAGAATTTCCTGCAAAAAATGTATTTACTTTTTTCAATTGTCAATTCTCAGCAAAAAAACATCAATTTCGTAGAAAACCAATAATAGTTATTTATGTATCAAGGCAGTAAAGTCGTATTTTTTATCACGAATATGGAAATTATTTGCCGAGGCGAAAGCCGAGGAAAATATCTACGTGAGTGATAAAAAATGACTTTAATGCCGAGGTTCATATTAAATTTTATCCCAAATCGCATTTAATAATACTAATAATTAATTAATTATTATATGCTTGCCCGCCCCCAAATTTTTTGATCTATTTAATAAAATTAACCTATTATTTTTAATAAACAACATTTTATGAAAGGGTCCAATCAACCTCCGCGACGGTGCTTTTTTTAAATATTATTTAGTTGCTGCTGAGGAGCAGTAGACACATCTTAAAAAGTATTATGGGTTGCATACAATACTCGCATTAAATCGGCAGTAAGTTGTACTTTACTGCCGATTTCTTTTACTTTACTGCCGATTGTTGACTATTTTACTGCCGATTTCGAATAAAATACTTTATTGTGAGCCCTAAAGGAAAAAAAACAAGATTTACCTACATGCATTTTTAATGGAAATATTGAAGCGTTTTTGACAAAGTTTTTTTATATGAATTTTTAATTTAAATTGCAAAGAAAGATTTTTAATGGGGACTGATAAAAATAAATATTGTTAAAAACTTACAATTGCTTTAAAGGATTTGAGACTCCTCATTTCAGAAGTATCGATTCCCGAATCTTTTAGAGCCTCGACACCTTCATCATCTTCCTCAAATACGTAGGTATTTTCCAAATTCGAGTAGGGTAGTCTTATTTTCGGTCTTTTAGCTATTTCGTCCTTCTTTATAAAAGGTTCCAGTAGGTATACGAATTCGGTTATTAGCGCGGAAGTCAGTTTAATCTGTTGCAGGGATAAATAAACGATAATGTCCGAGACAAAGTTTATTTCCATTGAATTTCCGCAAATAACCGTGCTCTCTTGGTATATCATTGCTGGAGCGGCCACTATGGAAATATCAAATCTAAAAAAATATAATAATAAAAAACAAAGCGTTACTATTAAAATATTACTTGTCTGTAACAGGTAGCAGGTTTAAGTTGGGCACCATGTTAGGCTGCCCTTGTTCCAAATTATTCCATTCTAAGGCGGGATTTTCACTCATTGATTTTATAATGTTGCTCCCACTGGGGCTCAAAACGGAGTCTATGTCCTTCCAAGGCCCCGTACTTATGGACATACCGATTATATCCAATTGATATTGGCGATCTTCGACTTCACTACCTACAAAAACGCGGTGTCAGATTTCTATGGCACGCCGTTTTAGCATTTATTAGATAATAGTTTGAAGATTAAAGTGTTTTAACAGAAATTTATAAAGTTAATTTTTTTTAATTAAAACAATTATTAGTAAAAAAATATTATAAATATGAAAATGCAAAGTTGTAAAACTAAGTTTAAAAATATTGATATTAAAAAATTGTAGTGCCAATATTTTATTCTACAAAATTGTCGGTTTAAATTTGTAAAGAGTCATTTAAATGTCAATAAATTTTAAATACAAAAGTTCTTACATTACATTTAAATATAAGTTTTAAAGTGGTAATTTTTTTATTAAAAATTTGACTCTTTACGAGTTTAAACCAAAAATATGTATTCTTTACAATTTTATATTGATAAATTGATACAAAATTTATAACATTACATTTAAATGTAAGTCAATATTTTTTAATTTACAAAGTAGTAGTCCAAAGTCGGTGAAACGTACAAGGCGCGAAGTCTGCAGCATATGCAGTCAGCTAAAGCAGCGTTTACACTGTCAATTAAAAATTATCGACCCAATTTTAAATGCAATGTGAAAATGTTTGTGTTAAAAATGTAACAATTTAAAATTGTTAAAAATAAAAGTTATTGGTTTAAATTTCTTAAGTCATTTAAATGATGGTCTGTACATTTTTAATCTAAAAATTACAACTTTAAAATTTAAAACTAACATTTAAATGTTATGTGAGAATTTTTGTATTCAAATTACCGACATTTAAATTACTCTTTGCAAATTTAAATCAATAATTTAGTAGAATAAAATATTAAAACTACAATTTTTAGAAATCATTATTTTTAAACTTAAACTTTTACAGTTGCATTGTATACTTAAAATATTTTTTGATTATCAATTGTTTTGAGTTTAAGAAAATTTAACTTTTTGAATTATTTTGAAAATGTTTTATATGTGTTTTTATTTTAAACGTCTTGATACAATTTTTAAATACTAAAATAATATATAACTGGATAAAAAACAAACACTGTTTTTGAGTTTCACGAATTTATTTAAATTGTATTTGACAATTGTTTCGCTGACACTGTAGCTTCTTCAGAAATGATTTCAAACTTTATCGAATAATGAACTTATATAACACAATTATTGCAGGTAATGGGTTTTTTTAATAAAATATTAGTACTGTATAATTATTTTACCTGTCGAAGTATAACAAAAGTTGTAATAAAATATATTACAACTTTTGTTATCGTTAAAGTTACTTAGTAGAAATACAAAATTTGTAAAATAAATGGTTGATAAAGAAGTTAAGGAATTATTAATGGAATAAATGTTAAAATTCAAGTTATGTTTATTTATTTCTCAAAGTGTGCCTAAGGTAATTAAAAAAAATATGCATTTATTTACAATAAAAAAGTTATTGAATTATTTTCGAAATCGTTTCACCGCGAACATCTAAAAAAAGCCTTTAAAAAATAAAGACTACTACTACTCTAAAACGCCTTTAGCAATCTTTATAAAATTTTGGATAAAAATACTTTAACTTATATCTCAGTTTACGTGTTCAAGGGTTTTTCGAAAAAAATCCTTAAAGCCCTTTTATTTAATAATAAAAAATACGCTCAAAAAAACTTTTATAGGGAATTTTTTTAAGTAAATAAAATATATGCTGTGAAATAATGTATTTTTGTAAGTAAACCCTGAAAATGTTGTACAAATCAAACGAACAGTAACGAAAATACAGCGCTTTAAAGTCGTTAAAAATGACCACTTTTCAGCAAAATAATCAAAAAGGGGTCATTTTTACCGACTTTAAAGCGCTGTATCTTCGTTACTGTTCATTTGATTTTCAAGGTAAAAAACAAAAATACGGTCTTTAACAGCATATTTTTTATTTAATTCCCTAAAAGTTATATTTCGAAAGTTTTTTTAATTAAATAAAAGGACTTTACCCTCGAACACGCAATCTGAGAAGTTGAAGTATACTTATATAAAATTTTATAAAGATTGGTGGCGTTTTTATTATGCGTTAATTTTGACGCGCAGTGTAGTTAATTCTACCTTTTATGTAAGTCCTATTTAACACAGTAAAAAATAAAAAAACAAATATTTCTTTGTAATAAAAAAGTTGTTCGATTAAAATATAGTTAATTATACGTAATAGGTCCTATTTAACAAAGTAAAAATAAAAAAAATAAATATTTTGTTTGCAATAAAAAAATAATTGGGTTATTTGTGCAATTGACAATCTATGAACATCTATAAAAACCCATTTAAAAATTATACACCTTTATTTTTTTATTGAAATATAGTTAATTATACGTAACAATCCTTACATAATTCAGTAAAAAAGAAAAAAAATTATATTTATAATTAATAAAAAAGTTTGTGAATTATTTCTGCAAAACAGTGCTTAATGATCAGTTTTTATAGAACTAAAAGTTATATAGAATATCCGTACTACTATAAATAATCATTTTGGAAAATGTTTATGTTATCAAGGATTTAGGTGTTTACTTTGAAAGTAATATGACATTTGGCTACCATAATGATTTTATTGTAAATAAAGCTTTTAAAATGTTAGGATTTGTAAAAAGAAGTATGAAAGATTTTAATAATATTCAATGTGTTAAAAATGTTTATATGTCCTTTGTACATAGTATCCTAGAGTATTGTTGTGTAATTTGGTCCCAAATTTTTGCGTTATTGTGGATTCAAATTAAACATTGAATGTAAATATAGTTTGGATTTGGTTAAAAAAGCAACACATTTAGATTTGTTAAGTAATAGGACAGAGTATAGTCTTATTTTTATATATAAATTATTAAATAACTTAATTAATTGTCTAGAGTTGTTATAACAAATAAGTTTAAACGTACCAATGAGATGAACAAGACATCCTGAATTATTTTATATAAAAAGGCATAGAACCGAATATGCTAAATTCATGCCAATAAACAGAATGTGTTCTAACGCAAATAATAAATAATAAATAAATAAATCTTTATTATCCAATAGACCATAGACATGGTATAGGACAAGTCAGTTGAGACAAACATTAGATTACATAGAATTGTTAATTATCTACATACTAAAATATTCTTCTAAATTGTAAAATACATTATTGGCAAACAAGTATACTGCCAATGAGGAATTGAAAAAATCCAAATCAAGCTTGTTTGCCAATAATAATAAGTATACTTAAGAGATGTTGTAAAGATAAGGTAAATTGTTAAATTTGTAAAGTGAATTTTCCGTTAATAAAGTTATTATTATTATTATTATTATTTCCCTTAAACTGTGTCTTTCGAAATGACAAAAAATATAGAAAAACTTACCGGGAATGTTGAGTATCCGCGCATGAGCAGCCTGTTCGTAGATGTCGGGCCTGACGGGCACCCGGCATATGGGATTCACAGCCGACGGGCTCAGGCTGATTTTGTGCACCTGAAAAACGTAGACGTCGTGCAGCGAGCGATCGGAGCCGAAATCGATCGAAGGCATTATCACCCTGATGTCCTGGCAGTCCACGTAGGCCAGCGGCAGCGTCTGGTTGTTCAGGTAGGGCAGCACGTTGCAATCTTTGGCCTTCTGGTTCTCCGGTTTGGGTATTTGCAAGAGAGGAACGAGAACCAGGTAGAAACTGCGCAGGGTTTTGAGGGACAGAACGAAATCGATCGGTTGCACGTTCACGACGATCTCCGTGATGTATCTCGTGGCGGAAAGTTGGTTTATCGAGGTGTTGTCTTTCTTGTTTTTCTGCACCGCGCCCCACAGGGTGTGCGTGTGCTTGCAGCTCGCTCTTGTGATGGTTACGCTTATAAAGCCGCTGTCTTCGTGCCTTTGGCCTAGGGAGACGTCCTCTTGTAAACGCATCACTATGCCTGAGAAAGGCCCCGGTCGCCACTTGGATGTTGGAGAGGTTCTAAAATAAAACAGCACATTATGGCATCCGTATGACTAAAAACTTGGAGATCATAACATGATCACAGCAAACCGAAAATTATAGAAGTGTATAGGATGACGCCACGTTTTCTAAATCTCGCCACGGTATAGATTTGTATTCGTCAGTCGAGCGTTTCAATACTCTCCACAGTATAGAGGTCGTAATTTGACTTTTAAACTAGTATTAATGTAAAAATTATTTTATGCTTGAAAAAAAATTATATACTACATGATTGTGATTTTTCTTATTTAATTAATTAATTAAGTTGTGTTAAATATTTTTCCTATAGGAATAATTGCCAATGGGCCATTAATTCATTTGTTCGTAGATGACCTGCACTGGTGTGTAATCTTTGATCAGATTTAAATATTGCTGTACTAACATATACCAGTGGAGATAGTGCAGGGTCTACCAGCAGACCTCATTACTAAAACTAAACTTTAATTATTAAAAATTAATAGCATATCGTTGTTTCAATATAACCTCTGAAATTTGTAATACAAATATCGTCGTTTATCAGACAAAGAGGCGCAACTCAAAAAAAATTCGTTTTTGAGTTATACCAGAATGATCACCAAAATCGACTTTATAGTCTCACAAACTGGCGTAGCTCTATAATAAATAGGTACAAATAAAGTTTTAGCATAAAGCAGTTTCGGCGTAACTAATATTTTTGCATTTTATGTGCCGTACAAACTGGCGTAATTCAATTCACACCGTTTTGTTTAAAAATGAGATACGCCTCTTTGTCAGATAAACGACGATATATACATATTACATCATATCCTCTGTGCTTACATACCTGAGTTGTTTTTTCAAAATAAAAAAATTCAAAACTTTTAATATCTAAAATGAACAGTGTAAATTATGTTTTTGAAATAAAAAAAGTGTAAAATTATTAAAACCTTCAAAAATTACCCACATTTAAAAAAAAATTTAAACCGTCTAAATTATGTTTTTAAAATAAAAAAAGCAAAACTTTATTAAAACTGTAAAAGTGTCCTTAAAACTGTCCAAAATGACCCAAATTTAAATAAAAAACTGTCCCTAAAACTTCTAAATTATGTTTTAAAATAAAAAAGTGCGAACCTGTATTAAAACTGTCTAAAAATGTCCTTATATAAAACTGTCTAAAATGACAAAAGTTTTAGGACACTTCTTATAAAATGTGCTAAATGGGCTAAAACCGCCTAATTTAGGTTTTTGAAATAAACAAAGTGCAAAACTATGAAAACTGTCTAAAATGATCAACATTTTATAAGAACTGTCAAAATCAAAAATCATTATGACTTCGTTATTTCTGAGAATTTTTTATTCACAGGAATAATAATAATAATAATAATAATAATAATATAATATTTATTTAGCAAAAGCTACATACGAATCACAAAGTAAATTAAGATTAAAATTAATAAAATAGACAAATGGGTAAGTTTACATTTTTAAAAAACATAACAACATGAGAAATTTTAAAAATATATAAATAAATGTAAAAAGTACAATAACAAACATTAAAACATTATTAACACATATGTTCTAAGTAACATCTTAAATTTTTTAATATTATCACAGACTTTAATATCATTGGGCAATTTATTGAATTCTAAAAGACCTTTATACATAATAGAGTTTAGCATTTGGCTGGTGTTGCACTTATCAGTCAATATAAAATCATTACAATTTCTAGTGTTATATGAGTGGACTTCTTTAAAATATTGTGTTTTTTTACAGATATAATCAGGTAACATTTTATTTTTAACTTTAAAAATTAACAGAAATACATTAAATATAATTTTTTGTTTGACGGAAAGCACATTTAGGACATTTAACATAGATAAAACAGGTGTATAAAAATTACATTTTAATATTGTTCGTAATGCTCTATTTTGTACCACTTGGAACTTTTGTATTATATAATTTGGTAAATTGAACAGAATGGTGGAGCAGAACTCTAGATGCGGTGATGCTATACTGTTGTATAATAACAATTTTGTATGCATCGTTAAATGCTTACCAATTCTAGAAATAAAATTTACTTTTTTAGAAAATTTTCGCAATATATAGTCTGCGTGAGCATAGAAATTTAACTCGTTGTCAAATATAACACCCAGGTATTTAATCTGGTTTACAGGCATAATATTTATGTTATTTATCACAATACTGACATTATTTAAGGCATTAAGATTTAATTTTGATTTTCTTCCAAACAAGCAAAATTTGGTTTTATCAGTATTTATACTTAAATTATTATTGCACAGCCATTTAAATATGCAATCAAGATCATGATTTAGGATTTTTTCCATGTGTTTAACATCAGTTCCGCTTACATAAACCATCGTGTCGTCTGCAAATAATTCAATTTGACAATGTTTGACAACCTTTACTATATCGTTAACATACAACAAAAATAATAATGGACCTAACACAGTACCTTGCGGTACTCCATAATTTACAAAAACAGGATTTGATGTTGCGTTTTTATATTTGACTTTTTGCTGTCTATTAGTTAAGTATGACTTAAACCACTTCAACACTGTTGCGTTTAAGCCATATTTGTTTAGTTTATTTATTAATATATCCCTATCAACCGTTTCGAATGCTCTCCTTAAATCTAAAAACACAGCCAGCACTATTTTACCCTTATCAATCAGTTTAACAAATGTATCACATATATTTACAACAACGGACTCACATGAATGATTTGATCGAAAACCGGACTGATTAGACACTAAAATGTTATTTACGTCGCAATGATATTGTAACTGCTTCTTGACCACTAGTTCCAAAACCTTTTCGTAGACTTCGACGGTATTAATGGGCCTAAACTGATTGTGAAGTATCGTTTTTTGGACCTTTGGTACTGGGACAATTATGGATCTCTTCCATTCTTCTGGAAATACTCCGGTGTAAAGGGATGTATTTAAAACATCCAACAGACGATTTCCCGCAACATCACAAATATCACAAAGGACTTTTTTTGACACTCCACTTTCACAACCACCAACATTTTTCATAGTCTTTATATTTTTTTTCATTTCAGTCATTGACACACTTTGGAATTTTTCAAAAACATGGAATACAGGGGACAATTCAACATTACTGGCAACTGCATGATGTTTTGGGATAACACTTACAATGTCTACTATACTATTAACAAAATAATTATTAAACTTATTTGCAATGTCTAATTCATTCTTTATGACTGTGCCTTCAAAATTTATTTCCGCAGGTGACGAGCTTATTTTTTCAGGTAGCAAAAGTTTTAAATTTTTCCACATTTTACAAGAATTATTTTTATTATCATAAATAGTTTGTTTAAAGAATTTGTCTTTTTCACATTTAATTGAACTTACAATGCAATTTCGCAATCTTTTGTATTCAGACCAAATAACATTGTTTTTTTCTTGTACTGCTCTAACATATAAACTGTCCCTTTCTTGCATTTGTTGTTTAATTTGAGGTGTGATCCATTTTTTATTTTCATATTTATTACAAAAAGAAATAGTTTTTTTAGGACACATCTTGTTAAAAATCCTGCTGATGTCGTTAATAAAATTATTTGCTAGAATATTTACATCACTTGAGCTATTGTTCCATTCGATGTCGAGTAAGTAGTCTTGTAGATTGTTGGTGTTATAATTTCTCATTGATCTGCGATCATATCGTTATAACCACAATCTACACAACAAGGTCTGTTCTATCTCATGCTAAAAATACTAAAAATCACTGCAACACTGCACAGAGTTTAACGGCGGCCATTTTTGTTGTTTACAATTCTTGTGCTTTGGGTTTGTACTGTTTAATAATTGTTTTAAACGTTGTGTTTCTTACAGGGGCACTTGTAAGCCTCAAATAAGGGCTAGGACCAATAGTTTCAGAGTTATAAGCGAAAAACCGAAAAATACCCTGCACACAATTTAGATAAATTATATATTTCGACTAGTGCTTAATACTTATAAAATAATTTTAAATTGAATTAAAATTGAAAACTAACCTTTTGTAATGCTGCACTGACAGAGATCCCACTTTGCTTTTGATTTTCAAATAAACACTTTGAAAATCCAGCGAGCTGACAATATCTTCGGCATCTATAACCAGCTTCAAATGCGGCTTCAAGTTGTCCGTGTCGCTGTACGCCTTCTGACCGTGCTCGTTGGACAGCAGCTCCATCGTGAACCTCGTGACGGTCCACTGCACCCACGCGGTCAGCTTCACCGCGTCCTTGTCCGAAACCGCAGCTGCGGCGGACAGGGGCGGGCTGCGTCCGCTCGCAGAGTCCGTGTTCTCCCTGACGACGGTAGGGGAGGCCGCGGAGGACCCCCCCGCGGCCCTGCCCCCCATCGGCGGCACCGGCTCGGGCGGCCTGGCAAGTCTGGACGGCTCGGGGGCCAGGTGGCCGACCACCTCCATCAGCCCGTACAGGATGCTGGCGAACAGGTAGACCTGCACCTCCGAGGTCGACACCACGACCGGCGTCATGTCGATGTGGATGCACACTCCCAGGTAGCCGAGGTCCGGTTTTTCCGGTTCGGTTTGCGCCGGTTGGTCCGGTTTGCACGGTTTCGTCGACAGGCCCACGGTCGCGCTCAGCGACACCGGCCTGAGGAAAATCAATTTTTTCCCGAATTGCAAAGTGTAGCAGCTTAGATCGGATATGGACATCGTCCAAGGAAAGCTGGATTTATCTGAAAAAAAAAAAAAATGGGTAAATGCTGTCTTCTTATTACGTCTTTTAAAATGTTTAAATTAACCCAAAGTGTCTAAAAATATTCTAAAACCTATCTTAAATGACCCAAATTGTATAAGAACTGTAGGAAATTGTATTAAAACTGTATAAAATTACCCCTTATTTTATAAAGCATCTTAAGAATGTTTTTGAAATGAAAAAAAAAGCAAAACTTTATCAAAACTGTCTAAAAATGTCCTTAAAACTGTCTAGAATAACCCAAACTGTCCAAAAAATATTCTAAAACTTATCTTAAATGACCCAAATTGTATACAAACTGTAAGAAATTGTATTAAAACAGTACAAAAGTACTTAAAACTGTAAAATGACCCTCATTTTATAAGAACTGTCCTTAAAGCATCTCAATAATGTTTTTAAAGTGAAAAAAAAATGAAAAACTATCAAAACTGTCTAAAAATGTCATTAAAACTGTCTAAAATAACCCAATATTAAAGGAATAGCCCTCCCCTTTATATTTGTTTAAATATATAAGTATTATGATAAAATTTGTTAATTTTTTTAATTTTTTTTTATATAAGTACATAACATTTCATATACCGGGTGTATCTGAGAATAGGCGCACCACCGTAACTTTTTTATTTATAAAGATACACATGAAATTTAGCATGGTTAATTAGCATATAAAATGCCACTTATTAGAGTACAAAATTAATTTTCAACTATTTGAGAAAAACAAATTTTGCAAATAAAGCTGAATAACAACTTTCCAACGCAAGTTCCATTTTTCAGGCATTGTGTGAATCCATTAGAAGAAAATAAGATAGTTCAAAGTACTCTAGAATCTAGAGTCTAGAGTCTAGATTGATCTTTATGATGATGCATTTTCTGATGACGAAACGTCAAAAGGTCAATTTGGGGATGCTGTCTGACTCAGAATTTTCTCAGGATTCCAAATATGTTCTTAAAAATATATAAGGCATTCCATTTAAAAATCGAAAGTTGGTATCATTTCCGGCGAAACCGGAAGTTCAAAAAATTTTGTACTCTTATAAGTGGCATTTTATATCCTAATAAACCATGGTAAATTTCATGTGTGCATCTTTATAAATAAAAAAGTTACAGGGGTGCGCCTATTCTCAGATACACCCGGTATATATGTAAACGGGCAGAAGGACCTAGGTTAACCCAATAAAGACTTTTTTATTCTAAAACTTATCTCAAATGACCCAAATTGTATAGGAACTGTTAGAAATTGTATTAAAACTGTCTAAAAATGTCCTTTAAACTGTCTAAAATAAGCCTCATTTTATAAGAACTGTCCTTAATTAAGGAATCTTAATCTTAATATTGTTATTAAGCATCTTAAGAATGTTTTTGAAATTAAAAAAAATGCAAAACTATCAAAACTGTCTAAAAATGTCCTTAAAACTGTCTAAAATAACCCAAATTGTCCAGAAAAATATTCTAAAACTTAAGTTTTTATCTATCTAGATGATTATCTTAAGTGACCCAAATTGTATAAGAACTGTAAGAAATTGTATTAAAACCGTCTAAAAATGTCCTTAAAACTGTCTAAAATAACCCAAATTGTCCAGAAAAATATTCTAAAACTTAAGTTTTTATCTATCTAGATGATTATCTTAAGTGACCCAAATTGTATAAGAACTGTAAGAAATTGTATTAAAACCGTATAAAAGTCCTTAAACTGTCTAAAATGACCCTTATTTTATAAGAACCCTGCTGAAAATGACGGATGATTGCGGATATAAATTCTTCGTCAAAACCAGATAAAAGCAGATGATTGCGGGTATAAATTCTTCGTCGAAGGCGGATAAAAGCAGATAAAAGCGGGTAAAAATATCATCTGATAACATCTGCTTTTGTCCGCATCGCTATATTGGTTGTGTTTTATGTCCGGTTAGTGCACCCCCGCAATCATCTGAAATCATCTGTTTTAACCGTCTTCACTGTGTTTCGTTTATATCTGAATTTGTCCGGAATCATCTGCAAACGTCTGCTTACGTCTGGTTTTATCCGCGATTAAATGCATTTTTTTTTCTATTTTTGTCTGGTTTTATCTGAAAACGTCTGGTTTTATCCGCGAGCATATGCTTTTACCCGCAAACGTCTGCCTAGTCCAATTTCACCCGCCAACATATGCTTTTACCCGCCAACATCTACTTTTATCCGCGACCATCTGCTTTCATCCGCGAACATCTGCAATCACCCGCGAACAACTGCCTTTATCCGCGAACATCTGCAATCACCCGCGAACATCTGCTTTTACCCGCGAACATCTGCAATCATCCGCTAACATCAGCAGATTCTGCTTTCATGCGCGAACATCTGATTTGATCCGCCAACATCTGCTTTTATCCGCGAACATCTGATTTCATCCGCGAACATCTGCAGTCACCCGCGAACAACTGCTTTTATCCGCGAACATCTGCAATCACCCGCGAACATCTGCTTTCATCCGCAAACGTCTGCTTGTATCCGCGAACATCTGCAATCATCCGCTAACATCTGCTTTCATGCGCGAACATCTGATTTGATCCGCCAACATCTGCTTTTATCCGCGAACATCTGATTTCATCCGCGAACATCTGCAGTCACCCGCGAACAACTGCTTTTATCCGCGAACATCTGCAATCACCCGCGAACATCTGCTTTCATCCGCAAACGTCTGGTTTTATCCGCAAACATCTGCTTTCATACGGTTTCACCCGCAAACATGCTTTTATCTGCGAACGCCTGATTTCATCCGGTTAGTGCACCCCCGCAAACATCTGCTTTTATCCGCAAACATCTCATTTTATCCGCGAACATCTCTTTTATCCGCGAACATCTGCAATCACTCGCGAACATCTGCTTTCATCCGCGAACATCTCATTTTATCCGCGAACATCTGCAATCATCCGCGAACATCTGCTTTCATTCGCGAATACCTGCTTTTATCCGCAAACATCTCATTTTATCCGCGAACATCTGCTTTTATCCGCAAACATCTGCTTTCATCCGCAAACATCTCATTTTATCCGCAAACATCTCATTTTATCCGCGAACATCTGCTTTCATAGTATGAAATTCATACGGTTTCACCCGCAAACTTGCTTTTATCTGCAAACATCTGATTTTATCCGCAAACATCTGATTTTATCGGCAAACATCTGCTTTTATCCGCAAACATCGGATTTTATACGCAAACATCTGCTTTTATCCGCAAACATCTGCTTTTATCCGCAAACATCTGCTTTTATCCGCAAACATCAGATTTTATTCGCAAACATCTGATTTTAATCGCAAACATCTGCATTTATCCGCAAATATCTGCTTTTATCCGCGAACATCTGCTTTTAATTGCAAACCTATGCTTTCATCCGCGTTCGTTTTGCCTGCAGATGCAGATGTTCGCGGGTAAAAGCAGATATTTGCGGATAAATGCAGATGTTTGCTGATAAAATCAGATGTTTGCGATTAAAATCAGATGTTTGCGGATAAAATCAGATGTTTGCGGATAAAAGCAGATGTTTGCGGATAGAATCAGATGTTTGCGGTTTAAAACAGATGTTTGCGGATTAAAGGAGGCGTTCGCGGATAAATGCTGATTTTGCGGATAAAAGCAGAAGTTTGCGGATTAAAGCAGACGTTCACAGATAAAAGCAGATCTTCGCGAATAAAAGCAGATGTTTGCAGGTGAAATCGGATGAATGAGACTTTTGCGGACTAAATTAGATTTTTGCGGATTAAAACAGATGTTTGTGGATTAAAGCAGATGTTCAAAGATAAAAGCAGATCTTTGCGGATATATGCAGATGTTTGCAGGTGAAATCGGATGAAGCAGACTTTTGCGGACTAAAGTAGATATTTGCGGATGAAATCAGATGTTCGCGGATGAAAGTAGATCTTCACGTATAAAAGCAGATGTTTGCAGGTGAAATCGGATAAAGCAGACGTTTGCGGATTAAAGTAGATGTTTGCGGATAAAATCAGATAAAAGCGGGTGAATGCAGATATAAACCCAAATACCGGATGAAACCAGATGAAAGCAGACATAGAACTAAATAGATAAAACCCGTTCGCGGATAATATTTATACCCGCAATTGCAGATAAAAACCGACATGCCGGGTAAAATTAGATATGTCGGATGAAAACAGATATAAATGGACATAAAACTATCTTGTTTTTTTATCCGCAATCATCCGATATTACCCGTCTTTTTCAGCAGGGAACTGTCTTAAAACATCTAAATTATGTTTTTAAAATAAAAAAAAAAGAAAAAGAAATAAAAATAGTGCAAAACTGTATTAAAACTGTCTAAAAATGTCCTAAAAACTATTTAAAATGACCCTCATTTTATAAGAACGGTCAAAACATCTTAATAATGTTTTTAAAAATGCAAAACTTTATAAAAACTGTCTAAAAATGTTAGAGATGGGAAAATTCCCATTTGACGAAAATTCCCGGAAACTTTCCATCGAAAATTCCCGAAATTAAGTTTCAAAAAATTTTTTTTTATTGCGACAATATTTTTTTTATGCCAGGGATTTGCAAAAATATATAACACATTAACTTTTTGTCAAATTTTTGGGTGCATTAACGACATAGAACTTGCTTTGAGCATGGTCTTTTTTGTTTTTTTGCACTATTTTGTAATAATTCCAAACACTAGATTTTTCTCTTTGCATTGTGCTATGCCTATAAATAAACAACAAAAATGTTAGAATGATTTTAACTTTGTTTGTTGTTTTTATTTTGTTTACCTTTTTTTAAAAAAGTTTTTTGTGTTGATGCTGAATAATCCGGCTTTATTGAGGTTATGTAACATAACTTACATTATTTATACTTCTTCTGCTTTAAATTAACACAAATTAAATTCTTATTCAAAGTTTCTTGGCCTTGTATCATAGCCTTAACGAAAATCAGCGGTTAAACAATTGACATTTAAATGAAAAACCAAGGAAAGTTTCCAAGGAATGTTTCCAAGGAATATTTCCGGTAGCTTAAAAGAAACTTTCAAAATGAAAATAAATTCCCAATTGGAAACTTTCCAAAACGGAAAGTTTCCTTAAAATGGAAACTTTCCGATTCCCATCTCTAAAAAATGTCCTTTAAACTGTCTAAAATGACCCACATTTTTTGGGAACTGTCCTTAAACCGTCTAAATTATGTTTTTGAAGTAAAAATAATGCAAAACTTTATTAAAACTGTCTAAAAACGTCCTTTCTACTGTCTAAAATGACCCCATTTTATAAGAACTGTCCTTAAAACATCTTAAGTATGTTTTTAAAATAAAAAAAACTTTATTAAAACTGTCTAAAGCGTCCTTTAAACTACCTTAAATGACCCATATTTTTTAAGAACTGTCCTTAAACCGTCTAAATTGTGTTTTTAAAAGGAAAAAAAATGCACTACAACAACTGTCTAAAATTACCTAGACTGTAGGTAAATAAGAACTTTAAAACATCTAAATTCTGTTTTTGAAATAAAAAAACTTTATCAAAAAAATGTAAAAAATATGTTTAAAACTATAGAAAAGAAGTTAAAATTATCTAAAATGACCCAAACCGTATAATAACTTAATATAGCTGCAAGGTAGGTATTTGCTATTGCTATTTATATTGTCTCTCAAATTGAAATATACTTAAAATAGTGCGCCAGTTTCGGTAAACCCTGTATAACTTTTAAAATTCAACTTGTGTATGTAATATATTTTTATATTAAAACAATTACAATAATAATGATAAAGAAAGTAACACATAAATTTATAGTTTTCAAATTCAAATTTCGCGGTAAAATCAACGATCGTTATTCCGACGTTGCCAGTTTGAAAATAAAAAATAAAATAAGTTAAGGTTTTTTCTTCCGTCCCTCAATTTAACATATTTGGGTAAGTTAGTGATAGGTTTACGAAACAAATCAAAGCATTATTCAATTAATAATGATTTCAAAGTTAAAACGACGGATACAACAGCACGCGTGTACGTTTGACAACAGTGTAAAATATTTCAAGCATCTGTCACTTGTTGCATTTTAATTTATCGTTTGATTTGCCAGAGCCAACTTTGGTTTTGTCTCTGTTTTTGTTATTTTTTGTTAACTGTGTGCGTTTTTGGTTTAGTTTATCTTTTCAATAGTAAAAGAATTAAAATTTTCAAAAGAAAAACGTAGCCTGAAAATGGTGAAAACAAAAAAAAGTGTCGATGCAGCAGCGAGGCCCAGCAGTAGCAGTGATGATTCCAATCAGAATACATCCAAAAGAAAATCTAAAACGCCCGTTAAAAAACGCAAGACACAAAGGGTTGTATTCGAAGTATATCCAGGACGGCAGCATGCAGTGAGCAAAAAAGTTTGGAATGAAATAAAACACCTGCAAATGACCACCTTCAACTGCATCCCAAAGGCACCTTTCGCAAGGTAATATACAGGGTGGCTACCCTGCAGCAATAATTGCACTTAAACTTTTAGATTGGTACGGGAGATCATGCAAAACACTGTTGAAGGAAGACAAGACTTCCGAATTCAAATGGAAGCATTGGCGGCACTTCATGACGCCACTGAGTATTATATAACAACGTTGTTTGAGCATTCAAATTTGTGTGCCAGGCATGCCAAAAGAGTAACTCTGGCGCCCAAAGATATGCAGTTAGTTTTACAACTAAAGGGTAAGTGTCTATAATGTTTTTAAAGCAATTACATGACATAGTGACAGTTGCTGTCTAACCCCACTTTTGACAACATAACCTAATTTTTTTTATAACTCAAAGTGACAGTTTTAAAACATTTTAACTATCGCCGTGACTAGGTGCACGTTAGAGTGCCCGCAATTTATTTTTTACGGGCACGCTAGTGACGTAATAGATAAAAAACGTCATCACTGCCGTGCCGCTTAATTTAAAATTGGCGGCACAACAATAATATAATAATAAATTGTACCTGTATACATGTTAAGGGCACGTTAGTTACGTAATAAAACCAAACCAACCCAAACTCAACAACACAACCCAACCGACCCCGCCCCATTGAACCCCCCCCGCCCCATTGAGCAAAAAACCCAACTAAAATGGGCAAATTTTTGTTACGATAAAAATAAAACACTTTTTAACAAAGGAACAACAAATTTATGAAATAAAAAAGTAAAAAAATTTCGACAACTCCTGAGTATCGAACCCGGGACCTCTCGCATGCAAAGCAAACGCCCTACCATCTAAGCTATCTAGCTTGACAACAAATACTATATGTTCGGGAAACAAAACCGGATTATTATTATGACGTCACTAGCGTGCCCGTAAAAAATAAATTGCGGGCACTCTAACGTGCACCTAGTCACTTTGTTTAACTATTTGATTTTTTTGTTTATTTTAATTTTTTTTAGGACCGACTGACCCTGGATTTCCATAGCTTGCTGTGTGTGTGACTTTAATGTTATTTTTTTATAGTTTAACTTAATTTTGACTGCTTTTAAATTAATAATAAATATTGTAATATAATACAAAAAGTATCTTTTGCATGTACAAATAATAATAATGTAATTATAATATATATTTATTTTTTTAATAGTTCAAGTTATTTACTTTTACTCACCCAAAGTCCATAAGCTGGCTGGCAAAATAACTGGTAAGGATTTTAAATACTGATTTAGGTTCTGCCTTTGAGAACTTATAATATTAGCAAAAGGCAGTTGTACGACCATTATTTCTGGTGGGTTATCCTTGCCAATGGCCTGTTCTATTGCTTCTTGAATGCCTGTAATAGAGCACTTCAGTATGTTTTTTTAATTGTATTCAGGGACGTAGCGAAAGTTCCGATTAAAGGGGGCGATTTTCATTGAAAATGACGGTCATTTTGGATCCACCATTTCGTTTTTTAAAAATTGAACCTGAGATTTGTTATCAGCGACCTAAAAAAACCTTTGTATGCACATTTTTATCCACCTACTATTGGATTTTTTCCGTTAATGTTGATAAACATACTATTATTTATGACTTAAATTTTATCGATGTCCGGGTTTTTGTGATTTTCAACCACTGATGTAATCACTCGAAAATGCAAATTCAAAATTCACGAACAAATAACGAAATTTTACAAAATCATCAAACACTCAACTTCAAATCTTCGTTGTTTACTTTGCTGGCTGACATATTCATTAGCTGAGGTTGCAGTCAGCATTAGTCGGCAAGTAATGAAACATAAAAAAAAATGAGAATCCTAATTCACTTTCGTATATTAAGCTAAGTTATTTAAAATTTGGAAAACGAAGATTTTCCTAAATCACCGAAATTTTCTTTTTATTAAATGAAAATATTGGTATAGATTATCGGAATCCCAGAAAAGTTCGCTACGCCCCTGATTGTATTACCTTGTGATCCGACAGATGACAGCGTTTCCATTGGAAAATAGATTGTGCATTGGGAAAGGTCCCCGCAAATCAACATACCTTTCCAAACGTCAAACCATTTTTTTAGAACGTTATAGATTTGCTCCTGCAACTAAAAATTGATTCTTGCGAATGCTCGATAAACGAATAAATTTAAGTATTTACACGATACACAAACACCGGTATGCTGGTTATGAAACAAAAACTCGTAGACTCCGCCAGAGTCAAATCTTACAAACAGTTTTGAATAGGCATACGCTATGCACGGGTGTTTTACTACGATTTCTTTTGAGTTTTTTCCGAAATTATTGTGTTTTTCAATTTTCAGTGCAAATGACATTCCAACCAGCTTTTGGTGCGCATCAGCATACTGGTTTTTGTGTATCGAGTATGTATTTACATCGATTTCCTCTTCCTTCAGCGTTTTCAACACCCTGTGCGGCACGGCAACTTGATCTCTGTCCGAACTGCTGTGCACCGATTCTAGTTGGCTGAACCGCCGCGGCGTCTCGATGGCGCTACCGCTCGCCTCCGAGATGTTCTTTTTTATGTGCTGGATGGGATCTTAAAAATTCGTCGCGTTATTTTTTTTTCAATACCGGTTATTGTTTGTGTTGAATTTACCGAAGTGGTCAACTTTGGTGGAATGATTCTTGGGGGTGTACAACAACCATCGGCATACCAAAGGATCGACGCAAACGCGAATTTCTTGCAGGTTGAAAATCAGTATGGGCGGATGAGTTTGCGAGTCTGGAGTTAATGGGTATTGTACGGTGGCGGATAGCAAGGGCAATTCGCTTTCTGGAACCCTGATACCAAAAACAAATCGATTATTTTGCTAGGGAATTTATAGTTTGTCAGAAATTAGGGATGAAGTTAGCAACAGACTTTTAGTCACAGGCTGAAGTTAGTTTTAAGTTAGTTGACAGTTGTCAAATGCCATCCAATCGTTAAAATAAAGTGCCTTTCTTGTAAAATAATACTAAATGTAAACATTATTTTATTATCTCAATACAAAAATACAAAAGTATTAAATAGTTTCTTGACGCCAATATTTGAAAAGATTATATAAACGTGTGCACTGTCCATTTCATTTCGCCGTAGTAGTGCAGTAAACTAGATTTAACAGATAAATAGTAACACATTTTGCGTACAGTGCTCATAAAACATTCTCTTCTCTTTTACTGTGAAAAACTGCTTCTATATCGATTGTTCGTCTATTTTCAAGGTATAAATTTTGATTTACACAGATTTTATTATTTTAATATTTTAAAGTTTAATTAAAATTATAATGGGCAATGTTAATGGTGAGAATTACGTCAAAAATGTTTATTGGTATGGTTACTTTATTCTCGTATAGATGTCGCTTTATACAAATATTTAATTAAAATAATTGTTTAGATAATATTAAGTATTTGTAGTAGAAAAAGTATAGTGTGCAACTCGTTTATATACGTTTCTAGGCACTCATTTAATTAAACTCGTGACTAAAATGGCGTTTATCAAACTTGATACATAATATACTATTATAGTCCTAGAAACACTTCTAACGCAATTCTATTCTTAAAATCAGTTTTATAATTCAATAATGCATTTTTGTGAGAATATATCGACTATTTTACAAAATATAATTATTTATTAAAGTAATGTATTTAATTAAAATATTATTAAAGTTTATTTACATTTTTGACCCATGTTTTTAGAAACTTTTTCCACATATTTTGCTTAAAATGTTTGCATAATTTTTTAATTTTAATTTTATAGTAAAAATGTGTTTTATGTCCTTAAAAGCGATTCTTTTTATAAAATCAGTTTAATAATTCAATAATGCATTTTTGTGAAAATATATATTTGCATATCTGACAATTAAATTTTGTAATTTTTGGTCACATATGTGACATGGTATATACCATGTGTTTTTCCTAAATAATTTACTACAATCTGGTTTAAATGGCCATGGGAAACCCCCATTGGTAATAATTAATTCTTGTTATGGTGGGTTCAGATGAGATGCGGAGCGATTTTTAACGCGGCGGGGCTTTTTGGTAATCGAGTTGGGTGACATTTTATTATAATTCAATTCAAAATTAGTGAACATGGGCTGTTTGGGGTTGCACAGGGTGTCAAAGTTGAAAGTTTGATTTCGGCTTTATTAAATACCTATGGAAAAAACGTTTATAATTTTTAAGATACAAAAATAATATTATTATTAAAAAAGTGAATACACCAAGGCCCCCAAAAATCAAATTTTGTGCAAAAACGTTTTTTCCAAAGTTAAAGGAACTTTCAACTTTAACCTGTATCTTGTTCATTATCCACTTTTGTATAGAAGTAAATCTACTCCTATCGCACAACATTGTTTTTTTCCGTAAATAATAATACACATTATAAATTCCCTGCCTAACAACGGGAATAATAAACTCATTAATAGTGATTGGTCGATTTCAATATTCACTGTGAACCAATCGGGATTTAGATTGGTAAAAGGCAACTATAAAAACATTTAAAATTAAGAAAAAGTGAGGTTAACCATTTGACAGATGTCAGATTTTTTTTTAAAACATTTCATTGAAGTACTATCGCTAACAAAAAAAACTCATACAGCTTAAAAATCTAGTGTTCCTGATTTTCTATCATTTCGTTGGAGTAATTATGGCTTTAAACATGATACGTCACATTTGAAACGTCTAAAATTAAATACAAAGTTAGGTTGAAGTTTGAAAAAATATATAATATTTCGTCATCCCTCTGTTTTTGTCAATTACTGCCCGCAAACGGCAAAGCATGGAAGTCGCCGTCTTGCTTTATCTCGTTCCAAATGGCTTCAATGGCTTGCCAGAGTTCCTCTGCATTGTTTGGTTGAAAATGTTGTTAAAAAAGTCATAATGGATGTGACAAAGCTCGATGTCAGCTTGACATTGACGGAAAAGTTTTATTCACACAGCCACAATATAGCTGTATGAGTTTTTTTTGTTAGCGATAGTAGATAATAGTATATTATCATCCGAGTAATGCGCATTATTTCGAGTTTTATACTATGCTTTTTCTACTCCAATTAAGTTATTTTCATTATTAACAAAATGTATTATAACCTCACTTTGCCCCGATTTTAAAGATCATTATAGTCGACCCTCGTATATATAACAGATCTGACATTTATTAACCTTACTTTTTTGAAATCAGTCAATCACTGATGCCTAACAACGTGAATATTGAGTTCATTATTCACGTTGTTAGGCAGGGCAGTTATATTGGTTACCATTATTTTGGTCTAAAAAATATGTTGTATAACTTTTTCAGGAATACCTTGTATATTATTACCTTTTGAAGGCAATTTGCAGAACAGGAATTTTTATTTTCGACGTTGGCACGTAAAACAATAAAAATTCCCATGGCCATTTAAACCTCTTTAAATTTAATGTTTCCGCTATTAATCCACAATTGAAAAAGTTAAAAAAAATGTTTACCATAATTAATTAAAATCATAACAGCATCAAAGTTTCCCAAATTAGGTTTGAACAAACCATTAATTTAAAACTAGTGGACCACTTGAGAAATTTTGACCTCACAAATTAACTTCATGTGTAAGAAACTGTACTTTAATGAAATAAATAAAAATGTTTTTTTACCTAAACGGTTTGGTGTGCAATGTGTCGGGTTTTCTCGGCTCAGGCCCAGATATAAACAAAACTTGCTGGATGGTGCTGAACGCGTCTTTTTTACTCTTTAAATCCCTGTCTTTGCCTTTGAGCTCCGCAGGTTCGAATATGAACGCCTTTATGGACCCAGCGCACAAATCAACGGATACCACCGAATTCGTGGTCACTTTTTTAAAACGTATCCCTTCTATGCAGAACTCTATGTACGGTAAACCTAGTTAAATTAAATTTAAGAGTGTGCATAAAAATTGGTTGGTAGAACACAGCAAACGGAAAAATATAGAACTGTATAGGATGACTCCGCGTTTGAATATTAAATCTTAAAGTTTTATCAGAACTGTATTGAATCGTGCTTTGTTTTTATATTTTTCGGCTCCATACCTATGCACGACTATACGACTAAAGTCAAATTCAATGGTGTCTTACAAGATACATTATTTTGATTTTCTATATTCAACAGAGAGGTAGAAACTCGACCCTGTCGAATGGTGCAGTCATTTATGTCTCTAGAAATTATTAAAAAAGGGTTCAGTTGAATGGTGCAGCAACTTCGGATTCCTATTCTCTTCAGAGACATAGAAACAAGCTTTTCGAATTTTACTGGCAATGATTTTCGTTAATATCCCCGAGAATTATACAAAAACAGCGCAATGCAATATCGCAACGGTTTCGACTTCTCTTTACTCTACCAAGTTATAGAAACTGGAGTCTCTCCAATACTGTTCTAGTCAATATTTCTGAGAGTATAAAAAGAGGGTGTAATATTGCAAGAAGTTTTGATCTTTTGATGGATGCAAGTAGTTTGAATTTTCTCATTTCTGCATATGATTTTGTTGAAAATAGTTCCTTTCTTTGGTTCCTTTGTCTGATTTTTATTTACCGTAATAACTCATTTATGTAAAGCACAGAGGATATGAGTATATTTATGTATTATATAAAGTACCTATATTTGTATTAAAAATTTCAGAGGTTATGTTGAAAAAATGATTGATATGCTATTAAACTTTAATACTTTAGTAATGAGGTGTGTTGGTAGACCCTGCACTATCTCCACTGATATATGTTAGTACAGCAATATTTAAATCTGGTTGATGAAAAAGTACACACCAGTGCAGGTTATTGTAGCATCTACGAACAAATGAATTAATGGCCCATTGGCAATTATTCCTTTAGGAAAAATATTCAACACAGCTTAATTAATTAATAAAATGAAAAAAATCACAATCATGTCGTATATAGTTTTTTTAAGCATAAAATAATTTTTATATTAATACTAGTTTAAAAGTGAAATTACGACCTCTATACTGTGGAGAGTATTGAAACGCTCGACTGACGAATACAACTCTATACCGTGGCGAGGGTTTAGAAAACTGTATTCAAACGTGGCGTCATAAAAATACACTTCTATATTTTTCCGTTTGCTGTGAAGAACATCTCTTACCGTAATCTTTTGCAGCGTCGTTTAATAATGTACTGTTGCTCATGGAAATAATCGCCGACGGCTCCATTTTGATAATTTTATCGGCAATTTCGTGTATAACCATCATTTTAGCTTTGGTGCCGTTTACGGTGATGCTTTCCGACTCGAAAACCCTCTCTTGGTGCGGTATGTTGGAATTCGTCCAGTACTGCGGCTTCAACATCGACTTTAAGGTGTACGAGGCGCTACAGGGCGTCAAAATGGTCGTGTGTTTTTGCTGATTCACCATCAACCGGCTGCACAGCCCCAAAATTTTAATCGTTTGCTTGTGGTAGCAAGCTTCGAAGAGCTGCTTGGGCGGGTCCGGCAGCTGACACGTCGTGTGCACCAACCGGTTGACGTACATTGGCGTTTGAACGCTTATGTCCAAAAATTGGCATTCTATCGTTAGTTTGGGGAGTTCTTGGAGTGTCGAGGTGGCGAAAGTACCAGCGCTTTTCTAAAATTTTACGATTTTGTTTTTGTGTTTTTTTAACCCTCGTAGGCCAGAAATGGCCATTTTCGAGAAAACATTTGCATTTGTTTAGAAAAAAGTTATAAACTACTTTGATATTAGTCCATTGTATCTAGGGTTGGGACAGTTGAAATTTTCAAATGAAAATTTCAACTTTAAAAGTTTCAAACTTGAAATTTTTCATTTAATTGGAAAAGTGAAATTTTTAAAAATTTCAAATGAAATTTTCAATCCGAAAATTTTAACATTGCCTGTAAAAGTTTCAGAAATTTTATTGAAAGTTTCGCAATTTACTGAAAATTTAGCACAAATTTCACATGCGGCCTCCCCTGGGACCTTTAATAATAATTTACAACAGATTCCGAATCGACGAATAAGAACGAGTTATCAAGCGTTTGGGCGTTTTTGTTTAGTTCGGCTTGGATTTGAATACACTATTAGTAATTATTGTTACTTATATGCATAAATTAATTTAAATAATTTAATTCAGTTACCAATTTAATTTGTAAATTAAATCAGACTTTAAATTTTTTTTAAAATTCATGATTAATTTAAACTTTTACTTTTGCTATAATTGCATCGGAAAACGGATAAAAAATGCCCTTGGCTCATAAAATTTTGATGAAGTTTCTTCAATTTTCGTAAAATTTCAGTAAAATATTTAAAAATAATAAATATATATATATATAAATATAAAACAATAAAAGTGACACAATCTCATTAGCTAACCAAAAAGAGCTATATCTCTTTTAGTTTTAGTTAAAAATATTTTAAAAGGAAATCTCAAGAAATTTGTGGTAAACATTACCTATTTATATTATTGGTGCAGGGGCCCACAGAGATAGAAGGTAAGAGAGGCAATTTGCCAATATTAATATATTACACTTAAAGTGATTGAAATTTATTAAAAGTTTCAATAAATTTCATAAATTTCATGAAATTTCAGAAATTTAGGAAATTTTAATAAATTTTATAAATGTCATGAAAATTTCAAGTGAAATTTCAAGTACAAGCAAAAAGTGAAATTTTCCCAACCCTAATTGTATCCCTGTAAAGTTCAGCTAATATTTAATTAATTTTATAGATAAATATCGCCGAAATATTGTAAAAATAAGTAATAATAAATGAAATTTGGGTGCACAACATGAAAAATTGCTGGCCCACTTCAGGAATTCAGACTCTACAACGATGTTTTGAGCTTTAAAACCTATTTTTGTAGCATAATTTTGTCACGGGTTTGGATGAATTACTACGAAACATGTAGTGATCAATTCTTGTTGAATGTTTCCCCCAATCCACAGATTTCAGTTTATGAGAAATAAAAAATAGTTCCTATAATAAACAGTGCCTACTTCTAAACTAGTAGCATCACTCAAAGCTAGTAGTAGACAAAAAATACAAATATTAGTCCTATTTGATATTTGCATTTAAAAAAGAAATAAAAACTTATTAGTAATATCAGCTAATAACTAATAAAATAATGTTATCCTAACCTTTCTTTTTCGAAACAGGGTTCCTTTGGTGGGTGCAAAGTATGGGTGATCCATTAGCTGCAGTTCGATAATGGGGGCGAAAAAGGTCACCCTCGTAGATCTGCTCGATATAAATTCGTTTAGCGCGTCGAAATCCTCCTCGGATGGCGGCAACAATTCGTTCAGCGGCAAATCGGGTTTCGGCGTGTGGTAGGGCATGTAATCGTAATATGAGCCTGCCACACGCAACGACTGCATGCGGTGGAAAAATCCCGAACAGAGCTTCAGCTTGAAGGGGCCGAAGCACACCCGCAGACTTGACATTTCCGAAAGGTTGCTAAAGTAAGAATTATTATTAGTTATACCGCATTTTCATTTGAAATATATATGTTACCGGCAATGTGAAAAATCCGACAATGTGCGAAATGTCTAGATACTCTGCAAACTGACCAATTTACCAGACATTGTGCAAAATCACAACCATCTTGGGCAATCTGCAAATTTACTACGCTATTTTAGGCAATTTGCAAAATGTCTGATGCGATAGTCAATCTGGGGATTAAAGGTTTTTACTTCTCACATTGACTAGGCAGTATGCGCAACACTAATTTAAGATAGAAATGTAAAATTGAAATTGAATTTTGTTTTTAGAAAAGAAATACTACAAATAAAAATTAAATTTACAAGCACTTGTTATTTATATAATGGTACAACAAAATATGGTAAAATAAAACATTTTTAGAAAGGTATTTATTTTCGCCGTGCACATCATGATGTAATTATTTAGCTAACTTTCAAGTTGTATAAACATTGATTAAAATTTAATTAAGTGATAGTGAAATACAATTAACAACAAAATTAATTAAATGTCAGTATGAATTACTCAAACCAACCCAAACTCAACAACCCAACCCAACCGACCCCGCCCCATTGGCCTCCCCCGCCCCATTGAGCGACCATTTAATATTATACAATTGACAAATATAAAAATTTGCTAAATAAGGATTTTTTCCACCCGGTGTACGTTTAATGCCCGTACTCCCGGTGTACTTCTAGTCACTTTGATTTATTTTTGCAGGGATGACTGAATAGCGAAGTTCGACAGAAGTAAAAGTATTGCGCACACACCTAGTCAATGTAAGAATTAAAAACCTTTAATCTCCAGATTGACTATCGCATCAGACATTTTGCAGATTGCGTAGTAAATTTGCAGATTGCCCAAAATGGTAGTGATTTTGCACAATGTCTGGTAAATTGGTCAGTTTGCAGAATATCTAGACATTTCGCACATTGCCGGATTTTTTACATTGCCGGTAACATATACACTCAAGTAAACCCGATTGCTCCTCCCCAGATGCATTGTAAGCAGAGCTGGGAGTATCTTGAAAAAAAAAAGATACTAAAAGTAACTTGAATACTTAAAGTATCTAAGATACTTTATCTTAGATACTTTTTATATTGGACAGAAAGTATCTTTAACTTAGTTACTTTGGAAAAGTATCTTGTAACTTATATCTTAAAAAGTATCTAAGTTACTCGGTAAATTAACTAAGATACCTACATTTAAGTAACTTAGATACTTTAAAGTAACTAAGATACTTTTTAAAGTAACTAAAATAATTTTTAAAATAACTTAGATACTTTTCTGTGTAACTTATTTTTATAATTTTAAAGTTTTTTTTTCAAACTTAAAAGTAACTTAGTTACTCAAAAGTATCTTAGTTACTTAAAAGTATCTTAGTTACTCAAAAGTATCCCTGTGGGTAAAAGGCATAATTATTAAGGGGATAAGTAAAAAAAAGCAATTTTTCAGTAGAGCCTTAAACGTATTCGCATTAATTCAGGAAATATATTTATGGTTAGCAGGTATCATATGCTAACAAAAGCGTAAACCCGCTAATCATATATATATTTCCTGAATTAATGCGAACACGTTAAAGGCTCTATTGAAATTTTTTTTGACTTATCCCCTTATGCCTTTTACCCACAGATGTAAGATACTTTCGGATAGTATCTTAGATACTTTTTAAAGTATCTTGTAACTAAAGATACTTTTAACTCAAAATATCTAGTTACCAGAGGTAACTAAGTTATTTTGCTTAATGTATCTTAGTAAAGTAACTAGATACTATTCAGAAGTAACTTTCCCAGCTCTGATTGTAAGGGGATTGCCGTAGGCGACGATTCAGTTAATCATTTAATTAATTAATTTATTTTATTAAAAATCATATATTATAATGTTCTACACATTGCAAGAGAAAATTGACATAATAAGCTGGTCTTTAGTGGGCATTTCTCTACGTCAAACAAGAGACCTATTCTCAGTTAAATATCCGGAACGTTCTATTCCGTCAATTAGAACAATAACAAACGATTGAAAATAAGCTTTGAATAAATTATTCAAAGCTTGTGTTCAAATAATAACTTATTTTTATAAATTAATTAATTTATTTATTTACATTTATTTTAATTTGTTTTTAAGAGAATTATTTATGGTTTTTTAATTCTTAAAGAGATTTTTTTTTGTTTAAACATTTTTTTTTATAAGGAAACACTTTTAGTTAAATGCACAAGAAATAATGATTTTACACCTTTAATTAATAATTTACTGTTAATAGTAATTAAGCTACATTTTAAGTGGGTATCTGAATATTTTTTAAAAGTAAATTAACTTAATAATGCGCAATTCGTATTAATAATCCAGAGCAAACTTCGACTATCACCCAACGCCGTTGAAGGGTCTACTGCTGAATTACGAAAACCTTCTCTCTAAAAATTATGGTACAAGTAAACAAGTTATGTTCTTGCGCATCTGTTTCCACTACTCTATCAGATTGGCAAAGATGTGGGAGCACCCAGTCGCAGCCATATTGACTATTTATATTTAGATGTGAGTTGTTTTTTAAGCTATTTTAAAGTTTTATAAGTGTAAAAAATGTCTACCTGCCAAGTGGAATTTTCTAAAAACAATGCTAAAAGAAAAAAACCTGAAAATCCAATACATTTTCTTAGTATGGGCTTGAAAAAATTGATGTTAGGATAGTAAGTAAATTTATTTTAAAAACAATTAAATAGCAGTAGTTTGTTGGAGGTACTTTTCTTATATACGCAGATTATCTGACATATATAAATAAAAAATAATTTTTTCTACTCCTATTACGGAATTTGACCGTTCTAATATCACTTTTATCTATGGAATGACATATATTCCGTAAAGTGTTACAGAATGAAATATTCTATCATCTGATGACAGAATAAACACTCGTGGCGACATCTCTGTTTTTAATATCTAACAAATTTTAGACCGATCCAACCTCATTTTCTTCCAATTAAATTATTTTTCTATGGTATTTTTTGGAAACGTAGAAAAAGTATAGTCTGAAACACGTTTGGAATTGCATATTCCGCTCTCGAGCGGAATATGCTGTATTCCAAACTTGTTACAGAATATACTATTTTCTACTACCTTACTAGAAAACTTAATTTTCCTCCCTCTTTTTTTTTTAGCAAGAGTTTTTGTACCTTGTCTAGCCCCATTTGATTTTGTAGGAAAAAGATTTACTCCGCGCTTGTCCAACCATTCTTTTAACAAACTATGGGTATTCATTTTCATATCGCTCTTTCGATTTTTAAGGAAGGAAATTAATTGCAACTATTCTTGCCTCTTCGCTAGAACTCATTTTCAAAACGTAGGAAGAATTTCAAATTTATGATAAACATTCTGACAGCTTATAAAAACTGTTTGTATTACCAAAAATACCATAACAACAAAGCGTTGTCAACATAACGTCGGCGACGCAACTTAATATTTTGTCATAATTTTATAGCCCCATACCGGGTTAGTGAACGGAACTGGAACGCTTAAAATGTCTTAAAACCGATAAAAGGTAATAGAAAAAACTATATACATACCTCAGGAGGAAAATGAGTTTCCTCCCTTGAATATTTAATGCCCTTCGCTTCGCGTCTGGCATCAAACTATTCGCGGGAGGAAAAGCACTATTTTCCTCCCATGGTATATAGGTTAATATTTTTGTTTGTTTTGTAGCATGTATTTGTTTCATTTACTTCAAAGATGGTTGCTATAAGAAGGAAAATTGGATCGAAAAAACATACAAACTACATTTCCTTAAAAAAAGTCTTTAAAAGTGGATAAGGTATTAACTTAAGTTTACACTTACACTTAGCTGCAGATCTATCAAAAGAGAAATCAAGTACTTTGTAAGAAATTAAAATAAAATAGAAAAAAAAAATATAAATCATAGTTTTTTTACAGTTTACAAGAAATAGTACGAAACCAGCATAATATGATCTTTGAAGAGCCCGTAACAGTAACTTAAGTACTGCAGTGAAATTAAAATAAAATTAAAAAAAAAATTAATCGAAATTAAATCTTTCTTTTTGCATTGTGCACTAAATGGGCCGATACAAGAAAGCTAATGATCTTTAAGGACATGCCATAACAGAACTCAAACTGCATGCTGCTGATAATGAAATGGCCCAGGATTGAAACATCCCAAAAGCATTACAAAACCAGCTAATACCATATCATAATATAATATTTTTCACAAGTTTAGTTTGTTTTATTCATGGTTTTTATTTAGCAACTAAACCTAAATTGTAATTATTTGTAAATACAATTTTGTAATAAATAAATTTAGAAAAAATATTTTCTTTACATTTTTCTTGCAATGTTAATGTTGTAACTTGACACTGTTCATTTCATTCTTTATATTTGCTGTAAAACAGGATATTTTATTTTATTGAAAACATTTTACTTATTAATGACTTTAAAACAAGGTATTTTACTTGAAAACCCATTAATTAAAACATTTAAGGGGTTACATACATTTGTGCTGGGTCAAAAAATCGATTTTTTTTATTGAATATCCTTACAATAGGTATATACTTTTAAGAATATGTACCTACTTAAAATTTCATCAAGATCGGAGCACTAGAACTTATGTTATAGCAATTTATAGCGCGCTACCTCACAAACATTTAAAGGCAAATTTAATGAACTTAAAACTTCAAACGCGTTTATCTCGGAATCGTATTTTTTAAAAACTGCCGTTGCCGTGAGCATGATTTCTCGAAAACCAATTTACCGATCGATGTGAAATTTGGAAGTGTTGTTCCTAATTACAATAGCCCCTTCGTAAACGAAGGGATTTTCATTCGGACGAAAATTTTTATTTTTTTTTCGGCCGGAAAAATCGATTATTTTGGGGAAATCACCGCCATTTGCGTGAACATTTTTTTTAACAAAACCCTTCGTTCACGAAGGGGGTGATACTACACTCACAGGCAAAAAAATCGATCCACACAAATTTTCGATGAATTTCAATCGCAAATAACTTTTTTATTTGATGTCGGATTTAAACGAATATTAAAGAATATTGTAGATAAATTAATGGACAATCGCTCACATTTTAAAAGATTACTAAAAAATTGACGTACGTTTATAATATACAGGTTTAAACAAAAATATGTTTTTTACCATAAGTTTAAGACACTCTGTAGAGTGGCAAAACCGTATATTGTTCTAAATTAAGTTTAAGTTTAAGGTTAAGTCACATCTATTCTTAACAGTTTTGTTTTTGGTTCACCTCGATATATTTATTTTTGTGGAAAATATGGATTTTTTTAGAAATCATTGCAATTTCCAATATTTTTCTGAATGAAGAATTAAGGTTGCTATGGTCCATCCATAGGGTATGAAGAATGACAGTGACAGTTTTGTTGAATCATTCCCTACTTGGACATGTCATACACGGCTTTCAAAAGCTATCAAATTGATGTTTAAATTTTGAGGTGTCTTCTTACTTTAAAAAATGGACATGTCTCCGACTGATGTTGCCAGAGCCATTAATTTAATCCAGGATGGACAGTCACAGTATTACTTGGCAAGTGTTTTAAACATCACAATAAGTAAGCAAAGGGCAACATCAGTCGGAGACATTTTTAAAAGTAAGAAGACACCTCAAAATTAACACATTAATTTACAAAAAACAATTTGATAGCTTTTGAAAGCTGTATTTGACATGTCCAAGTATGGGATGATTCAAAAAAACAGTCACTGTCATCCTCCATAGGCTATGGATGGACCATAGCAACCTTAGTTCTTCATACAGAAAAAATATTGGAAATTGCAATGTTTTTTTTTTAAAAATCCATATTTTCCACAAAAATAAATATATCAAGGTGAACCAAAAACAAAACTGTTAAAAATAGATGTGACTTGATAATTAAAACTTAATTTAGAACAATATACGGTTTTGCCACTCTACAGAGTGTCTTAAACTTATGGTAAAAAACATCTTTTTGTTTAAACCTGTATATTATAAACTTACGTGTATTTTTTAGTAATTTTTAAAATGTGAGCGATTCTCCATTAATGTATCTACAATATTCTTTAATATTTGTTTGAATCCGAAATCAAATAAAAAAGTTATTTGCCATTGAAATTCATCGAAAATTTGAGTGGATCGATTATAATCATATAATAATTATTTTGCCTGTGAGTGTATGTTCTAATATGGATTTTTTTCATTAAGATCTGTTTGGCGGTTTTCGATATTTTATGCTCACCGCAAACGCTTGAAAAAAAGACGTTTTAGGGCAATGGCTGTATTTTCCACAATTTTCCATATTTTCGCATATTTTTTTTATAAATACTTTAAAACATACCCTATTCGATGTCTTATAGTTCGTTTCAATATAATTATAATTATATACAAAAAAAATCACAAAAAACGTTAAATTTTTCTGGGATTTTTTTTTATATATTTTATTTGTAGAAATTTGGATGAATTTCATAAGAAAATATTTAAATTTAAAATTTAATTTAAATTCAAGAACTAAGTTGGCGGTAACTGGGTGGTGCGCAAAGTAAACCAAAATTCGTTCTAACGATGAACATACCCTGTTTCTTGTACCATGGCCTCTCTACATAAAATGAAAATTTACTAAGGTATATTTAACACACCTAAATTCATAGTCGCTTCCCAACTCGGACAGCCTCTCGCTGGTCATATCTTCGGGTATTTCCATTTGATAGACGTAGTCCAAGGCGATAGCGGGGGTGCGTTCCAACAAAACAGACTCGGTGTTCGCGAGCATGTGGTGCTCCCACGAGGTGTTGTAGTTCCTCGAGTGGCCCTTGTTCTCCACGGCCGCCGCGTCGAACAGGGAGTCCGCTTTGTGCGAGGTGGTCGCCGAGCCGATCTTTAGATAGGGCGCGGGCGTTTCGGCGACTGCGCAGCTGCAAGGGCCCAGCGGCACCAGCACGGCCTGGCTGACGCCGAAGCTGGCGTTCAGCCATTTGATACCGTGCACGATGCTTTCGCTGTAAATACCTTGCAGCTGCAGCTGCAGCATTGGCCAGTACTTTAGCTTCTTTTGAGCGTAGTAACCGCGGTCCGATGGACCAGATTCAGAAACCTAAATAATCGAATTGATAAAGGCAACATGTTTTTTTAAATATTTATGTAAAATATATACAGTGTGACCCATTTGTTTGCGACTCACCCCTGTAAAATCTTTATTTATTGTGCGATTTTTTACCGGATTTGTTTTAAAGTGTAGATCTCGATAAACTGTATTTTTGGAGCAAAAAACGCCATATTTGTACAAAATACAAGGCCTACTATGTCAGTTTTTAAGAGTAAATTTTTAAGAATTCATTTTAGCGATTTTTTTTAAAGAAAATCTGAGCACGGCACTGGATTCACCAATCCTCAAAACGACCCTATACTAAATTTTATCGAAAAATTTTAAGTAGAAAAATGCACAATAATAACTACAAGTTATCCATGAAAAAAACATTGAAATAAAATTAATGAATTCTTAAAAATTTACTCTTAAAAAATGACATAGTAGGCCTTGTATTTTGTACAAATACAGCGTTTTTTTGCTCCAAAAGTACGGTTTATCAAGATCTACACTTTAAAACAAATCCGGTTAAAATCGCACAATAAATAAAGATTTTAAGGTTGTGAGTCGCAAACAAATGGGTCACACTGTATGAGACTATAGTTTCACAAAAGTACATTTTTAAATCATAAAATATTTATTAGGAATAGAAACAAAAATAAAACAATTTTTTACGATAAAATTGAAATAAAAAACTTATTAAAAATTTCTAAAACAATACTTTTGTAATAAATCTTTGATTAGATAAATTCAAAAAACTAAATAATTGAATTAATAAAGGGGCAAGATATCGATTTGAAATTTTAAAGGGTTTATAATCCATTTAAGTACATTATTCTAAAATATTTTCCGATTTAACCGTGTGACATCAACTTTGTCATTTCAAATAGAACACCCATATATTTTTACATCTATAAATTCCACATAAAATTCTGTGTAAAATTACTATACCTAGGTACCATGTTTGGGTTTTAAAATTTCCGGAAAAATTGAGCCGGCGCAAAAAAAACGCTTTTTCAAAAAAAAAAATATGAAATTTTCAGAAAAATTGACTTTAGCATTTTTTTCATTTTATTTAAAAGGTAATAATACAAAAAAGTCAATTTTTTTACGGGTACTATCCGTACACTGATATCGTGAAAAAAGTGAATTTGCGACGCTGATTATAATCATATAATTTTTTGATGAATATAATAATTATTCCTATTATTTTAATTTAGTAAGATTCTATTTTTTTATCGGGCAGCAAAAAGAATATATTTGGTGCTGTATTAATATAACTTTCGTTTTATTTGATACTTGAATTTATAAAATTATAATTTTGAAATTTAACTTTAATTTATTATTTTGTAATTGGATATTTTCAATGGACTTCATTTGGCAAAAAGACCCAACCTACAGTATATTTAACGTTTTTTTTTAATTGAAAAAAATAAATCCCAAGTATCACAGTAATGATAATATCGGATAAATATAAATATAACATAATAAATAAATAAAATATTAACTTTTATGTTCTTTAAATTAAAATAATGTTAAGATGTTGTTGGCTACTTTTGTTAAAAAGTGTATATTTTCCAAAGAAAAACAATTTTTTCCAAAAAAAGCCAATTTTTCCAAGGACTGGGAAAAACAGGTTTTTTCCCAATTTGTCCGGTTTAAATAAAACCTTAACCATGTCCTATACCTAAAGTGAATAGTTTTCGAGTTATTAATTTTTTTTCGTTAAAATTTGACAAATCAAAATAGCCTATAACTTTTTTGTTATTAGGTTTGCGGATATGGAGGTGCAATTTTTGGAATCTTAAAACATTTCAAACTTCATAATAATGATTTTTACCTTAAAAGTAATTGACATGTTGTCTACATAAAAACCAATTTGCATGGTGTGTCCGGAATAATTCTTCAATTGCTCATTATTCCATTCTTCATCCCATTGTGTTGGTAATACTGAGGAAACATAGGACCATGCCCAGTTAGTCCAGGTTTCAGGTTTTTCTTGAGAATCTAAATAAATATATTCAACTTCTTAACAACTATGTAATGATAAACTTCAAACTATATTTAAAATTGTTTTTTATGCACCATAATTAATTCACATGACTAACCTCTTAACTCTGGTGAAACTTGATGGTCAACATGAATATCAGTGTCTGGCTTCAACTGTTTCTGCTGCAATGCATACAATAGCATCATAAGCCTCAGTAACATGGGTACTTGTTGTTCTGTCATACTAAATTCCATACTAATAAAGGAAAAAAGTTTTTTTTAAATAGTCCACAAAAAGATTTAATGGGTCACATACTTATTACAATAGATGTCCAATCTTGTTGTAGAGGCTCTTTTGGCTGTGGCTGAATGATAGTGCCTCAGTAAGTGCATGGTCATTGAGCATCTGTACAACATTGGTTCTTGATACACGTCTATTTTACCGGCTGCATTTCTCTTGTCCAAGCACAAAGTTAAGTCGTTAACTGCTACTATTTTTCTTAAAATTACTTGAGCTGGGGAAAGATCTAAAATTGAGCATGCAGGAAAATACAAAAAATTGACCTTTGGAATAAAATATTTCATAATATTTTTGAGTAGAAAACCATAATAAAATGATTTAAAAATATTTGTTTAAAATTGTACAATAAATGTATAGATTTTATGAAAAGATCTATTAAAAATCTAAAATTTAGCATGCAGAAAAATCAAAAATTGCCCTTTGGAATAAACTATTTCATGTTTTTATGTAGAAACCCATAATATATTATAATAAAATTGATTTAAAACTGTTTGTTTAAAACGCACAATAAATATATAGATTGTATAAAAATTAAATTTTTTTTTAAAATAACACTCAAAACATACTAAAATTTAGCATGCAGAAAAATACAAAAAATTGACTTTTGGAATAAAATATTTTATCTACACCTATTGCATAATTTTGGTGTTTTTCCGTGAATATTGTTAAGCATTATAAATTTCCTGCCTAACAATGTGAATCAGTGGCGTAGCTAGCCTCTAGGGGGCCCCGTATCAAAAATCTGGTAGGGGCCCTTATACCGGAAAAGGTGCTGGCAAAAAAATTTTTAGGGTATCATTTTTTTCCATTTACCAATTTTTATAATTTAATAAATCATATATGTGGGTGAATCTCACGAAATGTCCCCCGATGGTGTTATCCCGTGATATTTAATAAATCTAAATGAGTTTGACCTACACTTTTATTGAGACATTCTTTTACAAATCGTACACCTATTTTGACTTCAGGGTTTGGATTCGCATGAAATTTTTTTTACCGCTTCTATTCAGTAAATAAGCAGATACGTGTATCAGGTTTTCTGTAAAAAAATTGTTTTTTCAGAGATATGTTGATATAAAGTTTTTATGAATTGCGATAAAACGATGAATTCTCTTCTACATAAAACCCATTATCTCCGGTTCTACTGATCGGATCGATTTTGTTTTTTTTGTTTTAAACCTTATTGAATAGGCTTTTCAAATAAATAAATTAATTTTTTTTTTTTTAAGTATAGGAAGTTAATAACAGATTAATTTTTTAAACTAGTTTTTCATGTTTGCCCCCTCTATAAAATAAAAGGAAAAAAATACTATTTTATGCGCTTTTTCTTTATCTACAAAATACATGTTTCAGAACAGTGGGGACTCTTTTGGATCGGAAGATATTAAAAATTTTCGAGCGCGTGACAGGACTGTCAAGCGCGTAATATTCAAACGTATTAGTGCATGTGGCGGGTGACGTGATATTTTGTATAAGAGTGCCATGATTCGACATCTTTTAATTGGTGACTTATTTGTGCAAATGTCAATTCTGCCAGTTAATAAATTTACTCATTAATTGGAGTTTGTATTATTTAAAATTTAATTTATTTAAAATTATTGAAAACCTTTAAAATCGGAATTAATTTACAAAAAGCGCTGGTATTTTTTTAAAACGATGTATGAGTTTACACTATCCTAAATGTGTTAGCGTTTCGAAGATGTCTGATTAGGGGGTGTCCATTAATTACGTGAGTCAATTTTAGCGATTTTTTGATCCCCTCCCCCCTTGCTGAGATGTCGTGAGATTTGGCTCAACCCCCTCCCCCTAATCTCACGTGAGATTTTAAAAAATGCTTATTTTTAATGTTTATACGTTAAACTGCATGATACGTTTATACGTTAAACTGCATGATTCTGTTGGATTTATTAAAAAAACATACTTTACATAAAAATTACGTGATATTTGCCGAGACCCCCCCTCTCCCTTACGTGAGAATTGATGAGATTTGACTTGACCCCCTCCCTCCCCTAAACGCCTCACGTAATTAATGGATGCCCCCTTACGGCTTGTACCGGTCACGCGCTCGAAAATATTTAATATCTTCCGATCCAAAAATGTCTCCATTTTTCTGAAAAATTCATTTTGTAGAGTAATAAATAGTGCATAGAAGAGTATTTTTTTAATTTTTTTTCATAGAGGGGGCAAACACAAAAAATCTGTTTATACAAAAAAAAAATATTTTTTTCATATAATAAACAAAACACAAACTTTTTAAATATTTATCTAAAAAGACTATGTAATATGGTTTAAAATAAAAAAAAAATGAAATCGATCCGATCAGTAGAACCGGTGATAATGAATTTTAAGTATAAAAGAATTCAGCATTTTTTCAAATTTTATCAAAAGTTTAAATCAATATATCTTTGTAAAAATCAATTTTCTGCAAAAATTCCGATATAGGGGTCGGCTAAATTTATGAAAAGATGCTGTAAAAAAAATTAAGTCATTTTAAAAATTTGAAAAAATATGTTTTCTGTAATCCGTACGATATGTAAAAGATTGTCTCATTGTGTTTTGATATTTCATAATTAAGTAGATATTACAGCTCAGGTTCCAGATTTTTAACCGAAATTAATTATTTTTTACAATGTTTTAAAAGTCTAAAACCTATCCTTTGTGACTGTTCGGCCATTTCAAGCGCGCGAAACGCCCGAATTACAAAACTGTTTTTATAAAAAAAATTGTAGATTATTTATTATATAATATTTTGGCATCAAAATTGTCAAAAATATTCTTCTTTTATTAGGTTATACATTAAATAAAAAAAAACTTAAGAAATATTTTATGAAAGTAGATATAATTTTAATAATTGAAAGGTGTGGACGGGACAAAAAAAAGATTTATCTTGTCCCGTCCATCCCTGTCAATTATTGAAATTATCTCTACTTTTATAAAATATTTCTTGCGATTTTTTTTATTTAATGTATACCCTAATAATAGAAGAATTGTTTTGACAATTTTGATGCAAAAATAATATATAATAAATTAGCCATAATTTTTTTTATAAAAACAGTTTTGTGATTTGTCCCGTCCATCCGCTTGAAATGGCCGTGTTACTCTTTCTAGTTTAACCTATGTTTTCAAATATCTGAGGTAGTAAAAGCATACTAAAAATATCAGTTCACTAAGTAAATTAAACACATCCAAAGCAATCGAATCAAATATAAAATATTATTAAAAATTAAAAGAAATAATTTTTATAACCATTTATGTAGGTGTTCCAAAACATGATTCTATCCTCCATGAATCTGTTTTTTCTTTAAATTTTATGCAACATATGGCGCTTTAATCATTTTAAATAAGCAAAAACCTCTGTTTACGACATTATAGATGCATGTGATTCCTGAAGGTCAGTTAGAATTTATATGCAGATGAGAGTGTTGCTGATTTATAATTTAAAAGTTTAAGTTCATTAATTTGACATTTAAACACCTATCCGCCGTGAAGTGTAACATCTCAGTAAGATTTTTTTTATAAATATTTTATGAATGTACAATTGTATTATTAAAAATATTAAGGTGTCAAAAGATACAATAAGTTATTTCAAATATACAAAGGTTTTAAAAAAATCATACGAAATCCTAACCTCCGTGAAGCTATCTTCCGTGAAGCTCTAATATTCAAAATTTATGAGTTCTTAAAATTCTTGCATTAGTGCAGAACCACTTATGTTATGTTATTACTAGGGATGCACCGGAATTCCGGCGGTACCACTAAATCCGGCCGATCCGGCCAGTTGGCCGGAACTACCGTTCCGGCCGGATCGCTTTCCGGCCGGAATTTTCGGAACTATATGGAAATGTTTAAGTTTTAAATTTTTAATATAAGTTAAATTCAAATATATGCAAAAATAAAGAAAATTATTTTAAATGAATAATGAAATGACCTGCAGCCCTGTGCCTTTGCTTATGATTAGCAGGCGTCTGGGATTTCCCGACTTTCGCGTCTGTGATTCCCCGACTTTCGCGTCTGGGATGCTCCTACTTATATTTTATAATTGGTCAACAGTGAAGGGTGTGCGTGTTTCCTTGCCTATGATAGACCGGCGGCTGTGGTTCCCCGACTTCTTTTTAATTTTTTTAATATTGGCAGGTGGCTTCTATTCTCCAATTGAATGAGTAGAATTGTTTTAATTTTGTTAACGCTAATTAAAAATTAATATTTAAATAAACAGTAATTTCTATCTAGGTAAAATTAATAGTAATAAACACTCTGCATACTGTAGTTAGTTTAAAAAAAAGTAAAAATAAATCAGCCTCAATATTTTCAATGTTTTACGTATAAAAATAGGCATGCACATACATTATTAAATTTAGGTCCCGATCCGGCCGGAATTCCGGTGATCCGGTCCGGCCAGCGGCCGAAATTCCGGTTCCGGCCGGATCGGAAAAATACCCGATCCGGTGCATCCCTAGTTATTACTAGACCTGGCTTCCCAAAAAACCCATTCTAGACTAACAGTGAAACAACCAAAAATAAAAAATAATCATTTTCCCATATATACATAGCTTTTTATGTACAGGCAAATTTTAAAATTTGATCTGGTTTTAGACATTTACCGTTCTTCAACATCTTTTAAAAGGTTTCTATTTTAAAATAAAGGCAAGTTATTTGAAATGATTGTAACGTTAATAATTATTTCTAATTTGCTATTAATATAACCTATAATAATAACACCCAAAGCAGACTCAGTATGCGGCGCAGAGCACAGAATATACGCAGACTGAGCCGCAGACAAAGCATAGCGGAAAGGTGCGGGCAGAAACATTTCGTATGACGGCCTCGTTGAAACAGGAGGGTATTCAGGAAAATTTTAATTTAATAAATCGAAGAATAAACAATTAAATAATAATAATATTATTTATTTAATTTGATGCCTCACTTTTTTTCACATGTGGGTAATATGTTTTTTGCTTACGCATGTCGAAGCCAATCAGGGCCCCCCCTAGCCGGGGGGCCCGTATCATTGATACGGCTGATACCGCGGTAGCTACGCCCCTGATGTGAATAATAAACTCAGTATTCACGTTGTTAGGCATCAGTGATTGGCCGATTTCAGTATTCACTGTGATTTGAACCAATCGGGTTTTAAATTGGAAGAAGGCGACTATAATAACATTTAAAATTGGTAAAAAGTAAAGTTAACCATTTGACAGATGTCAGATTTTATTTATTTAATTTTGAAAATCATTTAAATATCTACTTATTGGAGTAGATAAAGTATAGTATTACACTCGAGATTATGAGCAATATTGACTCGGATGATTTAGGTCTCTCGTCTAGCGACTCGAGACGTAAACCTCATCCTCGTGAATATTAGCCTGCAACATCTCCCCTATAATAATATACTATTATAATGTTTTTATGTAAAAAAACCATAATAATAAAATTGATTTTAAATTATTTGGTTAAAAACGTCCAATAAATGTAGATTTTCAGAAAATAAAAAAATCAAAAAAATAACACTCATGTGACCCAATAAAATTGTCGATAAAAGCCGCGAGATGGCGCAATCTTTGCATAAATCCGTTGTTTTAAGTTATTAAAATCTCTTACCTGTATATGCTGGTTCCCACTTTTCATTGGCAGACTCAAACTTTAAATGTTTAACGTTCATAGACAATACAATATCTTCTTCCACATACTTTAAAATTAAATTGTTGCAATAAATTCTTATGTTACTGACTATCTTATTTATTAATAATTGCACATATCCTGGAGGGGCTTCAATGTCTTGCCTGAAATATACAGTGAACTCTGGTAATAAATTGTAGTACTTAGGTAATACTTACTTTGTATTTTGCTTTTTTATTTTTTCTCTTGCTTGACTGCTTGATTCTGGAGATGACGTTGCCTCTGAGCCTCTCAGTTTTAATATACATTCTAAAATATATTATAAATATTAAATTAGAATCTAGTGAGTAAACTAGATTATAATTTTTTATACCATTTGACTGTACCAAACATATTTACCAACTTACCTATGGTATTTATTGTAATTGTGATCGGTTGTGAATTTAATTTTGTCCATGGTACATGAATCAATAATTCTCTGATGTGTCCGGAAACAAAACTAAATGGCAACTGTAACTCCTGCTCCAAAACATCTAATCTTAACTCTAAATTGTGGAATGATGCATCTCCGCCCCAAAGAGAGACCTAAAAATAAACAAACTTAATAATACCTCGAAAATACTTGAAAAAATATTTCTAAATACCTGTGAATCTTCTAGTTTAAAGTTTTTTATGTAGCGATCAACGTAACTAAGTAAAATTGGGGTGATATATGATTCTAATTTAAACATATCGGCTGTTATTCATCTAAAATATGCAAAAATAATGATAAAAACAAATTCCGAGATTGTGGGTTATGGTTGCATTTTACCTCTTGCGAACTGCCTTCTGAACAAGGAATGTTTTTGGGTATGCGAAACGGTTTTAATTTTATTTCTTAATGATTTGTGTGTCGCTAAATCATTATAATCGTGACATAGTTGATTATTTATTAATTATTCAAGATGATAATAATCATCTGATTTTTTGAACACGTCTAATTTCACATCTGACAACTAAAATCCCCCACGTCAAAACATGTTTAGTTTTTTAATGTAGGTTGGTAACGAATATTTTTAAAATCAACTTAAAATACAGACGTGTTTGATAAATTTTTGGTAAATTAACAAGATTTTCCTATTATTTTGTATGCAAATTATTATGTTTAGTATTTAAAAGCGCTTTTTAAATGAGTATACAAATAGATGAGTTTTGGTTGGTAGTTGAGAATTTTCTATAGTTGTCACGCCTGAAATCAGTCAGTTTCACAAAATGGCGAATGTGCGTGACAGCGATACTTCTTTGTGGCTTCATAATAAACTCGGAATTTCGAACGATTCCTGGACAGGAGGCTCAATATGTTCGCAATTAAACGCGGAAGTTTTGAGGAACATAAAAGACTGCTTCCCGGATTTGCAGACACAGGTCAAATTGAAATTGTTGTTAAGTTTTTTCCATATCCCGCGCAGGAATCTCGAAGAGGTATGTTTATATTTATAACGATGCAGTTTGTATTTTCCGTCCTCGTTGCACAATTTGGTCTGTTTTCATTAGGTAATAACAAAAATTAAGTCAAAAAGGAGAGAACAAACTTATTTTTACATTTCGTAAATTTATTTAACTGTTTACATACGCATATTTAAGTAACACAAATTAACGCGCCAATGTTGTTATTTTAAAACTTTATGATAGAACTGCGAATACATTTAATATGAATAAAATATGCCTTGCTTAAATATTATTATATGAGAGATAATGCAGGCTATTATTCACGAGGTTGAGGTTTGCGAATCGAGCCGCTAGGCGAGAGATGCAAATCATCCGAGAGAATATCTCGAGTGTAATATTATGCATTTTCTACTACAATTAAGTAATTTTCAGTAGCACCAAAATTTATTATAACCTCACACCACACAATAATAATAGGCAAAGATATATTATATTATTATATTATAATATTATCTTTGATAATAGGTAGTCAACCCTGTCAAAAAAATTGACATCTGTTTAAAAGTTCCAACCACACTTTTCTCCAAACTGATTGGTTCAAATCACAGTGAATATTGAAATCAGCCAATCACTGATAACGTGAATAATGAGTTCATTATTTTCGTTGTTAGGTGGCGCGGATATATTGGTCACCATTATTATACGATAAAACCCAAATAATGTTAATAATATGCAATAGGAGAAGAAAAAGTAAATATCTTATTGGATAAGTATTTTTTTTTGGGTTGGTTAATATTTATTGAACCTATGTTTACCTACTTATCTATAATAGGTACATAAAATACAAATGTATAAAATCATATTTTTATTGAATTAACTTTTAAATCTTTTATTTACTTAAAGCAAACTCAAAAATTTGTCTGTCAAGTTTACAATGTTGTCAGATTTAAAATCATATTATTAATGTATAAAAAATACAAATTGTCGTTAAAACTTAACATATTTTCAAATTTAAATTTAATTCATAAATTAATTATTTTAATTTTAAATTGCATATCAAATTTAAATTTAATTCATAAATTAATAATTTTAATTTTAAATTGCCTATCAAATTTTCCTAAAAAGCGTAATTTTTTTACATCCGGCAACATTGCTTTAAATCTGAAAACGAACTATAGTGGCTGCTTGCACGCGAAAGCAAGGATTTTCTAATCTGAATGAATTTCTAATAATTATTAAATTGATATTGATACGTAGTGAATTTGTTATTATTGAAAAGTTTATGTTTTTAATAATCAATATGAAATATAGTATGAAATATAGTATCTTATTGGATTAGTTATTAATATGGTTTTAAAGTGCCGAAAAAAAGGAAAATTGGGATAAAAACCTGTTTTTTTCCGTTTTTTCCCAGACTTAAAAAAATTGCCTTTTTGGGAAAAATTGATTTTTTTTTGTAAAATATACACGTTTGAAAAAAATTCGCAATCAACAACACTTAACCTTAATTTAATTTAAAAAAAATGTCCTTACAGAAAAAAAAATAAAACTAAACATTGAATTAAATTAAAATGATTTATGAAAATAAATATACTGTCGGTTGGGTCTTTTTGCAAAAAGAAGTCCATGGAAAATATCCAATTACAAAATAATATATGATTTATAAATTTAAATTACAAAATTATAATTTTAAAAACTGAAGTATCAAATAAAACAAAAGTTATATTAATACCAAATCACCAAATATGTTTTTTTTTGCGACCCGGTAGAATATTCTTACTGCATTAAAATAAAAGGAATAGGTAATTATTAAAATCATATAATAATCATAATAATAATAATATTTATTTATCCATTATGATCATATACATGATATAGGACAGGTCAAAATCGAGACAATACAAACTATTGTTTATTCTCTAACATCCAATAAAGAAAAAAACATCAAAGCATAGAAGATAATAATAAAATACATAATTCTAAATTTTCGAAATTAAAACATAAATATTCATTTACTGTATAAAACGCATTTGCAAACAACAAAGATTTAACATAATTGGTAAATTTACTGCTGGATTTATTTTTTATATAGAGTGGCATTTTGTTATACAAAATAACACCAGCATAATATGGATTTGATTTAAATAATTCGAGTCTATGATTGCCGTATTGAAAATCAGTTCCGTGTCTTGTGTTTTTTTTATTATTATTTGATGATGAGTATTTTGGTTTAAATTATTTTTGACAAATTTAAGAAGTTCAAAAATATAAATGCCAGACAGTGTTAATATGTTATTGGTTTTAAATATTTCTCTACATGACTCACGAGTCTTAAGATCGCACATATGACGTAATGCTCTGTTTTGCAAAACAAATACCCTTTCTGATTTAGTTGAGTTTCCCCATATTGATTCCAAATTAGCATGATAAAAAATCTTTATAGTTTCTTTTGGGGATACTTTACTTAATCGTTTTATTGCAAAACAAATTGAAGTTAATTTATTGCAAACATATAGCACATCTGATTTCCACTTTAAACCCAAATTAAAATATACTCCAAGCAACTTAAATTCTGAAACTTGAGCAATGGACTTATTTTTAATTTTTATTAGTTGACTTTCTATATAATTACTCGGAATGGGAAAAAATTAAAGAAAAAATGTTTTATCTATATTTAATGTAAGTTTGTTTGTGTTAAAATAATTTGAAAGTAATACAAGAGAAGAATTTATTTTAATGTTACGGTTTGCTTGATTTTTGTCGACTGCAAACAAAGTAATGTCATTGACAAAAGCTGTGTGTGGAAGATTTAACATTTCATTTATGTCATTAATATATATTAAAAATAGCAATGGCCCCAATACACATAATATTATGATTTTATTCAGCGTTGGAAATTCACTGTTTTCTCGATATCAGTGTAAAGGGTGTCCCAAATTGGTTGTCCGTATAGGCTCATATCTCTTAACCTAAAAGAGCTAAAAAAAATCTGTCTGCACTAATAAATTCTATGATAAAAAGTGCCTACATAATATTTTAAACCTGTATATGTAACTCAAATATTATCGAAGCTACAAGCATTTGTCAAAATTGGCAAAAATTGAAAAAATAGGTATATCTCCTAAACAAATGCGAATCGAGAAAATTCAAAGACATCAACCGATGTATCTTTAAAAACGACGACGGGGATGTGTGGTCGAATTTTTTGTAGCATTTATATTCACTGACAACCAATTAGGTGTCCGTAAAAATATGAAAATTTTCAGAAAAATTGACTTTTGCAGTTTTTCGTATTACTTACTCTTTGAATAAAATGAAAAAAAAAATGCAAAGTTATTCTGAAAATTTTCCAATTTTTTTGTTTTTTTTTTCGGAAAAAACTGTTTTTTTCGATGGTTAAATTTTTACCGAAATTTTGAAAACCATAGTTATTACTATGAACAAATAATTAATACGTTTTAGTGGAAATCCGAATTGGAACAAATTTTGGATGTGGCCATGGCAGACTCTGAATTATGGGTGTGTATGTTGGCCGACACTTTACGAACTTATCCGTCGACCGGATCGCTAAACACGGAAATATCCGATCTCGACGAAGTACGGCCGATTTTTACCGACCTCGTGAACGACCTTCGACGATTGGTTCGGAAGCAAAACGAACAAAACATGCTACCCATGGAATGCCACTATTTAAATAAAGCCTCTCTCATATCAGTTGTAAGTAGATTGGTGTTTGTTGGATAACCGGCCTAAAAAATTATGTTTAAGGTTGGCAACAAGCCGGAACCAATCAAGCATTTTACCATCAAAAAGAAACCCAAATCGGCCTCTCTCAGGGCGGAACTGATGCAAAAGTCCTCGGATGCGGCGTCAAATCTTAAAAAATCCTCCGCGCCCGTTATACCTGTTAGATCCAGAGGCATGCCCAGGAAGATGACCGACACGAGTAATTCAAACCGTGAAATTTGTGTTTGTAATATTTCATTTTCAAAATATTGTAGCACCGTTGAAGGGTATTCCAAGTCGAATGACAACGCACGGATTCAGATCGGCGGGCTTAAATGGAAACATTAACAACAGGCCGTCTTTGACTAGACCGCCTGCAGGTAGAAAGGAGGGGGGTGTTAAATTGCTGGAAATATCGGACCAACCGTTGGGATATGCGGCAGCTAAAAAGAGAAAGAAGTTGCAAGGTATTTTTTGTTTTGTTTTTATGATCGAGGTATTTTATTAATTTGTTTTTTTTTTAGAAATCGAGGATGCAAAGAAAGCTACAGAAACCACTCCAGGTTTGCAAAGTCCTCCATCAGCAGCTGGAGCAACACCAGATTATGCTGCAGGGCTTAGCTCCACTCCTGCTTATGCGCCTGCTACACCACAACCTACTGTTACACCTGCAGGTATGTTTCTTATAAGATTTTCTTACATTTAAAATACTTTTTTTGTGAGTGTAAGTTTTGGTATTTGGTTTACGTTGTTTATATTGTTTTATGTTTTACTATATAGTAATTTTAAAACTTTGTGACTTCTTTAATGTTCTATGGCACGCCGTTTCACTTTTTTATCGGATAAGAATATTAACTTAAATACTAAAAAATAATACCTTGTTTGTATAAGATGTTGAGTTATTTATTTAATGTAATTTTTCTGTGTGCAATATATTTGTGACACATAAACTTAATATTTCTTTTACAATTAAAAAATAAAACTGAGTGCCATAATTAATTATATGTGTACGCATAATTTTAATTTTAATAAAAAATGATAAATTTTTTGTGTACATATAAAATTAATGCACTGAATTTTTATATTGTAATTAAAATTATGACTATAGTACAAGGTGTCCCTAAACTTATTGGCATAAATTTAGGAAAAGATTGAGCAAGTCAAAATAAGACGAAAACCCAAATAAATATTTTTCCTAATTACTTATGTTTCCAAGATACAGGGTGATAAAGTGTTACTTATCATATCAGTTTTTTTAATATAAACTCTACTATGGTAGTCTTGGAAAGTTGATATTTTGCGAACAGTCACTTACTACCAAAACACATATTCACACATAATTATAATTGTTTGAGTGAACACAGTGTCGTAGAAACGGGGGTTGCTTTAAGCTTATTGTCCCATACAAACTTTGAGGTTAGGTTTTTAAAACATTTGATGCAATTTTTAGATTACACAGTTCGGCTACCATTAAAAAGGTGTACCTCTCAAACTTCGATAAAATAAACCGTTTCCGGGATATTCGAGATTACAATAATTGTTACATCGCATTATTTAAAAGGTTTAAAAGGTATATGATAACAAATTTTATTTTTTAATTGAAAAAACGAAATAAAGCATTCCATGAGCCTCGGGACTTTTTGCCCTGACCATCACATTAAAAAAATTGTAGTTTTTTTCAATTAAAAAATTTGTTATCATATACCTTCTAGACAATTAATGCGATATCCGAGATATTCGAGATTACAATAATTGTTACATCGCATTATTTAAAAGGTTTAAAAGGTATATGATAACAAATTTTATTTTTTAATTGAAAAAACGAAATAAAGCATTCCATGAGCCTCGGGACTTTTTGCCCTGACCGTCACATTAAAAAAATTGTAGTTTTTTTCAATTAAAAAATTTGTTATCATATACCTTCTAGTCAATTAATGCGATATAACAATTATTGTAATCTCGAATATCTCGGAAACGGTTTATTTTATCGAAGTTTGAGAGGTACACCTTTTTAATAGTAGCCGAACTGAGTAATCGAAAAATTGCATCAAATGGTATAAAAACCTAACCTTAAAGTTTGTATGGAACAATATGCTTAAGCAACCCTTGTTTCTATGACATTTTATTAAATTATTTTGCATTCAACATTTTTCAACAAAAACCAAACAAAAAACTACTGAGCCTAGTTTAACCGATTAAATTCATAGTTCTCGTGATATAATATATATAATATATGATTAAAATTTATAATTTATTATTTTAGGTCATAATTTTAATTGTAACATAAACATTCATTGCATTAATTTTATTTGTACACATAAAATAAATTTGATAATTTTTTATTAGAATTAAAATTATGTGTAAAATAAAATTAATTGTAAAATAAAAAATAATAGAATTAATTAAAATTGTTCAAAAATCTTGTTTAAAAAAAAATAATAATTCCAATATAAATTTCAAAGTAAAAAAATAAAGAAACTCATACGAAATAAAAATGGACCAAATTTAATTGACGCAAATATTAATTCAACTAACAAAATAATATGTAAAATGTTTAAAAATATTCGTCGGGTAAAATATTTAAATGTTACAAAAAATGCGTATAAAATTAAAATGTATCATAAAAAATAATTATTATTAGGTCTAGACATAATAATAATTCGCTATTTTTCCTATGTTTCCATTAAATTTGAATTAAACTTATGCTTGACATAATTTTATTTAATTATCATTATGTCAAAAATAATTAAAATTATAAAAAATTATATATAGTCACGGCCAAATCTATATGGGTGCACGTCATCAATGAGATATAATGACGTCAGCATTACCAACTTTGAATTGTAAAGTTACTGCCGTTAAATTTGCTTTTTTAAGGCGTAATTCTGATGTGTTATTAAAAAGAAATCATTCATTTGCGTATTGTTTACCAAAAACTGTAACAATTTCCTTGTTTTAAAACGTTTTTTCACGAAATTATCAAAATAAAACCATTCACTTAGTAATTTTTGTGTGTGCCAGTTGGTAATAGCTTAAGGCTGGCGCGCACCGTTCAATATTATTTATGGGTCGCTGTTATTTTATATTTGACGTATTTTTGTAATTGTGACATTTCGTCCGGAAGCATCGTTTGTTGCAAATTATTATAAATAATATTATACATTATGTTTATAAGATTCTATCCCTGGATTGTGCAAACAATGATATAAGGCTTGTTGGCAACTAGCCGTTATTAGATTTCGAAGACATTGCGCCCTTAATAATAAATTTGGGGAAATAATCAGACTTCAATTCGCCTGTAACAAACTCCTAATTAGTTAGTGCAGAAGATTATAACAAGGATGTTATAATTCCATCTTAATAACAGCCCCCACCGCTATAAACAGTCAACAATACACGAGCGTTAGATTGTGTCTGGGCACGTATGAATAGACCTTAACGCTGACGTCATATGCCGTTGATGAAGTGCACCCATACAGATTTGGCCGCGACTATACCTATTCCATAATTTTGAAAAACCTATAGGTACTTCAATTTTCTTTTACATTTTAAACATTTATGATTAAAAAGTGAAATGGCGTGCTATAATGTTCTATGTTTATCTATTTGAAAATTAACTGGATTGTAAAACTTCTTTAAAAAATGTAACACAAATATAGCCAATTTGATATTTTTTAGCTTGATATAAAACTTTTCAAATTTAAAATTATTAGGCCTGCGAGGCATAGGGCAACAACAAAGTTTTAAATAACGAAACAACTTTAAAATTTGTTTGAAACCACTAAAAATTTAATGCTCAAACTCCAAACAAGTGTCTTGGCTTATTTTAGACTTTTGCTAGAAAAATAACAGTTCTGACTGTTGTTTTCTTTCTTACAGCTTCATCCACCTCCGTCCTGACGGTAACTCCGCCTGCGGCGCAAGCGGTCGCCGCCCCCCCTCTCACACCAACCACCCCCGCAGCGGTTGCCATCCCGGTCGCTTCCGCCGCCGCGCAACCGCTTCCGCAACAGCCGCAGTACGTGGTTCAACCGTCGTCGGCGGCGGCGGGCGCCACCGTCGTCACCACCATGCGTCCCGTACCGCCTCTCATGCCGACGGCGGCGGCCGCCGCGGCTGCCGCCCAGAGGATCGTCGCCACCGATCAGACGGCGGCGGCCGCCGTTCTGGGGCAGGTGGTCGCCGGCGCGCCGGTGGTGGTGGCCCAAAGGCCCACGCAGGCGGTACCCACCGTCACGCAGATCAGGATCCAGCCGCAGCCGGCGGCCAATGCGCTGCAAAGGAGGGGCCTCGCCCTTACGGTAAGTCCTATTTTTTTAAACTATTTTTACCTTTTAGACTTTTTTTTTACTTTTTATCTACTCTTGCCTTTTTTTAAATTGTTTTTCACTTTTTTTAGACTTTTCTTTTGACTTTTCTGGACTTTGTGACTTGTATTGATACTTTTATGAATTTTTTCAAAACTTTCTTCTCGACTTTATATTTTTTTACCTTAATTAGCCTTTTTCTTTTCTGATCTTTTTTGTCCTCGTTTTTTGAACTTTTTCGACTTTTTTGGTCTTTTTGGCCTTTTCGGCTATTCATTTTTTAACTTTTTTTTTACTTTCTTTTCATTACCTTTTTTACTTTTAATCGATTTTGTTTTGACTTGTTGGACTTTTTTTACCTTTTTTATATAACTTTTTTTTTTACCTTCTATTAACTTTTTTTTTACTTTTTGCCATGTTTCAACTTCTTTTTACCCTTTTTTTCTTTTTAAACTTTTTAGTCCTTTTTACTCTTTTTAGGACTTTTTTTACTTTTGAGAATTTAATTTTAATTTTTTTTTACCAATTACTTTTTGTAATTTTATTTTGTTTCATATCTTTTCTGGCTTTATTTTGTACTTTTCCACTTTGTGTACCTTTTTATTTTAATTTTTTTGTTTCTTTTTTTTTTACTCTTGATTGATTTTGTTTCTTACCTTTTCAGACTGTGATTTTTAACTTTTTCGGTTTTCTTGCCCTTTATTTATCTCTTTTTACTTTGTTTGGACTTTTTTGTACTTTAATATTAATACCGGGGACCGGAGAGTAACATAACTTACTTTTATACTATTTTTCCTTTTTTGACTCTCTTAGTCTTTTTTCTAGTTTTTTCTTTTTATTCCTTCCGACTTTCTTGGACTTTCTTTATTAAGTTTTTCTCTTTATTAATTTTGTTTTTTACTTTTTTTTTACTTTTTTTTACCTTTTTAGACTTTTAACTTTGAACTTTTTTGTCCCTCATTTACCTTTTTTAGTTTGGACTTTTGGGGACCAGAGACTAACATAACTTACTTTTTATGCTATTTTTCCTTTTTTTTATTGAATTTCTTTTATACCTTTTCCGACTTTATTTTTAACTTTTTCGAATTTCGAATCTTATTTAAATTCTTTTGACATGTTTTGGCTTTTTAAACCTTTTTTTACCCTTTTTGACTTTTTCGAATTTTTTGGACTTTTTTTGCCCTTTATAACTTTTTTGACCTTGTATTTTTAATTTTATAACAAAATTAATATAGTCGTCGCGGCGAATGTTTCAAATTGCGTCATAAATATCGAATGTCAAAAACAGATTTCTCGACATACGGTTAACCTAGCGGTTTTGATTATGTACGTAAAAGAAAACAACAATAATTGTATTTTCTTTTTTTTGGTTCAGAATTCGATGACGCAATTTGAAACATTCGCCGCGACAACTATAGTTTTTTTTTAATTTTTAAACCCTAGGTATCTGACTATATTTTTGACGTCATTTTTTTTAACTTTTTATAATTTTTGTCTGCTTTTTTGACCTTTTATTTTTAATTTTATAACTAAATTAATAGTTTTGTTTTTAATTTTTAAACTTTTTGACTTTTTTTACCGTTTTTTGACTTTCTTCTATTATTTCCTTTTACTCTGTATCGATTTTGTTTCTTACCTTTTCTGATTTTATTTTTAACTTTTTCATTTTTTTTCTTTTTCACCATTCTTTTTAACTTTTTTTACCTTTTAGACTTGTTTATATCAACCTTTTTTAATCTTGATCGACTTTGTTTCCTATCTTTTTTTATTATATTTTCGACTTCCTTTTAAGGTTTGTTGCCTTTTTGGATCTTTTTTGACCTTTTAAAACTTTTTTAGATTTAATACTTTTTCGTTCATTTTACTGTTTTCGTCTTTTTTTGACTTTTTATATTAACAAAAGTATCGATATGATTTTTTGCAAAGTCAAAGTTTTTGATCATTTTTTTAAATTTTTATACTTTTTGTCTGCTTTTTTGACCTTTTATTTTTAATTTTATAACTAAATTTATAGTTTTTTTTTTAATTTTTAAACTTTTTGACTTTTTTTTACCGTTTTTTGACTTTCTTCTATTATTTATTTTTACTCTTTATCGATTTTGTTTCTTACCTTTTCTTATTTTATTTTTAACTTTTTAATTTTTTTTCTTTCTCACCATTCTTTTTAACTTTCTTGGACTTTTTTTTACCTTTTAGACTTGTTTATATCAACCTTTTTAATCTTGACATTGTTTCCTATCTTTTTTTATTATATTTTCGACTTCCTTTTAAGGTTTGTTGCCTTTTTGGATCTTTTTTGACCTTTTAAAACTTTTTTAGATTTAATACTTTTTCGTTTTTTTTACTGTTTTTCGTCTTTTTTGACTTTATATTAACAAAAGTATCGATATGACTTTTTTGCCAAGTCAATGTTTATATGAACTTAAATTTCAGAGGGAACAAATGTTGGAGGCGCAGGACATGTTCCGCACGGCGAACAAGGTCACGCGTCCGGAAAAAGCGCTCATTTTGGGCTTCATGGCGGGCTCGCGCGACAACCCTTGCCCGCACCTCGGCAACATCGTGACCATAAAGCTGTCCGAGGACCAGGAAACGGTGCTGCAGCAAGACGACACGTACGCGAACATGCTGGTGGAGACGCACTTCCAGATGAACTACAACAACGGCGAGTGGAAGAGGATCAAAAAGTACAGGGCCATCGAGAACCTGCTCGACCAGATACCGGCCGGCGCGCCCACGCCGGCCCTGGTCTGACGCGCCGCCGCCTCAAGCTGAACAGAAAAAACAACGTGATCTCATAAATTGAAGAGTTTCGTTTGAAAAATGCTAAAGGTAGGTCTAATTTTTTCTCTCTACAGGTGCAGTAAATAACGAAATATCTATTTTCCGACCAATTTAGCAACAAATTCGCAAATTAGTATTAAATCAAACGAATTGGAAAACTATACAGAGCTTTTCAATTAAATGATTTTAAAAAGGCCTATTTTCAAGTGGTTGTGCGAACAAATTTAGAAACGCTATGTATAGTAGTGGTTCATCAACATTTCGACTGATATCATCGGAAACGCGATGTAAATTTTATTAAAGAGAAAGGATAAGGGTCATTCCACCAAACATTTTTTTTGTGGTGAACCACGCGGATTTTTTTTAATTTTGTAATGATTTCTTCAATATTTTTTTTTTTTACTTTTTCGTTAATTTGTTTTGTGTAAATAATGTTTTTTAAAAATACAAACAGTACTGTTTTTTTGTAAAAAAAATTCTTAGCTTTTCAATGAAAATATTCAAAAATTCAAAGTAAAAAATGCGATTTTGTTTAAATAAAATATGTCATTATCAGGTTGTTTATTGTTGTTTGAAGACAATTAAATAATAAAGCTATGGCAAGTAATTTTTTTTCTGAAAATAATATAATATACATATTTTGGTTCAAACCCTTTGACATGTTTGTCATCTGTTACTTGACATTTTGACGTCATTTTTTGTCATCTGTCTTTTTTTACATGCGTCATTTTCAACATCTGTCATCTTTGACATGTGTTAATTTTGACATCTGTTATTTTTAAGAGCTGTCATTTTTGACATCTGTAATTTTTTACAGCTGTCATTGTTGACATACATTTGTCATATTTCGACAAACCATTATTATTGTTAAAAAGTCGCATTTTTTATTTGAGAGCTGTCGTTTTTAATAGTTGTCATTTCTGACATCTGTCATTTATGATACCTGTCATTTCTGACATCTGTCATTTCTGACATCAGTCGTTTTTGACAGTCGTCATTCTTGACAGCTGTCCTTTTTAATAGTTGTCATTTCTGACATCTGTCATTTCTGACAGCTGTCGTTTTTGACAGCTGTCACTTTTGACAACTGTCATTTTTGAAAGCTGTCATTTTTGACATCAGTCGTTTTTGACAGGTGTCATTTCTGACATCAGTCATTTTGTGACATTCGTCATTCTTTACAGCTGTCGTTTTTGACATCTATCATTGTTGACAGCTTTTAAACTATTAATGTTAAAAAGTCGCATTTTTTACTTTAATTTAATTTTCGAGGGTCTTCCGTTACTAATAATAAAGAAAGAATATTTTAAGATTTTTTACAAAAAAAAACGGTGCCGTTTGTATTTTTATAGAACATTATTTACATAAAAAAATCCGCGGAGGCACATTCCAAAAAAAAATTATTTGGTGGAATGACCCATATATTTTAACAGTTTATTGTATATCATAAATGCTTACCAACTGTTTTTAGGGAATATAAATTTTAAGGGATGCAATTTATATTAAATTTTACAAATCATGTATATATTTGAGTTTTTTTTGTTTTATAGTAAACTATTTATTTAGTTTTGTAAAACGAGTGTTAAATTTTTTAAGTGTTCACATATTTTATTATGTTATGATTTACTGTGAATAGATAGATGTATATACTGTTAAGCAGAATAAAATTAATATTTTTTAAACCCAAATCTTTTATTTCAAACAAAAAAAAAATAATTGTTGGTAATACCTTTACTAAATTGTGGGAAACACTAGATAAATTTACTTTTTGACTTTTTGTGTCTTTTTTTATTGAGCTTTTTTTACCTTTTTGATTGATTTTTAGCTTTTTGGATTTTTTTGACCGTTTTTGACTTTTTCTGACTGCTTTTTTCGATTTTTTTTACTTTTTTTTTAGACTTCTTTTTAAAATGATTTTCTTTCTTGGACCTTTTTGAGTTTTTTTTAACTTTTTTTGCCTTTTATTTTTTTCTGTTTTTTTGTTTATTTTATTAATTATTTAATTTTTTTACTCTTTTCTTCAACTTTTTTAAATTATTTTTGATTTATTGTGAGAGGATAGAGGTATATACTTTTAAGACGAATAAAAATTGATATTTTTAAAACCCAAATCTTTTGTTTCAAACCAAAAAAAACAATAATTGTTGGTAAACTGTTTACTAAACCGTCAGAAACAATAGATAAATTAACAAACTCGGTGTTGCAATTCACAGTGGTCAGGGGGACATTTGGGGGCCGATACTTGGGGGTCACAGGGATCACATGTTGGGGGATCTTCCACATTCGCAAACAATTCCCCCTTTTTTATATCCAATATCAAACTGTTCATCGCGTTTTTGAATAGGCAATTCTCGAAGTCGTTTAGCTTCGGGACGCCCAAATTTTTCGCAATGCCGTTCGTACCCAACACCACCGGCGTCGCCAAATACTTTAGTTGCGGGTAGATGCAGGAGGGAACGTAAGCGCATTCCACTATATCCAAATATCCCTTCAGCCCCTTGACCAAGGATATTATAAACCTTGCTATGGCGAAAGCGTTCGATAGCGGAGCATTTTCTTTCGGTTTCAACTTTAGAATGTTGTTATGAGCCATCCTCACGCTGTGCGTTATGTTTTCTACTTCGTCCTAAAAAATATTTACCTTAAGAATGTATGTAAGGGTCCTGTGGTATTTAAACTTTTAAATTGGGCGCTATTTTAACCAAGAAAATAGTTTTAAGTTACTTTAGGTTTTAAAAAGCTATTGAGTTTGTATCTAAACGTAGAAATGTTGATAGGATTTGTTTATGTTTGATATTCTTACTCGAGTAGCCGAGAAGTTTAAAAATAGAATTAGGGAAGAAGGGCAGAAAGGTTTTGATCAACATACAATATACTCCTGTAAGAAGTTTGTAAGAGTTATATGCTAATATAAATATAGTTATTGTTATTGTAAACGATTTTCTGCTATAATTAGGTATGTACACTTTTATAAATTATAAATTCTACTAGTGATAATTAATAAATAACTACCTGTGTTGGGTTTTTTTCTATATTTTTTATTATAATTCCGCACGACTTTATTTAATTCGTATCTCGGTCTATTTCGTTTATAATTGGGCTCTAATCATTTTAATATGTGTACCATATATATAGAGTTACATTTATCTTAAATATTAATATTTTGTATTGTCTTTATGTAGAACTTTATTTCGTTGCTTCCTTTTCTATAACTTTGTATAACTTTAACTGACTTATTTTAATGTTAATGGAACTCAGTGTATCATCTTGGTACTAAGATAAAAATTTGATATTACTATCAGGTAGAGATGCGAATGAAAAAAAACGGTCCGTTTTTTTGTTTTTTTTTTTTCATGTTTTTTTTTTCATTGTTTTTTTTCAAATGGTTTTTTTCACATTTTAGTTTTTTTTTCAAGATTAGTCCCCTTTGCCTAATTTTTATGTTTTCAGTCCAGTTCATGGACTAAAATTAGTCACTAAATGACAATTAGTAAATGTAAATACAGTCTCGCGCTATGCACGCGCCACCACCACCAAATTGACCAATAAGGGCCGCGCTTGTTTTGATTTGGTCCTAAAAAAAGTAACTACATATAATATTTTTGATTCAGCGCTTGATTTTTCAAAAAGCTACCAAAAGCACTTTTTTTCATGATTTTTCAAATTTTTTTTAAACAATAGCAAATTCTTGTAGAAAATTTATTCATTGGTGGTTATGTCAGAACATTCTGTGGACCAGAAAGCCAAATTTTTTTTATTACGGTATTCGTTAGGACTGAGCGTTGCACGTTTTTCATCTAAAAATCTCAAAACTAGAAACTTCAAGCTTCAAATTTGCTTTTTTTACGGCTCCAATACGACCATTTTTAACAAAGATACAGCTATCCGAAGAATCGCAAAACATTGCTACTGGTTTCTAATGTGGAAACTACCAAATAATAAGAAATCAGATTTTTTGGTCTCGGTCAACATTTTCAATAATGGAAAATGTAATATATTCTACATTTTTCTTTATTAATAATACACATTTTACTCAAAATTTCATTTTGAAAAAAACAAAAAAAACCGTTTTTTTTCTAGATTTTTTTTCATGTTTTTTTTCACATCTGAAAAAAAACCGTTTTTTACATCTCTACTATCAGGTAATATCGTGGTAAGGTAATGGTACCGTCTCTTAATGATTCTGGAAAGAGACTTAATTTAAACTGCTTATCTAAGCGCTTTATTTGGAATATTTGATAATTACTTTAACGTTACATATGAATAAAATCTCTTTATATTGTTAACAGCGCGACACTTTCTGGTGGTTAGAGTTTTGGCCATGTTTAGGTGTTTCTTGTTATGAAGCTCTCCTATTTACCATTTATTGTATTTTACACCATTTTATTTTATTGCATATTGTTGGTTTTATTTTTTTAACTGTATTTGTGTTTTCGTTTGGAGAGTCAATAGAATTCATCCTTAGAAGAGTGTTTTATGTTATTACCTATATAAACTCTGTGCAGAATTGTTTGTATATTTTCGCAATACTGTTGTCTTGTTCTGGACATTGATTTTGTGAGAAGATTTGAACATATTGTGATATAGGGACACGATAGCGGTCTTTATATCACTTCACAGAGTATGCTATTGTACCATAGTGTGGTTATTGGCTGGGATTAAATATCTGCACTAGATTATATTTTTACATGTTTCCCTTCCTTTTTAAAACATTTACAGTTCATTTTTTTTATCTGGACTCGTGTTTTTTTTGTTGGTTGGTGACTTATGCCAGTTTGACTTGGTATTTTTAGTATTTAAAAATTGGTACTTCTGCTAAAGAATTTATAAATTCTTATAATTATCTAATTATAATTAAATACTTAGACACTGTCAAATTGGCAATATTTATTATTGATAATTTACTTGTCAATTATAAATAAAAAGATAATAATTATTATGCCAACAATAATATCAACGAATTCGTATGTAAAAGCCCTTTTGAGGGCAAAACTTCATTTTGATGAAATTCCACAATGAAAGAAAAAGTACATCGCCTTATATGGACATTTTTGGAGTAAAAAAGTAACGAATTTGGTTTTATAAATATTACATCACACATTATTTTCACATTATTCTCCATTGGACAACATTAACGTTCACAAAAAATTTCTTTTATATAAATTCTTTTTAAAGCGAAGATTATTATCCGCTAGGAATACTTTCTCTTCTGGGCCGTAAAGCAATAATTTTACTCATCCAAGCACCACCAAAGACAAATTAATTGCATTTTTAACTACGAATTTCGACAACTCAACAATGTAACCTACAATAATTTATACATAACCACAATTAGATTTATAACTAGCTTAGTTTGTTTTAATCAATGCGACCAACTGTATTTACCAACCAAAACCCTAAATTTGCGACGTTGCCGCAGTCCAGATAAAAAAAAATGAACTTTATATTTATATAAAATCGTATCCTCGTTCAATAGTTCGAAGATGAGTGGTAAGGTAAAATCGTATCCTCGTTCAATAGTTCGAAGATGCGTGGTAAGGTAAACAACTAGTACAACTCTTCGTTTATCTGCTTTTCATGTTTCACTAATGATTTATAGAGTATTCTTGTGATTATGAACCATATTACTTTGTTTTGTTTTGTATTTTATTTTAATTTGAACTGCTAAAGTCGCCAGGGTTTTTATGGTCCCTTTTCCCTGTGCTCTGACTCAACGGGGCACCCATTTGTCTTTGCTTAAATGAAATTAGGGGTATCAAATCAACTAGATCCAGATTATGCTAAAATAAGTATTTCAGTATACTTAAAGAATCGTGTTACGAAAATACATAGTGTACCTTACAGGAATTATTTTCCCTATTCAAGAAATGAAATGGATGATTAAAGCAAGTGAACACGACATACATACTAAGTTATAAGTATCACGCGATACCCAGACTGCAATGCAGGTTCGAAAATATTCCAGGAATATTCCCTATCGCCTAGGAATAATCCGCTTCATTCTAGGAATATTCATTGGGAATATTCCTAGAATGCACAGCAAACGAAAAATTATAGAAGTGTATAGGATGACTCCGCGTTTGAATATCAAATCTTAAAGTTTTATCATAACTGTATTGAATCGTGCTTTGTTTTTATATTTTTTGGCTCTATACCCATGCACGACTATATTTAAAGTCAAACTCAATGGTTTCTTACAAGATACATTATTTTGATTTTCTATATTCAACAGAGGAGTAGAAACTCGACCCTGTCGAATGGTGCAGTCATTTATGTCTCTAGAAATTATTAAAAAAGGGTTCAGTCCAATGGTGCAGCAACTTCGGATTCCTATTCTCCTCAGAGACATAGAAACTCAAGCTTTTCGAATTTTACTGGCAATGATTTTCGTTAATGTCCCCGAGAATTATACAAAAACAGCGCAATGCAATATCGCAACGGTTTCGACTTCTCTTTACTCTACCAAGTTATAGAAACTGGAGTCTCTCTAATACTGTTCTAGTCAATATTTCTGAGAGTATAAAAAGAGGGTGTAATATTGCAAGAAGTTTTGATCTTTTGATGGATGAATTTTCTCATTTCTCCATATGATTTAGTTGAAAATAGTTCCTTTCTTTGGTTCCTTTGTCTGATTTTTATTTACCGTAACAACTCAGGTATGTAAAGCACAGAGGATATGATGTTAAGTATATTTATGTATTATATAAAGTACCTATATTTGTATTAAAAATTTAAGAGGTTATGTTGAAAAATGATCGATATGCTATTAAACTTTAATAATTTAGTAATTAGGTCTGTTGGTAGACCCTGCACTATCTCCACTGGTATATGTTAATTTTGTAATATTTAAATCTGGTTGATGAAAAAGTACACACCAGTGCATCTACGAACAAATGAATTAATGGCCCATTGGCAATTATTCCTTTAGGAAAAATATTCAACACAGCTTAATTAATTAATAAAATGAAAAAAATCACAATCATGTCGTATATAGTTTTTTTTAAGCATAAAATAATTTTTATATTAATACTAGTTTAAAAGTGAAATTACGACCTCTATACTGTGGAGAGTATTGAAACGCTCGACTGACGAATACAACTCTATACCGTAGGGAGATTTAGAAAACGATATTCAAACGTGGTGTCATCCTATACACCTCTATAATTTTTCGTTTGCTGTGTGATCCTCTAAAACTTTCAAGCATCATCTAAGAATATTCCCAGTGAATATTCATTAGTTTAGTTGCAACACCTCTCACCGTTGCTTACGCACGCTTGATAACTATATATACCGATAGGTTAATAATATTAGTTGGAGATGTGCGTCTGTGATGGCATAGCCAAACAATGATTAGAGTGGGACTGATCTACTCAGTAACTCAATAATGGCTATACTTAAGTTAAGTTTCTGGGTATAAGAGGCAATAAGGGCTGGGAATAATCCCCAATTATATCAAGGAATATTCCCCTAACAATCCTTGAGTCTTCTGCAGGCAGATATATGGAATATTCTTTTTATGATGCCTGGGTTAACCAAAAAGCGGACATTTGATTATGCCAGGAATATTCCTGGGAATATTCTGGGACGATTGGAATATTCCTGGGAATATTCCTGACATGTGCAGGGAATGTGATTTTGCGGTCTGGGTACCTGCTCTGAGCCGACCTAGGTTTTTACTTACGTTCGTGTATTCGTAACAAGGTTTGGACTGCGATAAAACGGGTATGATGGTCTCGTCGCTATGACCACCGATTACTGGCACCAGCACGCATTCCGGTTCGTAACCTTGGACTTTGGCAGCAAAAGTATTCGCCCTGACCACATCCAGCGACGTAATTCCAAAAACTGTTCTCGGGTTGAAAACCCCGAATTTTTTCAATTGTTCACAAGCCAACGGCACCATACTGTTAACAGGGTTCGTTGCTATGGCCAACATAGCCTAAAAAAAGTTTGGTCTTAAGATGCGAATGTTTGCTTAACTTTGTTTATTTCACCTTATTACAAGTTTTGGCAAACACTGCGATTATTTCTTTAATTATTGGCGCGTTTGGTTTGAACATGTCTTCAAAAGTGAGTAACTCTGCATCTTTTGAAGCTGCTAAAACTATTACTATCCTGGAGTTCTAAAAACGAAAGTTTGCTTATTAATAAAAGTTCTAGCGATGCAACGGATGTGGCTATTTCTAGAAAGTTTCGGTATAAAAAATGCGGTCCTTGATAGGACTTGCTGCTTAAATTTTATTATTCATTTAAGCGGCAAGTTATATTAAGAAAATTATTGTTGCGGAACTTCCGCATTTTTTTATAGCGAAACTTTCTAGAAATGTTATTATTTATTTACCCGCCCAAGCAACATTTTTGGTTCCAAAAACCATTGCCAAAGTGGTGATAACTTTAAATTAGTTAAGTATACTAAACCGTTACTTTAATTTTTACTTAAAAGTAATTCTAACTTTTAAATAGCAATATTTTGTAACAGAAACTTAATTTTTCCTTAAATTGTTACTATAAAGTAATAAACATTTAAGTAAAACTTGGTTGCCCCCAAGAAGACTTTGCAACTTTAAAAAAGATGTTATAAGTAAAAAAAACTTTTAAGTAAATTTAATTTGTAGCAGTTACTTTCGGTTGCTACCTAAAGATTACATTATAATTATTTTTACTTTGTAGTCCCTTTGCAAGTTAAAATCTCGAAACTGGAACATGAGTTAAAAACTACAAAGTTAATAACTTAAAAGTTATTATTTTAGTATTTGGAACGTTTATGGTACTAACCAAAACAACCGTAAAGTGGAAAAAAACTTTAAAGTAGCGAAAACTACTTCAAAGGAAAATGCTTCTTATCGGCCATTTTTTACTGTACAGTACCACGTGGTAATGTAAATAATAAATTATTTTAATTGTTTGTAAATGGTTGTTTACTTTTTAATAAATAGAAATATTGTTGGTAATAGACGGTATTAATAATTAAATAAAAAAAATAATAATAAATATTAAGATTTTTTTATTTATAAACATTACTAAATAAATAATTTGTTTATACTTAAATATTGATAAAGCGCATTTATTTTACAAAAGTCCGTAGTGGTTCCATTTAAAAAAGGAGGGATAGTATAATCTAATATAAGTTTGACAAAGACAGTTAATATAGAGGTAAAAACAAATAATAAAAGTAATTATAACGCTCTAGCAACGATATTGGAACGTTCTAGTAACGTAGCAGCTACGTCCCAAATAGTAGCAGGGTTGGTAGCTAGTGACATATTTGCTACATTTTTGGAACTCAATAATTGTTCCCCACTTTAGTCGTAACGTAGTAATGAAAGAGCCCAGATAGCACAAAGGTATACTATGGACGTCCAATGGACGTATGCTCGTGGACGTCTGTATGTACATAGGATGTCCATTTTTTTTCTATGGACGTCCCATGGACATCCGTTTAGAGTCCAGATGTCACAACTTTGGACATCCATAAGTCGTCCACCGATGGACGTCTATAAGGTGTTTGAACCATTCCTCCAGCATCCAGGACCTGCTTTTTTGCTTACTTTAACTGTTTTTGCGACTGTATTTTCATTGCGATGTTGCAGAAAATTTTCTACAACATGACTGAAATGCCTTTTGTCTGGCTCAGTAACAATCCCACTAGGAATATAAATATTCTAAAAGTTGTTAAAAGTTACAACATTCATTGTTGAACATTGCAGGAAATCCTTGTATTCGACTCAGGAACATTACATTTGCAATACTACAAGTGTTTAACATTTCATTGATAGCTTAAGTCCTTTATAGCACGCGCTTGCTTGAATGTCAGTGAGATTGATCATAACTGTTGTTATGCAGCCAACAATACGTTTTAACTTGCATTTCTGTAATAATAATTATGGACGTAAAATGGACACTATATGGACGTCCATTAAAATCGTACAAAGGATGTAAATATATGGACGTACATAGTACATCCATTTTTAGTCCGTGGACCAATGTACTTAAAATGGATCTTAAACGGACGTCCATTGGACGAATGGTGCTATCTGGGAGTAATATAAAGAGACCGGCGACTGTCGCAAAACACTTTGAAGTTTCTTCAATAGTCCCATATACGTAACAAATACTTAAATTGTTGCTTGGGCGGCAAGTTTCATTAAGGAAATAAATCATTGGAAGTTGCGGAAGATCCGCATTTTTTATATCTAAACTTTCTAGAAATTGTATTATTCATTTAAGCAGTAATGGTGGAATTTTGCAGCACAAATTAACATTAAGATTAAGATTAATTTAACCAATAGGAGGGTATTAATGCTTAATGTTAATGTTAATGTGTTGCATAAATGCTTTCATTGTATTACATTCATCGTAATAACTTATTATTTATATATTGTTTTTAACTTATTTGTATTATTTATTTATAAGCTAGTATTTGTAAGTAAACACTATTATATGAATGTCCATTTATGGTATGTACTGTTGGACATCGTAACTTTCTAGAAAAAGCCACTTACTTCTAAAGCCGCCCCCAGAGCATCCTTTCCACTAAAGGCAGTTACTTTACAGTTTGTGTCCACGTGATTTAACTCGGCGGCAAAACCTTGCGTCGGCCTTAAGTCGTGCACGCATAACTCATCGATAAGAGGCGATTGTTTTAACATTAAGCACAACGATTGGCCAGTTTTTCCTGCCGCCCCAACCACGGTAACTTTCATCTTGTTCTTCATCATACTGCATTGTCTGACCGTGTGAAAAAAATTTAACTTGTATAAACCTTGATTCATCTTCGATAATGGGAAATAGTAGTTCTGATATGTTCGGTATATTTTTAGCACGTATTTATCCATTTTTTCTTAAAAAACTTTTGAATTTGGGATGAATTTGAATCTGTTTTGACAGTACAATAATGGGAAATATGTCAGAAGTTAATTACGTCTTCCTTAGAAACCAAAACGAACTTAGTTGGAGTAGTAATTTTTCTACCTACTAGGATACAAAAAAAAATGCAACCAGTTCATAGATGACCAGTTTCAGATATTGCGTGACAAGTAACTTTGCTATAGCGATTAATAGTATATTATTATAGGAGAGATAATGCACATTAATGTGCGAAATAATTATTTCGAATGTAACACTAAGCTTTTTCTACTCCAATTAAGTAATTTTCATTAATAACAAAATGTATTATAACCTCACTTTCTCCCGATTTTAAAGATCATTATCATGGAGCCTACACTGTGTAGGCTTCATGATCATTATAGTCGCCCCTCGTATATAAAAAAATTTGACATCTGTTAACCATAGACAAAAAAAAATTATGGAGAAAGTTTGAGTCCATAATATTAATATTAAGAGGTCTATCACCGCAATTTTAGATTTTTTTTCCTGAGCGAGTTTTTGTCTCAGAATGTTCTACAAAAAAGGTTTGATTGGAATTTTCCGTCAGATGAAGCGTTTTCTTACAATCATGCCTTAAAAATTGGTATAGTTTTACAATTTGGTCTTTTACCTTAAGGTAAATTCCAAATTTGGAATTTTGTAATTCATGTAAAAATCAGTACCCGGAAAAAAAACTAATAGATATTCTTATGGAAAATCAAATGCTCTACAAAAAAGTCTCTTAACATTTTTGGCTAAATTCACTCCATCAAAAGTTATTCGAGGTTAAAACAAAATTCTTGTTTTTTCCACTCTAGATTTTTTTTGGGTCAGTTAAAAACTTGAATTCTTTTATCGCTGATAATCTTTATGTTATTGATAAAATTAGTGAAAATTAAAAAAAAATTTACAGTTTTTTTTCTTTAAAAAATATTATTTTCACTGTTATACCTATAGGTAATTACCTGTAATTGTAATTCATGTAAAAATCAGTACCCAGAAAAAAACGATGAATATTCTTATGCGCCTGTAGATTTATTTTTCTCGATTTTTATGTAAGAATGTCATATTCTCGCACGCAAAATCGTTGAAGAATGAAGCTCATTCTTAAACGATTTTTGGTAACATTTAGTTTTTAAGTATTGGTACCCCCAAAATGTCAAACTGATTAATAACCTCAAATTCATTACTTTTATTGAAAATGAAGCCTTTATTATTGTTTTGTAATATAAAGTTTGCTCCAACAATGCATTTTAATGCAAAATTTTAAGTTTAATGTGTAAAAGTGCAGTTCAGGTTGTACTTGTGCAGGATAACAAATATTGTCATTTTGTGTTGCCAACTGACATTTTGCGAGAAAAATCCCCTAACTAACAACGACCACAAAACAATTAAAAAAACCTAAATAAAAGTTAAAATCGAGAAAATAGTATAAATCACACGTTGCAGAAGGCTATTCTCGCACTCATTCGTTCGTCCACTCGCTCCTTCGTCGCTCGAGGCCAAATTTCGAATTCGTGCGAGAATATGTGGCCTTCTGCAACTTGTACTTTAATATACTATTTTCTACAGGGGCATAAGAATATTCATCGTTTTTTTCTGGGTACTGATTTTTACATGAATTACAAAATTCCAAAGTTAAAAGATCAAAATGTAAAACTATACCAATTTTTAAGGCATGATTTTAAGAAAATGGTTCATCTGACGGAAAATTTCATTTTAACCTTTTTTGTAGAGTCAATTTTGTTAAACTCAATAGTTTGGGAGTTCTGAGTCCTAAATTTAAAATTGCGATGATAGACCTCTTAATATTAATATTATGGACTAAAACTTTCACAATATTTTTTTGTCACCCCAAACCATATTTTTTATATACTGAAAAGGTTGGACTCCTCTAACGCCTGAAGGTATAAAACCCGTAATACAATTTTTCAATTTCAAAATAATATTTTGTTTCGTTGCTTAAATAAGTCAACTAAGGCAAGTTTTGCTACAGATATATGACATCTGGCGATGTCAATACTGATAAACAACCACTTAAGATCTTTTGGAATGCAAAAGGGATCCTTCCAATTGGAACTTAAGTTCAATATTCAGGGGGTGTAAGGGTTTAATATGCAAAATTAAATTAGTTAAATTATATAAATAAAATCCGGTTACTTATACGAAAATACTATTACACTGTACTACGAGTACACCCCGTATTATGTTTGCTAGAAGGTATACCTCTCTACGGGACGCCCTTTTGTTAGATAATAAATAAACAGTTTATTGTAAATATTAAAATTTGTTATTTAAATAGTTAGTTAGTTAAATAATGTGAACTTGTTTAGTATTAACCTCTTAAGTGGCTATGACGTATATATCCGGATTTTAAAGTTTATATTCCAGCGCTTATGACGGATATATTCGCATTGAAATTTTACTTCGAGCATTTAATGGTTATGCCGCATATACTCGCATGCGGTGGTTTACAGTGTAGGGGGGTGCCTATTCGATAGCTTGATGAGAAAATACCACGAAATAGTGTTTGGCGTACGCAGTAACAATCTTTATTTGTTTGCGCAGCACGTGCTAGTTATTCCTTGGTGTTTTATTGTAAAAAAACGGTGTTTATTTGGTAAAATAATATTGTTAATAATAATATTATATCGGATTAGCCTACTGAAATGCATTGTGATGATATTAGCGTTGAAAATAGTGATTTTACCAGCTCTGATGGATCGGAAAGCGATTCAAATTTCAGTGAAGAATTTGAAAGTAATAATGACGAAAGTAATGTTTCTGAAAACGAAGAGGCCGAGGAAATAAATTTTGACATGCCTTGGACTGGGAATGGGATTCCCCGACCACCCTTTAAATTCACGGCAACCAGTGGCGTACAGATAAACGATCTAACTGATATAATAGACATGTGTTTGATATAATTGTGGTAGAAACAAATAGATATGCTATACGGTTTATTTTGAGAAATCACGCAAACATAAAACGACACTCTAGACTCTAGAGTGTAGAGTTAGGAAATGGACAGAGAAAAACAGAAATGAAATCAAAACACTACCGGGTTTATTAATTCAACAGGGTTTAAGCCCAAAACCAGAATACAAAATGTACTTTTCTCGTAGATAATAATACATTTACATACCTGTGTAGGTTTATAAAATAAATAACATATTGACTTATTATTATTATACCCAATATGTTTTAGTTACTTTTTCTTTTTTATATATATGACGTATATATACGTTTATTTGAAAATGTGCTCGATTACGACGTATATATACGGCGGATTAGTTAAGTAATGCACATGACGTATATGTTCGCATCCGGAAAAATAGTGAGCCATCAGAAATGTAACTTTAGAATATTGATATGGCCACTTAAGAGGTTAAGTTAGTAATAGTTTTAATTGTTATGTTCAATACAATTGTTGTAATTTAGTTTTAAGCTTTCAGTACTTAATCTTATTATCGGTCAAAAAACCGAATAGTTGAACTGGAATTTGTATGTATTATTTTCTAAAGTAGTACCGAAGTCGGTACTATACTAATTGTTAAAATATTTTATTGTAAAAACCAATATTTCGAAAAAAAACAATCAACCAGTACAAAAGTTGACTAAGGGCACACTTAAAATTATTAGGTATTTGTCTGAGCTACTAGACTACAAAAAAATCCCAAATGTCTTTGCCCACTTAAAAATGTTAAAACACTATTTTATCTTGCCATGCCACACATATGGTTTACTTTTTCCAACTTTGGGGAAAGACAAAGAACGATATATGAGAGGGGGATGATCCAAAGCTGCGTAAGCGATTTGGGCAGTGAGTTTCCAGTTCTAGTTGCGTGCGGACGTTTTTCCAAAAACTCCTGCTCTCTAACTCAAACTTGTGTGTAACGCCAGTTGTAGCCATCTTGGTAATTTGAATCCGACGCCGCGACATCGCGCCCTCTATCGTACGAACGCTTCAATTTTGTTTAAATTTCCCGCCGCGTGTATTAGACCGGGAGCTTGATGGAGTTGAGTGTGCAAAATGTGAGGACCGCATTCTGTATATAGTTTTGAACTCAGAAAAGCTTGCAGATGATGATTCTGAATGTTGCCAGGAGGATTGTTGGTCCATTTATTTTTTACGTCCCCGACTCCTTAGATATCAAGTAATGGACTGAAAAAATGCTTTGGAATCATTTTAATGATTGTTTAAGTGACAATATCCAATTTTTTCCTATGATTACAAATATTTACAGCCACTCAATTGAAAAAAAAAAACAAAAAGGTTAGAATAAAAAAAAATGTTTGATAAAAAAACTATTTAATATGAAAAAGCAAATTTTAACATGTCATAAAAAAAAAATACAAATAATCAATAATAATTTTATTTTGACAGTCATTATTGATACATTTACACAACGAAATAAAATTTTGTTGTAATTTTTTGCAAGAGCAAGCCTTTGTTTTACAATTTGATGTACATTTACAGGGCTGAATCAACAATTCTGGCAATAGTCGCTTCGTCAGTTGCCGTGGGGACAATTTACTATCTTTTTTTTTCATAGCCTAATAAGGTATAATCAATAGGCTGTTGTAGTGTTTGATCAGCATTTATCCATAAATATGTTTGTGCTGAAGCTCTTAACAAATGTAAATGAAGAGCATCTGATGTGCAAACTACTTTTAATAAATTTAAGCCGAAGCCGATATTTTGAGAATTTAATTTATACCGAAGTTTATCAGCAGTTAATTTTTTTATTTTTTTGAAAAAAGAGGTGTAAATGATTTCTAATTCTGTTAACTGTTCGACACTTAGGTATGGATTTCCTAAATGCCTTAGAGCTTTTTGTACAAAATCTAACGATGCAGCTTTTAAACTTTTTTTTTCGAGCCCAATCTGCTAGTTGAATGCTGGAAAAATACGACAAATGTTTTCGCCAAGGGATTGAGCATCTAAATGACATCCTGAAATGTATTTCTTCTTATAAGAACCGTCGAACCATAGACCTAAACAACCTAGACGTGCTA